CTTGTGTGAAAGTTTCGCGTTCAATGTCGCAAACAGCCCAAAAAATATTTTTTGGTCGTCGTCGTTGAAGAGGTCGACCCCTGGATCCAGTTTGGCTGGTGGCGACATTGCGAAATCTGGGATTGGCCACGATCAACTTGAAACTTTCACACAAGGTGCTGTTGGCCAAGCCGAGCACATTGCTCTAATAAAAACCCCACGTTTCATTGTAAAGTTTGGAGATACAGGCACCTTTATGTTTGTAAGCGTGATGCTATATGAAGAGTGGTCTTTGTTTAATGTAAAGTAGTATGACTATAATAGAGCAAAAGATGCAGAGGGGCGTGTTTGTGTAACGGAGCCATTTTGCATGACTGAAATGGCCAATGTATGATGCCATATACACTATCTATGATTGGCAGCTAACAGCCACTTCATCCTAATCATGCTTTTGTTCATTGTATTACAGTGGAATTATGCTCCTGCTCCAGACGTTCATTTCCATCATTCAAGTTTCTTGATCCGAGCTGATTTGACTGAGCTACGCCAAAACAGCAAACACTGAAATTCTTGAAAGACAGACCCTGCGAATGTCTCCGTCTTTCAAACTTTTGGACGCTCCCATTCTAAATTTTCAAATGAAGTATGAGATCTTTATTATGAAAAAGTTGATCAGCATGCTCGAGAGCACCCTTGTGACCAATTTCCAAGTTGGAAGTGGGCAACTTCGGGGCGGTGGACCGTCCGCTCTTTTGTTCCCATCATCTACCATTTGGACGCCCCCGCATTTTATCTTCACTATAAACCCTGCGACTTTTAAATGAATGAAGTTGATCAGCATGACTCAGCAAACCTCCTGACCCAGTTTTACGTTCGAGATGGGGAATCCCAAGATTATGCATACTATTTCGATGAATCATGAATCCGGCGCTGACCTGCATTTCCGACTTACATAGTAAACCCCACATTGCACCCTCCCATTCCAAATTTTCAAATGAACATGAGGTCTTTTTTAACACAATACTAATCAGCATGTCCCAGAGCATGTTGTGTGAAAGCTTCATGTTCGAGAGGGGCAATCTCAATATCAAGGATTGATGTACAGTGTTCATGCATTTATACAAGAGGTGTCCAACCCATTTAATTTCCGCTTCTTCTACTTCAGCTTCTTCCCTCTTCCTCCCATTCTCAACTGTTGGTGCATTCAAGTACATACAACTACCACCTGCGAACGATTGTCCTGCTTCAACCCATGATGTCAATCCTACGATTACCTTGATCCGATTGTCATTGACTGAATGGCAAGTTCATGGGCGTGTACACTCCACTACAGCACCCGCGTTTCTTGACACTTCACGTTCTCTTGCACACTCCTCTACCACGACCAATGGTAACAGCATTCATTCCATCAGTTGCTATAAGCAAGGTCTTTACTTCATTGTCTCCTACAGCGTTCTTTACTTGCAGCAACTTGCCTTACAACCTTTGTTACGTGGACAGCAGATAGCCATTGTTTAGAAGCAGCTTTCTTTACGTGTAGCAATTTACTTCAATACAAAGGGATCCCTATGGGTGATGCCATACCAGCCATCAAATACTATTGCGCAATACAAGTATTCTTCATCTGGTTGAGCTGCGATAGAAATGACCAAGAAGTGATTGACCAACAAGCGAATGGAAAGGGAAACGACCATAGGGGTTCTTTGTATCAGCATGTTGGAGTTGGAATGGTTATGGATGGATGGATGGATGCAATCATGCACAGGGAATGCTGATGTCGTTTTGGTTACTTGGCACATCGCCATCAGGAAGGATGGATCATGTTACGTGGTGGATGGGGCTGTGGATAATGATGGATTGGATGGTATGGATGAGAGGGCTTATAACTTTGGCGGAAGTCGTGTTGTCTCCATGAATGATATTGGGTATTGGAGTTAAGGTACACACAACAACTAGTTTGCAGTCATGGACGAAGATGATTATGACGGCATCAATCAAGGATACAAGGACACAAAGCTACTCACCGTTTCTACGTGATACACTTGATTGGTTTCCGGAATGAAAGGGAGGATAGAACCATGGAGATTGGAAAACGAGATTAGATCATATATATCATCGCATCGAGACACTTTTGTTGCTTTCATAACATTACATTCGTTAAGGCTTCCTTGCTCGTACGCTGATAGACGATAGCAATGGTCACGCTCAGCATTGTACACAAGCTTGAAGAGACGCTTGTAATTTGAAAGATAATAAACCCATAGTAATGGCACCCAACGATAGAGCTTGTTACAGAAGTTTGATCCATTGAAAGCGTAAGCCATTACGTTTAGGAAAAAGTGAGCTTTGATACAACGTGAAACAGTACATGCATATGCTTACTTACGACAACTTTCAGCATGAGCCGCTATCTTGTATGTGTAATATTGAATGAGTACGATCCCTGGAGACACACAATGTCATCCCCCTCTCACCCTTTGGCACGAATACTCCCGGATGCACTGATTATTTTTGGCTTGTTAACTATACCATGTTTCCATATGGTCTTCCTTAGGCAGACCTTACTATAGGGGCAGGAACCATTATGCAATCTTCACCATTAAGGTTGACACTTGTCAAGTCCCGCCCTCTCAGCTCAATTGCACAAGCATGCCCCTCTGCATCGTTTGCTCTATGAAGGTCTTGCTACTTAATAATGGACAAAGACCACCCTTCATATAGCATCACGGTTACAGCATCTGTAAAACACAAAGACACCCATAAGTGAAAGCTTTACAATCAAGCGTGGGGGTACATAGAACAAAGTTACTCAGCGTAGTCGAATGTACCACCGCATGTAAACGATCCTCTTGCTCAAGTCCGTCACTTTCATCATTCAACTTTCTTGATCCGAGAGGAGGTTACATACACAGTTCCTTGACAAATTGTTGCACAAATGGGAGGATGATTGTTGTTATGTAGGAAGGTACATAGACAATGTGTATGATAATGATGATTCTACATCACATTTGGATGTAGGAGACTCTGAACTGCATAAACCAATTAATTACACGAAGATCCCTGATGCCACTTTTTTGTCACGGAAAGGTATACTGGTTGGTCATTCATCCGGATACTCAATGGAGGATCTTTTTTCTCTCAACGTCTAAAAGCTATCGCCCGTAACTATATGCACTTGACAACAAGCTTTTACTCTTTATTCTTATCTGCTTCATGGACAATTACATCTACCATTCTTGAACGTTTTTCCAAAAGTGATCTTCGAGGATCTTGTTGTTCTCCTTGACTACTACCTCATCACCTTCGCGTACCAGATAATGGATTGTATCAACATTGACCTCTCGCAAATAAGCTCCCAACTTGTCATAATGCATTCCAACATCATTGGGTCCATGGCAATCATCCGATAGTGTGAAACGACCACCCTTTTCTTGGATTAGCTATGGATCAATGTAATAAGGTTGAGATACCATCACACAGCAATTGACAAATAATCGTATCGAGATTACCTTAATGATTGAGCGGTGTGGATAAGCATCTGTCAATCCTTTCTTCCAAGCACGTGAGTTGATCTCAAACAAACCACCATAGCCAACTATAAGATCCACGTTTCGAACCACCTTTTCCCAAATAGCTGACTCCTGCAAGCAGGCATCCGATCCAGCAAAGATGCGTACAAGGTCAAAATGGCCAACCACCTCAGGCTTTACAGCTTGCAACATGGCGTATTGCTCGTCGAAATATGCTTCAAAGAGAGCTTCAAGGCTCTGGTACTTGGCGAGGGCTTTTTGATAAAGTTCATTGGAAAAGTCGATGGGTATAGTTCCCACATGATGCAACGAGCCGACGACATAATCCACCGTGTGTTGCTTGCGTAGTTTGTCGATAGCGCCAGCATAGCCGGTATGTATGAACTCGATCTCGGTACCAACTAAGAGTGTGATCTGCTCCTTGTACTGCTCCTGTAATTGACGTGCATGTTGTCTGAATTCCGCAAAGGTAGCTGCAAGAGTCGCTGGGGTACATGAAGCCTAAAGAAGGATTGATTGGCATGGTGTTCATGGTACGCGTGTTGACAAGTTACCTCGAGCTCCTCTGGATACAATTCACTCTCTTCTAATCGTGGCATGTGCTCGCTCAATCCATAGATCTTGAAACCTTTCCTAATGGCTTCCTTGACGACGTCTTCAAGAAGACCGTATCCATGTTTGCAATATTGGCCTGAATGGCTGTGGAACGAGTATGGCATGATTACCGATCCTGGATGTTTTGCAACCCCACTTTGCTGCTATGCTTCAGCCAATCGGGTGCATTCTCTCTCGGCCCACAAACCAGCTGCAACAAAGTTGGCTCCTTGTTCTGTTGACGAATCCAGGCAATCGCTATGGCAACCACACGATGATATTCACTTATCATACTTTGATTATACTTCAAATGTCGACACGTGACTCGATCATCAAAGCATGTGGATTAAGCATTGAATGAGTCATGCAAGGTTGCACGAAATCACACTCAGCTACCTCAGCAACCATCTTCTCCACAATCACCACAACCAACTTCTTTCACCCACGCTCCCCACTTTCGACTTTTTCACATGGCGTTTAACTTGTCTCGCACCGTATACACTGAAGGTACTTTCAAAATGCTTCTATATATGGATAATGCGGGTAGACTAACATCACCCAACTGCCAAGTGTAGCTCTCAATGAACTTGACGACAAGCGTATCAAATGTATCAAGCCGTTGATTCCTCCCCAGATTCTCATGGAAGATATACCTTTGACGTTGAAGGCTGCACAAACTATTTTGAATGGACGTGTTGCTGCAGAAAATGTCATCAAGGGCAAGGATGATCGTTTACTGGTTGTGGTTGGACCTTGCTCAATCCATGATGTGCAAGCAGCCAAGGAATATGGTAGCGTTACTTTGGATATATGCGTGCTAGCTACATTATCTCATTCAATTCCACAATGACATAGCTACCCGATTAGTGGAATACGCTGAAACCGTCAAGGATGATTTGTTGATTGTCATGCGCGTCTACTTTGAGAAGCCAAGGACGACTGTGGGTTGGAAAGGATTGATCAATGATCCAGAATTGAACAATAGGTAGGTGTACATCACATTTATTTTGAATGGAAGGGGTATTCATGGTGTCATTTCAAAAAGCTACAAGATCAACAAAGGACTTCGACTCGCACGCCAATTGCTGCTGGATTTGGTATGATCAAAACAAAACACTCTCTACCGCAAAGTAGTAATTGAGGTATATGGATTGGATGTAGAATGAAATGGGTATTCCTACCGGCTGTGAATTCTTGGATACGGTAAGTATATGATCAAATGTAATTGTCATTTCGCTTATACAATGTTTTCGTATTGCAAGATCTCTCCACAATACACTGGCGATCTCGTTTCTTGGGGTAAATCCACTTGCATCATCATTCTTTGCATGCCCTTAATACTTATTCAATCTCTCCATAGGTGCCATTGGTGCTAGAACCACCGAGTCTCAGGTCCATCGTGAGCTTGCTTCTGGTCTTTCTTGCCCCGTTGGTTTCAAGAATGGTAATTTGACGTGTACAGTGGGATAGGCAACAGCATAGGATTTTGATACTGGAAGCAATAGGAACGGATGGTGGTATCACTGTAGCCATGGATGCGATTAAAGCTGCAAGCAATGGGCACCACTTTTTGTCAGTGACCAAGCAAGGGTTATCAGCAATTGTACAAACACACGGCAACGATGCTTGTCATGTGATTTTGCGAGGCGGTGCAAGTGGACCCAACTATGAGATGGAGGATGTGAAAAAGGCCGCTCAAGCTCTAGAAAAGAACAAGCTGCCTGCTCGCGTGATGGTTGATTGTAGCCATGGCAACAGCAACAAGAACCATAAACGACAACCCATTGTCGCAGAGTGCATTGTGAGTTACATGCTGGCTCGATAACAATTGTCATCATTGTCTTACATTGATATCTATAGGCGGCTCAATTAGGCAATCCGAATGAAACGGGCGACAACATTGTGGGCGTGATGCTTGAATCGCACTTAGTGGAAGGACGCCAAGACATTCCTGGTGAAGGCATCCATCGTTTGACTTATGGTCAATCCATCACGGATGCATGCATTTCATTCGAGGATACTTTGGAAGTGTTGGATAAGTTGGCACAAGGTGTACGGGATAGACGCGTTGCAAGATTGGCGGCATAAGGAGGTGTAGGTGCATCTAGCATCATCAATACAAGATAGCTAGTAGCAGTTGACATTACAATACAAGGAGCTTCTTTTGTTGATATCAAACCATGACAAGTTCTATACAATGGCTATAAGCACGATGTAGTCAATTAATCGATGGAGACACGGGGATTGTTGTTGTTGTTGTAGGAGCCTATGCAGAGATGGATTGTATTATAAAAATCAGCTAACAAGACGATCCTATTATATAAGGTACATGCTGTAGATGCAGGATGGGGACATCATGGAGCATACAAATATTATGGGGAGCCATGAATTACCAGGGCGCAAGGATTATGGATCATCATAGTTATAAAGAAAGCATCCGTCTTTGTAAACAAACCAACAATGCTCTCCTGTGAATGCATCATCATCAACTATTATAGTTTGCACAGCCTTGTTTAGTAGATTAATGAGGTATGATGGGATGATGCACCCATCCATATAATAGCTATGGTTTGGTGGTGGTGAAGAAGCTGTAGAAGAGTACCCATGCAGGGGTACTGTGGTATTGTTCACCTGCTCTTATCTTACATTCTTCATTTGTTCAAAAGCGGCTGGTGCAGCTCCGGGGATCCGGCTCATCACAAGCGAGTAAAGTCATACTATGCATTGTCAACAAGCATAAACTTTACTTTTTGCTCTCCCCCCCCCACTCCACCCCTGATGGGCTAAGCTGTTTGGTAGTGGGAACCTACTCATATATAAAAGCGAGTTCTCGACAACACGCAATTATACTGCACACTCACATCTTATCCTACCTTCTTTTTTCATTCAATGCAAAGTCTTTCCTCTCGTTAAGGCTTCTCAAGTTGCCTTTTTACACTGTTATCAACCACATACGCAATCAACATGGTGTCATCCTTATGCATTTCTCCAGCAATAGCATAACCATGGATATGGCGTTTCCAAATCACATTCGCCTTCCTATTTGACCGTATCATTATTATTATTTCCATTGTTCACCTCGATCATAGTTACAATGAGGTTTATCCTTGTCGGGTCCATCCCCTCTTTCTTTCTCTTTCTCTTTCTCTCTCTCTCTCTTCACACCTTTTACGTGCTCACCCCATCTTCATATTAGTGAGAGATACAGAATTCTGCCCTATGTTTTAGTTTTATTCTCCTTTACTCATGTACCATATATGTTATACATTTTTCTATTTGATCAACCCCGTCGCTGTAGATGATGTTGGACAAAATACAAATCTATAATCCACACCGATCATGCAATTCAAATGATCTGCATAATGTCTTCGGTCATTTCGGATGTAATCTTCCGATCGATTCCATGACCTTTTGTTGTCACACCAACAATTAGAAACATCTCCGCATTGGATGCATAGTTTTCAATGATCAAAGTAGAAAAAAAAGGCAAGAAGTTTTATAGTAGAGTAATAATAATAAGAGCTATCACAGCCAATGGTTGTTGTATGTACAAATGCAAAAATGAAAATGAAACAGAATGCAGTGGTGGAATAATGGTTGGATTGGATTGGGAGGGGGAAATCATGGAGGAGGAACGAAGGAGATCAATAGTCAGAGATACGACGACCAGGGCGAATACGAAGAGGACGTGGTTCTGGTGCAGCACTGGTAACAACAGGTTCACGCACCATGATGCAAGCTGGTACTTCAGCACCCTTCACCGTAGCCTCGACCTTGAATCCAAACTTTTCAAAGAAGCGTACAGCTTTACCACTGCAAGCAACTTGTGCACAAATGGGTTGTTGAGCCTCATCAGCCTTGTCGGTAACGTAATGGAGCAATGCCGAACCAAGACCCTTGCGTTGTTCGTGTGGTAGGACGCCAATGTAGCCAATGGTGATGTATTGTGAGTATTTGCTCATGACCTTGCGGCGTGTCTTGTCAATGGAAGAGGCGATTGACGAGTGTGCTTTGTTGACAGTAGAACGCAGTACTTTGATGAACCCGGATGGCGACGATTGCTTGGTTACAATGGGGAAAGGGAAGCCCTGGTGATGATTTGTCCATACAAGTACACCCTTGCATCCATCCACTTGCACTGCGAAATCACGGCTTTGGATCGATGCTGTGTTGACCATATCTTTGAAGAGGGTATACATATGATCATAATTGGGAGCCTCGCTGGATTCCGTCAACGTATGTGCAGCTTCTTTGATAGCACCTATACAAGAATAAAATGAGTCATTCTATCCATAGCATCCTATCCAATCTATATAAATACATACCCTTGATGATGGGGCGCACATTGACTTCGTGTTGATCAATGTTGATTGTGAGTTTGCGACTAATGCGACGTTCGTCAAAAGCAGTGGGAGGAGCCACGAGTGCCATGCGTTGATTATAAGAGGGTATCGATTAAAGACAAAGAACTTGGAAACAAAGAGATAAAGAAAACGATGGCCGGCTCTTTTATATTTCATGCACAGCTGAACAAAAAAAAATCCTGTGAAACGATCACCTGTTATGGAAAGTACTGAGTTTACAAAGGAGCAAATAAACGGATGTGGAGCGTGCCACAACCCGCGGACCGAAACGGCTTCACTGATTTTCTTCGAAACACTCCCTATTAAAAATAGCATTTTGCCGCCATCCCTAACTCATCCGTCGATCCTTCTCGGTCCAGATCTCTATTCAAACAATCTAAAGAACGATACTAAAAGCCCAAACGCTCGGATCATCCTTGTGCTAAAACACTTGCATAATCCTCGTGCTTCTTTTTTTAGAGATATCCAACATCCTGCCACTTAGCGTGATGCTAATCACTTTTACCCTCCCCTGTTTATGCCTCTTGGCTTTTGTAATGGCATGATAATGGATGCCATCCCCTGTACAGTAGCAAGGGAAAACTGGGATGCGGTTTGAGTTGTAACTTTTAATAGCTCTATCTCGGGCCGGCAAGCTTTAAATTATTAATCCGAATACCCATGGTGTGTAATCGGGAATGAGTAAAGCATCCAAGGTAGTAACCAAATGCAACAGCTGTCATCTTTTGTGTACATGTGTGGTGCAATATAGTGTGTGTGTGTTGTGTGTGTGCTGCATCCTAAAACATCTAGACCACATTTTTGACAAGATCAGGGGGCATGTTAAATGTGTGAGATGAATTCCCTTTTTTGCCACGTGTACGTGTACATGGATTGTCAGTGCGGCGTCCATAAAAATTCTTTGACTCAGGGATATGTCCTACATGCCATAAGCTGCTACTTTATGCATAAGTGCACCACTCGACATCATGCTTACGTTTAATACTACTCAACCCCGTTTTTTTTCTTTCCCCATAGCACGGGGATAATCAAGGTCAGAATACAATGGTGCCCAATAGCCAATGCTGCGGCACTCTACACGCCGGCTCTTTCGGCCTGAAAGGGAAATCGGCATTTTTTTTCTTCTTGTTGATCATCACTAGGGGGCATGTTTGTTGGGTCGATTCTACTGATCGATGTCCACCAAAGAGTCTAATTCTGCGTTTATCTCTGTATTGATGCCAAGCCCATCATCATCATCATGTTCTAGACTGGTGCGATGTACAAACAACGTATAGCCCTATCCTCAATAATGATGGTTGTTGTTATCGCTCATGTTGCACTTTGATGGGAATAATCCACATCTTTGTATTGAATGGCTCACCGCGGAACGTTCTCAACAATTAGCCGCGCCGTACTCCCTATGATAGAGACACAAACAACTTCTCCATGGCACCGGCGCTTTCATCCTTGACATTGGCATGTGCCGCGGAATACCATATGCCATATGTGATACAATGATCTAGATGGATACCCAAATGCCTTTCGCACAATTCAGTGCGTCGTACACTTGAATGCAGTAACATGCTGGGTATGATTTCTATTATACACTTTGCCACCCAACATTCTTGATCCGCCATGCTTTGTGTATTCTATTCACTTTTCTTCCTTCGAATGATATGTTTTCCATTTTCTGGAAACGTCCATCATGCGCAAAATGGGGACTTTTTTTTTTGAAACTTCTGAGCTGCTATTTTCGTTGCAGGATTTACTGCAATCCATGTTTCTCTCTTAAACAAGCAAGCATTGGTGATAAATTTTATTGCCATGTCACGTGGTCTACAAATGGGGATGAAGGATGATCATCCGATAATGCGCATGTTGGCTGAAATAGAGTTCTAAACATGACAAAGGAGTCTAGGATCGACTTGAACTTTGTATCATCCATGAAGATCATGTAGATTACTAGTTGGGAATCGAATGATGTATGGCGTGTGACGTAATGGAAAAAAGATGACCTTTTCGCTTGTTTTAGAGGACAAGGGTGTGTTTGTGAGATCAATTGACATATGCAGCAATAGGGATGATTCATGCAAAGGGAGTTGGTTTATTTGTCAACGGTACATAAAGAGAGCTAATGATCCAATGGTAAGCACGTTATTACACTATGCTACTTGTCTCAGTCATATACTGGTCTCCATCCTCTTCATCGTCGCTTTCAGGGTACTCAATGTACTTTGGAGGACAATCATGGGTTTCGTGACCATCGAGTTGCTTGCATACGCGACAATAGTGGTCATAAACGTGGTCGTCAAATGCACGAGGGCTGTAGCGTTTGCCAAAGAGCTTGAACGACCATGGCGGATAAGGTTGATGGAAGATGAGAGTAGCTGTACCATTATAAAGGTATCCAATCGACATGAGGCCAAACACCACGTCGCATAACACGTTGTTGGAGATCTTTGCTTGCCTTTCAATTTCAGCTCTTGCCATACTAGGTGCCATCATTGGTAGGTCGTAAAGTGGAAGCACATAATACCGATTATAGGAATCAGTCCGTGGCATCACCATGATGTGTCCTTCCATGTCCGCATTGGTAGTAGCAGGAACCATCACATTAATTCTTGTTGGAAATGATGATGATGATGATGATGGACCCGCTGCTTGCTCTTGCTCTTCCTCGTCATCATTGTCATTGTTGCAGGACGACAACGTATTATCATTGCTGCAGTAAACACCGCTCCTGTTACGCATGGTCGTACGATTTGGACGAGATGATGATTCTGCAAAGTGTGCACGGTTGTAGGTGATGACATTACGTGGGTGGTAGTGACTCAACTCGGATAAAATGCGACGTCTTGCATATACATCAATGCAGTGGGCTTCAATTAGCAATCCACCTTCGAAAGGGGAGTCTTGGTCTTGCGGTGGAACGTATTGACGCAGCATGTCAAATGAACCTTGATCGACATGCTCCAACAAGATCATCACACCACTTCGAAAGTCATCATCCGTTTCATCAGGGAAGTGGAACAAAAGCGTTTCTGTTGGTCGTGAATGCATGTAATGACTACTGGGAGGTTCTTCACAGGCTGGCACATATTCGAACAAAGGCTCCTTGGCGATCGTCACACCAGGATAAGGCGAGTAGTTGCCCATGGGTAAGAGCTGTGAAAAGGAAAGGGAGAGAAAGAGAGGGAAGGGAAAGAAGATAAACAAAGATGAGAATATCATTCCTTTTGTGATTGTTGTCAATGCAATGATGTGTACACCAGCTGATGGTTTCATTGTTGCTCTTTTTAGTGACATGGCTGCTCAATCATCATCATTTTCCATATATGCCACCATCCCCATTGTTCATCAACAAGTGCTGTTTTGACTCAATAGTACATTTTATAGTAGGTTGATATATAAAATCTATGCTGCTGCCTGGAGTTGCTTTTGCTTGTACTCGTCGGACATGCGGTAGCTGATGGAAAGGCGAAAAAAGTAAGAATGGGGATGAAGCTTGACATAACACAAGAGTCCAATACTTACTTGAAGATACGGCCCATTTGCATCAAAGAAGTACCAGCAACGAAGAGGTTGACGGTACCCAAGCTGTAGTTCTTGGGAATAATGACCATGGAATAACGAGTCCAAATCAATCCGGTGGCAAGAAGGGCTATTTGCGTCGTGTATCATGTAAGAAATATAGCTCTCGATAATCCGATCTCCCAACATCCACAGAGCACACGCACACACACTCACACACATATCACACACGATGACCATCATACTTACAAGCAGTTTGGGACAAGCTCAACTTCTCGGCAGGACGTTGCAAATCGCTAATGCCAGCAATGACAAGGGCCTGGAAGAAATCAAATAAGGACGATTGGTTTGCAAATGGGATGAGTTCTACGTTACCCATTTCATGGCAGGAGCCCAGAAGTGAATGGTCTTTGGACCTGCGGGCGAGTTGATGAACTTTTGGAAAGCACTTTGCGAAGCAGCAGCAGCCATGACGGGAAAAAGGTGAGAGGAAAGGAGAAAGAAACGGGAAAAGATATAGCAAGGCTACAAAGGTACGACCACCAGAGAGAGATATCGGAGCTCAGTACTAGCGATATACCTTCATACCATGGACTCGACGGGTGTATTCCTATCTACAATTGATCATGTGTACACACGCACTCTCGCTGCATATGCAACGTAAGTTTATTTACCTTGTTTATCCTATTATTTGGATTCATGCATGTTGTCCTAGGAAGACCCTGGATAGCCTTGTCATGATTTTGGCTGCAGAGATGTAGACTTCCAACACAAGATGTGACATGCATCCAATAAAATTGCGTCAATATTTATCCCCCACCTTCAGGGCACATCCGGGATCCCGTATACCATCCATTTTCCTTCATACCACTGAGAGAGACCTTCTTTGTGTCATGTTGATTGAAGATGCCATTCATATATACAATGACAAGAGGTTTTACCTCCCTATAAGCACAATGACGACCATGACAATGAAAACTTTTGAATGACCACAATGGCCAGCTCTGCTCCACAAGGTTGCACCCCCCATAAAAAAAGGCACATAGACTTGCCATTTTGGCCATGTAAGCATCTGAGAGGAATGGTATAAGAAACGGCGCCCATCGAGCAAATGATTGCTATGTTATAGGATGCAGCCGATATAGTGTCACCTTATCCTAACGATAACATCTCAACATTATAGGACGATCAGCATGTAGAGGATGCTCCTGTGATATAGGTGGCTGCTGTGGGCATGATCCAAAGAAGAAGCCATCGATCCTAGTGATGCACCATGTACCACTTTCATGAGCATGATACCTATCTTGTGTGAAAAGCTATGCTTGTGAAGAGCAACAATGCCTTGGATGTGGGCGTTTTGAGTATGGAAACAAGAAGGCAAGATTTATTCTTTAATGGGATAGACATAAAGTGAGTGCAATGTGGGGGATGAAATGAGAAAAAGTACAAGCAGGCATATGTACGACAATCAACGCTGACAATTTGGGTGAGATGCAGATATACAAAAAAGAGGTGGAGGATATGGTATGACATATGTGGGTGGGGTTGGTGGATGCAGGTGTGTAATATGTGTGGGAGAAGAGAGAGGGAGAAGGTCAAGGAGAGTACATTGGGAAGAAGAAAAAAGGGTAATATAGAATACAACAGGGCCAGCCTTACTATTGCAAAAGTTGATGAATGGAAACGCGACCAGCAGGTGCATTGGGATTATGCGGTGAAGATGACAAGGGAGGAAGCAATAATGTATCAGCCATGATGGATCGTAGTGGTGGCAAGCGATCACCCATACGAGGTGGGTGTCGATCTGCTTCAGTCAACATTGGAGGTGGTGTTAGCTGCCGTGAATAGGCTGCTGATGGGTGTTGCTGTTGCCCACTACCATCAAAATGATAATGTGCCAAATCAGAGGAGAATTGCTGTGGCGGTGAAGGAAGTGCACGATGATGTTGTTGTTGCTGATGTTGTTCCTCCCAGCGATATTGCGATGAGCAAGGTGATGGTAAAAGATGGCCATACTTGTCTTTGGTTGCAGGGTATGATTCGTAAACATGAGCAATGTTAGCTGGTGCATTGTTGGCAGTAGTCGTATTCATGCTGTTGGGTGACGATGATAATGAAGATGTCGTTGACGAGGATGATTGCCATTGGCCAAAATGAACACCTTGCTTTTGTACACCCGTGGCTGCGTATACTGATAAAGCAACCGATCCACCTTTACGTTTGCTGCTATGAGAGTGTTGTTCTTCCTCAATAGGAGTTGTATGCTCGACCCGTCGCTTACGACCGCTTACGCTAATGTTGGATTGTATGTGAGATACGTCGTAGTCTAATGGTAAGCGTATACATATACGTACGATGGCAATCGATGTTCTTTTCGAATACGCATTTTAACGCCTTGATCACAGAATGTACGTGAAAGGAAGGTAGCTTCTGTAGGCCCTGGGTATCGCTTGGGAAGATATACAGTGAACGCGTCGGATAGCATTGTCTTTCTATTTTCGACAGTGCCCCTATAAACCACAAATCATCAGACACATGAACCAAAATTGTGGCATAAGGGGGTAGCTGACATTGGTAGATCCACTTACTCTACAATTTCAAAGAGGCTAAAATGCAATCTGTATTTGCCTTCTTTCTTTACAGCCAAATCGCCGAAAACAAAAAAGCCGCCATCTTTTATATATATAGGTTAGGTGGTACGTATCTTGTAAGCGATGATTGGAACTTACCAGAGTTGTCAATGTCACGTAACCTGTAGAGTGATGAAACGGTTGATCCCGAGAGGTAATCTTGTGACGGTAGCAGTAGGGTGTTTGGCTCATCCTCGGTAACAATGTTGGCAACCAAAAAGTAAAAGGGGCTTTGCAGGGATTTTCTACATGCAAAGGGAAATTAGTACTTTTTCACGCCACAAGAGATATACACGTACTTTATTTGATCGTGCGTGCAGTTTGACCACTTCATCTGCAGAATAGGAGGAGGCTCAATCGGACGTCGGTCTATGGGTAATGTTTCACGGATAAATTTTGGTGTTTTCAGGACGAAGGGGGAGTTTGATGGTTATGTTGTACCTCGTTCATTTGGGACACTCATTTTGGCACGCTCAGGTTGTTGGCGTAAAATGATATCGTATTCCCTGTAAAGAGCATGCACAAAGGTGAGATCCCATTTTATTGTCACAAGGTGAAGCGTTCGTACCTTTCTGACGGGAGATCAGTGAGCGAACTGGGAATGAATCGATAGGTACAGGCACTGTTCCCTGTCATCATCTGTGAGGTATTTCCCTTGTTATAGGTCATGGCAAGTAAAAAAAGAAAGGAGAAATAGTGAAAGAAAAAGGAAGAAAAAGAGGGTTTGGATTGCGTGTGTAAAATAAACAAGACAAAAAAGGTGAAAAGCAGTGTACCGGGAAAGGACTTTCCCGTATATCCAGGATTTGGAGGAGTACAAGTAACCTTTTCTTACATGTGTGAGAGGCTAGCACCAATGATATCACTACTCAAATAGGCTAAAATCAATCCTCCATTTATACAATTTTACCCAAAGGGGTATGCCAAGACCTACCCGGGAGATTTCAACATCATGTTCTTTGCTTCTTTTAGATTTTCCCCTCCTCTCCAATCATCCAACCTTGGGCACAATCTCTTTTTCCCTCTCTCTCTCTTTCCCCCCTTTATGTCTTCAAATGATGCATGCACATGAGAGCTATTGGAGATCATTTGCATGCACCAGATGGATGTTGCTATGGTAACACATGGTTCCTGGCCTATACTCTAATGACCCTGAAGCGGTCCAAATAGTGGGAAAACGAAATTGGGACGCGAACGTGGTTTGTGCGGAGAGAGAACGCTGTTGGTAAGAGCAGTGACACAAAAGGATGAAGTATTGATTTAGTGATATGTAATTCATTTTCTTGAGAGGGTTCTCTACATTGATGTTGCTTGGACATGTGTCTTTTTTCAAACGTCCAAGGGTGATGTGATCTTGGCATTATTCATCGTCACTATTACAACCAGCACATGGCTTCATGGTTTGTTCTTTGGATGTTTCGATTCATCAATTATCATCATCGCATCACTTTTCATCATCCGCCACAGATTGTGTTTGGACATGCATATGCAATATCAAAGCATAAATGGATTTGTGTCATATCCCATATATATTTGCATTCACGTTATCAATGATTTGTAATAGAATAACAGCTAGTCTTATGATGATGGTAGTGTATGTTATGTTATGTTGTGAGCACATTACGCCGGATGATGCGCTATTTATCCTCGCTATCGCGTATATCCGAAACATAAACAAGAGAAAAATCCACGTACACTGTCGATCATGCAAGGGTGGCGGAGATTGTTCATTTGCCTGGCAACAATGATTGCTGGGTAACGTGCTTCCTTGCTCTTGCATTTTCAATGGTCCATGGGAAAGAACAACGAGAGAAGACTCAAAACTTGGATTATGTGATACGCTCTGGTATTGCTGGAGGTGTTGCTGGTTGTGTGGTAAGAATGAAAGCTACAGCTGCATTAGACGTCGACATCTCACTCTTTTCCGCTCTTCATACATTACCCAGGCCAAGACTGCCGTTGCTCCATTCGATCGGGTCAAGATTCTTTTCCAAGCAAAGAATCCTGTATTCGAAAAGTATGCTGGTGTGTTGATAACTTGGTTTCCTTTGTTCAAGCAACAACTCAACTCCTTTCCTCCATTAGGGACATTTACGGGTGCATTCAAAGCTGGCCGTGATATCGTCAAGCATACGGGTGTGCTGGGTCTCTTCCAAGGTCACTCTGTAACCCTGCTAAGGATCTTTCCATATGCCACGATCAGGTTTATCGCATTCGAACAGTTCCGTGCAGTGAGTAAAAGTCGTGGGAGTGGGAGTGCGTATGACATGGATATTAAGAGTACCCTTTTTCATGCAAGATCCTGATGCCAACTAAAGCCCAAGAAACGGGACTACGACACTTTTTCGCTGGATCCTTTGCAGGTAAGCATAACGATTGGATGGCGGGTATACATACATGTATATGTAATGTAATGGGATAGGCATGACCAGCGTCGTCTTTACGTATCCACTCGATCTTGTGCGTGTACGGATGGCATACGACATACGAAAAGAAGATCATACACGACCCAGCCTCATACAAACATGCCGGCAGATCTATCGAGAACCTGCAGCTATAGCACGTATTCATCTTTTCAACTTTTACCGTGGATTCATACCAACAATGGCAGGGATGATACCTTATGCAGGCATATCATTTTTCACATACCACTCGATGACACAGTTGTTCAAATACCACCCTGTGATTTCTCGCTACACAATGAAAAAGAGCAACAATCGATTAAAGACATGGGCTGAGCTCGTTTGTGGAGGCGTAGCGGGACTCGTAGCACAAACAAGCAGCTATCCACTCGAAGTGACTCGAAGGAGAATGCAAGTTGGCGGGCTACTTCATCCAACCAAATTTGTCGGCTTTTTTGAAACCGTAAAGGCGATCTATGCTGCCAAAGGCTTCAAGGGATTCTATGTGGGATTAAGCATTGGATATATCAAAGTTGCGCCCATGATGGCAATTAGCTTTACAGTCTATTCACGAATGAAAACTTTATTAAAGATTGATTAAGAGATAAACAGGTGGTGCTGGTGGTTGCTGTGGAGATTGGAAAAAATGTTAATGTGGTGGCTCATACTACTTGGTGACCGGTTTTACCCAACGCATCAAATTTTTGAGAACGTTGCGCTGGTGCAAGCTTTGAGTTCCTTCTTTTTTACTCGACCTCCTCTTTTTACGATATGAAATACCTCGCTGCTTACCTTTTGCTCGTTGCCGGTGGCAATGCCACTCCCGCTGCCGCTGATATCAAGAACCTTTTGGGCTCTGTTGGTGTCGAAGTTGAGGATGAGCGCGTTGCCGCTTTGACCAAGGCTCTCGAGGGCAAGTCTGTCGAGGAGGTAAATACGCACACACACTTTTTCAACAACATACAATACTCACTCACATCACGTGTTTTAGGTTCTTGCTGAAGGCAAGGAGAAGCTTGCTTCCGTTCCTACTGGTGGTGCCGTTGCTGCTGGTGGTGCCGCTGCTGGTGGTGCTGCTGAAGAAGCCAAGGAAGAGGCCAAGGAAGAAGAGAAGGAGGAATCTGATGAAGACATGGGCTTTGGTCTTTTCGACTAAACGTATCGTACGCCGCATTTTATACGACGACGACTTTCACAACCACCTGTCATCAACCAATAAACATTCTCTCAACTCTTTTTGCACATCATTTTATCTGTTTCCTCTCTCTCCATATATATACTTTGATCATGCTTCTATCCATGTGTCTTCCTTACATGGTAAAGATCAACATGGCGGACATGTCTATCAAAAAGCGTTATTGTCTCATGATTGTCGATCAACATGTGTGCTGACGTATGTATTTGCGCGCTATATTATTCGGGACATGGGTAAAATGGGGCATAGTTGTCAAAGACTATTACAATAAAACAGGAAAATTAACAAGTACAACAGATGGCATCATGCTATTTACAAGCAATCTGAAAAAGGTGTGATGTTGAAAGCTATGAACGGCGATGTCCACGTCGATCTTCCTGTTGCTGTTGATGTATTTTTGATAAGATCATGGCTGGTGTCAGTGTAAATGGATCAGGCATTGTAGTTTGGCTGAGATTAAGGTGTTGTTGTTGTTGCTGTTGTTCCTGTACTTGTAAATTCAATGACGATGATGAAGATGATGATGGTGGTGATGATGATGATGGATATTTGTAGCTGTGTAAGAGAGCTGCTTGTTGCCGTAGTTGCTCGTTTCGTCGTCGCAAGTCGAGTATTTCTGACACATAACGTGATTCACGTGTATTGCTTTGCATGACTACAAGAGAGAACAACGAGTTGTATGCATGTGTATGTGTGATCTCATCTGCATTGAGGCGCAACCAAAGAGGAAAACAAACAACTTACCATAATCGAGAGATTTTGAGACAATCATCGATTTACTCGGTCGTCGTACACTTTGTAACGATGGCAACGTACGTGCAAGCTCTTGAAACCTTGCATTGAGATGTTCACGTCGTTGGCGTTCGAGTGCGTTATGAGCTGATCGTCTATCTTCCAATGCCGTCTCGCTGTTACGTATGTATACACGATGGTTAGTATTATGAACTATTGGATGAATGACATGTACGCATCCACCTTTCTTCAAAAGCTATTCAATAAAAGCTGTGAGTATATATACATATCAAGCATTCTTTGTTCTACCCAAAACATAGTACCATAGGGAGTAACTGCAGTGGTGAAATGGTTGAAGAACGGCGCCCTGTTGGTGTAGAAGCTATTGTGTGGATAATACGATGGCATAAAGGACAACAAGAAAAAAACTTAAAAAGAGGAAAAAGGAGGCACGTTCAGGTTTTATGATACATGTTACAAAGAAATTCTCTTTTATATATATGAGATATGCCATCAGCAGGCAGCAGATCATTGCCCGTAATAGGGGAGGAAAAGGGGAGCTTACCTTAAAATGTCGGCTGATGGCCGTGCTCCCCTTGATGCACATTATCTTTTTCTGTGAAAGTCTGCATACGAGCAAGCCACTCGTAGCAGCTGCAGTTTTGTTTCTCCATCATCACGTTTGTGGTCGTCTTTGATTACGAAATGAAAAAAGAGTGGAAAAGTGAGGAGGAATCAATATGCTATACCATTCTTGCACAACCCACGCTGTTGCACTGCGGGTCATGGCTGTGGCACAAGAATTGCCGATCATGTCAATAAAAGTCAAACCTTTTCGGTTGAAGTTTGATATATTTACAGCGAAGAAGAAGGGGAGGGAAATGAGAAAGGGGAGGATGACAAAGGTAGTAATAGTAATAGTATGGGTTTTCTTTCTCTTTTGTACACATAGGAGGGGAAATGATGAAGCGGGAAAGTTTCTTTTTTAATCTACAATTTGAATGTCCTGACCAGGTTCTGGAAGTCCACCAAAGCCCAAGTAATGACCATACATTTCGCGTTCCCAAAAGCGTAGCATGTACTGGTCCACATGTCCCACAGAAAGCTGCATGTCTTGTTCATCAACAGCACCGCCACTAGCATCAGCTTCCTCTACATCGTCTTCTTCATAAAGGAACGTTTGACCTTCTGATTCTGGAGCAGGCGTTGCTGGTACACTTAATGAGGGTCCACTTGGCGACGATACCGAAGGACTATTGGATTGCCTGGTTTCATTGAATTCACGATCATCCATTTCCATTTCGTTGCGGGCTGTGATTGCAGCCTGTGCATCATTTTCATCTTCAGCTTGTAATAGCGCTTGCTCAATGTCAATGTTGCTGGCATCAGGGGGTGGATTGGTTTTGACAGCTTCTGTTGCAGTTGTGGGAGTCGTTGTAGCAGTATCAGCAATGCTTCCAGTCACTTCTGGTAAATCTCGCCACCAATCGGTCTTTTGAAAGTAATCGTTTGTGAATTCACCCTCTTGGATGACCATGTTGTCAAGCATTCTAGTAAAAAACAGAACATGTGAACAAAGATGCGTGTATTTCTTCCATGCATACGCATTTTACCTTTTTTGATTTGCCTTTTTGAAAATATTCTCTTCGATGGTATATTCGGTAACAAAGCGGTATATATGCACATCTCGAGTTTGTCCGATACGATGCGTACGATCCTGACATTGTTTATCCTAATGATGATCATGTGTCAGATTACATACAATACAAGGTATCCACTCTTAAAATCATCTTACCATGGATGGGTTCCAATCTGAGTCATAAAAGATCACCGTATCTGCACCTGTGAGGTTGATACCAAGACCACCGCTGCGGGTTGATAAGATGAATGCAAGGATACGTGGATCGTTGTTGAATTGCTCTGTGAGAACTTGACGCTGCTCGATCTTTGTGGCACCATCAAGCCGGAGATAACGATGGCCATGCATATTCAGGAACGATTCAAGCACATCCAACACACGCGTCATTTGCGTAAATATCAATGCACGATGTCCACCCGCTGCTAGTTGCCGTAACAACGCATCCAACTTTTGCAATTTGCCGCAATCATATTGAAGGAGTCGCTTGTCCGGAAACACAATCGATAGGCGTGTTCGTAATGGATGAAGGATATCAACATCGAGACTACCTTGATGCTCTTGGTATTGCTGCTCTTCTTTGATAGGTGATCGTTGTATAACAGTGCCAGGTGTGACAAAGCCGTATCGATCAATAATGTCCATATGAGCATTGATGCGATCTTGATAGCTGACAACAGCCTTGCGTAGATGAGTGGAAATGTCAAAGAAATGGCGATTGTCATGTTTGGTGGGGAAAAAAGTAGCTTCACGGGCTGCAGTTGCGGATTCACATAGTTGGATAAGTGAAGCACCATAAAGAGGGCGTCTCGCACATCGCATAGAGTTGACATGCAGCATCGATTCCCATCGACTGAGAGAAGCGTAGCACCCCTGCAGCTGTCGAAACTTGTAGTACTTTTTGAAATCGTGATAGTCGTAACGTGCTGCATATTGTCGCAATTCGTTGTAACGATTGTGCATAGTGATTCCTCTTGATTCTGCAATGTCGATTTGTGTCTGATATCGTGCAATTTGATGTACAAAATACTTGCTGGCATCGATGTTATCATATTCACTGGCAACTGTGGCTGATACGTGCTCATTGTTGACAATCACCAGATTCGTGGAGTCGAGGCCCCCGTTGTTGATGAAACCAAGCCGTTTTCGAACACGCGTTTCTAGTTGTTGTCCTGTCCACAATACCTCATCGTGCATGGCAAAACTCGTAATGATTGGTCGCTCTTCAAACAAATCAGGATGGTTGCAGACCTTACGTAGCTGCATGAGACAGTTGATGATGCTGAGAAAGTTGCCGCTAGCAAGTGTTTCCTTGGTCTTGGCACGACTCATAAAATCATCATATAAGAATCGCTGTCGAGTGGATAATCTGCAATACACCACGTGCTCATGCTTTTCTGGAAGTTGTTTCTCCACATCCCTTTTGAGACGCCGTAACAAGTAGGGCCGTAATACGGTATGCAGCTTTTGAATAGCAGCTCGTGAATCAGCATCCATCTCTTGTTGTCCTTCAATCACTCGATCCACAGGATGAGAAAACCACTCTTGAAATTCCTTTTGACTTGCAAATCCAATAGGCATTGATTGTGATACACCATTCGGCATCAAAAAGTACAATAGTGACCAAAGTTCAAGCAAGTTGTTTTGCAATGGCGTACCAGTGAGCAGTAATCGTCGCTTGGAATTGAAGTTGAGCAACACCTGCCATCGTTGAGATCGAAAATTCTTGATGTGATGTGCTTCATCCAACACCAAATACTGCCATGCCTTACGACGAAAGACATTTTGATCTTGAATGACAAGTTGGTACGACGTGATACAAACATGGAATGCATTCTCCTTGGACCATCCAGTTCGCTTCTCCTTGCGTTCCCTCGGTGTACCATAATACGTCAAAATCTTGAAAGCTGGCAACCATCGCTTGAATTCCATCTCCCAATTCAAGATCACACTTGTCGGTACAACAATCAAATGGGGTCCCCAAATCCTCTTTTCACATGCGAGATATGCAAGCAACGATATCGTTTGGATCGTCTTGCCGAGACCCATTTCATCAGCCAAAATGCCATTCAATCCATTGTTGTACAAGCTTGCCAACCAATCCAATCCAACATGTTGATATTCTCGTAATGTGCCTCGCAACAAGAATGGGATCTTGATGTTGACTTTGGTAGTGGATAGAGTTGTTCCTGTTGGTTGAGCCATTTCTGGTTTGGGTGTAACGCTTTTTTCTGAAGGTGGCGATGGTGGTGATGGTTGTTGTTTTCCTTCATCCTCAATCGATTTCTCCTCATTCTCTTCGATATCGCTCATATCCGATCCATATACTGTCACTGTACGATCATCATCCGATTCCTCCATCTTTTCAATTTGCTCATCTTCCTTGTTCTCCTCATGGTGACCATTGTCAGATTGCTGATCATGTTGTGATGGTAGTGTATCAGCGGGTATCATAGTCTTGGATGCTGCGTTGTCATCCTCATCGTGTTCCACACCAGGAGAAGCAGGCTCTTCAACATCCATTGGCTGCTCTTCTTCTTCCTCCTCGTCCTCCTCCTCCTCACTATCATCCTCCAGTCGATAGTTGTACTTTTTCAATAGTTGTTCAATGTCCAAATCTTGATCAGCATTGAGTTCATTCAATTCATCGTCATCGTCCTCGCTTTCATCCTCATCCGAAATCATGTGATCTTTCTCATCCATACCCTCCTCGCTGAATTCATCATCATCGTTGCCTGCTGATGTTTGTCGAGGTGGACTTTCAGGGATGGTGTCGTCGATAGGTGATTGTTCCTCAGCAATTTCCTCAATCTTTGGTTGATCCATTTCCTCCTCTTCTTCATTGGTTGCTGCCAATTCTTCCATGCGTACACCCAACATTTGTTCAGAATGCTCAAGAATCATCTCCAAATGCCTTCTTCCTTCCATGGCTTGTTCTTCTTTGAGGATCTCCTTGTGTCTTGCTTCACATACACGCTCAACGACCTTCCATTTACGCATCACATGTTGTGCTGTCTTTTTGGCTAATCGCATCAATCGACGTGTTTCCTCTCGATGGCGTCGTTCATCATGCGTACGTATCAATTCCCAATGACGTTCAATCGCTTTGGCGCACTTTCGAGCTGCGTTACGTCGATGTCTCGTGTTGCTAGCGAAAAGTTTGGATGCATGAAGCGCTTGGCTGACAACAATATCATGGTGCGTGGTACATCGTTGTTGAAGTTCACCTTGTGGTCTCCGATTCGCAATGGATTGTAAACGAGTTGAAAAACCACCATTCGCATTCAACCTTTCGATTCGTTGTCGTATAGCAATCTCCTTCTTTACCAATTCCTCTGCTTGTGCTGGCGTCACATCTTCATTGTCTTCGATCGATACAAAGGAGGCGAGATAATCACTGAGGGTACGATATTGTCGAGTGAAACGCCGTACTTCGCTGCCCGTATATAACGTCGTGGTTGATTTGGATGGTAACCTACCGGCAGCTACCTCCTCCTTTTTGACCTTCTCCTCAAATACATCCTGTAACGCACCAATCAATGGTAATGTCTGATGTCGTGTGTTGACGCCTGATGACCTCGAATGATGTTGTAAGTGCTCATTGGCTGATTCCCATAGATCATACGCTTCTGCATACTAATCAACATGTTAACACAATCATTCACATCGCATACCCTTCCATTCCTCTCTTTACCTTTTTGAAGCGTTGATCATAAATGTTCTCTTTTTGTCCTGGATTGTAATCGAGCATATTCTGATGCAACTCAAGGTGGTATAATTCTCGGACAGTCTCGGTATGATGATCATAAATAGTCGCCAACTCCTCTGCTTTCTCGGTGAGAACGTCGTTTCGATATCGATCAAGAGGGGTTGATGCATTATCCATCAAATACTTTTGTCGTGGTGATCGTGTACTGTCATCGGATCGTTGTCGCTTATTGTTGTTGGTGATCGCACCTCTTCCTCGTCCTCTTCCACGTCCACGTCCACGTCCTCGCGATGATGATGAAGAAGAAGTTGTTGTTGTCGTATCATGTTGAGAATGCTCTTCGTCAGGTGCAACTCGTTTCACACCACGGGCTTTGTCATTATTGTTGCCTCGTCCTCTTCCTCTTCCTCTTGACGTTGTGCTAGCACCTCTTCCTCTTCCTCTACTATGCGTTGTGGTTGTAGATACAGGGTCGCGTGCTCTTCTTGTTGGAGTTGGTGGTTGTAGTTGTCGTTGTGAGTTACGCGTCGATCGTGCTATGCTGCTGTTTGGACTGAGAATGTTGTGCATGCTTAAGTTGCCATCCGTGTCAAAAAGCGTTCTCGGTCGCTTCAACGTGTCTGGTCCTTTTTCAATCATGAGAGCACGTCTTCCCTTTTTCTAATGACCAAGTCCATATATGAGTTACATTTCGCGATCCTGTCAACTCTTCCTCCAACCACCACCACCACCAGCACCCCCTTTCTTACTCGTCCAGGCCGACTGGAAGTAGGATCATGAGATTCACCCTTTGCAGGATCATGATCAACCATAGTCATTAGGGCAAAGTGAGAGGATAAATAGAAATAGGGAAAAGGTGGACACCTCGAAGACTTTAAGCAAGAAAGAAAGGGAAATGAGAATGAAAGGACAAATTCGGCTGAGGTGAAAATCAAGCACAGCAGCAGCAGTAGCTCGTTATCGTAGACTCCATTACGCATCCACTCCCACACACACGATTATCTTTTACATTGGCCATGTTTCTCCAATCCATTGCCGCAGCAATATCATATACGCATTCATGAACTTATACTTCAGCTAATCCTCGCAACAATATGTATTTATATGGTTTTCTATCTACAAAAAGTGTATAATTTATATCATTGTGTATTAAAATCTACTCAAGTAAAGTTGCTAAAGTCCATCTTTAGTTGGATGGTAGGTTGTCGTGCATCTTCATGTGCATTGCGTTGAAGTTCTTGCTGTCGTAGTTGTTGTTGACGTTGCTGTTGACCTGCAAGTACGCTTTGCCGCACCGAAGTTTCCAAGGTGGTCCGTGCATTCTCAGGTAATTGGGATACTGTGTCACGGAACACTTGTGGTATGTTGGTAGCCAGTGTAAGAATATGGGTCATAGTGAGGCGATGAATGGTGGTTTCATTGGTTGGATCCAATAAGCTGGCAAAAGATGAGAGTACAATGCTCAACAAGGCTGTCTCTGTAGATGGCATTAGTATTTGGGGCCTCCATTTATAATCCACATATTCCAACTTACTGTCTTCATCCACCGTCGCAGAAGAAACGAGTGCTGTAAGGGTCTTGATATCTTCTTCTAACAAAGGTAGCGTTTCATCCGTTCTTGATGGCTCCATGGCGGATAATTTGGCATAAGAGAGAAGATGCTCAACCACAGTGGGAATCAAAGCATTCAACAAAAGTCGTCCAAGAGCAACGGATGAGGGTGAATCGGATTTCTTTTCTGGTAGCATAATCAGCATCCGCATACACTGATGAGCCGTCATCGTGGTCTAATGTGACAATGCCCGTAAGTCAAAAACGTAAGTGACGGTGAAGGTATATATACATACATCCTGCTTGTCGCATAAAAGTGCTCTTTGCATCGCCTTGGTAAATACTTGTCGACCATCGGTATCATGCATATTGGCTTCAGGGCAACTTGTGATAATCAAAACGGATGCAAGCAACTTGTTTTTGATTTTGGCTTCATTGTTGACCTCGCTAATGAAACAAAGAGTCAATCGGATAAACCCATAGTCTCCCTTAACACAACGTACCTTTCAAAAAGACCATCAAGTAAAGAATGAAGCATAGCACACGTTACACGTGCGAGCGAATGTGTTTCGGCTGTATCCAATGATGATTCCAGAGTCAAAAGCATAGACTTGAGTGCTACAAGAACGCGTGGTGCAAGCAAAGATTGGAATTTGTCGTCTTCCAGCATAGCTATTGTACCAGCATGAAATGGATTAGCAAACCATAAAGGTGTATGCGTGCTGTATCACAATGCTTACCTGTGAAAATGTAAAAGCTCATGGCCAAAAGATCAATCTTATAACTCGAGGGTGCTATACCAATCAGCATGCTGAGTTCATCCAGGCATGGTCCAAGCACGGCTGCTACATGTTCGATGTCTTTGCCTTCTGAACCTGCATAAACATTATTTAGTTCATCTAATTGAGATCCCATCATAATATCCCAACTCACGTATAGATGCACGCTTGCTTGATAAAGAAGGTACACTTTGCAAAAACACGTTGATCAACAATCGTAGTACATAATACAATTTGGCTGTCGAGGGAAATGCTCCAGGCTCAAGCGTACGATCGATATCACATTCGTCGTCAAGGTCGTCACAAATGTAGCTGGCTCCATAGTTCTTGGTGAGTCGTTGAATAATCTCGATAATAATGAGCTGCACACGATATCCTTCGGTTTGGATCAATCGATCAAACACATTCATCAATTCCAAAAAGATCGACTTTGGTAAAAACTTCTCGCCTGCCAATGAAGGTTGTACAAAAGTCTTGAGGGCTTTCAGGCAAATAGTCATGGTGGATACGTCTGAACGACCACTGCTGGAACTTGAGATACGCGATAAGCTTTCAATGCACAAGCCAAAAAGAATGCAAAAAAGGTTGGATGGTTTCTCTGGATCCAATTGCTCGGCATCAGGATTATTGGACAAGGCATCAAGCATCGAAGGCGCTTGACTCTCAATCAAACTTGCAACTGCTTCCATGATCTTCAACCACGAGCGACGATAATACTATAATACAAAAGATGTTATTAAAAGCACCTCATTTCCCCCCTCGATAGACTTACAGGAAGAACCACTTGCTTAGTGGCAGCAGAATACATTGAATCAATCCCTCCAGGAGTGGATGTTTGAATACCCTCAGTGCTGTTGGTCAATGCCACAATATCAGATTCCAATCGAATGCGTGCATAATCTTGCAATGATCGGAGCCACAATGGACTTAGCGCCGATAGATTACTATTCAAAGAGTCAATGTCAAATGATCCAAGTATCTAATGAGTGTAAACTTACGGTTGCAAAATCTGTCGAAGGTAATCTTGGCGCTGGCTTGATACTTGCAACTCGGCCCATGCGTTCAATACTGCCAATTTGACCATGACCGAAGCGTGTGGACTCAAATCCTTCACTTCACCAACACCTGTCAACTCGCTATCGCTCTTGACTTTGTCCAAAGAAGAAGTGAGAAGCTTGAGCACTCTTCCCAGCTGATAGAGATCCTTGACAATGCCACTGCCAACATAAATAGCGCACACTCGTACAGCAGCTGACACGATCTCCGAGGATGAATCAGCTCCAAATGCCGGCGTCAAAGCAGCACCTATTTGTGCAGCGTATTGCTCCAGGAGTAGTGTGCCTTCCAAATCAGGATCTTTGCTTGCAGCAAATTTCTATCAAAGCAATCAGTATTTGCGTGCATAATTAAACTTGATCAATTACGTACCTCAATAACCATTCGAAGGAGAGAGATACCTGCTAAGCGAAGCTCATCAACGTGTGCTGTGGCAGCTGTAAATGACAGCTTGATCAAATCAGGTACACGGAATACAAGGTAATCACCAAAGCCAGCTTGCTGTCTTCGTGCACGAGCATAAATCAAATCAAAGTGCTCTCGAATCCCGCTGGATGAGACCATTTCAATAGTGCGCTGAAGACATTGTAAAGCGAAAAGCTGAGTACGCCATCTTGGAGGAATTTCCACGTTGACGGAAAGCCGTGAAGTCATTCCAGATGCATCCGCCACTGTTGTTGTGATATCCACATGATCATCGTCATCACCAAAACCAGCTCCTTCATCATCGTACATATCTTCGTCATCTTCATCCATAGTACCAGGACCATCAAAGCTTCCTCGCATGCCATCATTTGCTGCAGCTTCTTTCTTTGCAGATGTGGCTGTTGCAGCAGCATCCAATTTGTTGGTTCCTGACATGATGCGTTTGGTGATATTGACCCATACGGAAGGCTCATTGATAGCCGTCTCCTTTAACCAACTTCGAATCACATTCTTGACATCGGATAATCCGGGATCCGTATCGAGCATCTTGAACAATTCGGTATCGAGACCAGGTTGTGCTGCTTTAAATACAAGTTCAGCATCACGTTGAACAAGTTGATATAAACATGTCACTGCAGCCTTCTTCAATGGCAAATGGAGACTGGCAATTTGGTTTTGTAAATATGGCACAAGCTCTTGTGTATCGAGATATTGAGGGGCAAACATGAGAAAGTGCTGAATACATCGAATGGCTTCAACATTCACACGTTCGTCAGGTTCCAATTTGAGTTCCTCGACCATGTTCAGGCACAATTCACGTATCTTTGTGGATGCTTGCAATTCAGGTCCAAGTGTGCCAATCAACTCATAAATGATACGACCAAATTCTTGATAAGCGGAGAAACCAACACTCATTCCTGCGTTCGATACTGCAACTGATCCACTACCAGGCTCATGTGTTTCACTCAAATAAAGCTTGGCCACCATGCCAAGTGCGCTGTTGACATAGCTTGAAAACATAAGACCCGCTGCACTGATTGTCATTGTGATAGCTTCAAGTGCCCATGCATGTACCACAGGATGTGGGTCACTGCTGAGTGATACGAGGATGCCAAACAGTGTCTTGAGATGGGGTGCAGCAGCCATACCACCAACGTGTGTATAAATGTATCCAATGGCCAATGCACAACCAGCACGAACATTTGGATCACGATTGCTCACCACCAAATCCACCAGCTGTTGCATTTGTGCTGCCACAAATGATCCACCAACAATAGCCGTTAATCGTCCAATGGTTTCACTTGCAGCGTTGCGTAGATAGGGATCAGGATGTGATATAGCCTCCATCAAGATTTCTTGTACTAATTGTGTCGCTCGTCCACTTGGAATCTCGCATGTTGTTGCTTTTTTCTTCTTTGACATCATATTCTTGAATGCCCCCAAAAGAGCCACCGTGACATTCACAAGCACTGCTGCACGCTTGGGTGAATTCTTTTCCACACGTGCATCCTTGACCACACTTGCAATATGCTCAAAAGTAGATTCTTGTACGGGAGGTGGTTGGCTTGGAAATATGGTTGCAAATAGCTCCACGCTGCTGTCGATATAGCCAGTCGATGGTGCAACAGGATGTGGGACCATCATCTTGTGCTGCTCCTCAGTGGCAAATGTCGTATAAATGTAAATTGGATCAAGCTCAGCTGATCCGATAATAGGTCGTTCAAGTAATTCCTCAATCCGCTGAAATCGATCTTTGGTGACCCATTCTTTGCTACGATTGCCTTCAGCAATATCATCCATACTCGCTGACGTAGCCACATCAATTCGATATCCTTGCATCTTGCTCGTAACACCATAACCATGTCCATCCGCAGAACTCCATACACTCACAAATTGACCAGGCACACTCGCTGTCACTTGGGCATGTGCTCCTGAGGATGGTGTGATCTTGTCAGGTTCAATAAACACATTCACCGAGTTGCGTAATAAGCTTGTCAATGATGATTCATAAGTGGATAACAAGGGTCGAATAGTGACAAAGGATTGAAAAATACGTCGTCGTAGTGCATAATATTGATCGGTCAATTTGATCTGGTATGGTGAACATGGTGACAAGGTGGATGGCGAGAATGTACTAGGTGCTGTTGCAAGAAAAGCCAGGGTATTGTTGAGTAGTGCAGCCACACGTTTTGCAATGTCGAGTGTAACAAGCGTGTTGCTGTTATGTACAAGGAAGCTGTAAATAGAGCTGATGGCACATTCACGTGTGTGGAAAAGGAACGACCATTCAGGTTCGGCACGAATGGCATTGGCTTCCTTGCCAGTAGGCTTGGGTAAGGCGTTCTTCCATAGCAACAGTAACTGTGGTAAATGCAACTTGACCAAGTTTGGCCCAAGACACATGAGTGCACCCACAAGGATCCATGCTACTTGGATTTGTACACTGGCTACTTGTTGAGTCTTGCTGGGATTCTTGAGAAGCTGTGTTGCAAGTGACATGGCCCGTGCGCTGAGTTCAAAGGAGGTATAAATCGGCCGATCAGGGAAGACGCTAAGGATAGCGCCTGCAGTGTACGCATACGCCAAAGTACGCTTAAAGAGATCACTTGTAGCCGTTGGATTAGACAAGTTGGACAAGTCTTTCTCCAATAGATTCAATGCTCGTGGAAGTAGATAAGGAAGATTGGAAGGTATGGAATGACACACGCAACGAATACACCAAGCTGCTGATGCTTGAACGGAAAAGCTTGGATGCGTCAACAATGTGAAAACTGGATCGGCAACAACATCCTATTATCATTTGATGATAAGTACGCTTGATAGTGAAAATAGCGTTGTTTCAAATTACCTTGACAGCATTAGCTCCTCCTCCAAGTTCACAAATTAAAGCAGAGATCAAATCAGTGGCACAAATCAATGCATGCTTGTTGGGTGGAGCCTGGTTCTTCATCAAAGGTGGCCAACTCTTGACGAATTCAGACACCAGCAATTTGACTGCCATGGCTTGGCCTTGTTCACTCAAAAGACGTTTGCCGATCGTATTATGCAATAGGAAAAAGACTTGTGCTCTTGCAAAGGATCCATCAGCGGCAACGAGATTATGCTTTGTACCATCCAGCAGCTCCCGTAAAACGTGCTTTGCAATCACGGCATAGTTGGCCTCCACGAACTCTGTCCCAAGCAACACGAATAGCGTAGCATACGTTTCAATAATGCCAATCTTGAATTCACGTGATACATTGGCCCGATTGTAGTTGGTCGCCAATAAACCAAGCATTTCATCCACGCTCATCAATGTTGTCACGTTGGGTTGAACATCTGTAGCTGGTGTTGTGCTCTCTTCTCCCGTAGTTGCATGCTTCACGTTGGGTTTGTTGGGATCCACAGTTGCTGTTGTTTGAGTAAAAGCAAGTAACGCGGCACACAAGGATGAAACGGCTCGTCGAACAGGAAAGGTCGAATTGTCAAAGGCTTTGAGGAATGTCTGAAGCATATTTTCAACGTCATGAGCTGTAAAGCTTTGTCGCGCATTTTGAATAACAGCTTGCATGCACTAATCCATGACATGTTAGGCCATCCTACTGCCATCCTCACTTATCCACCTTTCCCTATTACCTGTGCACATGCTATTCGCATCACCAATGCTTTATCCACTAAACCATTGCGCAAATGTTTGGCGAGTTCTTTCAAGATCGGCTCTGTTGCAGCTTTGCCGGCACCTTTAAGCAGCATAGTGAATGCATTGACAGCTTCAAGTCGTAGTAGGAGAGGATTCTATCGGTTCCTGAGTTAAAAGATCGGAATGGAGCGGAAGCCAAGCGGAATAGGGTTCTCTTACATTGCTTTGCTTGATAACTTTGGTAAGAATGTTGGCTGTCTCGGCAAACAATGAAAGCACCTTATTTCCACTTGCAAGCATGATAGCACCGGTAGTCGATATCGCAGCTCTACACTCTCATTAGCCTACACTATCCCTCCTCCCATATCATCCATCCTTTTATCTTACATCCGTGCTTCTTTTTCAATGTTCTTGTTGGCACTGATCAGACTATGGAGCGCTGTGACGGTATCAAAAAGCATCCTGGTATCGCCTCGTGTATAGAGAAGTACAAAGCAACGGCCGATCAGGAAACGAATAGGACGACGCGGCTTTGCTGTTGCAAGTGAAATGAGCTTGAGTAAAGTCTTCTCCAACTGAGGCTGTGCGCGTTTCAAGACGTCCTAGAGAACAAGAGTGAGTGGTGGTTGTTGTGGTGGTATAAAATGAGAAGGGTCCCAAAGGGTGGGTGGGCATGTACCAAATCGATAGTCTTGCATTCGCGTTCCACATGAGCTAGCCATTGAAGCAAGTAGAGCTCCTGCTTGTCAGAGCTCTCGGAAGTCTGAAGTTTACGTTCATCGAGGGTGAAAATGTCGGGGATGCCTTGTGGGGAAGATGCCATCCCAGTCGTCGAGTAGAGAGTTAACGAGTGAAAGCTGGTTGCACTTAAGAAACGTCGTTCGTCCAAGCATGGCTCACAAGGCTTTGATTTTATATCTCAGCTCTCTTTGTCGAGTAAAGGGACATCCACGTGAGCTTGTCCTGTCACAATAAAAGTGTCCATTGTCAATGGTCGATAAGGCTTAAATTGTGCGTTGGGTTGTTATGGGTTTTCTTCTTATGGTGTGGTTGTCCATTCTATTGATCATACCCACATGTATGCATTTTCAGAAAGATACTGCATGGTGATGTTGACAGCTTTGCATAAAATGATGCCAAGATTTTTTGCTGCTTTTTTATATTACCTCGACTGCTTCGCTTGCTGGTGCATGCCGGCAAAATCCTACAAGCTACTACAAAATGAAAGCCTTAAATCACCGATTCATCAACAACCGCCTTCAGCTGTCGTCATGGCAACTACATAAAGAACCTTTACCACCATTTCCTTGCTTTCGATCAACGCCAAGGAAAACATTGTTGATGACCTGGCAACTGCTTTGAGAGACTTATCAACCATGATCCACTTTCCATCGCAATCGCTCCATATCATTGTCTATGGGTGCCTACATCCTGTTACTAATATGTACACACTTGATCCCTCCCATTTTCAACAATATCCGGTAGACACGCTTGTGGCGTTTGAGCATGATACTTGCCCAAACTGGTAATCCCGATTTTTCGATCCACACGCTTGCCATGGCGTTCCATCATCATCCGCTTAACTTTAACAAGGCACACACGTGCCATCACGACACCTGTCACGACCGGTCTATGCTTTGAGTTGATTAAGGATACTTTGTATGTTGAATACAATAGGCATGATGAGGGGGAAACGGCCCTGTATCATATCATGTCCTTCCCTCGTTACATTGTTGTTGTGAGAATACCATACACAAAAGCTGATTATCGATGGCCGCATGATCACGTATACACATACAACAATACTCGTCTTCTATGTTACATGGTACTCGGAACGTAAATAAAACGACACAACCATTGTCCTTTCTCACCCCCTTGCTGCCTTTTTCTTCCCAACAAAATGAGATTCTCCCAAACTTTGAAAACATCATTGTCGTCAGAATGGACATACTATTGTCTTGGTAATCGTTTCATAGGATAATGCTTTACTGTATCATAGCTGACGATTGTATCTAGCTTACGATGAGCTTAAAAGCATGTTAAAACAAGAGATGCATGAAGGACAAAGTACCTGGAACGAAGAAAAAGAATCGAGATTTGTTGAGCAACTCGAAAAAGAGCTGGAGAAGGTGCATAGTTTTCAGCGTGTCAAGTTGGGGGAGATTAATCGGCGTATCGATGCTGAAGCCCATGAAGTCGAAATGTTGTGCCGCAAACAGATGCCTGATGAAGACGAGTTTACAGCCTCGGAAATCGAATTAGGACACATCATTGCGGATGTGCATGACCTGGCCAAGTATAGCCGTTTGAATTATTCAGGTTTCCTTTTGATTGTCAAGAAGCATGATGTGAGTAGCCGTGAATATGACTTTCAAACAGCAACTGATTCTTATGGTTCTATGTATATTAAGAAATGCACCCAATGGTTGCTCAAGCCGATGTTTAGTGCTAGACTCAATCGCAATCCTTTCCACAAGGAAAACTATGATGCTATGATAGTGAGGATTTCGACATTGTACGATCGTGTACGTACCCGAGGCAGAGAACGTGGAGGAGATTCCGGTGCTGGTGGAAAGCAATCTGCCTTTGTTCGCAATACCACCAAATACTGGCAAGTGTTGATCTTTGTGATCCAAAAGACGGGGTTTGCTTACGCAACATCCATAATAGGGTACATCCTGACAACATCACCGAACTCAAATTGATCATTTTAAAGCATCTCCCGGTGTTGGTGTTTAATCCAAACAAAGAGTTTGAAGCACAAGACTCAGCAATCACCAGCATTTATTTTGACAATGACGACTTTGATCTATACAAAGGGCGCATCGAAAAGAGCGAAGGTGCTGAAGCAATACGCATGCGATGGTATGGTGGCATGGATACCAACACGATCTTTGTGGAGCGAAAGACCCATCGAGAAGATTGGACAGGTGATCCATCGGTCAAGGCTCGCTTCCCAATCAAGGAAAAGTACTTGAATGCATTTTTGCGTGGCGAGTATACAACCAGCGAGTTGTTTTCAAAGATGCGTGAACAAGGAAAACATTCGAAAAAGGAGATTGATGAAATGGAACAACTAGCACAAGAAGTGCAATACACAGTGCTTACCAAACGACTCCATCCTATGATGCGGACATTTTACAATCGCACAGCATTTCAACTTCCAGGTGATGCTCGTGTGCGGATTAGCTTGGATACCGAGTTATCGCTCGTGCGTGAGGATAACATGGATGATCGTATACGTGCAGGTTCCAATTGGCGTCGCACTGATATTGGTATCGATTATCCCTTCAAGCAACTTCCAAATCAAGATATTTGCCGCTTCCCATATGCCATTCTCGAAGTCAAATTGCAAACGCACGTGGGTCAAGAGCCACCTCAATGGGTTGTGGATCTCATTAATTCGCATTTGGTTGAATCCGTCCCCAAGTTTTCAAAATTCATCCATGGATGTGCCACGCTCTTGGAAGATAAAATTAACCTGCTCCCCTTTTGGCTACCTCAAATGGATGTCGACATTCGGAAACCACCTGCAAAGACATTCTCTGGTGTTGCAAGGCCTGCTATCACTGATAAGAAAGACAACGTTGTAGCATGCAGTAGCAGCATCGCCTCGTCATCCAATAATAGCGAAGAAGGATCAAAACAACATCATGTGCAAATCAGTATCGACACCAGCCCTTCTATGAATGACCCATTACAAAAGCCGCCTTCAGCAGCAGCAGCACCACCACCACCACCACCACCATTCATGTTGCAAAACAAACAATCATCACTGCAAGAGCCACAACAATCAACATTACACCAACAGTATTCATTGTTGTCACAAAGACTTGTTTCATTGTACATACGCTTGTTTCCCCATCATGCCAAAAATCGACAAGGACCAGCAGCTGCTATAAAGGATGGTGAAGCCCTTCCTTCTGAAAGTAACAAGAAACGACGTCCACCAGTTATAGCCAAAGCACCACCAGCCAAAACGTTCTTTGCCAACGAACGTACATTCCTTTCATGGATTCAATTTACGGTCATGCTCGGTGCACTCGCTGTGGGGTTCCTGAACTTTTCAGATGTGAGCGTAGGCCGTGTATCAGCCGTAATCTTTAGCGTGCTAGCAATGGGTATCATGGCGTATGCTTTATACACCTACCATGACCGAGCAAATCGTGTCCACAACAATGAACCAGGCGAATATTCCGATAAATATGGACCATTGGTGCTGACAGGGCTAATGATACTTGCCGTATCAGTCAACTTTTATCGTAAGTGATCACATTCAAGTAGATGATGTGCTGGTTGTCCAATCTAAATCATTTGCTGCTTAGTGCGCATATCCTTTGATGGCAGTGCGGAGAGGGATCATGGTAGAAGATGAGAAAACTAGATCCATAGCATGATAGGAAGTTACATTTTGGCAAGTAAAACGGGTTCATGTGATGCCCTAGTAGTCGACAATGGGATCTCGATAAAACGTGCTGAAACCCGGTTTTCGTCATACACGCACAGCGGAGAATACTATTCTGAGTAATGCGTGGTAGTCATCTGTATCATTGTTGTGGCATAAGAGTGAATGATGATGCGACGTCTCGTGGTTGTAAAGTGGACCTATTGATGTATCAGACATAAGCCATGACTTGAATGTCAGCTAAGCTTACCCAAATATTTATGTCTGCTAATAGGCCACGCTATGTATTAGCATTTTACTTCTTCCCCAGCCAAAGTGAAACGTCAATCTAGCCATCTCTTCCATTCTTGCCTCCTTTGTTTAAACATCATCCATTCTAAACAAGAAAAATGTGCACTACAGCTTGCAAAGAAGTTCAGCCACTGATACAGCAGCAACAATGTTCGCCAATTATCCAGCCGTCATATGCATCCATCATTGATGCAGAAAAAGAGCACAACAACTCCTCAAGGACAACAACATCAACGTTGCTATCGGATTGGAAAAAGTACATCTCAAGCGAAATACAAATTCTTGCACGGATGTCGACCCCGCTTATGCTTACTTATACATTGCAAAATTCATTTGAAGCATGTGTGGTATTGTTGGTGGGTCGGCTTGGTGCCAATGAATTAGCGGCTTCAGCTTTGGGAATCATGATAGCTTCTGTGACAGGATGGCTAATAGCCATTGGTGGCACCACTGTGCTTGGTAAATGGATCACCGATCATTCTTTGACAAAGTGGGACTTGTATGCTTATATAACCTCTGCGTGTGTAGATACCTTAGGTTCGCAAATATGGAATGCAGCACAACAACAATTAGATGGGGATACCAACAAAGAGCATCAATTGGACAGGCTACTCCAACAATCAATAATCGTATTGACGTTCATGTTTATTCCTATTGCTATACTATGGTGCATTGCTGAGCCTGTGCTTTTATCCCTTGGACAACATCCATTGGTGAGCCGGATGACTCAAGAATTTCTCAGATGGTTGATACCGGGTGTGTGGGTACAGCTATATGTGAATTTGGGTCATCGTTACTAATCAAGATAGTCTTCAGGTGCTCCTGCTTATATAGCATTTGAAGCAATCAAAAAGTACTTTCAAGTCACCAAAGGGAATAGTCATATGAGCACCCTGATCTTGTGTATATGTCTACCATGCCATTTGCTGGTAGCATACGCCTTGGTATGGCATTTTGGATTTGGAGTTGCTGGTGCAGCGGCAGCATTATCAATCACGCACTGGTTAATGCTGATCGGGATGCTGATATATGCTGGTGGACACAAGACACGGCAATGGATAACGATACGGCAAGGCAACAACGATGGTGATGATGATGGCAATATAGCTGTATGGAAGATTGTGTCACGTGTGGTACCAGTGATTATGATGCTTGGTGCCGAGTATGTGGCATTTGACACGATGTCGCTTCTTGCTGGCATGATGGGTGATAAGAATCTTGCAGCCCAGAGCATTCTTACCATTGCCGATGATGTCTTATCTACCATTCCTCTGAGTCTGTCAATTGCAACTTCATCACGTGTAGCTCATTGGGTTGCTCAAGGACTACCTGCACATGCATATTATGCATCTCTAGCCAGCGTGATCCTTGCCATTGGAACAGGTTTAATATTGATGGCGATGATGTTGCTATTCCGAGGATCGTTTGGGTATCTTTTCTCGTCCGATGTGTCGGTGGTCATGCTAGTGCAAGGCATCCTTCCATGGGCTGCATGTATTCATTTCATTGATACTGTGGCAGGTGCATGTAATGGGTCAATAAGAGCTATTTCCCATGGGTCTTATCAGCAAGTGGTTTTCATTGTACATGTCGTATGCTATTGCATTATTGGACTTCCAGTGGGTGCTGCATTAGCATTTGTACAAGATTTCGGTTTAGTGGGATTGTGGATGGGTCTCTTCCTTGCATTATCCCTTGTCTCAAGCATCCAAGCTGCCATGCTGCTCAAAGTTGACTGGAAACATCAGACACACACATGTATATAAGCATCATCGATTTATTCAAATAAATGCATCTTCTACTTGACTCTTCTTACTCCTCCACTACAACCCTACCCACACCCCCAAAAGAAAATGGCATTCAACGACAACGACGACGATCATGAATCGGCTTCTTTCAACGGCTTCATCTTTCAACATCCAACACAACAATGGTCCTTTGACTTTGACAACTCCCATTCAGAACACCATTCAACAGACACACGCGAATCAACACTCAAGTCTTCCTCGGATCAAGACACCCTATCAGTCAATGAGACGCCTGAATCAGCAGCACCAGTTGACAAGCATGATACCGAACCCACCAAAGATACATCATCATCATCATCATCGCTTGCCTTCTCACTGAGCCAGATGCATATCAACTCGAATCCTTCTTTACCACCTCGTGATAACACCAGACTATTCAAGTATCATTCTCGGAACGAAAGGGAATTACAGGCGTTTAGACGACAACGCGCTCTCGATTTACAAAAGAAGGCACGTGAGAATCAAAAAGCTTATCGTCCCCATTTGACTAACCATGTATTGATATTAGATACGTGATACCAAGTTCAATCAACATCGAACGCAGCGATTTGAAATACCCAATGATGATGAGGATGATGATGAATCTGAAGAAGGAAGTTCACACGACGAAGCACAAACATCGACATCTACCGCCACATTGAAACGTTCACGCGATGATGGCGATGATCATGATATGGATGGCTCCAAGTTGCTATGTTTTGAATCATATCCTTCCAGTTCCAAAGGCAAAAACAAATCAAAGAACAAAAAGTCGGATCGGTAAGCTAACCTAATACCATGATTGTACATCATGTTGATCTTATTTTACTAGTAGAGATATCAAGCTCATGTATGGAGAAACGCTTATTGATATGCCAGAGGACTGGGAAGCCAAGTGGATCGTCATACCTTATCCCAAGGGTAAACGCTGCATGGTCAAGGCTGGTAATGGTAAGTGCTTGCTTATCCATACATCTCTTTCGCTTTTTCTCTTACTCTTGTACAATAGGCAAATCGCTGTCACTTAACAAATGGGGTAAGTAGTTGGAAAACGTCGTTGCATACAACGTTTAATTAATAGCGGATGACTATTTTTAGGTCGTGTGCAGAAACGATTCCAATCAATGCTACCAAACGGGTCAAAATCGGATGGGTAAGCGGCTTGATCACAAAGAGGAACCATGCTTAACAATTTCATATAGCAAACAACATGGAAACAACTACAACGTGCTTGATTGTGTATACGATGGGATTCATTGGACCTTTTACGTGTTGGACATGCTCTGCTGGAAAGGTATTGAATTGGCGGAATGTGATACAGCTTTCAGGTAAATGGCTATACTACTCTACTCAATGGCATTCCATGTTACTGAATATCATGATGATTTGAACAATAGACGATTCTGGTTGGAGACGCACATGATCCCGGATGAAATGGATTCTCCTACACCTGAGAACATGTTTTACAAGTTCAAGACTTTACGACCTATTCCAAGCAAAGATGTCAAGGAGATGCTGCTGAATCCAGAAGCTTACTTGAAGGGGCGAGGTGACACATTCGAGATTGATGGATTGATGCTTTATCACCAAGATTTGATCTATACTGCAAAAGAGACGCCACTCGTCAATTGGGTGCCTGTATCTGATTTTTCATCATTGGCAAACGCTTTGTGAACACCAACAAGTCAACGGCTTTCGACGCTTGCTACTTTCTATTACGACCAAATCCAACCATCCTATTGCTCTTTGCTTAGCACATTTAACAACCACCCCACGTTTATGCAGCAACCATTGTACATTCTCCATTATTGATGAGCAATAACACTACACAATGACAACCACCCACTATCAAAGCATGACTACTCTATTTGACCTGATTGTTCATAAACCTGAAAGGGATTGAAGAATGTCGATGGTGTATTGGCTTGGGACAAGGATACTTTTTCTATCAAGTCGATGCTTCTCATAGCACGCATGTTATCTTCTTTGTTCAATGACGAATTATAGTGATAGCAGCATTGAGATACCTAATGCAAGAACATTAAGAAAATACATCCTGCTTTTGCCACACATCTTATCATAGTCTATGCCTCATTTGGTCATATTTCAATGTCCTCATCGGCAAATGGGACCTCTTGGGCACATAAACTTGTGGAGGCTGCCTTTTTAAAGATGCTGATGGCCGATACATGTGTGACTTGACGCACGTGCAATTTTTTTCATTTCATAAAAGATGCATGATACGAAAGGTGTGCTCGTCGTGATTGACCAGTGACACGGTCACGTTGAAATCACATATAGTGGTACATATCCAATGCACGTCAAGCGACGATTCTGATGTCCCTCTCGTGGCTTGCCTTGATTATTTAAGAGTTGTCAGGGGCAATGGTAGCCACCAGTCATTATTCCAGGAGCTGGGCTTGTGCAACAACAATAAATACTTGCATGCATGGACGCGTGGCGGTTGCAAAAGTTCTACTCAGTTGTCGTTGCGGTCATTGTTTAAGGAGTTGTTGCCTTATGTTGGCCATTGAGTGGTTTATGATATACCTTCCACCAGCCAACGACGACTGCAGCAGACAACAACGCCAAGATGTAATTAAGGTTGACTAGAAACAAGATTGCAAATTTATACTAAACGCCTGGCATGTTTCATTGTCTGTGTGTGTGCTTTTGTTGTATCGCCGCGAGTAACATGAAATGCAATAAAAGGAAATTGAAGGACACAAAAACCTTGTTCCTGCATCATGCTCGCCAACCAGCGAGGCATTTACTTTTGCCGCATCATTTCTCCTTGATTCACAAGCTCAGCCGTTGTTGGGTACAAAACCGGAGATGTATAAAAACAGGCACCTATAAACATGCCCCCCGATTTTGCTACTTTTTCTTCCTACTTCATTTTTCGCCCACCACTTCTTTGTGACACACACACACACACACACACAACGATGAAAATCTACCTCCCATTACTCTTTTCAGCTATCGCTTCTAGTGGAATATGGGTCCACGCTGCAGATAACAAATCATCGCCCAATACGACGTCCGATGACAATGACAACGACAACGACACTATCTTGTCCCCTCCACATACGTTTTGCGCAGATGATATGGAGATGGTGTAAGAATCCTACTCATTTTTTGGCCCGAAAAACAAAAACACGATCCTGATGTTTGTATATCTTCTCCATAATAGGTTTGGCTTTGGCGATTCTTACACTAATCTAATGGGTCCAAAGGGAGATGTGTGGACGTGGAATCATTTTCAATCAAACGATTCAGTGTTGGATGCCCCTATTCGGATCAATGGTGTATGTTGAATGCATCGCCTCCTTTATTTTTCAATGGCTTACTGATGATGCTCTCGCACAGACTACTGCCCATGGCCCTAATTGGATTGAGTACTTGACAGAGTGCTACGAAGGCTTGCCACAAGATTGTGACCCACAGCTATTTGACGTTGCGTATGGCGGAGCCAGTGTAGACAGCGACCTTGTACCACCTGCATATACACACATTGTCGATTTCATTCACCAAGTAAAACAATGGAAAGAATACATCAAACCAGCTGTGACATGGAAACCAGAAACAACATTGACGGCCGTATGGTTTGGGTAAGTGTCAGATGTTTTTGTTGCTGTATCACCGGGTGCTATGTACGACACCATGTATCAGCCGACTGATATGGCACATTACTTACAACAGCATCAACGACGCTTTAAATTCCTCCAAAACGAAGACATGGGTAAAGTCGTTATCGAATAGCGTTATTGTTTCCATATTTAACTTTGAATGTAGATCGAGCTTGGCATCTTATTTAACAAGATCATGGACGTTTATAGCGAGCAATTGGTATGGTTCATATAAGCACTGTTCCAGTAGTATAGTAATGAGCTAGTGTGCTGATGCATAAAACTCATGGTAGGAAACGTTGTACTCTTATGGTATGCGTTCGTTCCTGGTTGTCAATGTGCCACCCATGGAGCATGCACCTGCCCATATTGGCAACCATACTATTGCCAAGGTGGTGAAATCTTTCAATGACTTGCTTCAAGCCCGAGTCGCCTTGTTCAACACCAAGCACAAAGACGAGGTCTTCGTTCATTACTTTGATGCACACCGATACTTCAATGAGTACCTCACCAATTCCTCTGGCCTTTTCAAAAACACAACCGGATATTGTGACGTCGATAAATGCGAGTATCCAAACTACGAGTAAGTGGCAGCTGCTGGTCTCCTTTGCATTCTTCATTAACATGCTTGTAACGTAATTGTAGATACTTCTGGATGAGTAAGCATTGGCAATTGAGGGTATTACACTTATAAGAAAGAAGACTAATGCTTGTTTTTTGCAGATAACATTCATCCAATGTACCCTGTTCATAAGCTTTTGGCGGAGGATTTGAGCAAGGAGCTTAAGGAAGCGTCACAATGCTCTTCTTCTTTAATCTAGTATCTAGCACGCATCTCGCTCAGGCGACTAATATTATAGAAACAACGACATGTGTATAGTAAACTTGATACCGAATCTCATCATGTAATACGCTCACTTCTTCTTACGTGTGCTATGGTGCAATTTGCTCTCTAAAAGTACAAAAGTAAATCATGGTCAGTGATCTTACAAGTTATCAAATTCGACTTTTAAATCAGCATCTATCAACAATTTGCATTATCGTGTAACATCTGATCGACAGAAATATTGCCCGAAGCTAGACATGCATTTACGCTAAAGGTAGGCTTGAGGATGCAATAGCCAATCATTGTCATTATTGGCTCCTACAACTATGGCGATGGCTACTGAAGACCTGCAGCCCTAAGGAAGCGAGCTTTGCGCTATGCAACCTGCTTCACCACAATCGTCTAATTATACAACTTGCTTTCCTACCTTGGCCGTATCCTTTCTAGACGTTCATGTTGTATAGGGCAACCCACATTTAGTTTTTCTCACAATGCTCGCTTCTTGCTTGTGCATGGGTATACATCGTATTGCTGTCCTAGGATGGTATACTTATGCATACCGGTCACTGTTTTTGTTGACGCACATGGCAGTAAACGTTGCCTAGGTTTGTATAAATAGAGAAGAACCTGGATTACACGATACCGTACAAACATCCGAGCGCTCTTGTGCTTGAGAAGTAAGCTGTAGGTGACAGTATTGTGGATCCTACATAAACCATGTGTGGCTATTTCCACATCCAATGTATAAAAATTCCCATGTACCTTCTTTTTTTGATATAAAAAGTCCAATCCCTTTCAAACATGTGGTGGTAAATAATGTATAGCGCAAGAAGCTGGTTGAACAAGATCACGCGGTCACCATACGATTGCAATAGATGTGATTGGCATGAACTGTTAGTTCCCGATCCACGATGTGTGTAGCATTTCTGTTGATTTCGAGCGCTTTACGTTGTTTGGTTAGATCCGTTACAAGCCTTCTTGATTATCCGATCGCATTGTGAGATCCACATTACAAAGGTAACATGTAGGCGATCACCGCTACTAGTATTGGAAGATGATCGGCAGCAGTGTCACCGGCTTGTCTCAAGCGTGATTCATAATTAGAGCACGATTCGATAGAGTAAATATGAGCATGAGGTATATGCCAGAGAGCATGTTGTTTGTTTACTATGTTTTGAGCTATCTCGATAATGTTGATCGAACATCCCGGTTATGTACCATGTATTGTAAATGGCGACTGCAGCATTTATGTGTATGACAAGACCGATAACGGAGCCACAGGATCAGTGCGAAATGGATAAGATTGTGGGAAAACGCATGTACCCCGATCATCAACAAAGACGCGAAGAACAAAGAAATGGAGTGAGAAAATCCATCACCCGCATATCCAATGCAAGCCATTAACGGCTTCCTGGGAGATGAGGAGCATGATGCTACATGCGTGTGCGACAAAGAAAAACTTCCGTCTTAGGCGGTGACAGGTCGCGGTGGTAACGCTATCCCAGGTTACATCATTCTTTTCAAACTCGATTTTCATTTGGCAATACCAAGTGACCATGTTCCTCCAATTGCTCCTAAAAGCTCATTAAAGTGATTAGCGTGTTATTATCCATCGTCTTTGTTAAAAAGCACAAGGTAACCAAAGCCCAAACAATATGCAGCCTACCTTACCACTCGCTCAAAAGCTGCAATGTGCACAGCTACAATCGGCTAAGATGCCTAGCAACGGTGACTGGCGGATGCGCAACCTAATAGATGTTCGTTTCGATCACGCTATTTTGCTGTTCAAAGGAACGTTTCAAGTAGTACATGCCATGTAATCATTGTGTGTTTAGTAAATGTGATCTTTGACTTTCTTTCACGTTTAAGCGTCGGCTTTATAGGTGCTCGATCTTCATCATGTTGTCGACATAACTTGAAAACTTGATCGTGGGTATCACGCATTTCTCCCATGACATCTATAATCGTTGAGCGTTAAAAAATTACCATGCATGGTTTCGTATCCGAAATGATGAGCAAATTCCATAATTAGGGTCGTGGGGGTAATCATGGTTGTGTGTTTAGTAAACGGTTTGACTTTCTTTCTCGTGCAGATCCTGGTTCTGTATGCTTGCGATCCCTTTTATCGTACAACATCAAACACCATTATAAAATCACACGATTTTCTATGAGGACATGTATAATGATAGGATGCTAAAAGGTCACCATAAAGTAGCGGTGTAAAGGGATGAACAACCTTCATGGCTGCTTATCATTATCAAATCCCATGTCTTTCTTGATATGCAATGATTTTGAGAATTACTATACTCGGATGCAGGGAGTGAAGAAACGCAACAAGTGGAGAAGTCTGATACGGCTAATGCATAAATATCTCACGTCGAGCCCACCTTTGTTTGCTGCTGTCATAAAAGAGTCATGGAGGACAACACTAAACCTTACAAAGGTGTATGTCGAGATTTCTCGGGTAGCCTGATCCGACCCACCGGTTATGGATACCATTGGTGTTTTGCAAAGAACGAGAATATTCGTGATAGCCCAGTGTGAAAAGGTGCGACTGCTATCCTTGTAGATACATCATCAATTGACTGTCTTTGCACATCCGTTTTTGTACATTTGAGGCGTTTTTAAAAGGCGCTTTGCATTCGCCTCCTCACACCGCGTGCTTGACATTCTTCTACTACTCTCCAAGAAAGAATATTAAAGAACAAAATCATTGTATATGGCTACCAATACTCTTTTCACCGGTTTTTCTTCACACTCCTCACACTCTTTCCCAAACCATCAACAACAAGCCCACTCAGATTCTTCCATGCCACACCAAGATAACACAATACTACCATCATCAACTTCCTTCGTCGATCCAACAACATACCCTGCTTACAACTTGTCACAAGGATATGGCTTTGAAGATTGGTCTTGGTTACTGGAAATGACACATCCAACAGATGCAGCATCATCAAACATTTCTCCTTTGGTGCCTACGACCAGTGTGATGAGTAATAAGAAGCCATCTTATGGTGAATCACAAGCACCAGATGTCATTCATAGCCTTTCTACTGGATCAATATCGTCATCTTCACTATCAAGTGAAACACCATCCACCTATGACAACCATTTCAAGCAACCCATCTTTCGACGACAATCATCTTCTTCTTGCACAAGCAGCAGTTCTAGTAGTAACAACAGCAATGTAAGCACGAGCAGCAGCAGCAACATGGATAGCCATAACAGCAAAAGTGGCAATGGTGCAGGTAGTAGCAGGGCCCACCCATGCCCTTTTTGCTCAAGAACCTTTGCACGAAGACATGATCTCGAAAGACATACGCGTGTGCACACTGGTATCAAACCCTATGTGTGCCCTTGTTGTTTGAAAGGTTTTCCTCGTTCAGATGCGCGCGGGCGCCATTTTCGAAACGAGGCTGCATGTCATTTTGGTCCTCAAGTGCTCGCTTGGATGAAGAGGAATATGCGAAACACCCTCTGAGATAACACAATCCTTCTTCATTACTCGTCTTCCCACTCCTTTTGATTTTATTTGTTATTCTACATTATCCACGCTTTCAACGTTTGACATCATGATGCGTTTATGGAACACCTTTTCAGTTCTTCCCACTCATTCAGTTATCCAATCCAATCCCCACCTTTGATGGCATCTGAAGCTTCAAATCATCCTTATGAATCAGTGAACAAAAAACATACATTGATTGTACGTGTACAACATGTCCCATTAGTTCATCGCATCCCTGCTCTATGTGAATTCCCTTTTGGAATAAATGTATCACGAGTCAATAGGGGCCCAAATAAAAACACAAAGAAATCAACGATAAGAGTATATTAAGGGGGTGGGGCTTGGGTACATGGTGGTGCAATCGAGCTGCCGAGTCACAAGATACTCCAGGTTTTTGGTATGCAGGCCCGTGCGTGTGCATACAAAGAACGGAACGCCACATCCGTAGTAGATAATGGTCTACCTTGCAATAAGGATCATGATTGTTCTTTCTTCAAGCATCACTTTTTTAAGATCATCAAAGACAACGAGAACACAAACGGTGGGAATAGGGCGTGAAAAGGGGAAAGCTACGTATAGCACATCGATGTGACATCTTTGTTTCTAATCCACCTATTCCTTTATTGACATTTATCCGTGCTCAATTTAAATGAAAAAGGGAGTATGCAGTGCTATTCCTTCCTTATCTATCGCATGTCCTACGAGGATTGTTTACCGCGGGTATATATTTTCACCACCACTGTACCCAGCACGACTTGGGCCATCCAATGGAATAAACAAGTCCATGCCACCTGATACAAGTATTTGGGCGAGAACACAGTCCATACAAATAAATGATAACGAAGGGACCTCACCGAGAACGAAAGCACCATGATGAAGATTGCGAACAATGCAGATTGTGTGATGATGTAGTCGTACCACCGATCTTCCAAAGCCGATCGATCTTCCTCCTCATGATTTGGTTGGGTAGCCACACCATTGTCTATCACTAGACTCCATCCTGCAATGGCCCACCAAAGACTTGCTGACCAATTGGAGCAGAAGGTCAACGCACCGATGATCATCGTATCGTATCCATCCACACCAATGTATGCATTGCTAAGATCCACAGCAGCGAGCGAATTGGAATGACCAGTCATGAAAAATGTCAAGTGTGTCATGCAAGTGATTAAAACAGCCAACAGCCAACCTGGGATGTGTCGTTTAGGTTTTGGATCATCATCATCTGAGAAGAGCACTGCATATTGCCATCGTCGCCATACATGGAATTGGGATGCGTACAATACAAACAAAACAGCATTTTGTGTACGCGTGAAAAGGATCAACACAGGTGTGACGGCGTACAGCAATGCATCCAGATAATGCCGTGTTTGTAGTGAGTGGCGAAGCGGCTCATCATCATCTTCATTTGCGTCTTCCCCTGCATAAGATTCCACATCAGTCAATCGATGTTCTCCAAGTTTCTTTTGTCATACGTGATGCTCTCCATCTCCCTCCTTACCTGTTAATTGAAGCACATTAGCACGCTCGGTCACGTATACGAGTGCTGTCAAAACGAGTACACTTGTTGCTGCATAATTGTACACCAGTCGACCCAGGCTAACCATATCCAGCTGTGCTGCAAACTCAAAGTTTGGTGATATCAAAATCCACTCCTTATAGACATCGGGTATATCGTCATTGTCTGAAATGTCCGTACGCATCTTGTAAATCATGACCATCAATGCATATAAGCCGAACGTCAAAATGAATCCTAGCTTGCACAGCAATTGGATATAGCCGGCACTCGAAGAAACGGACATGATCCCTTGATTGTTTGCAATGTTGATTTTCCATATTCTCGTAACACCGAGCACGAAAAAGATCGACAATGAAAGGGCCAACAAGTGCCACCGGATATGATCACCACTACTCAACGTCTTCAATAATGTTGTTTGCACGCTGCGATCGCCCCAAGCCATTCCAATTCGTATCAAAGCCATTTGCAGAATACAAAGGGTCCCAAGTTGTAATCGTTTGGTGAATGGCTTCTCCATTGACAATAACCAAGAGCTATTGATATGATTGTGTTAGATGCTTTCCTCCTCCAAAATCCCTATTCTCCACACAATTTGTTTACCTTTCAATTGCAAGTAATAAGAACATTGTGGCTGTGCAATAATACCAAGTCATATGCTCTTCCTCGATGAAGCTGCTGGCAAACATGCTGACCATGTATGCTGCAATCACGAATACTGCAAATGCTTTGCTGAACGGCATACGATGTGCGTGAGTCCGGGTCTTTTCCCATCGTTGCATAGCCCATTTTTGAAGCCTCCAGGCACTGACAAGAATAAGTAATACACCGGCTAGCATGTCAAGTTCATTGTAATCACTTGCAGTGCTGGTAAGTCTCATTTGAGCGAATTCAATGAACTACAAGCATCACGGTTATTACCATGCATCCTGAACAATGAGAATCATGCATCACAAACCTTTAAATAGGCATCCATGGATAATTGTGCAGATTCCATGTTTGCTGTTTCCATGAACTGCTTGTGGTAATTGACTCCTCTGCTGTAAAACTTTCCATCTGCATGAGGCAGCAAAGTTGGGTCTTCTGTGCCGTGGAGATGAGGGATAATAAAAACGTCTGTGGTAGCAATCAGATTTCCCAGCTGATATGTGTTGAGTTGGAGTGCTCGGAGCAATAGTGATGGATCAGATTGCTTGAGGAAAAGTGATGGAATAACCTTCCCAAGGCTGTTGCGGGGTATCGGGATACCAAAAAGACAAGAGAGTGTCGGCACCAAGTCCACCTGATCAATAACAGGAAATCCAAATGGTCCATTGTGTTCGTCTTTGTTGATATTGAATGATTGTTTGTGCTTGATTGTAGGGCGCGATTCAAAGCGTGGGCTTAAAAGGACAAGTGCCTTTAATGATACGTAAGTCACATGCACTTTTACCATGATCCACCAAGAAGATGACTTACTGCTGATGTTTCACCAATAGAAGAACCACCATGGTTGCCATCCTTTGAATATGAAATGTTGGTACATGATGGGCAGCGTATACAAAGAAGACCATTTACCTCGTTCATTCCATGATCGCCGCAAAGAACAATGAGCGTACCTTTTGCATCAGGATTTTGCGATATACGATGTGCATCTTGTCGTGACACAATCTCATAGATATCCTCCACCACCTTATCCATCTCCTTCTGTTTTGGAAGCATCAACGGGCTACACAAAGTCGCATTAATCACATGTATCGTATACAAAGAATTGATTCTTACCTATATGGTCCACCCAAATGGCCCACATGATCCAATCCAAGATAATGAAAAATGACTGCATCCCAATCTTCCTCAGAGAGAACAGGTTTGATATGGCGTGTCACATTCAAATCGACCTCGACTGTATCCTAGTCAACACCAATTAATCTCTTATTTCCATATATATGCCATTGGTGATACTTACTGACACATAAAACGAGGTCGTGCCATCATGTTTGGTGAAGGTGCCTGGAAATAGTCTGATCCATGTATCATCTCCAAAAAAGTGTATCGTCCTGTTCCCTGACGCCTTGAGCTGATGCACCCAATTATCATGATGCTGCAAAGATGAGCTGGTATCCGACTCGGCAATATTGAGAATAGCATCCAAGAAGCTTGGTATGGTTCCTTTGGTATTTGATGATCAGCCCCTAAAACGTCCCTGCATGATTGACAACATTGTTCTTACCTGTGGTGAGAGCTTTGATACGCGGCATTGTCACAGTTGGAGCTGTTGCTTTGGCTGTAAAAGCTAACGCACCACCATCTACGATACGGCTAGACGAATAGCTTATTGAGCAACATGTAATCCACAATAGTGATATGAAGATACCTCTTGACAAAGTCAAATCCTGAGTCTTCGCCGAGAATAAAGTCGCTATAATACATGTAAGATACCATTCACCAACACCAAACTTGTATACATACTTTCGAAGTGCATCGACCACCATGAATACCAACCGATCGAATTCTGGTTCAATGATGAGCGGATCGCGACTTTGGTTTGGCCAGGATGGGGTATGAGAGGCATTGTTGAATCCAGGTAGGTACATCTTGTAAGGGAAGAATCCCCTAGCGAAGAGGGCTATGCCAGCAAGCTGAACGATCGCTAGGAAGCCTAAAAGCACCAAGGGCTGGTGGCATGGAAATCGCATGTGCGCGTTATGAAAGTAAAAGGTCTTGTGTCAGAGCAAGAACGAAATTGGCGGTATTATCCTGTACATAAAATGGATGTTGTAATTGTGCCATCACGTGCTCCTGTTGTCAATAGCCAAGTGCGACAATCAAGTTCTCGACATTATCATTACAATGGTTATATAGTAGACATCAAAATTATCAATAAAGCAAATGTTTGTGTAAAGTGAAAGCATGGGTATATACAAAGTTGAAATGCACTTTATTGACAAGGATACAATTTAATTGAGTCCATTTAGTGGGCAGCAGCAGCGGCAGCTCTGCGGCGATCACGCTCTTCAGCAATGGTGAGCTTGACACCCTTACCCTTGGGAAGAGAGATCCAGGGCTTGTTACCGGCACCAATGACGAAGACGTTAGAGATGCGGGTAGCAAAGACACGGTCGAGAGAATCCTTGACGTGAACAATCTCGAAACCACCAATGTGCTTCTCACGGTGGGTGATGATACCAACACGACCAATGTTACGACCACCGGTAACCATGCAGACGTTGCCAACATCGAACTTGACAAAGTCAGTGATCTTGTTGTTCTCTAAATCGAAACGGACAGAGTCGTTGACCTTGATAGCGGGATCGGGGTAACGCATGGTGCGGCCATCGTGGGTAACAGCGTAAGGGATGCCCTTCTTGCCAATGGTGATCTTCTTGACACGGCACAACTTGTACTTGGCCTCCTCATCGGTAATGCGGTGGATGGCGAAGCGACCTTTAACGTCATAGACGAGACGGAAGTTTTCACCAGTCTTTTCGATGGAAATAACATCTGAAAATGACCAAGCGAAAAAAAGCATCCGAGATTCGTCAAAGCTCTCGCCATCAATCACACGCTCAAATACGATATCCCCCCACCACCACCCTCCATTTTCCCATCCTTTCCAACAACAATGACTTACCCATGAAACCAGCAGGGAAGGTAGAATCAGTGCGGACCTTGTGGTCAACCTTGACCAAACGTTGCATGAGGATAGCTTGGACTTCACGGCCGTTCAAAGCATACTTCAAGCGGTTACGCAAAAAGATGATGAGTGGCAAGCACTCACGGGTCTTGTGAGGACCAGCGCTGGGCTTAGGAGCGTACGAGCCTAGACATTAAACAAGTGAGTGACATGTTGAATCACGTGCTTCAAGGGATTCAGTATAGCAAAAATCGATTCGTCATTGAAATCGGACTGTTGAGCTTGACATAATTTTTTTGCAATTCATCACCATCCCAATAGCGAGAAATCAAAAGAGGATTCTTACCGAGAAGCTTGTCAAGCATCCAGTGCTTGGGAGCATTCAAACGCTTCATATGCTTTTTGGGACCACGAGCCTATACATCCATTCATCCATCCGTTAGCACATTCATCCATCCATCATCCATTCATCTAATCCATGCAGATGCATTTGATGAAGCGTAATACATACCATTGTTAATGTAGTAGTTAAGAGAGAGAGAGAGAGAGATTGGATTCTTTGCCTTGCAGCAGCAGGTTTTATGAAATTATTCTCCTTCCTCCCTCCTCCGACAAAAAGCCACCTTAATCCATCCCACTTGCCGACCCGTGTCGCACAAGAAAATAATGGCTCCATACATCTACATCTCCCATTGATCCACATTCAAGTGTGAAAGTTGCAAGTTCGAGATAGCCAATCTCGAGGGTTATGGACCATACACGCCATCCGTTTCATCATGTCTTCTACATTTGGGACGCTTCCATTAAACACTTTCATAATGAAGCATGAGGTTTTTATTAAAGCAACGTGATCAGCATGAACAAGAGCATCTTGTGTGAAGGTTTCAGGTTCTAGAGGGGCAATCTCATAATCAAGGATTGATGTACAGCGTTCATGCATTTATACAAGAGGTGTTTGACCTATTTAATTTCCACTCCTTCCACTCCCATAACTTCTTGTCTCTTCTCCTCCCATTCTCAACTGTTGCCCCATTCAAGTATACAACTACAACCTGCAAACGATTGTCCTGCTTCAATCCATCATGTCAAGCATACGATTGTCTTGATCCGAGAGCCTCTGACTGAATGGCAAGTCCATGGCGTGTGCACCCATACAACACCCTGCGTCTCTTGACAACCCACAACTACCACTATCAAACGTAACAGCATTCATTCCAGCGGTTGCTATTAGCAATGCGTTTGCTCCATTGTCTCAAACAGCATTCGCAACCTTGTCACTTTACTACAACACACGTTCTCTTGCTCACTTCTTCCACAACCAAACGTTACTTGCAGCAACATGCCCTGCAGCCTTTTCTACGTGAACAGCAACTAGCCATTGTATAGAAGCAGCTTTATTTACGTGCAACACCTTGATTTAATACGTATGGATCCCTGTGGATGATGCCATATCAACCATCAACTACTATTACAAGCATTCTTCACCTGATTGACCGACAAAGAAAATGACCAAGAAAGATAGACGAAGAGCACGATGGGAAAGGAAGCACGTCAGCAAGCGATCCCAGGAGTTCTTTATATCGACATGTTGGATTTGCAATGGTTATGGATGGATGGACGGATGCAATCAAGCAGAGTGATAGGTGATCCTGAAATGTAGTTTTGGCTACTTGAGATGTCGTCAGCAAGAGGGATGGACCATGTTACATGGGTGCGGCTGAGGATGACGATGGATTGGATGGTATACATAAGAGGGCTTATGTCTTTGACGAAAGGCGGCTTGTTGCCATGGATGATATTGGAATGTTGAAGTCAAGACACGCACAGCAACTAATTTGAGATCGTGGATGAAGATGCTTATGACGGCAGCAACCAAGAATACAATGACACAACGATACCCGCTGATTCTATGTGATCCACTGATTGGTTTCTGGAAGGGAAAAGAGGATAGAAAGGTGAAAGTTGCAAAGCGAGATTAGATCGACTATATTACTGTATCGAGACACTTTTGTTCCTTTTATCATGTACATTCATTAAAGCTTACTTGTTCATATACTGCTAGACCATAGACTGTGGCAATTCTCAGTGTACTGTATAGATGTTTAAATAGACGCTTGTATTTTCAAAGATAATAAATCCATAGTAATGATACCCAACAATAGTGCTTGCTACAGAAGATTGTTCCATTGTAAGCTCAACATTACGTTTACGAAAGAGTGAGCTCTGATACAATGTGATACGAGTACATACATGTGCTTTTCCCCTACGACAACCTTCAGCATGCGCTTGTATGTATAACTTTGCATAGGAACGTATCCTGGAGAGAATAAATACTCACCTCTCCTCATACTCTCTGTTGCATTGATCATTTTTGGCTGGTTAATCATACCATGGCTTTACTCGAAAAGAATCCCATGAGGTCTACCATAGGCGGATCTTCTATAGGGGGAGGATCCGTTATGCACTTTCCGCCAATAAGAACTCTTCAAGCCCTGCCCTCAGCTTTGTTACACCAACAAGTCCCTCTGCATCTTTGGCTACTACATGACGATGACAAGCACCACCTTCCATATAGCATCACGCTTACAGCATATGTAAAACATAAAGGTGCCTGTATCTCTAAACTTTACAATGAAACGTGGGGTTTTTAATAGAGCAATGGCTTCGGCTTGGCCAACAGCACCTTGGGTGCAAGTTTCACGTTGATCGTGGCCAATCCCAGATTTCGTAATGTCGCCACCAGCCAAACTGGATCTGGGGGTCGACCTCTTCGACGACGACGACGACCAAAAAATATTTTTTGGGCTGTTTGCGACATTGAACACAAAACTTTCACACAAGGTGCTGTTGGCCAAGCCGAGCCCATTGCTCTAATAAAAACCCCACGTTTCATTGTAAAGTTTGGAGATACAGGCACCTTTATGTTTGTAAGCGTGATGCTATATGGGAAGTGGTCTTTGTTCAATGTCAAGTTGCTGGACCCTGGCAGAGCAAAAGATGCAGAGGGACCTCTTTGTATAACTCAGCTACTTTGCATGACTGGAAGGATGGAAGGATGATACTGTATACTATTGACAATATCCCATACATTGCGAGCTAACAGCCATTTCCTCACAATTAGCAATGTTGCCCGTTCTATGACAGTGGAACGATGCTCCTGCTTCAGACATTCATTTCCATTATTGATTATGTTGATCCGAGTTGATTTGACCGAGATACAGCCAAAGAGGGATTACATCAATCCACACATCTAACCATGCTCTATGTTGTTTAACTGAAGTAACCTTGTATGAGCGTAGCTCAGCCAAATCAACTCGGATCAACATAATCCAATCATGGAAATGAATGTCTGAAGCAGGAGAATCGCTCACATGTCATAGAGTGGACAACAGTGGCTATTGTGAAGAAATGGCTGTTAGCTCGCAATGTGTACGGGCTTTTGTCAACAGTATATAGTATCATCCTTCCATCCTTCCAGTCATGTAAAGTAGCTGAGTACAAAGAAACCCTCTGCATCTTTTGCTCTGCCAGGTCCAGCAACTTGACATTGAACAAAGACCACTTCCCATAACAGCCGCTTACAAACATGCTGCGCCTGTATCTCCAAACTTTACAATGAAACGTGGGCCGGCTAGAGCAGCTGGCTCGGCTTGGCCAACAGCACCCCAGGTGAAAGTTTTCGTGTTCAATGTCGCAAACAGCCCAAAAATATTTTTGTCGTCGTCGTCGTCGAAGAGGACGACCCCCAGATCCAGTTTGGTTGGTAGCGACATTGCGAAATCTGGGATTGGCAAGCTTGATCGTGAAACTTTCACACAAGGTGCTGTTGAAGCCAAGCCGAGCACATTGCTCTAATAAAACCACGTTTCATTGTAAAGTTCGGAGATACAGGCACCTTTATGTTTGTAAGCGTGATGCTATATGAGAAGTGGTCTTTGTTCATTGCTATGTAGCTAGATCTTTGGAGAGCCAAAGATGCAGAAGGACCTCTTTGGGTAACTCAGCTAAAAAGTCAGGACTTCAGGAACAATGCATGACAGGTACGCAACCCTGTCATGAGCAATACGTAACTGAACGAAGCAAGTACTGACCCGTGTCGCACAAGAAAATAATGGCTCCATACATCTACATCTCCCATTGATCCACATCTGGGCGTGAAAGTTAAAAGTTCGAGATAGCCAATCTCGAGGCTATGGACCATACACATCCGTTTCATCATGTCTTCTACATTTGGGACGCTTCCATTAAACACTTTCATAATGAAGCATGAGGTTTTGTTAAAGTAACGTGATCAGCATGAACAAGAGCATCTTGTGTGAAGGTTTCAGGTTCTAGAGGGGCAATCTCATAATCAAGGATTGATGTACAGCGTTCATGCATTTATACAAGAGGTGTTTGACCTATTTAATTTCCACTCCTTCCACTCCCATAACTTCTTGTCTCTTCTCCTCCCATTCTCAACTGTTGCCCCATTCAAGTATACAACTACAACCTGCAAACGATTGGTCCTGCTTCAATCCATCATATCAAGCATACGATTGTCTTGATCCGAGAGCCTCTGACTGAATGGCAAGTCCATGGCGTGTGCACCCATACAACACCTGCGTCTCTTGACAACCCACAACTACCACTATCAAACGTAACAGCATTCATTCCGTGGTTGCTATTAGCATGCGTTTGCTCCATTGTCTCAAACAGCATTCGCAACCTTGTCACTTTACTACAACACACGTTCTCTTGCTCACTTCTTCCACAACCAAACGTTACTTGGTAGCAACATGCCTCTGCAGCCTTTTCTACGTGAACAGCAACTAGCCATTGTATAGAAGCAGCTTTATTTACGTGCAACACCTTGATTTAATACGTATGGATCCCTGTGGATGCCATATCAACCATCAACTACTATTACAAGCATTCTTCACCTGATTGACCGACAAAGAAAATGACCAAGAAAGATAGACGAAGAGCACGATGGGAAAGGAAGCACGTCAGCAAGCGATCCCAGGAGTTCTTTATATCGACATGTTGGATTTGCAATTGTTATGGATGGATGGACGGATGCAATCAAGCAGAGTGATAGGTGATCCTGAAATGTAGTTTTGGCTACTTGGTGACGTCGTCAGCAAAGAGGGATGGACCATGTTACATGATGGGTGCGGCTGAGATGACGATGGATTGGATGGTATACATAAGAGGGCTTATGTCTTTGATTGAAAGGCGGCTTGTTGCCATGGATGATATTGGAATGTTGAAGTCAAGACACGCACAGCAACTAATTTGAGATCGTGGATGAAGATGCTTATGACGGCAGCAACCAAGAATACAATGACACAACGATACCCGCTGATTTCATGTGATCCACTGATTGGTTTCTGAAGGAAAAGAGTGATAGAAAGGTGAAAGTTGCAAAGCGAGATTAGATCGACTATATTACTGTATCGAGACACTTTTGTTCCTTTTATCATGTACATTCATTAAAGCTTACTTGTTCATATACTGCTAGACCATAGACTGTGGCAATTCTCAGTGTACTGTATAGATGTTTAAATAGACGCTTGTATTTTCAAAGATAATAAATCCATAGTAATGATACCCAACAATAGTGCTTGCTACAGAAGATTGTTCCATTGTAAGCTCAACATTACGTTTACGAAAGAGTGAGCTCTGATACAATGTGATACGAGTACATACATGTGCTTTTCCCCTACGACAACCTTCAGCATGCGCTTGTATGTATAACTTTGCATAGGAACGTATCCTGGAGAGAATAAATACTCACCTCTCCTCATACTCTCTGTTGCATTGATCATTTTTGGCTGGTTAATCATACCATGGCTTTACTCGAAAAGAATCCCATGAGGTCTTTCATAGGCGGATCTTCTATAGGGGGAGGATCCGTTATGCACTTTCCGCCAATAAGAACTCTTCAAGCCCTGCCCTCAGCTTTGTTACACCAACAAGTCCCTCTGCATCTTTGGCTACTACATGACGATGACAAGCACCACTCATATAGCATCACGCTTACAGCATATGTAAAACATAAAGGCGTGCCTGTATCTCTAAACTTTACAATGAAACGTGGGGTTTTACATAATGGCTTCGGCTTGGCCAACAGCACCTTGGGTGCAAGTTTCACGTTGATCGTGGCCAATCCCAGATTTCGTAATGTCGCCACCAGCCAAACTGATCTGGGGGTCGACCTCTTCGACGACGACGACGACCAAAAAATATTTTTTGGGCTGTTTGCGACATTGAACACAAACTTTCACACAAGGTGCTGTTGGCCAAGCCGAGCCCATTGCTCTAATAAAAACCCTTAATACCATTTGTAAAGTTTGGAGATACAGGCACTCCCATAAGTAAGCGTGATGCTATATGGGAAGTGGTCTTTGTTCAATGTCAAGTTGCTGGACCCTGGCAGAGCAAAAGATGCAGAGGGACCTCTTTGTATAACTCAGCTACTTTGCATGACTGGAAGGATGGAAGGATGATACTGTATACTATTGACAATATCCCATACATTGCGAGCTAACAGCCATTTCCTCACAATTAGCAATGTTGCCCGTTCTATGACAGTGGAACGATGCTCCTGCTTCAGACATTCATTTCCATTATTGGATTATGTTGATCCGAGTTGATTTGACCGAGATACAGCCAAAGAGGGATTACATCAATCCACACATCTAACCATGCTCTATGTTGTTTAACTGAAGTATCCTGTATGAGCGTAGCTCAGCCAAATCAACTGGATCAACATAATCCAATCATGGAAATGAATGTTCGAAGCAGGAGAATCGCTCATGTCATAGAGTGGACAGTGGCTATTGTGAAGAAATGGCTGTTAGCTCGCAATGTACGGGCTTTTGTCAACAGTATAGTATCATCCTTCCATCCTTCCAGTCATGCAAAGTAGCTGAGTTATACAAAGAGGTCCCTCTGCATCTTTTGCTCTGCCAGGGTCCAGCAACTTGACATTGAACAAAGACCACTTCCTTACAAGCATCACGCTTACAAACATAAAGGTGCCTGTATCTCCAAACTTTAGCAATGAAACGGGGTTTTTATTAGAGCAATGGGCTCTCGGCTTGGCCAACAGCACCTTGTGTGAAAGTTTCGTGTTCAATGTCGCAAACAGCCCAAAAAATATTTTTGGTCGTCGTCGTCGTCGAAGAGGACGACCCAGATCCAGTTTGGCTGGTAGCGACATTGCGAAATCTGGGATTGGCAAGCTTGATCGTGAAACTTTCTACACAAGGTGTTGCTACCGCCGAGCACATTGCTCTAATAAAAACCACACGTTTCATTGTAAAGTTCGGAGATACAGGCACCTTTATGTTTGTAAGCGTGATGCTATTATGGAGAAGTATTCTCGGTTCATTGCCATGTAGCTAGACCTTGGAGAGCCAAAGATGCAGAAGGACCTCTTTGGGTAACTCAGCTAAAAAGTCAGGATTTCCCTTCAGGAACAATGCATGATGAAAATAACCCTCATTTTCATGCGTCATACATTGGCAGCTAATAGCCACTTTGTGCATTCCCAACTTTTGTGCATTCTATAGGTGGACGATGCTCCTGCTCAGACACCACTTCCATGGACAAAGTAGGTTGATCCGAGCTGATTTGGTTGAGTTATTCACACAAGGTTTCATCGGTTGAGCTACATCGAGCGTGCTTTATGTCCGGAGTGATGTAATCTCTCTTTGACCGCAGCCTGGGGCCAAATCAGCTCGGATCAACCTACTTTAATCATGGAAATGAATGTCTAGAGCAGGGGCATCGTCCGCATGCAGTGGATCTCGCAACAATGATGATTGGATAAAGTGGCCGTTAGCTAGCAATACATGCCTGTTCCTAGATGATCCATAAAGTAATTATACATTGACCCTTTCATTCATGCAAACGTAGCTGTGTTACACAACACGACCCTCTGCATCTTTTACCGTCAGGGTCCACCTACTTTACAATGAACAAAGACCACTTCTTCCTATAGCATCACGCTTACAACATAAAGGTGCCTGTATCTCCAAACTTGGCTATCGAAAACGTGGGTTTTTATTGTTGTTGGGCTCGGTCAGCTTCAACAGCATCTTGTGTGAAAGTTTCGCGTTCAATGTCGCAAACAGCCCAAAAAATATTTTTTGGTCGTCGTCGTCGAAGAGGTCGACCCCCAGATCCAGTTTGGCTGGTGGCGACATTGCGAAATCTGGGATTGGCCACGATGAACGTAAAACTTTCACACAAGGTGCTGTTGGCCAAGCCGAGCCCATTGCTCTAATAAAAACCCCACGTTTCATTGTAAAGTTTGGAGATACAGGCACCTTTATGTTTTACATATGCTGTAAGCGTGATGCTATATGAAAAGAGTTCTTTGTTCATTGTCAAGTAGTATGACTATAGCCAAAGATGCAGAGGGGCGTGTTTGTGTAACTTTCAGTCAACATAGGCGATGCATGGTACATGATACTTGTACACTATCACGAATACGTAGTTCCAAATGCCAGCCAATAACCCAGTCCTCCCTTTCTCCATTGTTGCCCAATCCAATGCATACGAACGCTTGTCCTGCTCCAGCTCATCATTTCCATCATTGAACTTTCTTGATCCGAGTGGATTTGACTGAACAACGCTCAAACACAGAAACATCATCCAATATCAGAAGAATCAAATGGGTAAGTTATTTGTAACCTGCCGGCTAACAGCCCATTCCTCCCATTCACCTTTGTTGCCCAAAACAACGGATGTGAACGATTGTCCTGCTCCAGACCATCATGCTCATCATTCAACTTTCTTGATCCGAGGGGATTTGACTGAACAACGCTCAAACACAGAAGTATCATCTAATATGAGAAAAATCATTTTGCAAAGTTATTTGTAAGCTGCCAGTTAATAGCCCACTCCTCCCATTCACCTTTGTTGTCCAGTCCAATGCATACGAACGATTGTCTTGCTCCAGCCCCGCATGCCCATCATTTAACTTTCATGATCCGAGGGGATTTGACTGAACAACGCTCGAACAAAGAAGTATCATTCAAGGCATCAGGAAAATCTATTTGACTTCCACTCCTTCCACTCCCACTTTATTTTCTCTTCCTCCCATTCTCAACGGTTGGCCCATTCAAGTATACAACTACCACCTGCGAACGATTGCCTTGCTTCAACCCACCATGTCAATCCTACGATTGTCTTGATCCGATTGTCATTGACTGAATGGCAAGTTCATGGGCGTGTACACTCCACTACAGCACCCGCGTTTCTTGACACTTCACGTTCCCTTGTACACTCTTCTATCACCACCAAACGTAACAGCATCCATTCCAGCAATTGCTATTAGCAAGGTCTTTACTATATTGTCTCCAACAGCGTTCTTTACTTGCAGCAACTTGCCTTACGGCCTTGTTCACGTGGACAGCAGATAGCCATTGTTTAGGAGCAGCTTTCTTTACGTGTATCAACTTGTTTCAATACAATCGAATTCCTATGATGGATATGGATATGGATATGGATATGGAAATGGGTACATGGAATGGAAGGGTCTGGACATGTGCAATACGTGGAAAAAGAGCGTTGTCAACTTGACCATTAAGCTTGGTGCATCATCCTGAACGATTGGGTGCATCCAATTCTCGTACTTCACATCATGTACACGTAGCAGCTACTATCATCATCCTTTATGCAACCTGTCAATCATGTACAGCCATCATCATCCAAATCCATGACTTGGCACGCCATGCATCATATAATTCGCCATCATGCACCTTTGCACAATGCTCACCCAAAGGATAGACATCTCCCCCACCCAATTGAAGCAATTCATTGTACACTTCTCAATCTATCTCTTGTGAATGATGTTGGGATTAAAGTATTACTTTCACGAGTACGAGAGATGCGTTGTCAACCATTTGTAACTGGAAGAGACCTTACTGAAGCATTGTATTATAGAATGACTTACGGTATAGCAAAGTGGAGAGGAAGATAAAGAGTCAGGTTGATTCATTGTATCTTGAACAAAGGTTGCGTTTGATAGTCTAATAGACCTCCCTTTTTTTGTGGGATGAGATCTTGTCGATATGCCGTAATACACGTTCCATTTTTTTATGATTTAGACCTTCTTTATTAGTATACAGCAGGAGGTACATTCACTTTACAATTGCTATGGCTACGATGATGTTGATTTTGGCTTGTTGTGAGGAGGGACACAGTATATAGCGATGTGCTTCTTGGCTTTCTTTCCACGAGATGACACTTGTTGTTGCTCCTCTTGTAACAACCCAAGCAAAGCATTTGATCGTTCTGGTCCAAGTTTCGAGAAATAAGATATCATTAACCTCTCTTCTTGATCTGATAGCAAAGGTCGTAGTATAGCACGCCGCTTTTGACCACTAGCCTTCCTCCATTTAACAAGTCTCGATTTTAGTTGAGTCGCAGCGAGCTCACGAAACATTCGACGTTGTCGGGTATCGCGTAAACCTTCAATGATTTGTAGCATAAACACGCGGATAGATTCGCCCAATTCGTTGTCATCATCGTCGCCCACTTGCAGGATAGATTCACACACCAAGCACAATGTCAATAACGATAACGCTTTCCTGGAAGCCATCTCGTCGTTGTAGAGTGGATAGAATACATCAACGACTACAACTTGATGTGCCGAAGCTTGTGGGTTTTCCATATCGTATTCTTCGAGAGGTTGATCTTCGCCATCATAAATCCCAGCCACGTTCTTGCTTGCATATGGGTCAGTGTACATGTCATCGCGCACGCTATTCAAACTTGGGTTCTGTGCATAATGGGGGAAGGGATCGGCCCAGCTGTGTATTCCCTGAATGATAAAGTTAGCTCAAATCATTGATGTATATCCCTATAACCTACCTGTAATATCCTCACAATGCAATTGACAAAGTATGCTTGAGACCCTTTTGATGCATCAGGAGGACACTTTTTCCCAAGTAGATTGGTGCAATAAAGCACTTTGTAAAAGATCTTCGCATCTATGATACCTTGTAAGAAATGGATTGTATCCAAAATGGTAATCATCCTTACCCCTTTTCGTAAGCATCTTGGCAAATGGGCTCAAAGCATCATTGGCATATGCAAAGTCGACAACCACGTGATGTGCATCAAATGAATCATAGAGGTGATCGAGAAAGTCGACTAGCAATTGTTCGTACTCGACGCTGACGCTGAGCGATAAGCTGGGGAAAAGGCTTTGGTAAAGATGGTGTGTCACGATCTTATCTTCCATCGGGTGTTGGTAGAGAGTCTTCAGATGGTGTTTCCACACATGCTTGGTCTAAGGAGCACAATTAGTTCCAATGATATTTGGTAGAAGATGGATCAACCCACCGAAAAAAGCTTCTCTATGAATAGTGGCGATAGCTTGCATGTATCAAATAATACATCCCAACATGTTTGGTGTGCGTGCGACATGGTTCCATAAAGGCGACAGGTGCCGTCGAGGGTATCAACCATGGGCTGAAGAGATCTCGGTATCGATAGTTTCGCTTTGGTGGGGTCATGTCGCTTTTGCAGCGTAAATTGAAAGTCGCTCCACAGCATACACGTCCTCCAATCTATGGATTGAATCATGTCAATGAAGCCCTTGCATAGGCATTCTTCATCGTGTTGCATGAATCACATACCATAATTCATTTCAAGTTGAGCGAATATTCCATTGACAACATCTTCGGAGGAAATGATATCGGTGCTTTGCATCAAAGAGTGTAATGTAGTTTGCAAGAGGTTGAATGCCATTTCCAATAGCTGTATCGAAGGTGCTGTTGATTGGTCTAGCGTATATCTGTTTTCCAGTACTTCTGTCAAAGCAAAGCATAAATCAACCGGTGCTGCATTGGATAAAATGGCTGACTTGATCACGTTGGCATCCCTGAATCTCTCGTGTTGCATCTTATCGCTTCCATAAAGGGCATCGAGTATGCGCAAACCCAATTCCATCATTGTCCACTGGTCATCTTTTGCTGAAAGTAATAGAGGAAGCTCATCAACAATGAAATCCGTAGAATCGAACAAGACATTTTGATCGGTCCGCACGTGATCTCGAGGAATAAGGATACCAGGGTATTCTTCAAAAGATGAATTCTAAACACAAAAATTAGCACTTTTCATTTGTAATGATGTTTGCTTTACCTACCGGGGAGCTGCAACACATTTTAAACAATGAAGCAATAGCAGATACATTGACACGTAAGAAATCCAATTCTGACTGTGATATCAGGGCTTGCAGATAGTGGCCAAGAAGCGTTGTACTCTTTCCATCATGCGAGATCCCTAACTTGGCGAGACCACCGAGTTGCCGTAATACTGGTATCATTGTCTTTTGCTTGTCTTGATTCACCACACATTGAGAAGCAATCTCGCTGATAACTTTGTAAGGCCAAAATATTGAAAGCTTCAGGCCATTAATAAGACACGGAAATCATTTGGCAACCGCCCACCTCACGTACCACTGTAAGACCTTTTGTAGCATGATCCCAGCTAACATGCTTGTTAGAGCACTGGTTGAGAAGTCTTGTAAGCTCGCCGTTAAAATCCAGCTCCTGGAATCCATTGAAGAGGTTGTATTCGACACCATGGTATAACGTCCTTTTAAAACTCATTATTGATATATCCTTAGCGGCGGTGCATTTACTTACATGTGCTGAAAGATATAATCCCGAATCGCCATCAGTTCATTCTTGTTGTCAATGCTCTCCAGCAATTTACGAAAGAAGCGGCATAGCTGCTCCATCTTTGTTTGCGTTAATACATGTCCAAAGGAATCGAAATAGCCACTACTTACTTTGACTTGCTCTTGCTTTTGTGCGGGTATCCGATATAGCGCCTTATAAAGGTTATGATAGCAATCAATAATCATATGATTATCCCGTATGATCGTCACAAAGACGTCCATGACATTGGGTTGTATCCATTCCCTGCGCAAGTAGATAAATAAACCATTTCTTCGCTGAGAGTATTTGATGGGTATTCACTTACTCAATCCAAAGATCAGTGTATTGCACCATCAACTTGAGAATAGATTGCCATGAAGGGTGCTGATCATGTAAAGCATTCAGGCATTGTTGTTTGCAATGTGATAAGGCGTCATCGCTTTGGGATAATGTCTGCTGAAGAGCATCGAACACGTGATCTGGTAGCATCTTGATATGATCCAAGCATTCCTTAATGGCTAATGATGGAAATGGACGTGACATTTCTTGCATACGCTCACACAAGAGGATGAATGCCATGGCGTGATCATTGTCTCTCCATTCTTCTTTGATGTTGGTGATACTATAAATCATCCTTGAATACTGCTGCCATCGCTCTACTGATAGATGCTTACGTTGTGTTTTGTTGGGTATTGACATGGATACGGCGTCGTTTATGCTGTAATTGGTTGTCAGGTGCTTTTGATGCAAAAGAACTGGGAAGACAAACGTCCTGGATCCTTAAAAGATAGATCTTGCGACTCGGCTTGCACGTTTTCAATTGCTCCGCAAGCAACTTCTGTAACTTGATGGACTCGTCTCCTGAAGAAACAAATTGGCCCGCTGTGATGAAAGCAATAGCATCCATGAAATCTCGGTCGTGTGCTATAGAATTGGCGATTCTCATATAGGGCACCAGAAAACGAGTAGCGTGCCGATCATCAGAGCCCATCATCTCTTGAAGTACTGCTAAAGCATCCTAAACAATGAATGAATGAGTCTACCTACACAAAGAGCTTACATGCTATTCAACTTACTTGATATGGTAATAGGTAAACATCTCCCATAATATGAATGAATAAATCATTGTCATCCATCAATGCCAAGAACTCTCTTGTCGTAATTCCACGTTCGAATCGTGATACAGAGAAATCAGATCGGCTAACTTCGTGTTACATATGCGTCAATAGCAGGGACATGTGATAAAAGGATGCAATCAACGTACCATCTTTAAAATGCCATGCACGAAATAAGACTCGACTTAACGCGACACGTGCTTCATGGGAGTGACCATAATATTTGAGCGTTGACCGGAAAGTATCTTGTAAGATATCCGTGGCAGCGTTGCTGGAATAAAGCGTACCGTTAGCGTTTGTGTCATACCTTTGTTGGCACTTTTATCCCACCTTGGTACCCGTGTCAAATACTCGAGTGCACCATCCAGATCAGCCTATCTATTACATTAGCCCATTTCATTCTCTGCTTGCATTGGTTAACTTGCCTGAAAGACAGCCTCCATGGCACTTGATCTCGAAAGTTGCATTGCTAAAAGAAGAGGACAACCGTCGTGAGACCCACTACTCCGCCTTTTCTCTTTTTTGATCATGGATCCCGTCATAGCATACGTACAAGCCAATGTGGACGCCATTCCGTTCAAGTCATTACAAGCAGACGAACCCGAGCCCAGCAATGAAGAAAAGATCGCAACTATGGCAAGAGTCGCCGAGGGAGACCCAGGTTTATTCCTTAGTCGATGGGGACAATATCTACCACGTGCCATTCTCGAATACTTTCAACCTCTACGCGGTATGTTATATAATCAAACGAGCTATGCTCTCTAAAAAGTAATGACGCTGAATGATCGATGTATGCAGATCTCGATTATGAAGTTGACTTTTATCTACAACAATTGATGGATGAGCCAAGCAAACCACAACAACGCATTGTCAGCAATCGTCGATATGAATACCTCAAACGACACCTTCGTGAATCCTCCTACTTTTCTGATGACTCTATGCAGCAACGTGAACCCGTCTTGTATGAGCAATACGTGGGGCAATATCAATCCGAGCAAGAAAAAACGATGCCATTTGCCAACGATGTTACCCTTGTGCAGCGTGTTCTTAGTAACATTGATCGGCATTATGCAAGTGAACAAGTCCGAAAACAGAAAATCATTGAAGAGGAACAATTTGAGGAGGAAGAAGAAAGCGAAGATGAAGAGGAGGATGTCCAAGATACACCAATGTCTGATGATCGTACTGGGGCCTTGCCTTCAAATCAACCAGCAGAAGATACTCAACATGAAGAAGCCGAGTTTCGGGAGAGTCAACGTCAGGAGCTGATACGTTTACTTGAAGAGCGGTTTTTGGCAGGGAAAGATGTAAGCAGTGACACCTAGCATCGATGTTCTGCAAATAGGTTATTGACTCTCTTTTCATTAGCCTGAATTTGATTACAGCAAAGTGGACATGAATGAGGTAAATACATAGTAGCGCTTGAATCATGTGATCAGGGTACTCAATATCCTCCGTATTTATTGTTATTAGGCTTATGATGATCTCACACAACAAGGCCAAGACATGGAAGATCGATATTTCGATGAAGAAGAACCTGGAATTGGTACATCGACACCACGCTCCACTGTGTACACTGGCGAACTTGATTATTAGTCATGCGTGTATAGCTCTTCTTTTATTCCAAAGTGTAATATAAACAACATGGATTCATTATTGAACACATCTTAGATTGACAACTGGATTAAAAGGTGGTGGTGATTGTTTATTGTTGTACTAGTAAATCGCCATTTTTTTACTCAAAGGTTTTTCGCCAAGTACCGCTTCGAGGCACTGCACCAAAGAGTTCTTCCGTTTCATCATTATAAGTATTGGCAGCCAACACATGAGGTGGAATCATGGGTCCTTTGTCATCCTCATCATCTGATGCACTATGGGTAGGTGATCCATCCTGCCTTAATAAAGACATGCGTCGACTGCTTCGAGTATCCAGAGATTGACCCACGAGTCCATCCAGCTGAGGACGATGGGTGGTACGGGTAACAGCGATTGACTTGCGACGTTGTTGATGTGGTGGGAATAGCAGGGATGCTTCCTGATCAGCAAGGGAAAATCGATCAAAGCTGACAAGGCTCTTTGCTTGTTGTTGTTGTTGTTGTTGATCGAGGCGGGTATTTTTCTGTACACTGCTTCTTACGTTTGTAGGATCTTGATCAGCAGGGTTGACGGCGTTCTCATTGAATGATCCTTGGGTAAATTTGGGTGTATGTTGCTCATAGCTGATAGCAATAGGTACTGATGTAGCATAGGCAGAAACAGATGTCGATAATGGATCTACAACAAAAAAGGTTAGATCTTGTAATTGATCATTGACAACATCCTTTTTCTTACCTTGATCATCCTCTTGTTCGATATGTATGTTTTCCTCCACTTCAAATCCTGGGATGTACTTGGTACTGGATCTTCGTTTGCTCCATGTGGGTGTTGATTTGCCTTTGCCCTTTTCATCTCCTTGCTTTTCCTCGGATACCATATCCTCATCCAATTCGAACATTCCTTCGCTATCCTCATCTGAAGAAAGTGGTTGATCTAATATTATAATACAATGAATACATGATTCACCATCATTCATCCTCCAAGGATATTTACCTTCATCATCTTGTGAAACGGGATGAAATTGTTTATCTCGAAGGCTGGATGAAATATGATGTTCGTCTAGAGCAAAGCTGGATGCACGAAGTGATGATGGTTTCACAAATGAACGGCTACCCGAACGAGCTGGTGATGCTGAAATCCCCATAGATGACGATGAGGGTTGTTGTTGCTGTTGTCGCATTCCATCATGTGCTTCAAATCGAACAAAACTCCTTGATAAAGATTCGGAAGTATCCTGATCGTGTCCTTTTTGTTGTTGTTCTTGCTCATGCACCGTCCTTGATACCTCCAACATTTTGTGCCATAAAAGTTGTCGATCGTATTTTGCCTTTGCAGAGGCACGTTCGAGTGCAGCCAATTGTTCCTGCCGATAGCGTTCAATGCGTGCGTCGGTTTCTGATTTCATCTGATTCAGCGATCGTTCCAATTGTTGGCTGAGTTGAGTATGCTGAGAATATAGCTCGCCTGGTACACTTGCTATAGAGAAAGAAATCATGCAGGGGAATCATATCGACGCATGAGTCATACTAGGTCACATAACACCCATTCACACACACTCACACACACCTTACAAGAGCATTTACCTTCATCATCAGCCGAGATTTCTGTTGCATCAGTGTATAACACAATACCAAAGTTGCTGGAATAATTGGTATGTTGCTTAAGCTTGTCAATGTCTTCACCATACTATGATCATACCCATTAGCTACCAGTTGACTCTTCCAAATGATACCTTCAATCGCTTACAATTGTTTCCCTGTGAATAATCACACGATCGCCTTGTCGATAAAGGTCTTGAGCATCCACAGGATAGACTATAGTGGGCTTGGTGGGTCGTTGTATGGAATAAACGTCACCAGTAGTGCAATTCAAGCAAGACACCGTCATCCAGTTGTCATCACGAGCTCTTGTTCGAATGAGCGTGTTGTATTCCTGTTTACACGCGATTAGAGAGTGAAGCCATAGGATCAGTTGGCATCAATATCTTACAGATTGTACACCACCCATGCCGAGCTCAAATTGCCAGCCTTCCAAATGAGGATCGCTTAGACGAATGAATGCTGCTGCCCGGTGAGCATCGTGACGATCTGAATAGTAGTTGTTTGCGAGGTGTAGACGGACATTTAGGCAGGCGCAGGAATAAACGACATGACCCGACATTGTTGAGCGGTTTGGTGGTGTATCAAGGTCAAGAGAGGAGGAGTATAAAAGATCAAATCCATGCGAGAGAGGATGACGCTGAACATGAAAAACATCCAACGCTATCTTTTTGATGAATTGCTTTCGTCATGAAGAGATCAACCATTTATTTATACACTTCCACATTACATAGTAGTTGTAGCTAATAGCTATGTCCATTCTTCGTCCCACCCCATATTGACAAAGAAGAGGATCATTGTTATAGTAATAGATCGGGTCCTCATTTTGTTATTGGATCCAAAGGCATGAATGACGCATCATTAACTATAAACCTTGTTCCCCCCCCACCCTCCTCCCCTGGTGGGTGAATGTTACTTTTTGGGGGGGTGTGGATGGAGGAGAAAGAGAGAGGAGGTGTACGTACGTGTACAATGTGTGGAGGGAAAAAGTGTGGGACCAATACATCAGCTGAACAAGCGGGGATGGCTAATAGCGTGTGAAGATCCAAGCAACCGTATCCATTAGTATTGATCCACAAATAGTCAAATGTCATTGGATTCATATCATACCTATATATTGCTACCCTTCTATGAGTGCACCTTTGTTGTAATAGTGGACTCAAACATGTGCATTCTGCGTCTTGATCATTATGAAACAAGTCTTTCATATGTAGACATTATAGTAATGCGTGGTGCCGTGAAGCCTATAGTGTCGGCCATGATCTGTGGCACGTAAAGTATTACCACGGTCCCAGAGACAAATACCAACCACAGTGAGCAAACCTGAGGGAGTACCCAGTATTTTCGGTAGAATCGCTTTCGATGACGATCTGACACGCATAATGTAGCGAGCAACGCCACGGGAACTGATAAGATTCCCACGGCCCCCATCCCTTTTTAGAGTAATCCTTTAGAAGGCTTCCAATCCTCACATTGTGATCGTTGTCTCTTTTTTTTTCTTTTCTTATCATGTTTAGACAAACCCGAGCCATTGCTTCCCGCTTTTATCGTGCACGCTATCTCTCGACTTTTGAGAGACATCGTGACACCTTTGATCGTCTTGGTATCTCCAAAGCTGGTAACAAGGGCGTTTTCGATGGTGAATGGAAAGGCTCTGGTTCCATCATCCCTGCTGTAAACCCGGTTAACAATGAAGTCATTGCTGAAGTTGTCTCGGTAATATACAAATCATAGCGTTGATTACGTATGGTATCATTTATTTCTAATTATCTAAACGTCGTGGCATCAACAACAGGGATCCACAAATGACTTGGATGTTGCCTTGGACCGTGTTAGTGAGGCTCAAAAGCAATGGCGTGAGGTAGGGTATCCTATTTTCATACATACGTTGTATACATCTTTACTTATCAATGTCCTACAGTTGACTGTTCCCAAGCGTGGTCAGGTGTTGTTGGCTATGCGTGATGCCTTGGTCAAGAACCTCGAGCCACTTGGAAAGGTGGTGTCGCTTGAAATGGGTAAGCAAACCAAAAGAATGGCCAACATCATATATACATACTTATATCAATATTAGGCAAGATTCTCCCCGAAGGTATTGGTGAGATCCAAGAGTACGTTGATATCCTTGAATATGCTCTTGGTCTTTCTCGTATGTTGAATGGTCAGGTGATTCCATCTGAGCGCCCTGGACATTACATGCTTGAGACATGGAACCCTCTTGGTACTGTGGGTGTCATTAGTGCATTCAACTTCCCAGGTAAGCCCATTACTTTTATACAACAAATGATCTATTAACATGAAAAAAATAGTGGCCGTCTATGGATGGAACAGTGCTATTGCATTGGTTGCAGGCAATGGTGTGCTATGGAAGCCTGCTCCTACTACACCTTTGTGCTCTATTGCTATTACTCGTCTCTTAGAAAAGACATTGCGTGAACATCAACTTCCACCTGCTTTGTGTTCTCTTGTCACTGGTGGCAACGAAGTTGGCAGTGCTCTTGCATCTGATCCACGTGCTGATTTGGTATCATTCACCGGTTCTACCAAAGTGGGCCGCGAAGTTGGCAAGGTTGTTCAAGGTCGCTTTGGCAAATCCATTCTCGAATTGGGTGGCAACAATGCATTGATTGTCATGGATGATTGTGATATTGACTTGGCTGCACGTGCTATTTTGTTTGCTGCTGTCGGCACTGCTGGTCAGCGCTGTACAACCACGCGTCGTTTGATTGTGCATGAGTCCGTTTATGACAAGTTGATGGACAAATTGGTCAAGGCTTACAGCCAAGTTAAGATTGGTGATCCTCTCGAGGCCGGTGTCTTGTGTGGTCCATTGCATACCTCAGCTGCTGTCGAAGCCTATAAGGATACCCTTGAAAAGGTCAAACAAGAAGGTGGTGAAATCTTGTATGGTGGCGAAGCTCTTGGTGGCAACTTTGTTAAGCCCACGTTGACCCGTGTTAAGCCTGACATGCAAGTCGTTCAAAACGAAGCCTTTGTACCTATTCTCCACACAATGACTTTCAAGGTAAAAGAGACGTGGAATCATTGAATTGTATAGGATTGCTTTTTTATTTACAACATCATTTTCTATCATAGACTCTCGATGAAGCTATTAGCATCAACAACAATGTTGCTCAAGGTTTGTCAAGCTCACTCTTCACCAACAAGCCTGAGAACATCTTCAAGTGGATTGGTCCTTCTGGCTCTGATTGTGGTATCATCAACGTCAATATCCCTACCAATGGTGCTGAGATTGGTGGTGCTTTTGGTGGTGAGAAGGCAACTGGTGGTGGCCGTGAGAGTGGTAGTGATGCTTGGAAACAATACTGCCGACGAGGCACTTGGTAAGTTTGTGTGTTAAAATAGCATGATCATCCCACGTCTAATAAGGCTTTGTTTAGCACCATCAACTACTCTGGGGCCCTTCCTCTCGCACAGGGTATTTCTTTCGAGTAAAGGTACCATGACCGATATCATAAGCTTTGATTTCCAAATAAAACGTTCAATCCTCCATCCACCCACCATCCATGACACAATGCAATAATAGCGTGATGATACCAAACGAAATAATCATTCTACATGAGGGATGCTGAAAATGTTGTTTCACCTTTTATTCAAAGCGATGGTTGCATTTAAAAGAGCTCAGCGTTGGTGGGGAACTCGAAAACAACAGCCTTGCCAGTGAGCTTCTTGTAAACGGCAGAGAAAGTGTCGAGCTTGTACTCCAAAGAAGTAGCATCCTTAGGATCCAAGAAACTAAAAAAGAAAAGGATGCCATATCAATCTCATTGTTCCCAAATAGAATCCCAATGCCATTTTATACTTACGCCTTGATGGTCTTGGAGCCATCAACTGCAACGCGAGTGCGCTTGCCAACGAGTTCGGAAGGATAAGCAAGATCCTCCAAGATGGCATCGTGAACAGCGGTCAAAGTGCGAGATCTAGGACGGGGCTGCTTGGGGTTGGAACGACGGCTGGGCTTGGCAAGAACACGACGTTGGCCGACAAAGACGACATGACGATCAGAGAACTTCTTCTCCAACTCACGGGTGAGTCTAATTCATTCCATTCATATTAGCTATTACTCTTTCCATCCATTCTTTGTCGAGTCTATTTACCTTTGTTGGATCTTGTGGAAAGCCTTAAGCTGAGGAACAGGGACAAAGATGACAATGGCCTTCTTGCCACCACCAATCTCGACCTAAAGCCATCATCCAATACCATTTTAGTATACATTTTTTCTTCCATATTCGAGGAGGAGGAGGTGTTGTTGTCATGTCGCGTTGGATAAAAAGGGGGGGTTGTCGAATTACCTCCTTGGCGGCAGTGATGCTGAGAGGACGCAATTCCTTCTTCAAGTCGGCGACATTGTTCTCCAAGTCGACAAGAGCTTGGGCGATGCTAAGCTCGAATTCGTCGGTGGGTTTAGCTCCAGCGAGCTTGGTGATCTTGTGCGAAGCCATTGTCAATCTAGAATGCAAGGGAAAGGAAAGAAAATAAAATCAGCTCATTGTTCTCGTTGATATCGTTATCCATTCATCCATCTATTCATCCATCCATCCACTCATTCTCTTGTTGATACATCCACTCTTCCCCATTCTAATACCCTATGATACTTACTGCTACCACAGAAAAAAGAGGGCGTACACAGTTTGCTCGAATGCGACGTTTAGCCCATCGGACGAGCACCGCACAAATCCCGTTTACCAAATTTGGAAGGTCGCCCTAGCAACATCCCAACTTGTCACCCACCCCATCTTTATATTTCATGCAATGCACTACATATAAAGTTACTTGTCAAATATTGATTTTATTAGTTTGGTTGATTCTATGCAATGTATTACCACGAACACGACGATCTTCCATACATACATCTAATATCCAGGCAACCATCCAACACATAGACAAGAGTTAAATGAATTTACAGGCTGTGAAAGGAAAACAAGTTTATTGCTTTTTTTATGATACGTGTGGGTGTGTGGGTGCGTGTTGTGTGTGTACAGCAGTTTATAGCGTGAACTTTTGAGCCGACTTTGCGGCCGACTCACCATGGGGAGTGAATTCGAGATTGAGATTGGATGGGATATCCAAGAACTCCTTGATTTGACGGCTACATAGATATATCGAATACCCAATTGTTAGCGAGATCCCCCATTTTTTATCCATTCCATTGCATAACATACCCGAGAGTTTCAGTGGTTTCGTTTCTATCCGAGCTTCGAATCCACAATGCCAATCTGAAAAAGACCTTACGAACCGAGATGACAGCACCACAGATCTCATGCTCATGGGCAAATTGCTCACCAATCATGGCCAATAACTACCGATACAATCATGCACTTTGTCAGCCCACATGATATCCCCTATCACACATCATGATGATGATGATGAACTCACCATATCGAGCCAATACTTGTTGATAGTCTCACCGGTACGGTTCCGGGGGAATTGGATGCTGAATTTGCCACCTTCTGCGTTGGCAGGATCTTCCCACTCTGGTCGAATACCCTTCTTGAAAAAGTGATAGTTGGAGTTGGATTCGAGATGGTTGACTTTGGCAATGTTGTTGTAAACGCTATATAAAGAGTCGATGGGTCAGCGATGATCGTTCTCTCGCGCGTATGTGTATGTGTATTCGTACCCCCAAAAGTCTTCGACGGTTTCAACAGTGACGATTTCCTTAAGGTTTTGAGACCAAGAAGCAGCATTGGCTTTCTTGTGAGGGTTGTCAAACCACAAAGTCCAGGAATTGTGAAGAGGATGCTTGACATTATAGTTGATACGATCGTGGAATACAGTCGTTACGGGTTGTTCTTGACCGCTTTCAGTGGCGTTGGTGTTTTCAGCAGCATTGTCGATGGAAGCGTCGTCGGTGGGCTTCTCTTGGGTGGCGACCGGCTTTTCTTCGGTTGGGCGTGTATCGACGTCGGCCATATTGAACAACTTAACAAGAGGGCTTCTAATGGTACCAGTTCTTGTCAGCTGAAAAACGCTCACCAAAACAATTTGTGACGTTGCTGGCTCACACTGAGTATGCGAATCCTACCTTCTTTTGCTCTTTTCTGAATACATCCAACTTTTTTATTATACCTTATCTTTTCATTGTTCTTGAATTGGTTTCATTGTCATATGTGTATGCTTGTATATATGGGTCATTGTATATATTGAACACACGCTAGCCTTCCGCAGCTGGCAAGAAATTTGTCTTCTGCTCCCTCCATCACATCCTATTTCTTTCTTTCTTTCATACACAGGCACACGTAGCCACCCATTCCATATCCATCATCATCTATCCACAGGTCTTTTATAGAATAAAAATGGGTTCAAAGTAGTCATGTACGGGGGGATGCGGGATTAAAAGTGATATCCGTCAACTATAGCGACAGCTACGACAATCAAAATGACGATAATGAAATAGGTCTCTTATGGGTAATAGCCCTTAACACCATATCTTCTTTATGCGTGTATGTATATGTGTATGTGTATGTGTGTGTACATGTATGTGTGCATGTATGTATGAGATTAGAATGGGGCTGTCGAGTCACGCGGAAAAGCAATATGCACGCACGCGTAGCAGGCGGGTATCTTTCTTCTTATAGTGGTCTCTTTCTCCTTCCCTCTTTATCAACCCTACTCCAATGAGCAACACCAGCAGTGAAGACTTTGAAAAGGTCGACCCATCGTCACGTTCAACTACTGAAGACAGCAATGACAAGGATCAATGGCAGTCAGAGACTGAAGACAAGCACAATGTATGCAATCGACTTCATGAACAACACGAGTATGCGATCTAACACGACACAGGAAACAGATTTGCTGACCGAGCGCATGTCCAAAGCAGCTGCCAATGCACCCAAGAACAAGCGCGAGGTATGTGATACATTGATAGAAGGAGAATTGAATGGGGTTGAATTGATCATATGTCTTGCTAGTTTTATCTCGCATCGCATGCCATCTTCGTCCAAGTGGAACGGCTCCGAAAACAACTACGCAACAAGAGCAGCAACACATCTCTTCCATCGACTTTTCAACTTTCGAGAAACGAGTATGCATTTCTTGAAAGATGACAATGAAGCCATGTTTAACTTGACAATGATAGGAAATCAGCATTGGCAAATTATGCTAAAGATTACACGAGCCTTGTATATGCATACCTTGATCATGTGACCAACGCAAGTAACAGCATTCCATCACAAACGCTATACACCGATCTAACGTATTCTATGTAGGCCAGCGATGATTCTGAAGACAAAGACCATATCCAAAACTTGGCTCGTTTGCTGGATCTCACTGAGCGGGTTTGCTTTTCTCAAGAGGATGGTGACAGCATGATTTCGGAATTGCGTGATTGGTTAAACTTCAATTGGCCACTAGGTAAGATCCAAAGCCACTAGACGATGCATTACAATTTCTGAGAGATCCATCCACTATAGATGTATCAGATGCTTGTGGGACCGACACAGTACAACGCGACCCTGATGATGACGAATTGGTTATTGTTGAGCACTCGGATATCAGCAACAAATCAGATGAGCATATGGAAGGACGTAAAAAGGATCAATGGCATTCGATTCAACGGTATGTAAATACCCTTTTTTTCAAGAGTATTCTCTAAATCATGTCATCATAGGTTATTACTGCGTGGCAACATCAAACAAGCAATTTATCTGCTAGAATCACAAATGCCAAAATGCACATCCTCGACGCAAGGACACCTTGTACGATTTATCAGCTTACTGAAAGCAATGCCATGTATATCAACACAAGCGACACTTCGACAAGAAACAGCATGGTCAGAATGGATCAGCAAACGAAAGATGGAACATGAGGAGTTTATGCGATTGAAAACGGACGACGACGATCAAATCGATACATTGTACAACATCATTCATGGCGACAAAGACACAATCACACAAACGGGCATATTGCTGGAGAGCTTTATTGGCACGATGATCTATTGCGACCCTTTTCAGAACGCCAAACAGCTTGGTGACCTTGCCAACCTAGTCAATGCACGCGTTGATTGCGACAATGTCACAGCAGCATCATTCTATATACTCACACACAATTGGGACCATGCATTGATTTCCTACGATGATTATTGGCTTCAGACTCATTTGGGACATTTGCTTATCACGGGCGGGCTTCTGGATCATGGTGATGATTCCCAAGATACCATTTTGGCCGAGATGGACCAAGAAAGTTGCACCGGCCCTGTACAATCCATCACCCATGTATTTGCCCAGATGATTACCACAGAGTATGACATGTGGTCAGAAGCAATCGATTACATTGAATCATGTGATGTGAACCGAGAATATTGGGCAGCAAATGTGAGTTGAAGGTAGTGATATCTCATGATGAGATTATTAATGTTTACCGGACTTAGATTTTGGACAAGCGAACCATGTCATCGGATGTTCCACACTTGAAGGAAATGATCGAATATTGCAAGGACCGTGATCTTTCAAGATCCCGAAGGATTATGGATGTGGTATGTAGTAGGGATATTGTGAGTAGCATTCTCCCGTTTACTGATCATCTGCTGCTATGTAGAAAATCGCCAAAAAGTACGACGAAGATGGCGACCAAAGCAACGCAATCATTCATTACGCTCTTGCTAAGGATATTGTGGCAGTGGATCAGGTAGCTGAACGTATACTGAAACGATATCTCAAAGAAGGTAAGTGAGCATCTTGGTATCAATGGGGCATAGAATGACCCTTTTGGGTATAGGGATCCTGGACCCCGTTTCTCGTGCGGGCGGTGCTATCAAGGCTACGATGATGCAAAGCAAACACTATGCGTTCTTGGTCGAATACACACATTTAAAAGATCTACTTGAGGTTCGTCGTTGATCAACAAAAAGATATCCTATTCATTGATCTAACTATTGTCATAGGACAAAAAATACAATGATGCTGCTCTTCTATCCAAACAACTGCTACAGTCACCTGATGTGCCAAAGGGCTATGAAATGCGTCTTCTGCTTGATTTATTGCCTGTTCTTGAAGGTAGGATGAGTTATTGGTATACCGTATTGTTAGAGCTGCGTACTTAACTTGTTGTTTTAGCTTCCAATGATGTTGTGATCTTCGATGAAAAGGATACGTTGAACTTAATACGCCTGTTACAGCACATTTCTCACCAAGACCCCTCATCCTCAGCACGTTTGAAGCAATGTTTATCTATGAATTTGGCCAATGCATTATTAGCTAGTAGCTAGCCCTAATGTATGCTTCTATTAAAGTATGACGATCAAGTAACCTTTGGATCAATGCGAATGGATGGAGAAAGAGCGAGAGAATGATTGGATGAGCAAAAGGGGGTCTCTATATTAAGATTAACGACTCCAGAAGGCACGCCAAAGCATGAGAGGTTTCGACTCGACGATGCGATCAACACGTATGGAATGTCGTTTATCGACAAGTATGTATAAACACATCTTGAATATGGCCATGTTAGTTTTCGATTACTTGTATATCAATGAGAGAGACACATACCCAGGTGGTCAACAATACGCCAAGCGCTGAGCTTGCTGTGGACATGAACATGATGCAAATTTGGTATCGCACAGCGTCCTGGATATGCACGCCAGCTAATAGTTGACCAACAAGCATCCCAGGGATGTTGATAAGACCCATAATGCTCAATTGTGTAATAGGCGGCAACATTGATGTATGAATAGCTTGAACCGCCACTTGTCGTAGAGCTTCTTTTCGTGACGCGCCAAATGAGAGCCTTGTCTCGATGATAAGGTGGTCATTCCTAAAGGATGTAAATAAGATTAGATTCAGCTTTCTATGCGTGTGAGAGGATAGCTTACATACATAACACCTTCAATACAAGTGGTTGTGCTCATAGCCACGCTGCTCATTGTATTCCCAAGTAGCATCCCCAACACTGGGATAAAGATCATGGGTTCCCAAAACGGTGATTCTGCAAGAGCATATCGAATACCTACAGCTCCAATTAAGCCGTTGCTTATAAAGAGCACCAAGAATACGGTGGGCAACTGACCACCCCCAAGATGATCAGCGATCTGTATACACGCTTCTTTTTCCATCCTTTTATCATACCAGACCCAACAACGTTTTTTGACACCGATGAAAGATGATTTCAAAAGTGCCCAAAAACACAAATCCAGCTATATCATCCAAGTCATTTCAGCATCGATGGGATATGAATCGAGGTATATTATAAGCATCAGGCTTACCAAAAACTAAAACCACAGACCACATCTGTGTCATGTGCAGCAGGTCATTTAATACCAGGCCCTTGAAAAAGACGAGACATGTGAAGAGTGATGTTAACAAGCCATTTTGATAATAATGATCGCACACACTCTCACCATTAATGTTAGCTGCAATATGCAGCGTAGACTCGACACGATCAATGGTATCTCAAGCTGGATACCAAGCACATGGCTAAGGTAAGCTAAAATGGTTGAACGTATGGTATGAACATGATGGATGTGCTGGCATATACAAAGGTAGATTACATACCAGTGAATAAGATAAAGATCGATGATCCAGCTACATTCCACCAGCCGAGATCCTGCTGCTCTTGTACAATATGCGTTGTCATCGATGTTGCTGACGCATGTGTGTGCGGGTAAGATGTATGTATAAGCGATTCGGAGAAGAAAGGGATGCAATATGACTGAATTGAATGGGGATTAAAAAGCCTTGATTCCCCTGATTATGCAAGCAAGGTGCATTCCATGCTTTGAATAGCGCTTTTTGTGTAACCATCCCTGACTGCCACATCCGATATAGAATGCCCTGATCATGAAAGTAAGCAAGTGCATGGCATAATGTCTCGTTGATGGTAAGTATTTGAACAGCGATCTATGGGATGAGACGTATGTGCTACGCTTGGGGAGATTGTATAGCTCTTACGAGATGATTGGCTAAGACACCACCACACACACTGGAGGTGTAGAATGCTTCTTTGTCAACAAACAAGTACACAACATCAAGGTTGTTACAAATCTTTATTTCTGTTTTCATTCATCTCTTTTTTCTTTTCATCTTTTCCCCCCTCTCCTACCCCACAACATGCGACAAGGTTACACTAGTACGCTGCCAAATGATGATAATGGTGGTGGTGGTGGGACATCATCATCCGCCATCTCCTCACAGCAAACATTTTTCGATCGTGTACGAAAAATGTGGAATAAGCCATCGAACAATGAAAGTGCACCATTGCTGGATCGAAAACATATGACGCTAGAGCCTCCTAAGAGAACCACAACCAAAGTTACTCTTACTGCTGTCCTGCTTGTATTCACAATGCTCCTTTTTGGTGCTGGTATAGCTGTCTGGATTGAGACTGAGCCTGGTAAATAAGTGAGATGGTATATAGTAAGATCACTTCTCTCATTGTAGTTGGATCTTTAGTTTTTGAAACACGCCCTTTGAGCGAGACAGAGCGATTGGTGCTCAATCTACCATCCAATGATAGTATCCATGACCATTTCCACGTATATGCCTCCAAAGTACATATGGCTGGCTCTGACGTAGATAGACAACAAGCTGAATGGACGCGTGACAAGTGGATTGAAATGGGTGTCTTCAACACGACAATTGAAACCTATTATCCATTGCTCACTCAACCAAAAGAACAGCGATTTGCATTGGTGACAGGACCTGAAGAGCTACGCTTTGAAGCTACAATGCACGAGAAGGTATTGGTGGGAGAAGATGGCGATGATGAAACCATAAAGCACCCCGCTGCGTTTCATGGTAAATAGCGTATTTGCATTTATTCTGGGAAAAGAATATTCTACTCATCCTTCTCAAGCCTACTCCAAAAATGGCAGTGCCCTTGGCCCTGTAGTCTACGCCAACTATGGTGGCCTCAAAGACTTTCAGCTCTTACTTGATAGAGGGATTGCACTAGCAGGCACTATTGCTCTCATGAGAGCTGGCAATGGAATTCCAGATGGGACAAAAATTCGTGTTGCCGAAAAGTTTGGGTGTATTGGTGCCTTGATCTACCCTGACCCTATCGATGATGGTCCTTTCAATAAGCATGGTTTTCCTCATACCCATCCAGCTGAGCCATATCCCAATGGGCCATGGTAAGCTTTTTTGGTTTTGCCATCTTTATTATCATCCTATACTAATCACATGTGGTTGAAAACAAGGCGTCCTTCAAGCTCTATTCGAAGCGGGTCAGTTGAGTTTTCCTCATTAGCGAGTGGTGATCCTTTGACACCTGGATGGGCTGCCACCAAAAATACCACGCGACTCAATATGGATGAAGCACAAGTTTTACCCAACATTCCTTCTCTTCCATTATCCTATCACGATGCATTATCCTTATTGAAAGCGATGCAAGGTCGTGGCACCCTTGGCGATATCAGCTGGAAAGGAGGCTTACCAGATGTTAGCTATTACAGTGGACCCACAGAAGGGAATGCCGAGCTTGTAAACATCGTCGACAACAAGGTAGCACCGGTGTGGAATGTGATTGGCGTCATGCATGGATCTCAAGAACCTGATCATGCAGTCATCCTTGGTATGATCGTGATTCTTTTGTATGATTATGATGCTCATCTTTTATTCTCAAAGGCAATCGACGTGATGCATGGGGATATGGTGCGGTCGACTCATCTTCAGGATCAGCTGTAATGGTATGTTATGGAACCATTTAGCACCCTTGATACTATGCTCATCATCATCTTTTTATCCCAAAAGGTTGAGGTGGCAAAAGTCTTTGGGACGTTACTCAACAAAGGCTGGCGACCAGCACGTACGATTATTCTAGCATCATGGGATGCAAGTGAATACTCCATGGCTGGGTCTAACGAATGGATGGAGTATCACAAAGATTGGCTTGATCAACATGCTGCTGTATACATTAATGTGGGTGCAGCTGTATCGGGACCACATTTCGCTGTGCAAGCATCCCCTTCGCTCAAACGATTGATTTATGACATCGCTCGATTTGTGCCAGACCCACAAAGTGGCACCACCGTATATGAAGCATGGGCTGAATTTACCAATCGCACAAGTGCTCCATCTACGGAACCAACTATTGGCAACATTGTCTCAAAATCGGACTTTGCACCATTCTTGCATCATGCTGGAATAGCTAGTATCAACATGGGATTCATGGGCGACTTTGGTGTGCAGCATAGTATTTATGACAGGTAAGCAATAATGAAATCTCATTATGCGTGCTATACAAAGATACTCATACGACATTTAGCATTCATTGGATGGAAACATTTGGCGATCCCGATTATCGCTATCATATGACCTTGGTCAAAATCTGGGCCCTTTTGGCTATACGACTTTCAGACAGCCCCATTCTTCCCCTGCATCCTGGTGATTATGCAGCTACACTTTCTCTCCATTGGAAGCATCTTTCAGAGTACTACACAACAGCTCATGCCTCAAACCTAAAGCATGTTGATGCATATGCTAGACCTTTCCGCTTGCTATACAAATCAATCCACAAGCTCACCAAGCTATCAGGGCGACTTGAAGAGGGATTAGGTCTTTTAGAAAGCGAGGTCCATGATTACCAACACCTTGCTGATGTGCCATCATCACTCAAAGAACGCCTTGACAAAGTCAATGATCGCCTTGCTCTCTTTGAGCGATACTTATTAGATCCAGAGGGTATCTATGAGAGGCCATGGTACAAGCATGTCATCTATGGTCCTCGAATGTGGTCCGACCATACCATATTCCCAGGGATTATGGATGCTATCGATGCTCAAGATAGAGTCATGGTGGCGTTTGCCGAACAACGTGTAGCAATGAGCATTCGCAATGCGGCGAAAAGTATAAAGATGTAGTAGCAGCAAGAGGTTTCTTTTCATTATTATTCAATCATTATTTGTATAGTATAAAGGTTCAATTATTACATATCAGGATCCATTAACTTGGTGGCCAACTCCTCAAATGACCATGACTCTTTGCATATCTTTATCCTGTTTTCATTATCATGCTCCCAATTGCTGACATAAATGGCCCTTGTCACACCTTGTGAAAACCCGGCACCGATGGTGGATATGAATTGCAATGCTGCAGCATGATTCTCGCGAGCAGTAGATCGTCGATAGGTAGCCTCTGAATCCACCAATAACCGATGCTTGTTAAGAAAATCTTGTACGAGCGTTGATGGTACTCTTCGTAATGCTACACCATCTCTCTCCACTGATCTGGCAGTTGATAGTGGTGGTATCCAGCTCTTTTGGGTATACTGTTCTTTGGGTCGTGCTCGTAATGAATGAGGGTAAACTCGATTCGAGATATTGGATGTGGGTGAAGGAGCAGCGGATGAGATTTCGGTCTCAGGGCTGCTTCGATGTGTGTCGAAAACGGATGGGCTGATAGGTTTGGCGGGTTTTGGTGTAGCCAAAGATACTTTGGTTTCAGAGCTCTCACCTGGTATCCGTTGTTGTGGATGCTTGTCTTTAAGGCTTCCATTACTCAACATGCTGAAAAAGGAGGATGGGCTCTCTTTTTTACCACCAGGCGATGTTTTTCCCGATATCCTTCGTAACAAACCAGGTCGCTGTGGAGGAGAGAGATGTTCACCACTTTCACGCAACGCTGATAAATACTCATGATGTTCTTGGCTACCGTTGTCATTGGTTACTGTAAACAAGAAATGGTTGCCATCTTCTATTGATCGACGCTGCGTATCCTTTCCAGGTCTCAACTCAGCATTGGAAATGTGTGGTTCACGCTCATTGTCATGCCATAATGGATGTTTCTTTGGTCTGCCTCTTGCAGGTTCTTTACCTTTGAGCTTTGAAGACTTTGCCACCACCCTAGGAGACCCTGAAAGGCTCGATGTTGTTGTAGACGCCTTGCTGCTATTGCTAGTCCCTCCACTGCTTTGTGATAGGTAGCTGCTTCTTTTTGCACTAGTATCTTCTTTCATGCTGCTTGGAAGTGATTGCTCGCTTATTTCCGGTGACAATGATGATCGTATAGACGCCCTGTTTTGCATTCCTTGCTGTGCTGCAGCTTCTGCCAAGCTCATATCCCCCTCTTTTACAGGAAAAAGTTCAATAAGCTCCACGACGTGATCTTGCCTATCTCTTGGTTTTACTCGGCACACCGTTACCAAAAACCAATGTATCAACTTTGCAACTTGTGGATGATCATAGGGCTCCACGTAACCAGAGGATTTCACCTCTGCCCATCCTGAAGGACCACTTGTTGTCGAAACATGTGATAGATGCGTATCAAGCTGATCCTCATCAACAGTACCCGTAGCATTGGTATTCATTCTCCAAATCTCAGATCGATCTTCTGGACTAAGCGTTGATCCACGTAATATATCGGCAGTGCGAATACGATGCATGGGTAAACGACGTGGATGTCCCATGTCTTCCCATTGTTTCTTCAATCCTCGTAAGTAACAATGAACATCATGCTTTTGTTGTTGTTCATCGCCATCCCCCATATCTTGTTCACCGGCTTTCCATATAAAACATGGTAAGCACTTGTACAAGGTAGCTGCTGCTTCTTGCTGCTGGCGAGTGTGCTGTTGTTGTTGTGATGTTGATGGAAGTTCACGAAGCTGGATATCATCTGCTATTTCAACGACCTTGTAAATTTTCCCTGGACGATGTCTTCGTTGCACTGAATTAGCATTGGGGTATGTGAATCGCCGTAAATAAGGTATCCGTTGATGAGACGACACTCCTTTTTCATCTCCTTGCAATCGGTTGCGGTAGTATTTTTCGAGCATCTTTAACTCTGACGCGATCACAGGTACAGCTGATGATGGTGCTGAGCTGTCAACTATGGCTTGATGTGCTTGTGGCGATGATGTCATGGTGTCTTGCATATCCTGTTGAGCGTATCGCATGGTAAGAAAAGCGTCATCGGCACTAAAGGAGCGTATGGATTGGTTGCTGCTGCCTGTGGGACTTTGAATAGAAGTAGTGCTAGCCGATGGTCGTTGTTGTCTAGTAGGTGGACTATGTGGAGGTGGAGGTGGTTGAGGCGGATGGTGATGTGCAAATCCCGATGTCGTTTTCGACCGACTTATGTTCACAGAATAATATTCATCGACGTAGCGTTGCTTAATTCGGGTCCATATCTCTTGCACCACCGTTATCACTGATGGATCGGTGAAGTAAATAAAGCTCACCATGAAACCTTTACCATAAAAAGATACAATGATGAGCATACGATATCGAACAATGAGAATCAAACACCTACCCAAAAAGTTGGCGAACCAGCCATCCAAACAGAAAATGGGATAAGGAACATTCGCATGTTTAATCATAGCTATTTGAATGCCCACACCCCATGCTTTTGAGATGAGTGGAACTATATAAAGCGATATTTACATCAGGTCTGCAAACTTATAGACATGAATCGAGATAACAGGTATGATGTTGATGGATAAATGCTTACTGAGTGGATAGCAGATGCATCGCAACACCACCTTTCGAATGATGACAGTCGTCTTTTGCGCATATTGGCCATGCGTGGGGAAAATGAGCCCAGCCTGCTGTCGAACTTGTTTTCGGGTTACATTAAGAGTGCCGATGAAATAATCTTGCTGCCGATAAAATTTGACAATAGCCATGGCTGCACATACGGCGGCAAAGCTCAATGCGAACAAGATGCATCCATAATACCACATCTATAGTATATCAATTAGCCCACGTGTATATCGTTAGGATCAAGTAAAATATGCCGTAAATGATAGCCTTCCTAAAACTTGCCCATCTGAAGGTGCGATACAGACGACCGTAAAAGTAGTAGTGGTACCTGAAATACATTTGTAAGGTGTGCATGCATGATTCAGCAAAAGGATCAATGGCTATCCCTCATCATTTCCTGCTTTACCAGCAACTGACGTTCGTTATCAATGATGCATTAACTTGATTACCAATGGGTACGAGAGCTCCTAGGAGGGCCATGATGCATATAAAAATGTAATAGTACTTTTCCATGCGAGCAGGATTCGATACCCGGACAATGAATATCATCACCAGATTGAGACCCACCATAGCTAAGCACATGCAGGCCATGATATCGGTGATGATCAAGAAGTAGATGATCACGCGGCAGGCTTCGCTATGGTTGCTAATGTCTTCGGTTGCATAGTGCAAGCACAAGAACACTATGGTGCAGAAGCACGAGAATACAATCAGCCGCAGCGAGATTCGGTTCACCATCGGTGGTCTGTACCACAAAATGAAGAAATAGGATGACAATACAACAACACTTGATATTAAGGAGATGATCCCAGATGTCGTTTCAGCTGCCCAAAGAGCGTAGTTGCCACCAGATATTTCGCTGATTGAATATAATAGTAACCTTCCGGTATCCATGGACTATATTGTATGAGAGAAGCGAGAAAAGGGGAGCAAGGAAACAACCGAATCACAAAATTGATGAATACCTGGTGGGTATACATCCCATATCTGGCACCCAAGAATGCGCTGTTAAGAATTCAACCAGAGTGAAGTATAGGTGAATAAGGGTAGTATAGCAGATGATGCATATGTATTTAAATGGATAAAGAGAGATGATGTCTATTCATCCCTTTTTCTTCTAAAGTTAAGCTGCATAGGTGGATTACTGCCGATGGAGAGGGAAGAGTAGTAGTATACGTTATTTATCCCCCATGTGGCGACAGCAGCAGCAGTAGTAGTAGTGCTATGCTGTTTCATCTACATACGCCGTGTGTGATTCATGGTCCGCCCCACAAGACATGGCGTTTGAAGAACGCCGAAGGTAACTCTTAACGCACCTTTTTCCTGCAGGTCCACGCGCAAAATGAAGTACACGCTTGTCTCGGTACCAGCTCTTGGCCAGAAGCAAAATACTCTCTTGAATATCACCAACAAACTCAAGCCTCTTGCCGAGATTCATCCTTTTGCCATTCCCGACTTTAAGGCAAGCTTCATTTTCTCATTGGCATTCCTTGTAGCTCTCCTTTCTTATACCCCCCTCCCACCCATCTTCACATGCATAGATTGGTACTCTGGATGCACTTGTCCTACTATCAGATGAGCTCGTCAGACACGACACAGCATTTGAACAATCGGTCAACAAGACAGCTGACGTCTTGAGCAACCTTGTACGTGGCCAACCCGATGCCCTTGTTCAGGACTTTTTGCTTGTGAACGATAGTATGTATGGATACGTCTTTTATTTCACGTAACGAGTGCTTCTCACATCATGGGTTATGGCTATACAGAGACCGTGGACCAGTATTTGAACTCTTTCCAATGGAATAGCATGAAATACCGCACCGACAAGTCGCTACAAGAAACTACCCAGACCCTTGTGCAGGTAACAAAGGATAAGCAACTCCATCTTGTTCTTGAAGGCACTCATAAACGATACACATAGGAAATGAACTCGATGGATAACCTGATCAAGAACAAATTGAATGTCTATACCCAAAATCGCAACACGCTGCAAACACTCCACCGCAAACAAACGTGAGTATATGTATTCGAGGATGATACATGCATAGGATCTAATTGGTACCTTTATTGGGATAGTGGCAACTACTCGGTCAGGAATCTCAATGGCGTCGTGAAAAAGGAGCATTGCGTCCTCAACTCGGAATACTTGACAACTCTCTTTGTAGCCGTTCCCAAGCAAGTATCCAATTTACTCATTCCCCCTCTTCCACAGGCACATTGACTAATATATACCATGACTTCAACTAGGACGGCTTACAAGCAATGGCTCAATTCTTACGAGACCTTGACATCCATGATTGTTCCTCGTTCATCTGTGTAAGTGATTTTGAGGCATCTAGAGTGATGAAACGATTCACTAATTCGTGTGTGAGAATAGCAAGGTGGCCGAGGATAACGAATATGGCCTATTCTCAGTGACGTTGTTCCAAAGAGTGGTTGATGAATTCACACACAAGGCACGAGAAGAAAAGTAGGTTGGAATAGGGGGGATGTGTTTATATTTTGGATAAGCAAGTTAAACATGCAGCTAGGTTTGTGGTGAGAGATTTCCAGTTTGACGAAGATGCTTTGCGTAAGCAGCAACAAGAGCTCCAAGAGACTGAGGAAATTGAGCGTGAGCAGCTGACTGAATTGATTCGCTTGGCAAGAACCAACTTTGGTGAAATGTTTTCGGCTTGGGCTCACTTGAAAGCTATCCGTATCTTTGTGGAATCAGTATTGCGTTATGGTTTGCCACCCGATTTCCTCTCCGTGACCATTGCCGTAAGTACCCCCATCGGCTTTTAAAGGTATCACGCACGTATCGGCTAACATGATGGCTCTTTATGATAGGCCGAACCCAAGTTTGAGGAAAAGGTGGATCAAATCTTAGTAGATCAATACGGCCATTTGGGTGGCGTGCACGGCTTTGACAAGCAAAAGCAGGCGGATACAACCGAGGAATTGCTCGACCATGATCTGCAGACTGTCAACAGCGCAACTTACAGACCCTATGTCCAATTTCACCTGGAATTCGATCTAGAGCGTAGATAAATGCAATCTCCCACTTTTTATCCATGCCATAAACAAAGAATATGTATTATTGTCAAATCAAACATTTGGCTATGTGATTGGATTGAATGGTCTAGATAATAGTATAGATGTAACGTTTATTCAATGACATGTTGTTTGTGGGGTGTAATGTGCATGAATAACAACAAGTTACTTTTCCAGTGATTCGGGCGGTGTACCCATCTCGGGAGGCTCCATACCACCTTTTTCCATTATTCCACCCTTGGCATCGAGCTCATCATAGTTTGGTAGTGCGACAAGGTGAGGCCAACCCACAAATTGATCGCCATGACGTAAAGCGAAGCGTACACCAGAAATGATAACAGATAACCAGAATGCCAGCAAAAGGAGATACGAAACCCATGAATGCACACCAGAGTAACTAGGTCGGAATAAATTAAGCAACAACATGAAGAGACCAAAGATGAGGATATAGGGCACCTATCAAGAGTATCAGTATCTTACTCAACGAGGCTACAAGTAGAGATGACATACCACACGAACACGTAGAGGTCGGCTCACTTCAAATGGGCTGTGGGTGACAGTTGGGGAAACCTTGTAATTGCCCAAAAACAAATCAAAGCCATCTTGACGAATACCATCCAAAAAGTTGTTCTTGACATAACGCGTCAACGAGTTTTGGAGATCTTGCATAGCGCCGGCTTTGGTACGTTGACCAGTCCTTGTAAAATCAGTCTTCAAGGCACCCGTGCCAGAGTAGGTGGTACTAACGGCATCTGCATTATCGGCCCACACTAAGATGGCATCGTCAATTGTATGCTCATTTGATTTCCGTGTCACCTAATACATACCATTGCGATAAATGAACATGAAGGCGTGTTGATTTTCAATCGATTCATTGGGGCCGAGGATGCCAATTTGACGAAGCTGTTGTGTAAGCACCCAACGAGCAAACGTGCTTTGTACAACATTGGTACGATCAAGACAATCCATACAGTTGCTTCGAATCACACTTGTTTGCGTTTTTTGCACAGCTGGGGCGTTCTTATCAGTAGCGTCGAGGTAAAAGTAGCCTTGCTTTACAAGCTGTTCTTGTAGCTGATCAACAAGTAGCTGGATACGATCCCATCTCATGTGCTTGCATTCGTTATGGAAATCAAAGTGCGTATAATCCAAGCGAGGGTCGTTCAATTGTTCAATAGTACGAGCATAGGCCTGACCCATGGGAAGCTCATAACCTTTCTTGTTGATCAAGTTGACAAGGATTTGTGGGCCATAGATACGGATTTGCTCATCAAAGTGTGCACGTGCAGCATCAAGCTAAAAGACATCAACGTGTGAATAGGTTGCTGCTAAGTCGATTCCATGATTGAACTTACACTCTTTCTGCTTTCGCCCACCCATAATCGTGGTGTGTATTTGAGAGTGATAATTTGGCTCCAGTAAACAGGAATGGATCCACGCGTTTGCACATAAGAAAGCTGCTTGAGACCCACCGATGGTTGCTTAGCATCCTCGCCGTCATACAAGACGATCTGCTCCGTTTCAACAAAGTTGGATACGTTGCCATGGCTGTCAATGCCTCGAGAAAAGTAACGCGTACCAGGGCGGAAGCGGCTACGTCGAGTGACGAGAGCAATGGTGAAGGGCTTGCCGTTGACACGTGCATCCTTGATCTCGACAACTATAAAGTTAGGCTTTAGTTAGCATGCATCGTAACCCAGATTGCCTCAACCCCAACTATACTCACAGCCTTGCATTACAGGTAAAATAAAATCATTCAACTATCACGTGAAATTAGAATCGATTCCCAACGTGCGATAAGAATGACAAACATACGTTTTGTGTAGCGTCGTCAATGAGCTTGCTCGATACAAAGCGATTCCAAAAGAAGCGATCATCCGCCTAATAATCGTATAAGCATCTCCATACTCTTCTATACCAATGTATATATGTACCCGCTTCCATAATGGCTGTGCCAAAGACTCGGCTGTAAGTTCAGATTGTCGTTGCAGGCTCAATGTCAAGTCGTAGCTGTAAGAAAAGTAGAATCCACCAGCTTTGATATGGCTCTCCAATAGCGAAACGTATTCATGCTCGTCTTTTCTCTTTCATGATAGGATACATCAGCATACCATGCCTTGTCTCTTTCTCTCTCATCCACTCACCTGCTCCTCAGATAATCCACTCAAATTGCGAGCCAGTGGCAAGATTTGGAATGATCCCACACGATAAATGTCATGGCCACGAAGAGTCCCCACGTTTTCGCGATTTGTGATGACGATCAAGTAATAACCTAAAACAGGATAAGAATGGCATGTTCTTTGTGCGCACGGCTCGCTCCCTCATTGTCTCCGACAACATTGCCAAGGCAACTCACTCACCAGATATCAGCTGAATGAATCCAAGAACACCATATACTGTCATCGTTGCGTCTTGTTCGGTTACGGGGGGCACAGCATCATCTATGAATCAACTATTTAGTATGCTGTAGCAGTGACAACTACTTTGCTATTCAAGAACCTGAAACTGTAATGGCACCACTATCACGACGGATAACTAGGCTGGCACCGGTCTCGGGCTCAAGGACGTAGACGTCTTTGGTTATGTATCTACACGTTGCATTGTAAGTCCCAATGTCATAAAGTCGTGATGCAGACACCCAATCAATACTTGCAGGCGTAGATTCTGATGCATTGTCATCCACTGTCGGTTGAGCTGAAGCAAGAGTGAAAGAGATACAACCCCAGCAACCCCTTTGCTAGTTGCTCTATTTAGTCTCCGCGTGTGGACCACCCATACAGATGCCCGCCCATTATCATATGCTTAATGCGAAAATCCATGTGCCAGCCATGACGCTACATTGTTCGTCTCCCATGGTGATGGGCTACACATAAAGTTTGTCAGTGTCATATTCTACCCAACAACGAGTGGTTGCTTTTAGTCTCAAGTAAAATTGGGCTTTGCCTCCTTGACCAATATTAATGCTGGTGGTGTAAATCCATCTTGCTGTATAACGATCCAATAATGCAGTGGCTTTAAATCTATAGCTATTCCTCATATACGTGATATTAGAATACCGAACGTTGCATAAATCGCTTGCGCGCTTAACAAATAAACTTTTGGTACCTTTTACATACTCTTTGATTTTCTAATCACGTGCAGGCTTCAGAAGCTCACTTGACAAACTTCGACCCCTCACCGCTATGTAGTGCGGAGTCAGCGTTACTATGACTTTGATATATGGCTATACGTCCCATGGCCCATGATACAAGTGATCGCGCTCAATCACATACACGTATCTGCTCCCACATACAAGCAATGCTAATGCCATTTAGGCACAATATGAAAACTCGTCTCATTGTATATCGCAAGCTTTGTCGTTTGAAGTTGGCTCTTTCGACTTATCCCATTTCATCGATCCTTGTCTCCTACATAGCATCCATGCATAAACGGCTAATGTGTGATAGGTACATCATACGTATAAAATACTTGATGTTGGGCTATAATACAAATGATATAGGGACGTTGGCTATATGCAATCCATGACATACATAATAGCAGGATAGCAACACCCGTTAGAAGATTCTAGGTCATCTATCACCTATCCGCTTAATATTATTATTACCACCTTAATCATTGCTTGCTAATAGGCCATCACTACGGCGAGGAAGAACAATAATGACCCGTTTAACTATGTACCATGATCAATGCTTTATCGATAACGAAAAGAAACACACACCAATTCTCGGCGGTTCCAGGAGAGCGTTGTGTATTGTACAACATGCACGTCCCCTTTTTGAGCGAGATCGTGTGGAAGGATGTTGGTAATCACAATCATCAATGCGTCGATAACCCTAATGATATGTGGCACCTGGGTATACATTGGGTAAGGGGGATCTATGTTACATGTGCATTGTTCTCTGGGAACGGTGTACAAGTGTGTGAATGTTGGTTTCCTTTTCTAAAGATATGACAGCGCAGCGCAGCAGCAGTAGTAGAATCTTTGTTGATTACTTTTTGAAGACCATTAGCGTATAGGATCGGTCATGAGAGCACCGAAATCGCTTGTATTGAGCACATGACATCTTTTAATGACACTATCAAATCGGTGTGGGCGATAACAAAGAAAGCTTGTTTATGCAAAAGTCCAATTCAGGAAGGGGGCCCATGCACCCTAGTTCATGGTGCCCAGAACCCACCTATTTCCCATGGCTGTCACACGTCGGCAGACACAAAAACCTTAAAAACGGAAAATGTGGGGTAGACACGTGTCCCACTCTCCAAACCATCATATCATGTAAAACGTTTTGTCCCCCAATATCGATTTAGTTTTGCCCGCCAAAAGCTTGTACTCGCTCCTTGGCATCCATAAGATCATGTGCTGTGTCGAAAGCAGTAACTTGATCATTTACCCGATAGTAGCAATATCTCATTTTGAATCATTGGTTTTCGTGATCATGCAAGGCGACAAATTAAAGTCCATCGCCGGGAAGTACCCAACTTTTTTTATTCAAGTGCTCAGCACCCTACTACTAAAGTGACCAACACTAGGCTCCTATTACTGCATACGGTATCGAGATGATGTGCCATTGAGAAAGCAATCTCCGCTTTGATTGATCCTAAGTGATGTGTGTGTCATGGCAAGTCAGCACATTGGGTCCATCAGTAATCCATTCTTGAGAGGTCGCCAATAACACTCGTTTCACGGAGGGAGATCACCATGTTCGTCATAAATTCGGTTGTGGCCGCTTCTCGGTGCACATGACGTTCCAGGTAAATGACAATCAGCACCACACGTTCATCCACACGCGACAAATAATACGTGCTAGTGATCTTGTTGTCGTAAAAATAAACAGGGCCGGCCTTTGGATCATTCAATTTGTTACGGCTTCCTTGGATGATGGATATGATGTTGGGCATATGTTCTTTGGGCGTTTGCTAATAACAAGCGTTGAGATTACCGTGGCATACTCAATGATTTATTATTGCATACTTACATTGGGATGACAATAAATGAAAGGAAATGAATGAATACCTTGAGGAGGCTCATACGGCGTTCCAGAGCACACATATCCTTGTGGATAAAATGGTACGGAAGGTGTCACCTCGTAGATAAGACCAATGCAATGAGCCCCAAACCGTTTACGGAAAGTTGATATCCTGTAACACCATCAGCACGATGAATACAAGTAACTTGGATGTAACACTTACTGATCGTAGTAATCGATCTTGATACCTTTCCATAAAGCCTTCCCTGCATCATCCTCTGTCAAGATCTGCTCCTTGGCCAAGAGAATGTTGTTGAAATATAAAGTCATCTTGGCAATCAAATTGTCGAGGTACTTGGTGAACCATCGAATGCTGTGGGGCCAGTTGTCACCCGTTTTTGGGGTCTAAATTCATCCATTGTTGTTAATTAAATCATCCCATTTCTATTGCATCTGGATTTCTTACATCGGACAATCCACCAAATAGCACGTTTCGCCAGTTTAGACTACTGGTTGTGTTCCTTGTTTCTTGTAAACCTGATGCGGAAAATTTCTAATAAAAGAATGTCTTAACCTTTGGCACACCACTTTCAGCTGCCGATGAAACTAACGACTCACTTCTGCATAATCCTGATTCTGACATGCAACCTTCCAATCGTTCAATTGTTGTTTACAGACAAATACGGCCATGCATGATTCTTGAAAAGCATAATCAATGATTGCTTGTCGAGCCTTGAGAAGCGATTGCAAGATACAAATCTCTTTACGGATCCCTAAGCCCAATAGTCCCAAGCGATCGCTATCCATGCTCTCATAGGTCTGCTTGCAACTCTCCAAATCTCGTAATATGGTCGTAAACGTAGAAGGATGTTGAGCTGCACCAATAGCTTGATACCTAAGAATCTCGTGGATTAGTAGTTGCCTTTGAATAATGATAGTTTTACACACTTACAAAGTGATTAAAGATTGCCGTATGCGGCAAACATCAGTGAGTGCCTTTAGAACATCGAGTATCGTGTCGATATCATTGATCCCAGTAGCAGCAGCAGCACCGGAATTGCTTTCAAGAATAGCTATTTCCTTCGCCGCGTCCTCGGCTAGATAAGTGTAAAGAGAATGCAGCTGTACTGAAATAAGCAACATGTATTGATCCCCCACCCTTTTGTATCAACTTACTGGATCTTTTCGGACATAGTACCATTTAGGCTTTAGGAAGGATAGCTGGGTATAAAGACTCTCGCAGTTGCTCAATCGACCAAGCAAATTGCTCATGGGTTGGTATACCTTTGGGACAGCACCATGCATTGTCAGTAATGGGACTACGTAGATCGTTGATTCAAGTTGTCTTACTCACACGTAAGAGGCGTGCTAGGATCCTATTGGTAGCAGCGTAATCAAACGCCCCCAACGCATTCCAGCATGAAGTACAAAGAGTGATATCCATACGAGAGACCAATGCGAGTACGGTCCCCGCGAAATCGGCTATGACGCCATGTCCACATTTTGTTCAAATACCGAATGATTAATAAAATGAGCCATCTTTGTGCCCAAGCCATCCTTGTTGCGTGTGTGTGGGTCGATCATGTTTGCATGAAAGACGCCCATTGTGTCAGTTTGTAGAAGAGTCTAGTCTTGGCATCCTCGTTTTGTAGTCGCAGTAATGGTAAAAGACACGGCAAATAGAAACTGTTTTCTGGATGATTGGTTCACTAGATGAACCACATCAATGACACATCCCATTTCTGTTTCACGGTGTTTCCCGTTTTATTCTGGTAAATCTGTGTGCGACGATAAGATAGACCATGCTTAGGCTGAATAATATGAGAAAGGGTCAGGTGGAAAAGTATATCATGTGTCGACCCTTTTAGAGTTGGGGGAAGATGAAAATGCCTTCATGCTCGATAGCTTTTGTTGTTTCGTGACCAAGTGCTGCTGCATTAATAAAACCGATATCCGAGACTCTAGTGAATACGAGCAATGATTGCTATACGCTACCAACATGTTCTGTTTCAGGCAAAAATGGATACAATCCACGAGCATTGGTTTTCATTGGTTACAAAATGTGGGGTCGCTTTCGGCAATCCAAAGCAACTAGCGCCCGCATTCGTGTAACATACCTGGTTTAAATTGTTGTCTTGCCCCTCCTTTTCCCTTTCTTTTTCCGTTGACTCTTTTTTGCACACTTTCTATTCCTTTCTATTCATTCATCATCGCTGGCGATATTTTATTATACAATGACATCTTCAATTAATAACACAACTACCCTTATTCCTGATCAACCTATTTCACGTAAACGAAAACAAGATTTTTCCATGGATACCTCGAAAACGTCATCGTCAGCTGCTTGGTCAGAGTTTGTCTATTCATCCCCCAGCTCACCATCCTCGAACAATAACAACATGACCAATGCTACACACATGCCTCCATCCTCGTCCACGGGAGGGGACATGACACTTGACAGCAGCAGCAACTTTGCTAATTTCGACATCAACTTGGATTCCATTTTTGCTTCTGGGACCAATGGCAACTTTGATCATAGCTTTGATTTCGACCAATATAATCTCGAGTCTCATCTCCCGCTATCAGGGTCCGCTTCCCGACGCCATTCAGTTGCTGTGGGGGAAATGGATTATCATTCATTTGACAATCTCAAACAGGATTTCGATATTCGGCGTTTCGATGCTAGTCTCCAACAGCTCCTTGAACTCCCTTCGTCTTGGTCTTCAAACAGCACAAGTGAACAAAGCAATGATTCCTATCCACCTCCAGCACCACACAAGCGAGCCATGTCGTTGCGATTGGAAACCTCGTTGCCATTGCAACAGCAATCAACAGGTTCCCCGGATACGCCAGCTTTATTCACACCCAGTTTTCTCGATGCACTCAATGCTGAGGAAGATAAAGATGCGCCACTCCTGTTTCCATCAGGTGCAATATCCTTCACAACGCCCACACCTTTGAATGGTGATGGTGGAGAGAACAATCAACAACGACCTGAGGACATGTTGAACATGTCATCATCACCATCTAATTCTTCGGTCGATTACTTGTTGCAGCAACATCATCAGCAAGCAGCCACCACTACCGCCACAAGTAGCAGCATCCCCATCAGCACATCAAGCACAATTGCACCATCAGCTATTTCTAACAACATGTGGATGATGGGTGGTGATCATCATCATACGCCTGAAAAGTCATCAAACCGCTCTACGGTGGCTAAACGCCGTGTCAGCAAGTCGAGAACTTCGCCACCAACATCACCATCGAATACCATTACTTCATCCATGTCATCCATGTCACCTTCACCACCTATCACTCCTATGCAAGCTCATGCATTTGATCATTCAAACAAAAAGCATCATCATCCCACCATCCTTGAGGAAGATGAAACCATATCTGAACAGCAACACAACAACAATTCTTGGGCAAACAGCACTGATCATCCTATGCGCATGTCGAAAAGTAGCTTGATTGCAGCACGTATGATGCAAGGGGTGAACACGGCCAATATCCTCAAGCCCCATGTGCAGCAATACTTGATGAGTAACGACCCTGCTGGTTCGGGTGAACGCACTATCATGATTTTGACGAGCAAGGTTGCACAAAAAAGCTATGGAACGGAGAAAAGGTAAATAGTGGCCGGGTTAATGTTGTTGTTGTAGCCAACTTGTTTACTTACTTTTTCCATTAGATTTCTATGTCCACCGCCGACTACTATTCTCTCTGGTTCTTGTTGGTGGGCGAGTGATCGTCAAGAAGGCCCACAAGGTTTCTATCCTGGCGCATTGGCACCTCCCAAATTGACAATCCACATTTCCGGTGAAGCTAATAGCCAGTCAGGTGTCCTTGAATGGTACTCAGCAAATGGAAACATCCTTGATGGCACATCCTCTGCCTCTGCTGCTGCTTCGGGTGATACAACCATGTGTGGCAAATGTGTATCAAAGCATCTCCACATCAATGATGCCGACGAGAAGCGAAAGCGTGTTGAAGTCATGGTCAAGATGCAGCTCGGGAACGGCCTTCAACTTGGTACCTTGGCAAGCAAGGGTATTAAGGTTATCAGCAAACCTAGCAAGAAACGACAAAGCGTCAAGAACATGGAATGTAAGTTTTCTCGTGTGTATGCTATCCTTGGTACTTTTTATTCACATACAATCAATAGTGTGCATTCATCATGGTACGACCATTTCATTGTTCAATCGTATCCGCTCGCAAACAGTATCCACCAAATACCTCGGCGTATCCAACAATGTACCAGTTCAAGGCAAAGGCAATAGCAACGCCAATGGCAAAGGCAATGGAACATGCTTTGTAGCACGTACTGGCTCTTGGGATCCATTTGTGATTTGGATTGTTGACACATCTCGTGCACCTGATGTGGGACAAATGCCTCGTAAGCATCATCCAACAAATCCTAATTATCCACCACCACCAGCCATTGCATTGCAAGCCGACACCAACCAACAACCCATTGCTATCCACTACAATCAAGCTGTGGTGCTACAATGTGTCACAACAGGCCTTGTTAGTCCCGTGATGGTGATTCGAAAGGTTGACAAGGGAAGCATGGTATTGGGCGGCAATAAGTTGGACGACTTGTCAGGCACCACAGGTGGTGAATGTGGCGACGAAGCTCTTGGCGACCCTGTATCACAGCTTCACAAGATCGCTTTCCAAATTGTGCAAGATCCATCCATTGCACATAGCAACAAGGCAGGATACCATCGACACCAGCAACATGGCATCGATCGCATGTCATCAGAATGGAAATTACCACAATCATGCCAGCCTATTACTTACCTTGCATGCTTGAATGATGTGGTTGGTATGCATAAAACAACATCAGCACGTACCCTCACTTCACAACAACAACCACGAGCAGCCGTAACGGGAACACCAAAATCCACAGCATCCCCTTTGAGTTGGCTTGAACAGCAACAACAGCAAATGCAATCGATGACATCCAATAAATTTGTTGTATCGGAAGAAAACAATGGCAAGGTGATACGCAAGAGACGTGTGTCATGTGATGTTGTCAAGCCTATGTCATTACCCGCCAAATTACAACAATCAACTGCAGCTGCACATCGACGTCGTGTGAATTCGCTAGGCGATGTCTCGGCAGTGGCTGGTGGTGGTCGTCGTGGCAGTGTGGCTGATCGTCGTGGCAGCGTGGATAGTACAACACAAGCTAATACGGATGGTGCATGTTGGACTGAAGATGTATCAGATGCAGCTGTTTGGACCATTGTGGGCACTGATTGTGCTACTTACACATTTTGGGCAGCTCCACCTCTTGGCGATATCAATTCACCTTTCCTACGCACTGAGAATGGATCAGCTATTACACCTTTCCCCACCATCACAACAAATATCAATACACAGCAAGCAAGAAGTGACAACAATACTCTCACACTCGCTGGTGAACACCTTACTCGTGATTTGTCGGTGTGGTTTGGTGACATCAAGGCTCCTCGCACTGAGTATCGTTCACGTGAAGCGCTCGTTTGCTCCATTCCTGATTTAAACGACTTGCTCTCAAGCCCAGTCATCACAGTCGATGAGCATGATGGTGAACGAAAACTTCCCTTGCTCCTTGTCAGAGGTGATGGCATCGTATACCGCACAGGCCAATTCTATTTGTTCTAAGCATCAATGTGCTTATTAGCATTTATCCTCATGCTTTAAGCTTTTTCTTTTTTCTCTACTATATATGATTTGCTTTTATCTATCTGCTTTTATCTTATGCATTCTTCTCTCTCCTATATACTTGAAGCACCCCTTCAGCTTAATTGTAGACTATATCCCTTGGATAAGAATAACCCATGCCCCATGTATTATAATAGCGTAAATGCATCATAAAACATTTCTCAACCATCAACATTGTCATTATATATCATCTATTGTCCATGGCAAGTGATTGACAGTATTTGCATATCCGCTATGGATGATCAAACATCTCCTATTCTATATGTGTATCCAAAAGATCGAAATCATAAGAGGAGCGTGTGGTACAATGTTATTGACAAGATCTGGTCACCCCAAACAAGCAACTTTGTTCAAGATACAATGAATCAATCAGACCCTTTATCTTCCTCTCCGATCATGCATGTGCTATACCATAAATCATTCTATAATACAATTGATCAAGTGCCACACACACAACGAGGCGGAACTCAAGAAGAAGTACTGTCTCTTCCACTTACAAATGGTTGACAACGCATCTCTCGTACTCGTGAAAGTTATACTTTAATCCCAACATCATTCACAAGAGATAGATCGAGAAGTGTACAACGAATTGCTTCAATTGGGTGGGGGAGATGTCTATCCTTTGGGTGAGCATTGTGCAAAGGTGCATGATGGCGAATTATATGATGCATGGCGTGCCAAGTCATGGATTTGGATGATGATGGCTGTACATGATATTGACAGGTTGCATAAAGGATGATGATAGTAGCTGCTACGTGTACATGATGTGAAGTACGAGAATTGGATGCACCCAATCGTTCAGGATGATGCACCAAGCTTAATGGTCAAGTTGACAACGCTCTTTTTCCACGTATTGCACATGTCCAGACCCCTCATTCCATGTACCCATTTCCATATCCATATCCATCATAGGAATTCGATTGTATTGAAACAAGTTGATACACGTAAAGAAAGCTGCTTCTATACAATGTGGCTATCTGCTGTCCACGTGAACAAGGCTGCAAGGCAAGCTGCTGCAAGTAATGAACGCTGTTGGAGACAATGTAGTAAAGACCTTGCTGATGGCAATTGCTGGAATGAATGCTGTTACGATTGGTCGTGGTAGAGGAGTGTGCAAGAGAACGTGAAGTGTCAAGAAACGCAGGTGTTGTAGTGGGGTACACACGCCCATGGGCTTGCCATTCAGTCAAAGGCAATCGGATCAAGGCAATTGTAGGATCGACATGATGGGTTGAAGCAGTACAATCGCTCGCAGGTGGTAGTTGTATATTTGAATGCACCAACAGTTGAGAATGGGAGGAAGAGGGAAGAAGCTGAAGTAGAAGAAGCCGAAATTAAATGGGTTGGACACCTCTTGTATAAATGCATGAACACTGTACATCAATCCTTGATATTGAGATTGCCCAACTCGATCGTGAAACTTTCACACAATGTGCCCTGGGACATGCTGATCATGTTGATCTAAAAAAGACCTCATGTTCATTTGAAAATTTGGAATGGGAGAGTACAATGTGGGGTTTACTATGTAAATCGGAAATGTAGGTCAGCGCCGGGTTCATGATCTATCGAAATGGTATGTATTATCATGATATTCCCCATCTCGAACGTGAAACCGGGTCAGAAGGTTCGCTGAGTCATGCTGATCAACTTCATTCATTTAAAAGTCGCGGACTTCATTGTGAAGATTTAAAATGCGGGGGCGTCCAAATGGTAGATGATGGGAACAAAAGAGCGGACGGTCCACCGCCCCGAAGTTGCCCACTTCCAACTTGGAAATTGGTCACAAGGGTGCTCTCGAGCATGCTGATCAGCTTTTTCTAATAAAGATCTCATGCTGCATTTGAAAATTTAGAATGGGAGCGTCCAAAAGTTTGAAAGACGGAGACATTCGCAGGGTCTGTCTTTCAAGAATTGACATGTTTGCTGTTCCACCGTAGCTCAGTCAAATCGGCTCGGATCAACCTACTTTAATCATGGAAATGAATGTCTAGAGCAGGGGCATCGTTCCCATGCAGTGGATCTCGCAACAATGATGATTGGATAAAAGTGGCCGTTAGCTAGCAATACATGCCTGTTCCCAGATGATCCATAAAGTAATATATATTGACCCTTTCATTCATGCAAACGTAGCTGTGTTACACAACACGACCCTCTGCATCTTTTGCTCTGCCAGGGTCTAGTTGATTGACAGTGAACAAAGACCAATTCCCATATAGCATCACGCTTACAAACATAAAGGTGCCTGTATCTCCAAACTTTACAATGGAACGTGGGGTTTTTATTAGAGCAATGTGCTCGGCTTGGTCAACAGCACCTTGTGTGAAAGTTTCACGTTCAATGTCGCAAACAGCCCAAAAAATATTTTTTGGTCGTCGTCGTCGAAGAGGTCGACCCCCAGATCCAGTTTGGCTGGTGGCGACATTGCGAAATCTGGGATCGGCAAGCTTGATCGTGAAACTACTACACAAGGTGCAGTTGGCCACGCCGAGCACATTGCTCTAATAAAAACCCCACGTTTCATTGTAAAGTTTGGAGATACAGGCACCTTTACGTTTGTAAGCGTGATGCTATATGAGAAGTGGTCTTTGTTCATTGCCAAGTAGCTAGACCCTGGAGAGCCAAAGAGGCAGAAGGACCTCTTTGGGTAACTCAGCTAAAAAGTCAGGACTTCAGGGACAATGCATGATAGGTACGCAACTCTCACTTTTATGTCATACATTGGCAGCTAATAGCCACTTTTGTGCATTCCCAACTTTTGTGCATTCTATTGTAGGTGGACGATGCTCCTGCTCCAGACATTCATTTCCATGATTAAAGTAGGTTGATCCGAGCGCAATACATGCCTGTTCCCAGATGATCCATAAAGTAATATATTGACCCTTTCATTCATGCAAACGTAGCTGTGTTACACAACACGACCCTCTGCATCTTTGCTCTGCCAGGGGTCCTGTTGATTGACAGTGAACAAAGACCAATTCCCATATAGCATCACGCTTACAAACATAAAAGGTGCCTGTATCTCAAACTTTACAATGGAACGTGGGGTTTTTATTAGAGCAATGTGCTCGGCTTGGTCAACAGCACCTTGTGTGAGAAAGTTCACGTTCAATGTCGCAAACAGCCCAAAAATATTTTTGGTCGTCGTCGTCCGAAGAGGTCGACCCCCAGATCCAGTTTGGCTGGTGGCGACATTGCGGGAATCTGGATCGGCAAGCTTGATCGTGAAACTACTACACAAGGTGCAGTTCAATATCTGTCGCTCCCCCCATTAAGTTTGAATTTTGTAAGCGTGATGCTATATGAAAGTGGTCTTTGTTCATTGCCAAGTAGCTAGACCCTGGAGGGCTAAAAGAGGCAAGTAAGTTTGTTAACTCAGCTAAAAGTCAGGACTTCAGGGACAATGCATGATAGTACCGCAACTCACTTTTTATGTCATACATTGGCAGCTAATAGCCACTTTTGTGCATTCCCAACTTTTGTGCATTCTATTGTAGGTGGACGATGCTCCTGCTCCAGACATTCATTTCCATGATTAAAGTAGGTTGATCCGAGCTGATTTGGTTGAGTTACGCTCACACAAGATTACATCGGTTGAGCTACATCGAGCGTGCTTTATGTCCGGAGTGATGTAATCTCTCTTTGACCGCAGCTCAGTCAAATCAGCTCGGATCAACCTACTTTAATCATGGAAATGAATGTCTGGAGCAGGGGCATCGTTCCCATGCAGTGGATCCCGCAACAATGATGATTGGATAAAAGTGGCCGTTAGCTAGCAATACATGCCTGTTCCTAGATGATCCATAAAGTAATTATACATTGACCCTTTCATTCATGCAAACGTAGCTGTGTTACACAACACGACCCTCTGCATCTTTTGCGCTGCCAGGGTCCACCTACTTGACAATGAACAAAGACCACTTCTCATATAGCATCACGCTTACAAACATAAAGGTGCCTGTATCTCCAAACTTTACAATCAAACGTGGGGTTTTGAATAGAGCAATGTGCTCGGCTTGGCCAACAGCACCTTGTGAGAAAGTTTCACGTTCAATGTCGCAACTAGCCCAAAAAAATATTTTTTGGTCGTCGCCGACGAAGAGGTCGACCCCCAGATCCAGTTTGGCTGGTAGCGACATTGCGAAATCTGGGATTGGCCACGATCAACGTGAAACTTGCACCCAAGGTGCTGTTGGCCAAGCCGAGGCCATTGCTCTATTAAAAAACCCACGTTTCATTGTAAAGTTTAGAAATACAGGCACCTTTATGTTTTACATATGCTGTAAGCGTGATGCTATATGGAAGGTGGTGTTTGTCATCGTCATGTAGTAGCCAAAGATGCAGAGGGACTTGTTTGTGTAACAAGGCTGAGGGCAGGGCTTGAAGAGTTCTTATTGGCGGAAAGTGCATAACGAATCCTCCCCCTATAGAAGATCCGCCTATGGTAGACCTCATGGGATTCTTTTCGAGTAAAGCCATGGTATGATTAACCAGCCAAAAATGATCAATGCAACAGAGAGTATGAGGAGAGGTGAGTATTTATTCTCTCCAGGATACGTTCCTATGCAAAGTTATACATACAAGCGCATGCCGAAGGTTGTCGTAGGGGAAAAGCACATGTATGTACTCGTATCACATTGTATCAGAGCTCACTCTTTCGTAAACGTAATGACTTGAGCTTACAATGGAACAATCTTCTGTAGCAAGCACTATTGTTGGGTATCATTACTATGGATTTATTATCTTTGAAAATACAAGCGTCTATTTAAACATCTATACAGTACACTGAGAATTGCCACAGTCTATGGTCTAGCAGTATATGAACAAGTAAGCTTTAATGAATGTACATGATGAAAGGAACAAAAGTGTCTCGATACAGTAATATAGTCGATCTAATCTCGCTTTCCAACTTTCACCTTTCTATCCTCTTTTCCCTTCCAGAAACCAATCAGTGGATCACATAGAATCAGCGGGGATCATTGTGTCATTGTATCCTTGGTTGCTGCCGTCATAAGCATCTTCATCCACGATCTCAAACTAGTTGCTGTGCGTGTCTTGACTTCAACATCCCAATATCATCCATGGCAACAAGCCGCCTTTCGTCAAGACATAAGCCCTCTTACGTATTCCATCCAATCCATCGTCACCCTCAGCCGCACCCATGTAACATGATCCATCCTTCTTGCTGACGACATCCCAAGTAGCCAAAACGACATTTCAGGATCACCTAGCACTCTGCTTGATTGGATCCATCCATCCATCCATAACCATTGCAAGTCCAACATGTCGATATGAAGAACTCCTGTGATCGCTTGCTGACGTGCTTCCTTTTCCCATCCGGCTGTTGGCCAATCACTTGCTTGATCATTTTCCATCGCAGCTCAACCAGGTGAAGAATGCTTGTAATAGTAGTTGATAGTTGATATGGTATCATCCATAGGGATCCATACGTATTAAATCAAATTGCTACACGTAAATAAAGCTGCTTCTATACAATGGCTAGTTGCTGTTCACGTAGAAAAGGCTGCAAGGCATGTTGCTGCAAGTAACGTTTTTGGTTGTTGTAAAAGTGAGCAAGAGAACGTGTGTTGTAGTAAAGTGACAAGGTTGCGAATGCTGTTTGAGGTAATGGAGTAACGACCTTGCCAATAGCAGCTGCTGGAATGAATGCTGTTACGATTGGTTGTGGGAGAGGAGTGTTGTCAAGAAAACGTCGGGTGTTGTATGGGGTGCACACGCCGTGGAATGTGCCATTCAGTCAAAGACAATCGGATCAAGACAATCGTAGGGTTGACATGATGGGTTGAAGCAGGACAATTGTTCACGAGGGGTGGATTGAGGAACTGTTGCGTTGGGAGGAAGGAGACAGGTTGCTGGGAGTGACAAGCGTAGATTGTGTGTCCATGACGAAAAAGGTTAAACGCCATTTTTGGGCGACACAGCAGTAAAAAATGTGAGGGTCTCAGGGTTTTTGAAAGCACGCCGCTTTGTCTTCCACTCCTTCTTCGTTCCAATGCCTGACACAGATGAAGAGCAGCCACTGCATCATCATCAATCACAGTCATATCAAACCATAATTCTATCTACCAGCGACGACGAGAATGACAATGATCAAAACAGCCACTTGACGGGTTCCAGCTATAATAACCACCAACACAAACCTCAGCTTGGAAGTATCAGCTTACCGATTTTGACCCTTTGGTACATAAAGCCCTCGATAATCATGCTTGCAAACCAACCAACCTTATTCATTACATAGCTTAGCTGTTGGTGCAGGTCTCACCACGCTGGATTCCTCAATATGCGTCACTGTGCTCAACCATATTGGTACCGAATTTCGCAGGTATAATATGTGAATGCAGAGAGCAAACAGCGGAGTTTATTGATCGCTTTTGTGTAGCGCCAATCTTGCAGCTTGGATCACTAGTGCATACATGCTCACTTGCCTATCAGCACTCCCATTGGGTATTCAAAGAAAAGGATGACTTCATATGCAATGGCGTACTTACATGTCTCTATAATCTCAGTGGGAAAATTATCAGAGGCATTTGGAAGAAAACCAGTGTTGATTGCTACCTCGTTGCTTTTCCTTGTCGGCTCTGTTGGATGCGGTGTATCCCAATCAATGCTTCAAATGATAGCTGCACGAGCAGTTGCTGGTTTTGGTGGAAGTGGCCTGGTGCTCCTTCCAAGCATCCTAATCCATGATCTTGTTCCGCTTGAGCAATCGAGCCAATACCAATCCTATATCAATGTGTCACAAACAGTGAGTATTGGATGGAGTGGGAATATGGTACAAAGCACCAGGTGCATGAATATGAGCTGTGTTGACGAATTATTCAGGTTACAGTGATATTAGGACCCCCATTTGGAGGTTGGATCACCGACATGGTGGGATGGCGCTATTGTTTCCAGCTCAACATTGTACCGGTGCTGGCAATCACCTACGTTTATGCATTTCGATTAAACAACTACAACGCTCCAAAGGAGAATACCTGTGTATGGGAAAAGCTCACAACGATTGATTTTGGTGGTGCTTTTCTCTTGACCATTGGCATCCTTGCTCTTGCTATCGTTCTCATGTCAGGCGGCAACACGCATGATTGGAATGATCCATTCATCGTAACAATGCTATTTGGATCATTGTTGGTATTCATTGCCTTTGCCATCTACGAAAGACGACAAGGAGACAATGGGCTTTTAAGACCTCAAACAGCGTCCAATCGAAATGTCATCTCCACGTGCATCACAGCATTAGGCAACTGTACCAGCGATAGTGGAATCCTTATACTTTTACCACAATACCTAACAGTAAGTATGGATACATGATCGCTCCATTTATTGGAAAGGGGTGAGGTATCACGTATTAATATGAGCCAAAGGTAGTACATGGATCCACCATTTCTGAATCAGGACTCTATCTAACAGCACGATCTATCACAACGCTTGTTGGATGCTATGTTGCCGGGCAATACGTCAAACGCACTGGACATTTTCGTAACTTTTTGATGGCAATGGCAGCGCTTTATATCGTATGTGCCTTTATCCTTGGGAAATGGGTAGTTGCAGCTATACCCCATTTCGCAGGCGTGGCATCCATGTGTTTGACAGGAACAGCATTTGGTGCTATTTCAGTCCCACTCTTCACGGCCGTTGCAAGTGACATACCCAAACCACGTAAGATAAAATGTAAGGCAAATCCAATTGTCATAGCACTAACCATGATTGTTAGAGATTGCATCGGCAACATCCATGTATGTCATGACACGTTATATGGGTATACTGCTCGGAATGGCTCTCAGCTCCACGCTTGTGCAAGGGAATCTCAAAATCCTCTTGAGAGAAAGGATCAATGGTGATGACGCTGATAAGGTGGGAACACTAGCGGGAATATTAAGTTTCAATATCGTATTCTTTATACTCATCATAATGACGCTATCTAGCTCATTGAATTCATTCGCACCTCCATTGATAAGGTAAACACGCTTACACCTGAAGTACAGCACATTGTCTCGGACGCTTTGGCACAATCCTTGGAAAAAGCTTATTACATCTTGGCAAGCATCGCATTCATTTCGGTACTCGCGTTGATGTACATGAAGAACGTGGACGTTAGAAGCAACAACAAATGATTTGCATAAAAGTAACATAGCAATGATTGAATAAAAAGCACGGCACAATGAAAGCGAGCAATAAAAGATCACCCATTCGCAACACAATTCCTCATTTGGGTCTACAAAGAACCAAGCTGTAAGGAGCGGGATTAATTTGACAACCTGGTTATGCTTGCCGATCTCCATAGCTCGACATCCTGCTACTCGGCGTCTCCATGGCAACGACAAGCTAAACATGCATCCTCCATAAGTATCCACTATGCGATGGTCGATCCATTGTAGCTGAGCCTCTATATAATCTGCTGCTCCAAAACGTGATGGTAATTGCGGCATAAAGGATACTCATCAGCTGCGTCATACACGATAACTACTACGTCCCAGGAAATGATTTTGATCTTTAAAAGTACACGCTGGTTGACTTTGCTAAATGTTAGTGGTTCATCTAAGATGGATTTTTGGTTTGGGAAAGCCTAACGACATGTGGGAAAGTGTTCAAGAACGCAATTGGTACATCGCTGAATGAGCTGGTTATGGACATTTACATGCGCCTGTACTACATCGCTTCTGCATCATCACATTACTCGCCCCCTATGTCAACTAAAATTTTAGTCTTTTCGTGTATTGACATCATGAAGCAGCAAACCTGTCACCGCAAACGCAGCTACAATAGTATTCATCTTTGACAATATTACGTATTACACACGAATGAAAAGAGCAACGTTGTTATTTATTTGGTGTTTTGCATCATGGGAAAGCTTGGGTGCGAGTTATGGCTAAAGTTAGCACCGTATTGGCGTCGCCAGTGATGTTCGGCCTATCATTAACAATACGCATGTCAAAAATGTGGCACTCATTTCATTGGATGATGAATCCTCTTACTTGTTTTCTGGCTTCGTATAAATCATTTTGGACAAGGCCGCTTGACCGCCGACGAGCCATGGCGTGAGGTGACATATCATTTGAATTGCTTTGTTGATTGCCAGCTTCCACTGAATTCCGGCGTTTGTTCATGTAGAGTGCAGCACCTGCAGCACCAACAGCACCAAGAGTAAAGAATGTTCCAGCAGCAGGCATGATGAAGATAGTTGATTGCTTGAAGAAATAAAAGAGAGAGAAAAGAAATAACTTGAAGAGGATGGAGAGGATATGATTGTGAAAAAAGAGAAAAGAATGGGCCTATATATACGCGAATTTCTGATGGGTGGGAATATCTTGAATGTCGGTGTCATGCGACTAGTTTACAAGTGTATCTTTCTCGCTTGAAGCGGCATATTTGTATATAAGAAAGGGATGGGCGTTGATAGTAGGTGCAATAGGTGTGGGAGAAGAAGCAGCCCTAGTGTATATCTAATTAGAAACCATGCTACCCCCACTTCCTTATCTGTGCCCCCAAGTCTGCTGACATTGTCCCATACTTGCAATGCAACGGCGATTGGACACACATACTCTCCCACACGCCTTATACAGCTTTAGCTCCAAAACCCACCCAACTTGAAAATATAGCATACATGCCATGTCCTAGAAGCTCCTATCTAATCAAAGGGACAACGGCATAACGTGTGTGTCACATACCTGTTGCTGTTGTTACACGCATTTTGCACTGCTGCGGGTGCCAGATGGCACAGCACATTAATGACACGACCCAAATGGGGAGTATTGACAAAAGTGGGTGGGATCCTCCTGCACATGTGTCATGCACCAATGAGCACTATTTTGACAAACCATTCAATTCCCAATGAACCAAGCAAGCAATTACTACAACATGTTTTATTGTGATTATATGCACAAGATAAAGAATCCATCCTTAAAACTCCTTCTTCTTTTCATCGATAGAGTAGCCTCCAGGACCCATGGTGACGAGTAGCAGAAATCCTCCAACGATGGAAAGGGTTTGGAAAAAGTCGTACTTGAGGAAGTCTCTCTTGAAATGGCTGTGGGAAACGGACCAAAAGTTGTTGATGAGGATGTTGAATACTGAAAGGAAGAGAACCAGGAACATTGCTGAGTATTTTGCCTTGAAACCAACAGCGACCATAACGCAAGCAGCGAGACCAAGCAAAGATACAATGATACGAATGAGAGACCATTCACCATGGAATGCGGATCCGATAAAGAGGAAAATAAGCAAGATGCGACCCGCCAATTGCAAATAGGTGCGACGATTGCTTTCTGACAGCTGTGGCAATGCTGCAAACATACGCTTCTTTTTACCCAATGCATCCGAGAGAACCATGACAAGACCTCCAATCACCGATAGGTTACGCAAGAAAAAGGAGAGATCAAAGATCAAGCCATATCCCAATGCTTGAGCAACCACGACGCCCAATAAACCATACACTGCATACTCTTGATAACGTCTTGCAATCACCAATCCAGAACCAGCCAACATTACCTATACAAGTAGATGTTAGTAACAATACGCGTATACCTCCATAGTTGTTGTATCCTTATTCCCCTTCGATCAAAAAGTACTTACGATCACATTAAGACCAAGGAAGATTTGACTAATACCTCGTGGAAAGTGTCGATAATCTTGCATGTACGTGTTTTGGTCAGACCACTGGGTGGCAATCCGTAGAGCATCTTCGAGGAAAGTAACAACAATGAGGAAGCGTCCGATTGCAGGAATGTAGGGCTTGAGTGGTTGACCAACACGGTCGATGACGTCTTCTGCTTTTGAACTGAATGACTCCACCTGCAGCTTGAGATCGGACATGATGACTTTTAAAAGGAATGAAAAGAGGAAAGAGAGACAAGACGTGTTCTACCTCTGTAAATGAATTGTATTCATACCGGGCAAGGGGGTTTTCAAGCCATCCTGCATTAAGGCATCCAATCATATCCTCCCAACACCTAACAGAAATACACCTCTTTTTGCCACAGCATTTCATGCCCTTTATCATTTCAGCATAGTCTAGGATCGGCATGCCACTTTTTGATTACTTGAGTCCTTGATGAGCTGCCCACCCATGTAGGACCTTTTTACTTGTCGATGATGATGATAGCTTGTAGGTACTTGTGTCACCTGATCGACATCTTCCGTTACGCCACCAATATGCGATCCTGGTGGGGTACTACGCAAAATGCCCGCTGGTGCTGTTCCCCTGGCAACCCCTCTTTCATTTTGATTATCAGCCTTTCAAGAAGCATCCTTTATACATTGTCTTTTGCAAAGGAGTACATATCATTCTTTTCATAATAGGATCTCAAGAATCAACTACAACCACCATAGTGTGGCGCGGTTGCTACCGATCTGACATATGCGCATTACGATGTCGCACATTAAAGCGGAAACAAAGCGGGCTTTGACCTGTTAATTACCCACCACCCCAGTGCATACACCTGCACCCACTCAATTTACACTCTATGACACCATCAACAGCCATTTATCCACATTGATAGATTGAAAACATTCCCCATTTCAAGTATCATGATTTATCTGTATTAACAATGATAGCTTCTTTGTTGACGTTAAGGGAATGATACCATCATGTTGTTATATGAAGAATCTTAGGGAGGGAGGAGGATTTGCGATGCTTGCTATCTATTATCGACGATTGCATCTCTCGTCATCATCGCTGTAGCGGCAGCCCAAGGGAAAATCTATCTCAAGTTCACGCTAAACTTCAACTAGATATTAGACACGCATCGCTCTCAATCTACTACTTGCCAACAACATAGCTTTTCCTACATTGGCTAGGCCATAACCAAATACTCGACTTGACGTAGACATACGCTATCGGTAGAGTTCCATCCTTGCAGTAAGGCATTGTGCACATTCGTAGACATGAGCTATACTTGGGTTGTTTGATTGATTGTCTTTGTAGAAGGAGAACAATGAATACTTTTATTACGGAGTCCACATAAATATAGGATGTAATAGAATGTGCATCATAATAGGCTATCCAATTGTAGCTATTATTGCATGTCCTCTTATAAAAGAATAGGTGTTGGGTGATGTAGCCATTTGGTATGTGAGTCAATATTGCTCAACATTGGATCCCCACCCCCAACGCAATATATCCTAGGCGAGATTTAAGGCGCAGCATTACATTCTCTTTACATGACGGAACAGTAAATGGGTCGATGCAAGCAACCAACAGGCAGCATAATATCGTTTCACCGTGGTCCCAGGTAGACAAACTCGGTGCCCTCCCACCAGAAGTGGACAATGAAGGCAACATTGAATACAAAGTAAGTGCCAATGTGCGTTTATTAAAGATGCATAGCCATTTCTCATTGCCTAATCGTCTAGCTCAAACTCGTGAATCCATCCGATGAACGACTAGAACACCTCATTACACAGCTCAAATGGAGGTGAATATTGATATTCTATTACAACAATGACTCCAAACGAACTAACATGATGTATACAGACTTGCTGAAGGGGATGGAGAAGCCATGTATGAGATAGGGGTGGATGACGATGGCACTTGTGTCGGTAAGTGACTCATATCAGCGTATGAACAACGTATAGTGGACTAATCGATCAATAGGATTGACGACAAAGGAGATGGAAGCATCGATGACCACATTACGTCGCATGGCGGATGAATTGGATGCTGATGTGTTTATTGTGCGACAAGTGGGAATGGACAAGCTCGGTCGTTTGCAGGAACACGATCGTACAGTACTAGAAGCGGTGATACGACATCGATTCAAAGAGCATCAACAATGCTATACGGATATGCGAATTGCAATATTGGGTGGACATGGAGAAGGGAAATCAACATTACTCGGCTATATCACTCATGGCATCCAAGACAATGGTCGTGGTCGGTCTCGACTCAGCTGTGCTCGCCATCGACATGAAATCGAATCGGGTCGAACATCTTCAATATCACACGAGATTATTGGTTATGATTCTGATGGACGTTTAATCAACTATGCGAATGAACATATCAATACCTGGGAGCAAATTTGTGAAGCGAGCACCAAAGTGATCACATTCCTCGACCTATGTGGCCATGCAAAGTATTTACGCACCACCATTTCGGGCATGTCTGGTTATTGTCCCGATTATGCAGCTCTCGTCATATCAGGCAATCTGGGTAACATCTCGGAGATGACACATGAGCATTTAGCTATTGCAGTCATGCTACGGGTTCCTGTATTCGTCATTGTCACCAAGGTCGACATCGCTACTCGTGCCCAATTACAGAATACTCTCAACACCCTTGTACAGTTATTACGTTCTCCTGGGGTCGACAAACTTCCCTTCATCGTACGCAGCGAAAACGATTTTGGATCATGCACTTCGACTTGGACACGGCGTGGACCCGAAGTACCAATCTTTCTCGTCTCCAATGTCACCGGCACCAACATTGATCTACTCCAACAATTTTTGAGCACCCTTCCCAAACCGACTAAGCAGTATCATAAGCTCTTGGAAGAACCCGTGGAATTTCAGATTGAAAAGGTTTACACAATTCCAGGTATGTCTCACACATTGCCAACATTTAAAAAATTCATCTCTAACATTGGATCAAAAAGATGTTGGATTGGTAGTGGGTGGTATGCTTCAAAAAGGCCGAATCAATATACACGACAAGATGCAATCCTACAACCTCGGCCCTGACAACAAAGGAAACTTCATCAAAGTCCAAGTCAGCTCAATTCATAGACATCGGATGCCATCTCATTACGTGCATTGTGGACAAGTCGCAACGCTTGCTATCACGTCTCCAGAGTTGGATCAAATGCGAATACAGCGAGGAATGGTGCTCCTAGGCACAGATACACCTACCAGCTATTACGAGTTTGAAGTCGAACTTTTGGTGCTATATCATCCAACAGGGGTAGCTGCTGGTACATGTGGTATGCTCTATTCGGGATCCATCCGCCAACAAGCACGAGTCATTGCTGTTTCTCCTCAAGGAACCAAAGCAGAGGATGGAGGTACCAGCAGCAGCAGCAGCAGCAGCAGCGATGGGATTGAATCAAATGGCTCTTCCTCAAGCAAGATTCGTTCTGGAAAAGAAGGTCGATGCGTGTTACGCTTTATGAACGAACCCAAATACCTCTGTATCGATGCCCAAATACTCTTCGTGGATGGCAAAGCTAAATGTCTAGGGCGAGTGACCAAGCTGGGAAACGATTTGGATAATCCATAGACTATTGCTACTTTATCATTTGCTTCTTGTAAATAGAAATACTTGCGATAATGAAGTCTTTAAAACCATTTGCTAATAACATCATTCATATCACAATACAACATGGCTTGTTTTCTTATTACTTTATGCTAGTGGAACAGGGGGATTTGTGCGGGAGAATTGAAGATGGGAAGAAGGTAAATGGTCTATCCAATAGTGTAATCATCAGCTGCAAGAAGGATTTCTTTTGTGATCTGGGCCGGGCTATCAGTCTCTAGATTATGCGCCTCAATTACCTATATTGTGTGATGCATGTTAGCAAAAAAAGGGATTACATAAACCATCAACCAAATCCTTACATCAACATCACAAATGAGTCGTTCACTGACAAAGGATACCATCACGGGGAAGAAACCATTTGCATCCTCGCCTGGTACGTTGCATTCGAGAGAGCCTGATTTGTTGGAGCTGTTAATCACGGGCAATTGCCAATCAAGTACCCGACGTTGACGATCCACAAAGTATGAGCCATCGGCACTGTGCACAGTTGCTGCAGGTTCAGCACTAAAAAAAGAAATTAGATACAGCCAATGCAAAAGATAAAGCTGACTTACGGTAGAGGAATAGAAACAACAACGTCACGAAGCTCCAAGTGATCTGCTTCTAATTCGTATTCGATATTTACATCACATGTACCATCACCAGCAGGGGAAGGCCAGCAATTGATGGAAAGAGGAACCGCCGTTTCATCTCGAGTAGAAAACTTCCATCTGACAACCTCAAGATTTTGCTGCACAGGGAATGGACGTGATACATCTCGCATTTGAACCATCTTGTCGTTCTTGAAAGCATTCTTATCCACATTTGGATGGGTCTAATCATACATGGTGTGAATTATCGTGGCCATTTGACATCCAATCATTCCCATCCATACCTTGAAATTGATAGCTGGATCATCAGCAGCTTGCAGTGTCAAACGGACACGTGCGTTAGCAGCATCGCCAACACGTAATGTGAGAACACCTCGAACTTCCATTTGCTCCAAACCACCATCTCGGTTAGCTGCCATCGATACTCGCTCTTCAATCCAAACATGCACTCTGAAAAGAAAAAAGGGGTTGACAATAGATGAATACGCACGATCCATTATCCACATAATATCCAATTTACTCACCCTTCGACTTCCTTTGTGATAGTGCTTGATGCAGCTGATCGCGAGGATTTGAGCAATGGTTCTTCAACCTCGGTTTTGATGGCTTCAAACAAATCGGTCGACTTCGGCTTACGGCCAAGTTGCATACCACGTGCCTTTGTACCAGAGGATGCAGGAGGCGTAGATGAACGGCTGTTGAATGCGGGCGAGTCGATGGTAGTTTGCACAGTTGGCTCCAATGCTGGTGAGAAGCGTCCACCCATGTAGTTGCCTTGTGAGCTAAAGTTGCCCTGCATGAAACCTTGGCCACGCTTTTGAGCCTCCTTCTTTTGCATTTCAAATTGCTTGGCACGTCTCTTGAGTTCCTCCTTTGCTTCTTGTTCTTTGTTCTAAAGACATGCTTAGAAATATTCATAATGACGCGCACACACACACACAATGATACATACCTTGGCAATGATCTCCTGTATCCTTTCTTCATGACTCTCCATTTCAATAATGCTCTTGACCTGTGCCAAATTCACGTTCTCCCGATAACCTTCAGAGATGATTTCATCAAAAGCACATAGCAATTCAAAGGCGTTGCGAAGGATATCTTGCTCATCACACGAGCGACAAATGTCGGTGACCACGCGGGCAAAAAGGTGAAGTGATTCGATATCTTGAAGGATGTTGGACTAGCATATACACAAAAGAGTTATTAACAAATGTAGTGAATGCAACCAGTGTCCATGATTGGCGGTGGATACGATATTTACTTGACGGTTGGTAATAAGCACCATAAAGAGCTCTTCTAGAGGTTGATATACATAACGCACATGCTCGGTCTCAACAGTCGTATGTTGGTGTCCAGTGCTGGTCAATTTTGGGAATGAAGCAAGAAGACCTTCGATGCGAGAACGCTGCATTTCACGAAACTGGCGAGAGATGACGGCTATGTTGGCAGTGTCAGTAAACGCATGATGACGTGTAAGTGCGACAGTGGCTCACCTTTGCCGCTCTTGGTCACAATGGCAGCTGCAAGGACGACCTGTGAATGCAATGGATGAGCATAATTTCAAGGTGGCAAGGTTGGGAATGGCAAGTACCATGGCGCGATGTTGTAAAGTGCTGGATACACGAAGGAAAGGCACGACAGATTCAGCACGGCGCTTCAACTAAAGTTGAGACATCCCGGAGTTGAAAACCAATTTGAATGAAGCCATCCAGTTGCTAAGAAGCACGTAAAGCTGTATCCTAGGCAACCTTTGAAATAAAAGATGCATTTAAGCATTCATTAGAGTTTGTTCTTTGCTATCTCGATATGTAAATTGATTAGTCCCCCTTCATCTAAATCATGCTATCCTGCTGCAACAGTACTCAACCCATTGTTGTTCGACACATCCATTGTAATAACACGCTATGATTGCAGTAAACCATCCTTCTCCTAGAGCAGATCAATGTTTACTGTCGCAATAGATTGCTTCATCAAATCAAGGAACGTTTATCATATCGCTCGGAGAATAACAACCATGGAATGTGTTATGGATATGATGCTTGCTTTGACGACTCCAGCGACCCGATAGCGGCTAGAATGCTGGTTGAAATGAGGATGTCTTTATATATATGTGCATGTATTTAGTAAGCATCGGCTCACATTTATCGCTTCCCATTGCTCATAATGCTCACATCTTGGCTGCTAGTATCGCTGCTGCTGACCACAGCATACGCTTTTCAGGTACCTAACAACGCCTCTACCTCCAGATCATCATTGTATACTTACGTATACACGATATAGAATAATTGCACTAATAACGTTGTGGCATGTATGGAGGAGACATAGTGCAACAAGCTCAAGTATAAGAAAGCTGCTGACACAACATTATAGATTGGGGTCAAAATTCGTATGGAGCAGCAAATCCTACCGATAAAAAGAATTGGCAACAACCGCTTCGATATTATTGCGAGGATGATTCCATTGATGTTCTCCCTGTGTCGTTCTTGACAACGTTCTTTAGCACAGGTGGCAAACCTACAATCAATCTTGCCAATGTAAGCATTGCTACGTGCTTCTTTGTTATGGTTGTATTGTATCTTACAAAAGTTTACATGCGTAGTATTGTAACAGCGTGGACAATTCTACATTCCCAGGAACCCAGTTGGCAGATTGCTCAGGCATGGAAGATGATATTCGATATTGCCAGCAAAGAGGCAAAGCCATCACATTGTCTTTGGGTGGAGCCACAGGTGGTGTAGGCTTTTCTTCGGATGATCAAGCAAATGCATTTGCAGATACTCTTTGGAATGACTTTTTGGGTGGGACATCAACAACACGTCCATTTGGCAATGTATCTCTTGATGGGTAAAGTGATCATTCAATCTTACTTTGGTGATGAGCTCACATGCATGTATCATGTACGTAGCATTGATTTGGATATCGAAGGCGGTGGAGCAGCACGTAAGTTGATATACCAAAGGCACATAGAAAAGTTATCATAGCTGACCCTATTCCCTGTAGACTATCCGGTCTTCCTTCGTAAATTGAAAACCTACTTTGATGGAGCCGATAAGAAATACTACATTACAGCAGCACCACAATGTGTATTTCCAGATGCCAACTTACAGCAAACTATGAATGATTTCCCGATGGATGCCGTATATGTCCAATTTTGTAAGTAACATGTCTCGGGCAATTTCCTACAGCTAATGCTCGGTATAATAGACAACAACCCCTGTGGGTTACAAACATATGGCAAAGCATCCCAATGGAACTTTGGTATGTGGGATCATTGGGCACGCAACGTATCTCCAAACAAGGACGTCAAGATTTACATTGGTGCTCCTGCCAGCAGCAGTGCCGCTGGGGGTGGTTATGTACCTTTGGCCACGCTTGCTAAGATTGTTAACGACACTCGTCATTCATTCCCAAGTTTCGGTGGTGTCATGTATTGGGGTACAGCTATCCAAATTATCATGATGATGAAATGCCACTCATTTGTGCTCCCATACGTAGATGCATCACAAGCACGTGCCAATGGACGAATGGATTCAGGGATCAAGGGAATAATGGGTAATACTTGTAATGGCGGTTTTGAATACCCACCATGCGATGCACCAACATGGGATCATTCTGGAAGATTGTATACCGCTGGAAATCGTGTTTCACACAAGTAAGTTGTCAACACCTACAGCTATGTAATAATGAATAAGCATGTTGTATACTCATCATCCCCCTTTTCTTTGCTTTGTAGTGGGTAAGTGATTGATTTCAAGATATCTTGTAGTAGTTCCATGAATTGAATAACGCGTTTTTTTCGGCATTTAGATACATCTGGGAGGTAAGCGTAAATAAATCATACAGGGATGCATCTCACACGTTATTCGGTAGGCAAAATGGTCCGCAAGTGCAGAGCCCAAAGCAAACCCCATGGGTGAATGGGCACCAGGTAATCGATGGCTAGCTGCTAATTATAGGACATGAGCTCATCTAAGAATGAATCTAGTCAAAGCATGCCAAGCAAATGGCTCACCACCCAATATCCCCAGCATACCCATACATCAAAGCCCATCATCGTCTGCTTCCGTACCCACACAAAAGCCGCTTCCTTCAACAAGCAGCAACGCTAATACAAGTAACACGATGAACAATGCTCCACCATCTTCGGTAAAACCAACATCCTTGGGAAGACCAAACGCCACAACAGCTACCCCCACTCCATTGCCACCACAAACGACACAACAAACACAACCTACTGGCAACCCTTGTAATACACTCCCATTGTGGTCGCCAAGCTCAACTTACACTGGTGGCTCCAAAGTTGTGTATCAGCAAAAGGTGTGGTCTGCTGCTTGGTGGACGTATGGCGATGTACCCGGTGGTGCAGCGGGTGTTTGGTCCATGGAAAAAGCATGTCCATAATAGTGAATAATTTTAATTTATTTGAATCCATCACTCGTTGTAACATCAGTAATGCTAAATCGGGAGTATAAATATACAAACATGCTTATTGCATGATGCCGATCCATGCTGTACCACATACACAGAGGGAGATAATGCACTTGATACAGCCCGCTTTATCCTTCATTGCCCAATGGATGTAGATTCAATTTGCACATGTCTGACATGGGTGATGCTTAATTTGCCGAGGGTCAACGCTTAGGGGTGATGTCCACCCCCCAACCCATCCCCTTCCTTTACCAGTCTTAAAGACACCATTTCATCTTCAGGGTTATGTGTTTTTCTTTGCTTTTACATTCATGTCAGGATACGCTTCAACCACTACAGCAACATTATTCACGTCGTACGGTTGGCCATCCGATGCTGTTTCTCTAGGCAGCTTATCGCCTGTATACAGCAAACGTGAAGAAGAGCCGGTGCGTTCCTTGCTTAAGGCATTGATCAAAAACCACCATGATGTATTTCACATTGAGCATCGTGACAAACCAAATGAATTGGCACGTGTACTTGTAGCTCTACATGATCTGGGAGGTAAGCTAAGCTTTGTAGAATGGGATTGTTGGTGATTCTTACAGTTGCCATGATCGTAGCAACACGAGAAAAAATCGTTCAGGGTTACTACAAAGTTATCCCTACCCTTGTTCCACTTTTACACACTAATCAAAAAGCGCTTACCATTACACGAGATTCATGGAAGGATTACCTTGGCGACACACAGTAAGGCATTCACTTTTACCCCCTTCCCCCCTTTACTACTAGCATGTTTCGCTTACACAACAAACAAATCGTGAAACACGTACAGGTACTATAGAGCGTATTTGGCCTTTTTTACCGATCAAATACAAGATCTAGGAATAGAATCGACAATCGACAACTTCCTTTTTGATATCGACAGCCCTTTATCGACTTCTTTTGGTGCTCAATTGCAGCCGCTGGTGCATATGACCTTTGGACTTGAATATGGAATGCAAGACATTGTAGCTCAAGGCCTTGCTTATCTTGCCAGCAGCCACACAGATATACAACTTCTTATTCAAGAATACGATAATGGTCATTGTGCCCATGAACCCGAACACATTCTCTTTGACATGGTGGCTGCCGATCCTCGCTTTGATGGACGTATGGAGACTGCTGACACTGTACCTGCCGCCATTAAAATACTACTCAAGAGTCAAGCAAGCCTACTAGCCACCTATGTCAACACCGCATCTCTTCGTTCTCCTGAACAACTCGTACACCTTGCTGCAAAACTTTTGCCGATTATGCAACATTGTCGCAGTGGAGCAAGTCTGCTTGCGTCAGCTTTGGCTATTCAAGCTTGGGCATCCACAGGTAGAAACGTCGACCAATTACTTCGAATCCAATGGTTGGCAACTCTTTGCACATACATCGCTGAAAATCGACCAATGCCTCCTGCCCATACATCATCTATTGATATTACACCTAAAGCCAGCCATGAGAACAACGACCTTTGCCTTTGGCAAAAGCTGATTGATCGAGTCCTCAATGCTGGTGATCCCATCCACATCCTAAGCATCCAATCACTTGTCAAAGCAGCCAAGTTATATGGTGACACGCAACATTATCTTGATGCTGCCAATACTTTAGTAATTCGCTATCTATAATTTTCCAGCCAACAAACGAACAGAGAGTGGAATACGAGGAGCAACATAGTCACGAGTAATTTTGTCAATGGAAGTGCATCCTGCAAAAGCCAATTTGTATATGAGTAACTTTGTTAAACAAAGACCTTGTATATATAAAGAACACAAAGATACATACCAGCCAATGTCATTGTTGTCGTAAGGTCCTTGTTGATCTGTGAAAGCACTTGTTTGACACCATCCTCACCCTACCATACCTAATGTATCAGCATTGACTTTGGATGGGGTCTGTATAACTTGATACTTACATTGTAGGCAAGGCCATAGATAATGGGTCGTCCAAGAAACACTGCACGAGCACCAAGAGCAAGTGCCTTGAACACATCACTGCCATGCCGAATACCACCGTCTACATACACCTCCACGGATGTGCCTCGTACAGCTTCGATAATTTCAGGCAACGCTTCAATCTATGAGAAGAAATACGGCTTAATAATCCCATACAACCGTGTTACCATGGCAACAAACTTACACTGGCAGGGCTATGATCCAATTGACGACCACCATGGTTGGATACGATAATACCTTGTGCACCATGCTTTACAGCGAGTGCTGCATCGTCACCACGCAACACGCCCTTGACGACAATTGGCAATTTGGTAATGCTCTTGAGCCATGCAACATCTTTCCAGTTGAGAGAAGCATCCACATCATATCCAAAATGACGATTGGGACCACGACCACTATGCTCATCTTGAAAGTTTCCAAATCGGATGAAGTCGGGAAGCTTAAAGCCGGCGCTATCCACCATATCATCATTGTAAGCATTGAACATTTTTATGCTCATGCATATCCCCCCTCGATTCACTTACCGTTCTTCAGTCAAACGACGTCCCAAAGTGGGAAGATCCACCGTTAACACGATTGCTTTAAAACCCGCCTTTTCACAACGTCGCACCATTTGTTCGGTCACTTTACGGTCCCGGTCGACATAAAGCTGAAACCATTGCAAAGAATTTGGATCCACTTTGGTTGCTTCGTTCATCACTGTTTCCATGCCACAGTTGCTATAGCTTGACAAACAAAAACATGTGCCGTGTGCTGCACTTGCTATTGGGGAAACAAGAGTATGGCGAAATCAGATATGGATTTTAATGATGCACCTTCCACGTACCTCTTACTGTTGCCTTCTCGGCTTCTGGATGTGCAAGACGATGATTTGATGTGGGTGCAATGCAAATTGGGGTCTTGATAGGCTGACCGAGGATGCTGGTTGAGAGATCAATGTCCTTGACATTCACCATGACACGGGGTCTGATGATCAATCTACGTATGCGTATAAGCAAACATTACTTTTCAGGCACAAAATAACCATCCGACATACTCGTTGTAGGCCTCTTTGTTGCGGCGAAGAGTCACTTCATCTTCGGCACCAGTGCAAAAGAACCCAAAGTGAGGTGCTTCCATCTTTTGGCGTGCATAGGCTTCATAGTCATCGAGGCATACTGGTTTACTCATCGGGAAATATTAGGGGAAAGAAATGCAGGGCGCGGGAAATCTCTTGAAGCTTTTCTTTATTTGCCAAAAATTAAAGTTACAGCACCATGTTCTCATCAGCCCAGATTTTGAATGTACGGTCATATCCACAAGAGGCAACATAACGACCATCTATTAAATGAAACCCGTTAATACCATTGACATCTTCGATGTAAAGCTCCACAATCCCCAATGTCCCATTCTCTTACCGTTTGAGGTATCCACGCCCATCACTTTGTTCTCGTGACCTTCCAAACTCTTGATCAATCGATAATCATCACCAGACCAAATCTTGACGCTGCCATCGTAACCAGCTGTCGTCAAATAAAAGCCTTCTTCATTGGCTGGTCCTTTGTTGTACTTCACGTCTGCAACCAGAGATCTGTGTGCTGGAATCGTGTATATGTTGCGCAATGTCCGCATATCCCAAATCTTGACTGTGTTATCGCCACTTGCTGAAGCCAAATGATAGCTGTGTGACACAAACATGATTTTAGCATTTTGTGCCCTTATCCCCGCATAATCTTATCGCAAACTTACCCATTAGGATTCCAATCTAAGCCAAGCACATCTTTGACATGACCTTCAAGTGCCATGGCTGATCGACCCGTACGCATATCCCACACTCGGCCAACGCAATCAAGACCACTACACACATTATTAATGACCAATGCATCATCCTAATAGTGCCCACATACCCTGTTGCTGCAAGACTTCCATCACATTGAAAAGCGATAGTATAGACCTCCTTGGCATGACCCTCTTGAAGCAAGAGCTCGGTAGTCGTTTCCACGTCCCATAATCTCCATGTGCCATCGAATCCAGCACTGCCAAGGTATCTTCCTGAAGGATGAAAAGCGATACGAGATACGCGTCCAGCATGTCCTTTAAGCGTGGCTAATGGTGTATCCCTAACATGACCTTGTCAGCCTTCAAGATTACGTCTGTATCCAAATCCCCACAAGACTTACTTTTCCAAGTTCCACAGATGGATCATTGAATCGGCACTACCAGTAGCAAAGTTCATCACGCTCTTATCCAGGCTAATGGTTGCTTCAGGATGGAAGGCAATACCACCAATACGATCGGTGTGTCCTTTGAAAGTGATCAATGGCTCGCATTGTGGGATCGACCATAATCGACATACGCCCGACCATGCACCAGTGACCAACATGGATGAGTCTGGGGTAAAAGCAACTTGAGCCACGGGTCGTTCGTCCGCAATTTGTGATGCCCAATTGGTATATCCCTATTATAAAAGCATTCGCATTCACATGTTGCATTGATTTGCATGTCCCCCTTCCTTTCAAATTACCTTAAGTCGTGTATGCACCTCCTTACGTGCAGCCTTTAGCTGTGCCAATGGAACATCCACCTCTGCCTTTTGTCGTTCTATCCTCTTCTTGGCTCTATAACCATACGCAAATGTAGATTAATCTACTGCTCCATTGCATCCTTCCTCATGATGAATACGTTACCGTGGCAATGAATAGGTTGTGATCCATTTTCTTGCTTCTAGTAACTCTTGTGTGCCTGGGGTAAAGAATTCCTCCTCATTCTATGTTGGGTCGTTTGATGCGTATTAGTGGCTGCATAACAATGGTCATCTTTGGTGATCTCTTCTTACTTCTTCCTCCTCGCTTTCTGATTCAGATTCGACTGGTATTTCTCTGCCTTCTAGGATCGATAAATGGTAGCGTAAACGAGTACGACGATCATCGGGCTATGCAATAATTCATGAGAAGATATGCAACTACCATGATCACATCGCACCATGGATAACTTACACCTTCACCGAAAAGACATTGTGGTTCACCAAGCTCTCGTAGTCGCTGTCGAACGCGTTTGTCGTCTGTGGGGACAGCGATTTCTCGTGCACGCTTCCTTCGCTCGAATTCTTGTAGAACTTCTTGATCAGCTTGTCGTGCTCTTTGGGATGACGCTGAAAGATCGGCATCGGTCAAGTCGGCTATATTGATTTCATATTAGACCATTGCGCGATCGGTTGTAAGACACTTTCAGCTTTACCCAACGCTTCCAGATCGATGCCACCTGCTGCCAGGGTTGAACTAGTCGGTTCTTCGATGCGTGGGCGTTTGACAACATCCGTTTCTTCCAATGACCCAAAGTGAACCCTTGGTTTCGCCTTCAATTTGGAAAGATCGTTATCCATTTGTGCTGTCGTCGTCGTTACAAAGTGACCAAGTGGAAGAAAGAAGTAGCCTGTTTGCTCCGCTTTACACAACCATCTTCAGTTGGCCTTTTCGCTTATACACTTTGCAAGTCAGCTGATCTTCGGTTTCCTCTGCAACGCATGATTTTGATTCAAAGGATCTTTACCCATATCGTGGAAGCAAATCATAGCTATTGTGATCTGTGATACTTGAAATGATAATACATCTTCTGATGCGCAGTATATGTTACAGCCCTCTTGAAATAAAAGAACAAGACTACAACAATGACTTTGTACTCTAACATTAAATGCGTGAGCAGTGCCTCGTGGTGGATTCCATGACGTTGCTACTTGTATAACAGTTGCTAGGCAACCCTTACAATGTCATGTATAAGATCCATGCGTCTCAATAAGAGTCACTTGTGCTATCTACCGGTAGTTGAATCACAGCAGCACACCTTAACTTATGATGCTTCTTTCTACCATAACATGCTAAGTCGTGTTGGGCTTGTATCAAGCGTATACTTGCATTACTTATTTTGTATATCACAATAGCTTGCTATGGTTCAATCTAAAAGGTGATTGCATGCCTTGATCTTTTATGATATGGATTGGTGTAGGAAACCTTATCAAACCTCCATTTATTGTAGGAGTTCCATTACCTCACACACCTAACCAAGCAACGGATGAGTAGTTGTTATGACAGCTGATATTGCTATTGTGTTGTAGTGGATGACGCTTATTGTTGATGTAGATAATCATGCATCATGTTTCGGTATGCATAGTCAACTTTATTCACGTTGTCGTGAAACAATAGCACTAGGATCGCGGATAACGTTTAGTCATTTGATAAATGATACGATATCAACCCATCAATGCCTACCGCCAAGTGTACGGCCGTCGCATTAATGCATGAACAAAAAATGTTGGCACACTCAAAATGATCAGATCACGTGACCCAAGAAAATCCGAAAAAACAAAAAGAAACCAAGCGAATTGCTTGGATTTTTGCTCTCGGACCGGGAATTGAACCCGGGTCTCCCGCGTGACAGGCGGGGATACTGACCACTATACTATCCGAGATGGACTGTTGCTTCCTTCCTTGTTTTTTAACTCGCGGGTGTATATATATACCACAACATTTCCATATAAGGAAGGTGTAAATGTGTCAAAAACGTAATCGAATGCAAATGAAATTAATATCATCATGTAGCGGAGCATTCAAGGAATTCCATGATACATGCCTCGTAGTTTTATGGCAGGTTAATAGGGAGCAATTTCGTTTACAACATGAGCTTTTAATCTATTGGTCGGAGTAAAATGGCTCGACAGCGGCTGTTCTTTTGGCCGAGGGTGGATAAAGATGCTGGATTGGATCCTTTTCTTTATCCATGTTCACGCTCATCCTGTACAAGCGAGTGATTTTTCAAGTAGATGACCTTCATTTCATGGGTAGTGTTTATCCTCAGCATGACAACAGTAAACAAGCACATGGCAAGTATCAATCCCTGATCAAACATTCATGCATATGCTTTTCATGCAATGTAATTATAATACTAAAAGTAGCGTAGGTACAGAATCTTTGTTTTGTCTTTAGCAAGATAGATACAAGATGTATATGAATGGATAAGGGCTGTGCGAAGTGGAAGGGAGATAAAGGACAAGATATGAATGAGTATTGAAATTGTGATTGATAGCTACTACTACTGTTTTATCATCAAGAAGGAGTGTAATGATCTACTTTTTGGCCTTGGGTTTGTTGCTCTTGCCCTTGTTCTTCTTTTGTTGTTCATCTTCTTCCATCCTCAACAATTCTTCCTCGGCCTTTTTGGCTTCACGCATCCTCCTTTCACCAGCAAGTTGGTTTTCCTTTTCTTCTTGCTCCAATTGCAATTCTCGTCGCTTCTGCTCATCCTCACGCATCGTTTTCATCTCATCCAACAATACTTTTTGCTTCTCATGTTCGAGCATTTGAGCTGCTGTGGAAAAGATGGTTTGGTTCCAGTTGGGCTTGTACGTGTTGGCTTCTTGAGCAATATCCTGCAGCTCCATCACCACTTCTTGCTCGGCCAAAGAGAAATCACGCCATAGATCGTCGCCAATACTTCCCATACGCATTAACTGTTGCAGAGCTGGCTTCTCTTGTTGTACTTCCTTGAGACGATGCACTGCTTGCATAGCACGACGCAATAAAGCCGCACGTAAATGAAACTCGGGCACTGGTATGTCGCAATTGAGTAAAGCGATATATCGTTCCTTGTCATGGTTTTCAGGGAACCAAGATTCGACTTGCTTGACACCTATTCATGGGGGTTGCCAGCATTAGCATCAGCAAAAGAGGACCGATTGGGAGGTTGTAAAAGAGAGGGGGTTGGGAAGGGGAAACCTTACTTGTGAGTCGACGGTATATATAAGAGAACATGCTCATGGCAGCAATGCAGCCACCGAGATAAAGGGCCGGTAGCAATAAAGAGTTCATGGTGTCAAAGGACCAATGAATGTGTATAAACGCGTGTCAAAGGAATTGAAAAAGAGAAAGAGAGGGAGTGAAGGTGGATGTATTTGATTGGGCAGCCATTTTATTATTATCAGCCAGCCAAATTATCCAGCTGCTAGTAACCATTCTACTACAGTTTGTTCATCTTCAAATTCGTCTTCTGAGACAAACCATTCTTCATCACCATCTACAATGCCATTTTCGCTCGTGCTATCATCCATAGGCGGTTTGGCTTGTGTTGTGTTGATAGGACCAGAACCAGAACCAGGAGGAGGAGGATCATCACCATCCATCTTTTTGCTTTGTCGTGAAGGTGGTGGTAGATGTAATTCCATGACTTCAGTTTGTACGGATGCATCTCGCTTGGATACACGCTGATGTCTTTCAAATTTGAGCACCTTTTCCTTGACATTGTTCTTATTGGATGTATCCATGGTGATTGTTGCCCCTGGAGACGCTGTTGCATTAGCAGCAGCAATAGCAGCAGCTGTAGGTGATGCAACTGCAGCTGTCCCTGTTGTCGTTGCAAGAGTAAAATAGCCATCTTGAGCAGGTGTACCACCATCACTGAGAATCATTGTTTGACGTTTAGCCACCATACTAGAAGGACGTTCAAGGGAGGTTTGGGGTCGACTACGTCTTGCTGGATTCAATGGAGGAGGTGCAGGTGGAGGTGGAGTCATCAATGGGCGATCATAACTCTTACGTCTTCGAGGCGGTGGTTGAGGGGGTTTAGGTGCAACACGTGGATTTTCAAATGCATTGATGGAAGGTGATGCAGATGGGACAGTGGATCGTTTACTGCTGTTGATAGATTTTGTGTCGCTGTTGTTGTCAATGATATTGTTCACCTCGATGGATTTCAATCGATTGGGTGTTAATGACATGCGCACAGTGTCACCAGACTTGATCAAATCTTCAAAATCAACCATGGTAGGAGAGTCGGGATTATATACAGAGATGGCTATTGCCTTGTTGTTATTGCTGCTACTGCTGCTGGTTCTTTGTTGTGGTGATTGTGGAAGCTGTGTCGACTCACGTCGTTTGAAGAGGCGAGGAAATCTTTTTTTGTTGCTAGTTCCATTGCTACCAGAAGAATTGGTTGAGCTGATTGTATTGGTGCTTGTGCTCGTGCTCATAATGGACATTGGGCGTTGATGTTGTCTTTGCCCTGCCGAACTTGTGGTTGTGGTTGGGCTACAGGGTAGATCGGCATCATTGTTGTGGCTGCTGCTACTGCTGTCATTGTCCAAATTCGGTATATCGGCATATGGATCCACAGGACGTCCATTGGAAGAACATGATTCACGACTATGGTGGTGCTTCTTATTGTTGGTATTCGTCATATCATTCCATGGCATTTGCTGTTGTTGCAATTGTTGCTGTTGTCGCATTTTATGATGGTATCCCATAACAAATGACGCTCGTTTCTATCATCAAGCTTGTGAGAAGGGATTCAAGGGTACATGGTATGATACATACTTTTAATCGATCTCGTAATTCCATTTGACGAAACATGGATGTTACTTGAGCATCTTCGGATAAGGCTGCAAATACTTCCTTGATGCGAATGTATTCAGTATCTTGGCTTTCAGCAGTGGTTGCAGCAGCCTAAAAGAAGAAACAAGAATATCAGTAAATGATTCATTCAGCATGACAAGGAGAGGAAGCTTGTAGGAGTTAAGGTTCTTCTTTCCTGAGGGTTATCGGACAAGGGGATAAAAGGGGGGCAAGACAGTGAAAGGGTGGATTATGTGTGTGTGTGTGATGGTGTTCGTGTCGATGATGGATGGATGTTGGTGGTGATAGTGGAGGAAAAGGGGGGGTTGTATGGTAAAACCAAAGACCAATGACTATCGATACTTACGATCAATACGTATTCTGCAACATGTTCAATGATGCTGGTGACATATACAGTGACAATAGGCGAGATTGAAAAGTTGTGTGTTTTTGGGACTCCAATACTTGGTCGTCGAGTGTTTTGGCGATTGTGATTGTTTTCTGCAAGGGTGCAATGATTGATACATTCTTGTCGTAAAAGAGCACCTATGCTGTCAAGTGGGATTGAATCCAATCGTCGTGTGCGTTCATATGCTTCGTAATCGATATCATCGGCAGTCTCGGTGTATGATTTAACCTGCAGCTCGGCTTCAACAATAGCATTTTTGCCAAGACTCGAAGGAAGTAAAGCGACTACAGCTGTCTTGATGCGTGATAGGTCGAGTGATTTGGCTGATGTCAAAAGAAGTGTAATGAACTCGTCGAGGAACTGGTTAATGATCTGCAAGGCATCTGAAGAGACGCGTAGGGGATCGACTTGGGTGACAATGGCGTTGGCGGCGCGGTGACAGACATAAGTATCGAATACTGTGAGCGAGGGGAGATTAAATGTATAAGTGACATGATCGTCGTGATACCAGCTATATATTATTGCTTGTTGATTACCTCGTGACATAACGATATATAATAAAGTAGATGATAAGAGAGAATGTAAAAAGTAATACTAAGGCTATAATAGTAGTAGTAGTGCGTGAGAGTGGGATCAGGTAGGAAAAAAGATATTATACACAAGGAAAAAGTGGGAAAGAGAAAGAGAGAAAGGTACAATAGAGTGAGAGAGAGAGGCGTTGTTGAAATGATAGTGAGGAACAGGAGAGCGACAATGTTGAAAAGACGGGAAAAGAGAAGAAAAAAAAAGCGCGGATCAAGGAGGTATGTCCAGCTAAGCAAGGGACATTCACGTAAATACCAAAGAGCCGAAATACTCAAGGCACAAGAAAAAGATGCGACGCTACTCACACCGAGTAGGAAACTAAAAGGAGGGAAAAAAGAAAGGAACGAGCGAAGGAAAGGAGGTGGATTGCAGTTTACAGCTTGGTAAAGTTGTGTTACCAGCGCACAAGCACTCTAATGTAATGCAGGTATCCTTTTTTGGCCTTTTTGTCAACCACTCAATATGCCAAATGAAATCAATTGCATCCAAGTGGGCACTCTCAAAGACAACAAGCTCATCCATGATGCAACTGCAGATACACACGTTTATGCACGAGCACTGACATGGCAACCCTTGCATTACAAAAAAAAAAGATTACATTGCTTCCAATCATGCCTCATCATGCTATAACGATGGAGCTTGAAAATAGGGCCTTCATCGTAGTTCAATGACCGCGAAAGGCACATCCATTGAAATGGGCAGGCCATGTATCATGACGATATTTATTAGGCGGAGTAAATCATTGGATCAGACATTAGGAAAAGGGGGACGATATGCATTTGCTCTCATATGGCCAATGAACCATTCTTTTGTTTTCCTACTTGACAACGCAACCCGATGATGATCATTTGGCGTGGTATCTCATTCTTCAAACGGCTACATCATCATACACACGTACATTGAGTGGTAATACATTCCCAATCTTCAGGAGCATATATATAACTTTGCAGTAAAAAGGGATAAACTCATGTTCATTTCATCCCGAGGGTGGATTGGCAAAAGGAGCTCAAGACTTGTTTCTCTTACGACATCATTTGTCTACTGCTGCTAGTAATCACAAAGAATGCACACAGACATTTCCACACACACACGCACACCATCATTCTTCCCCCATCCTTCCTTCTTCTTCCCATACACCCCCCACGCTATGGACCTGTTTCTAGTCCTGTTTTGTAATTTCCATCATCATACGTATTATCCTTCTCCTTGGTATTGTTTCCCTTGTTTTACTTTGTTCACAATAATGATATACAAATGAATGATTGTTGAAGGATGATGCTATTTCCTAACGTAGAGGACAAACTCGTAACTGAGATCATGATGGTGTTGGATACCCCTTGGGACTGGTTGTTGCACAAATGCCTCGAGATCTTCATGCGGTGCACGTTCAAATAGATTTTCATCAATAGGCGACATGAATGCATCACATTGGATCGACTTGCTTGCATAGACACGTGTTAAGAGGATGTGGGTGCATAATGGCATCGATTGGTCATAGATTTGTCCTCCTCCCAATACAAAGATCCTCGCTTCTTGATCATGTTCCTTCTTTAGGGTATCTGCTTGTTCGAGAGCCTCCTGGATGGATGTAGCCAAACTGACATGTGGAAAAGGTCCCTTTTGATGACAACTACAAAAGAAAAGGATATGGAATCAGATGACATGTCGTGGCACGCACGCACACACGCACACAAACTGCACATACTTGTACTTGGCGTTACGTGATATGATGATATTGTAGCACGCTGGAAACGGTGTCATACACAAAGGACTAGCCTCCCATGACATTCGACCCATCACCACCACGTTCTGCCATTTGCGTTTGTCATTGCTCATGGTATGATAAGCCTTGGTCGTCACATCCATCAGGTACTGCGTGTCCCCAGGAATAGACCATGGTAGTGCTTGATCCTTTCCAATTCCCCATGTGTCTGCCAGGGCAGCAGCCATAAGAACCACGGTCCCGATTGTCATTGGTCAAGGAAGGGAAATAGAGCTTTAAAGGAAGTAGGACGGGCGGATAAAACAAGGGGCAATGAACACATTTATCACGCACACATATTGTGGATGAGGGAAGAAGAGAGACTCTATGCAAGAATCCATCATGGTTTCGATCACATCATAAACTAAACGTAGAATGAAAAGTTGTTTTTTACATTAAAGCTTAATTAACTATGTATATCATCTTCTATAGGTGGAGAAGGAATGCAGCGTATGTGGGATGAATGAAATGAAATGTAAAGTGAGTAGGGAGAGCGAGAGAGAGAGAGAGAGAGAGAGAGCTTGGCAAGCGACTAATGTACAAAAGGAAATGGGTAGGATAATATACAAAAAGATGGGTTATTGAATAGTGCGGCGTGTTTGGGTTTACCATCCTTGGAAACTTTCCCAATAGCTTGAAGTTAAAATGGATGGATGATCATCGGCGACTCTTGAATCCAGACCACTACCACCAGCAGTACAAGTATTGTTTTGTCGCTGTTCCCAATCCACGCAATACCTTAGGCTTTGTGAGAGATCCATGTCGTTTGTGAATGGTGGACAAGGTTGATATTTGTTGCCACGTCGAGAAGAATGAATAATACGGCGGGGCCTCACCATTGGTGTGGTAGATTTGGAAACGAGCATAGTTGTAAGTAAGGATTGCTGTGGTGGATGATCGGCTATTTTTGGCGGAATTCGCTTTTGAAAAGGATTCTTAGGTAATGTGGAGGAACTGGTTTTGTTGGTTTCAGTCGATGGATTCTCCTTGGCTGGTGGTATTGTTGAGACAGCGGGCTTCTTACAAGTGTCGTTTAAAATAAAATCGGTATCATTCGATCTTACTGTACTCCAAAAGCCATCATCGTCTGCACCATCATGGACATCGTGAACAGTATCCTCTTCTTCATCTTCATCTTCTTCTTCATCTGAAAGATAGAATTTGCTAGTATGCGTATGCGGGGGTTTTGCTTGTTGTTGTTGCTGTTGATGGTGGTGGTGGTTGTTGGGTAAAAGTTGATGATGTTGATGTTGAGATGTTGCACTTGGAGGTGGAGATGGCGGTGGTACGATGGCGTCGTTTTTAGATGCACGTTCCACAAGTGTCGTTGCTGGGGCAGCGGTGATGGTGTTCGATTTATGGTTCGATTGGGAAACGGTGGGCAGAGGATATGGCTCAATGGGTGTATTGAGTGACGAGATCATTCGCTTGAAAGAGGATGGTGAAACATGCTTCAAAGACCGTGGTGTTTGTGGTATGGAACATGTAGACGATGTTGAGGTTGACGACGCGTAGGTAAAGTAGTCCTCCTCTGCTGCATTACTGTGCTGAATGGGAATGGGCGTACGCACATGCTGCTCTTTGGCTTTCTCAATGAGAGACTCGCGATACCACAATCGCCAGCTTAAGTTCTCCAGGCGTCTCCCGTTCTCGAGATTGTCTTTGCATTTCGTAAAAACTGGCGATAAGGAAAAAGTTAGGAGGAGGATGATATCAATAAAATGCAAACATACCAGTCCACATGCAAGACAAGTCATCGCTAGTAATGTCGTTCAATTTGTGAATGTTTGGGACGGCAAGCGACACGACAGGGACGTCGAGCGATTGTATCATGGCAAAAGTAAATGAATGAGAAACGGAAGATAAAACAAGGAAGAAAAGAGCAGTGGATGATTGTAGGGTCCAGATAAGGATGCCGCACCCTTAAGTAAGATAACTTGCCTGGATGAGCCGAGACCTTCCCCCAACTATTTTCAACCCCTTCCTCTAATCGTTTTGGCGGCTCCTTCACCCCCAATATCGGCTGCTCACGGAGCCTCATCCAATCATATCCATCCTTCCATTGGCGATCTCCCGGCAACTGCCTTGGCCTCCAACACAACTTGTTTTCCAATGACTAACTACCATCACCAGTACTTTTATTCATCATCTCATGCTGTTGCTATGTTATCCATAATAATAGTCCTTGTGCCACTGTCCTATTTGGAGAGATGATGAGATCGCATCTTACTTTTCCTTCACACACATTTTACATTTGACAATCGGTGGTACAGTAAAAAAAGAAAAGAGAGATGAAAGTCGAAAAGTTAATCTTGGCTTAACCGCCAAATTGGTGTGCCACACACAGACCCAGAAAAGCAATCCAAAGATAAGTGAGGATGTGTATGTGCAACATGCCCCAAAAAAGGTCCTCACCGTAAAATGGCCCACCCACCTTACCAACAAAATAGTTGTTCATGAATGATCTTGGCGTCAAAGCATTCATGGGACTCATCCCAACCACGACCCCTTTATTCAATACAAGTTACCATCATTGTTGTGGTATCGGGTTGTTGGGGTTCCTTTTTAATTCCAGTGACCAGCCAAATACTGATAAGACGTCGTGAGAGCAGCATGATAGGACCATGATTATCATGGCCACACTGGTTGATGATCAACGCCATTGCATGTGCAACGTTCACTTTACACAGACATTACTCGCCACACACATTGATTATTGCATAACAGTGAAATAAGGATGTTTTCTTATACACGTTTCCTTGACGACGGTGTTGATACGGACATGCCACAGGGAGCAATGTGTAATGAAACACTATTATGCATAGGTAAATGCAAGAGACGTTTTCACGGGGCTAGGTCAAAAAGAAAGAAAATGGATGTAATGCATCCCTTCAAAGATAGCGGTGGTTTTTTGGTGGAGAGCGGATGATCCGATTGTTACACAGGTATCCTGCATATCATGTATAATGGTGCCAACTTTGGATATGTCTCTCTCTACTTGTGGGTGATGATTTATATGCTGCATCACATGATGTGCCGCCACTGGCATGCATGATGCGTGCTGCACTCTCATGTGGGTGAGGTATTTTTCTCTCTCCATGACAGCAGCAATAGCCAACAGCAGCACTTTTTTGTCCACGTGGATCCTCTTTGTTGGGACACAACAACGAAAGGAAGACAATAATGACACAAGTAAAGGTGGGAGATAGATTCATTGTTTACATCCAACATTGATAAAATCCAGTACTAGTATATAACAATGAGAGCTCCTTCCTTCATGACGATCCATCTCGGAGGTCGGAGGATATAGAATGCAAGTGATGCTGGTAATAGTAATGGGCGTTTCTTTTCTGCATATCTTATTTAAAGTTATGCATTCTTCTTGTCGGATGTCGGGAGACGGCGTCAGTGTTGCTGCACCACGAGCCTAAACAACACCCTGTAATGGAGAAACAAAAGGGAGGATGCGTCGAGATGATTCATTTACAGCATCATGAATCGGTGATGTTTCATACAAAATGTGTTTGCAACAACAACAGGAGGAGTAGCAAAAAAGGGATACCAAGCCAAAATGCCAAATGTCAGCGGGTTTAGTTGGCATGTTTCGTTCGTTGAGTCAATCAGTATACGGGGTGAATAATGAATCTATTCCGTTATTCCGCTACTAAGCAGGATTAGTTATCGATCACCACCCACTACGGCCACAGAGTATAATGGTTTCATCTCTTTGGTATCATCGTTTCCAACACACATACATTAATTACAGCCACTTTAGTTTCATGTTTTTCAAGCGTGTATGACTTTTGCAGTGGGCGTGGTGGCAAAGACGTGCATCCTGGTTGTGTCGATATGGGTCATCTGATACCACAGCATGTAAACAAGCTAATGACGGCACTCCTTATACAAGAAACTGGAGACATTTGTAGCGTGTGTATGTGTGGTCTTGGCTGTGACAGGAAAAAGAGAAGGGTGCGAGGAAGGCGCAAAACCTTGATAACAAAACAGTGTTTCGTCCAATGATAAGCTTTACAAGAGCCACACATGGCATCACCTGCTACCAATGTGCTGCTTTCCACCACATGTCGCGTGTCTTCACACTACTATAAAAGCACGTTCCTGATTGGCGTCTTGTCATTTTCTCCCACCTTTACAACAATGCCTTCCATTCTCTTCTGGGATAATGCCATACGCTCACGCCGTACTTCTTCAACCACATCATCACCTTCCTCGTCTTGTTTCCAATCACCAGCCCCCTCTGTACACACACCATCATCTCGTCGTATCATTTGCAACGAACAATTACTCCACAGCGTGCTTGCACGCATGGATCAATTCTCTATCGAAGAAGACGACGACTCATTATGGGCTTTAGCCAAAGATCTCAAACGTCAACAGGAAGAGGACGAGGATCAGGAACGTCCACACAAGGTTGAAGCATGCTATAATCGAGTTATTCGCATAATGTTGTATTATACACGTGCTCAAGCAACACTTCGCGCAGCCAAGTACTACAAGAAATGTATGGATGTGACACTACCATGCTGTGGCCCATCGCATGTACGTAGTTTGGCTGAACACTTTCGTGATTTGGCAGCCAAAGGACTTGAAGACGAGGAAAAACAAGAACAACAGGATCCCACTACGGGTCCCAGCAAGAAAATGTCTGTACGATCCATGTCAGTGAGCAGTTATCGAAGCAGCAGCAGTAGCCAAAGTGGATCAAGTTTCAATTCGACAAGCTCAGCAACATGCACTCGCTGTGGTGTAGAGAAAAAGGCCATGCCGGTATGTGCAAAATGCAAAGCACAGGCCTACTGTAGTATCCGTTGTCTCAAAGCACATCAAACCGTGCATCAAGCATCGTGTCGCTCAACAGCCTCACCTCATTGACAGCAGCAGTAGAAGTAGTAGTACTTGCCACATTATCCGATATTTTGCTCCTCTCGTCATACACCTTGCATACACGAGATGCACACACACACACACCCTATACAACCAAAACTTGCCGTTTCCTTGTACATGTTTTCTCCTTTTGTCATTCCCCTCCCTTCTCAATCGACAAACTTGTAACTGTTTGTTTGCCTGATCTGCAAAACATAAATACTCCGCGCTTTTTTTTCTTGTAACCTGCATTATCCACTGAACCAAATGTCACCTTTGAAGGATTGTTGGAACTTTATAAACACATTATGTCATTGTCAATTGCTATTCTATATGTACATCGGGTATGGGTTTGGTGTTTGAGAAAAGTAAAGAGATATGGTATCAACGAGGATGAATAGGATGGCATGATGAGGAAAGAAGAGAAGCACTCTTAGACTTTTGTATACAATCTCGTGAACACAAAGAATTTGACATCCCTCAACCTCCAATGCTGAAACTCCAAACAAAGCGTAGCGTGCGTGGTGTGTGTGTTTTTGTACGCCAATCCTCCCCCCTTTTTTCCACCTGATGTAAAAAAAAAACCTTCATCACGCAACACCGATAACCATGTTTCTCTCTTTTTGCGTGTATCCCGTCTTTTGGTCCTTGCTTACTACATCAATGTGTCATGTTGTTCAGGTGCATTGATTGGAAGCACAAGATGCAAAACATGTATACAAGACCCGTGTCATTATTGTAGTCGTGGCTACGCACAGCCTCGTCAGGTATCCCAGAAAGCGCGTAGCGATGCTGTGAAGGATATGGAAAAGAAAAACAATACACAGCAGCTTCGTTGCTGTTTCAGAATAGCATTTACACATACACAAACACTCAAGCAATGACACAATCGGTCTTCTTGATAGAAACATGTCGTCGGTTTATTGTTGCATCGGAAGTGTCAAACGAATGTTCCTGTATATACCCTTTGATGGATTACCCGAAATTATATACAAATGTGCAGTTGCTATTATTCTACGCCTTGCTTTGAAGATGCTGCATTGTTGTTCTGATGCCCACCATCCTGCTTTCCTTTTTTCTTTTTCGACTTTTTCGATTTGCCAGTGGTTGATGATGATGATGTGTTGACTCCTCCACTACCACCGCCATCAGTTGTTGTTGTTGTTGTTGCTGCTGCTGTTGCGGGTTTGTTGGTGGTCGATGATGTCGAATCGCTGCTTTGTTGCTGTTGTTCACCCGTAATCCCCGCACGAGTTGCCTTTTCCTTGATGCTCCTCGCACGCTTCAACGTATCAGCATCTTTGCTATCCACCAGCACACGCAAGATGAAGGAGTACGCATCGCTGAATATCCCGTCCCAATTAGGTTTGTCCTCTCGTGCATCCGAAACTAAAAAGTGCTCCAATCAATACCAGCACTTCGCTTCCTTTGATTACCCGTAACTTACCAAATGCACTCAAATTATCGATGGCACGTACAATGTGTCGTTGAATATCAGAAGTCACCGTGTCGTTCTGTCCCATGGCAAGCAACGTAGGTAACACGTCGTATGCATTATCTTTCAAATCACCATCGGTTGCATATGCAAGCATCAATCCATTGTTTTCCTCTGGCAAAACAAGAATAAAAATAGCAATTAGCTTTTGCAATTCGAAACGTCATTGTATAATTGTACATACCATACAGCGCGAAATTGGCTAAGCAACGTGCTACATGTCGATGCACCTCGGCGTGTTCAGGGAACGTAGATGGCACATTGCAGATATACTTGAGCAGCCGTGGTTGCGACATAAGCTTCGTTTGAGACTCTTCTAAATCAATCATTGAGTACCATCAAGCATTGCCTTCCCCTTTGTTCAACTACTTACGGTTAGTTGCAAAGTTGGCCAGTGCACAACATATATGAGAAACAGCCGACGGATTCATTGAAACGTATTTCTCCATATCATCCTTGCCATCCACACTGCGCGAAAGGTAATACGACAAATCTTCTTTTCGCTGCTTGCTGTTATCTTGTTGCGGTAAAAGAGCAATGACAGATACTAACGCCCGAGCCACATCTCCAGCCAATAATGCAGGCTTGTATTTGTCTAAAGATACGTGGTTTAGTTGTTCATGCTTCATGTCACACACTCTCTCTCGCGTTCCCATAATCCTTACCATTTCTCAAAGATAGATAGGCAATCGATTTTGCAAAGTACTTCCGCACATCATCATTGGTAGATTGTATCAGGCTTGCAAACTTATCGGATCCTCGTACAAGTTCAATAATAGCCGGTTGATGCGTCACTAACACATAAAAGGTTATTAAAGGGAACATCACCATATTTTCCACTCATTCAAACCCTTACCCTGACCACTGATAGCCGATATCGCCTTTGCTGCTAAGCTCTGAATGATTTGTCCTCGTTCTTTGAGTTGTAGGGGAGAAGACACCTCTTCATCATTATCATTGCCATTGGATGTTGCCTTGTCCTGCCGTTGCGGATGATGATGGTGATGACTGGCACTGCTGGATGCTACGCTTTGGGTATCTTGTTGATTGGGTGTAGGAGTAGTGGTTGGTTCATAAGCAGCCAATGTCAAAAGCGTGAAAAATATGCCGTCGTCGACAATGTTGGTCTGGCTGAGAATGCCAGCACGAGCAAGCTGATATAGCACATGCGCACAATTGATCACGATCTCTAGTACGACCTCTTGTTGTTGAAGCATGGTGTTCTCCTCATCCTCATTATTCTCCTGGGCTTCGTTTTCTTGATAGCCAGTTGCTGAATGGATTGATGATGGTGATGAATGGTGCTTCTTGGTGTCTTTGGTATCATAGTAAATATAGTGCTCGACCAAATGTAGTAATGGAGGTAGAGCCCATTTGGTGATAATAACAGGGCGTACCGATTCTAACAGCAATAATGAGTCATTCGTTGTTCTTGGCTTCGAAAAAGTAGGAAATGGTACCTTTCTCAGCGAGGATTGCCAGAATCGTAGTGGTCAAATGATGTAACTGAATACTTGATGATGTCCTGCATAGCCATATCAGTGCATCGATGGCGCCGTACGCAATAATGTTGTGGATATCCTTTTCTAATCATCATCCTACGTCAACTATGTCATATAATACTATCCACCACCATGCTTGCATTTACCATTATCTCGCTCAATCAACTCCAATAAACCACGAGCACCATGAATCTACGTGCATTCACTCTTCATATTAATAGATAGTTTGACATGAACCTAGTCATTTCCCTCACCTGGGTCGATAAACCATGATCATCGTCTATCGCATATGTCACCAGATACGCCACCTCGAAGCATCCGTTGCATACTCGTACAGGTCGAGAGCCATACCCAAGTTGCGGAAGAGGTACACTCTTGGATGAGCACTCTTGGCAATAGATGTTCCCACTGTTTTTCTTTTCAATTAGCCCAGTGAACAAACAAGCCGTATACAAACATTACCAGTGCCTGCAATGGTGCTGAAATACGCCCATGGGAATACCATTGAGTTAGTGTCCATTTGGAGAATCAAGTCCAACGATATCCTACCCTACGTCGTATAGCATTGAAAGGCGAGTTGCAAAGAGTGCATTGCGTTACATCAGTGTCGTTAATCCATACTGGGCGAGGGAGTAAGAAGGTTTGTCGGTCATCTTGTAGTTGCATAATAGTCTCAAGGAAAAGAAGTTGTATCAAGGTGTGTATCAAGTTCCGATAAAGCTGATGAGATGGTCATGCATAAATCGTCGACTTTCACTCTCACACATGTCATCCATTGTAGCCATATTGTTATTCAGGAACACTGCCACAATCCCATCCCACTTTTCTGATACAGTACTATCCTATCATTATACTACCTCTCTTCTCACGTCAACACTACACTTATGCAATGCATAGCTCGCACGTCCTTAGTCCCGTGACACAAATTGCCATGGCAACCACATAAGCACACAGCATACAAGCAATAAAACACCTACACACTATGACCCACTCAACGTTTATAAATTGCATAGTATTTGGCATGATCTCATATCGGCTATATATTCTTTTAAATAAATGGGTAGGAAACAACCCATGTCACGTGAAAGAATCGTGCCTGGGCAAGCAACACACATGACTTGGATACAATGAGTCATCATAATGCTCAATAGATAGATTACGCTGTGATACAAAGGCCCCGTATGACATTGGATGCAGATCGTGTTGATCCCTAGAATGCAAATCTTTAAGATGAGTACATCTTTATTGCCCAAGAGACAACATTTCAACCGTTTATTATGGCGTACAAGTGGCGTAAACATCCTCCCCTTTATGCTACCCACCAAAAGTTAGATTAGTATACAACGTGTTATTTGTAGTTTCCAAGGCGTATTTGGGTTTGGAGCTAAGAAGATAAAGGAAAAGAAAACCCGGGGATTCTCATCAAGCCTCACACAATAAGAGGATGCTGCAATTGTTGGATCATGGTTACACCCGCAAACACCAGCATGAATGTCGGGCTTGGCTTTGGCTTTTTTTGTTTTCAAGCTTTGTTATTTACCGCATTTAGGTCCTTTATTTTTAGAGCTTGATGGTTACAATCGACATCTTCCACAATTCCTTGTCTATCCTTTCTTTCTTCTTTTTTCATTCTTGACGAGCCAATGTGGTCTGCCAACGCTGTCGATTCAATAATGCGATCGCCACGAGGATACATCAACCTACTACGCCTTGCGTGGCTTTTGGCACTCTTATATGGTGAAATCTATATTTTTTGGAGTGCAGCAAGACATTGTGCACCATGGCCTGGAAAAAGACAGCACGTATCAAACGTAAGTAGTAGGGATGGTAGAGAGAGTGAAATTGACTGGTAGCCATAGCAACACAATGGCTTACATGCTTTCATTGTTGTAGCCTTTACAACTAGACAGGCTCTTGCTTGTGAGCGATACTCAATTGAAGGACGCATATTCCTACAACATTATACCCGACGTGTTTGTGCGAGTGATTGAGTTTTACAGTGACTTGTACCAAAAGCGCAGTTATCGATATTTGGAACAACAGCTGTATCCACAGGCGACTGTATTTTTAGGAAATTTGATCGAGGGTGGCCGTCAATGGAGTGATGCAGGGTAAGACCCAGGATTATGGTTATCCTTGTGTGTGATGCGTGTATTGATTGTTGTTATCTCCTGTGACACCAGCTTTGAATACCATACTGCGCGTTTCCATCGATTGTTTTCCTCCTCGCAACCACAATATCATATGGCAGGCACACATGATATTGGCTTTGGTGATGGTATCAAATCCCATGAGGTGAACAGGTTCCAGAACGAGTTTGGGTCAACCTCGTATACATTTCAAACGACCCATTACTCTGCCGTCATTGTTGACACACTTTCTTTGTCGTCAACGTTGAATCTCAGTACCAAAGAAACCGCACTAAATCTCAATCTACCACCCCAGCCACGTATATTGTTCACCCATTTGCCGCTATATCGACATGATAAACCTTGCAACGTCATGGATCCATCGTCATCAACAACAAATAGAAAGGATGATCGCCAATACAAGAAATCTTTATCACCACCACCTCATCATCATGAAATCATTCAGGAACACAAGCATCAGTATCAAGGGATGTTGGATCAAGAATTGTCAAAAGAGCTCATGGATTGGATTCAGCCTGTTGCGGTATTTTCAGGAAGCCATCACCCGTATTGCCATGTCAAACACGGTGACGTACATGAAATAACAGTGCCTCCATTCAACATGGGGACCAACGGTGGTAATGGCGTTGTCCTTGTCAACCTTGCGGAGAATGATAGAGTTGCCGCCAAAGTGTGTTGGATGCCTGATCAAGTGGGTATCTATGTTGGATATGGATGTCTTTGGCTGGGGACTCTTTTGGCGTTGTTGTTGTACCATATTGTTCAGCATCGAAAAACAATGACACGGTCGTGGGCTTTGCTAACATCACATGACTACGAAATTGGATACAAGAAGAAGCAACGTGGTGAAATTGTGACCAATGCATATATACAACGACTCAAGAGGAAATGGCTTGTAGACTTTATTCGAGATGTTTTAGAAGTTGGATGCACAACAGCTGCTATGTATGTTGCATGTCTAATAGTAATAATATAAACATAGCCTAAGAGAGATCAGTGACACAAACGGGGGATGAAGATCATTCATTACATGTGCGCATCGGCCACTCGTGCGCGTGTGAGTGGAGTGCGTGGTGTGTGTGTGTGTGTGTGCGAATGGTAGGAGAACTTGCTCCGAAAGAGACTACTACATTATCACTCTTCCGCTCAACATATTGCTACTATCCACCATTGACTTACCTTTGACATGTACGCCAACAATTCATTTGCACGGTATGCCGTGCCGATGAGCGGCAGCAAACAACAGCAGCAGCAACAACAACAACCCACCAATTCGCTTGTCAATCTGCATTCGTCATCCGATGTGTCTCTTTCTCTGGCAGGCAGCACGTCAACCCATGTAGCACGTCAATTATCTTATGCACAGATTTCAAGGCAATCGTCGTCGCCACACCATCATGCTCGTACAGCTGCAGCCATGGCTCGTAATGCTCCTGTTTCTTCGACGGTGACTATCACTGATCCGAATAACCCCAACAAGTCTCTCAACGGCTTCAGCAAAACGGAGGTTGGACGACCAGCAAGATCATCAATGATGAATGAATCGACTGAAGAGAGCTCTCAGACATGGACGACGTTGGATATGGGTGGAATGGGGCTTAAGAACCTTGCATTGGCTGTATGCAATTATTCATTTCTCACCGTGCTCTACTTGAATCACAACAACTTGACGTTTCTACCGCCTGCTCTATCAAAGTTATCTCATCTCAAGACATTGGATGTATCTGGCAACAAACTTACCGATATTCCACCTGATCTCGGATTACTTATCAACCTACGAGAGCTCCTACTCTTCGACAACAACCTCGTCACATTACCATCCGAACTTGGCTCGCTCTATCAACTTGAAACACTTGGCCTCGAAGGCAATCCACTACATCAAGACATTAGAGATATCCTCATTCAAGAAGGATCAGCTGCTGTCATTCAATCTCTACGAGAGAATGCACCAGGTAAACTACTCTTTTAATATCAATGATTGTAAATTAACGGCATTCAATTCGCTAGTGGGGATGCCACCTCCTCAACGAGAGTGGATCGCAGTAGATACCAGCGGATCAGAATCGGATCCAGGTAAAAAAGGATATTGCAATGGATGATACGAGTGCTTACATGGATGATTTAATTAGGGAGATTCACGGTGCTATGCTATAATATCCTCTGTCAAAAATATGTCACGAGTCAAGCCTATGGATATGCACCTTCATGGGCATTGGGTTGGGAATATCGCAAGGAGCTCATCCTCTCTGAAATTTTTGGTTGCGACGTGGATATCGTGTGTCTTCAAGTAAGTATCCATTCATCGACAGCAATGCAAGATGAAGATTGGTTGACAAGGCTATCTAGGAACTATCTCTAGATTTATACGAGGATGAATTCAGGGAGGAATTTAGACAACGTGGTGATTATGACAGCGTTTACTATCCCAAATCAAGAGCAAAGACCATGTCTGGAACAGAGCGAGGCCAAGTGGATGGATGTGCAACTTTTTTCAAATCATCAAAGTATGTCCTTTTCAATCAGCCAAATGGTGATACTAATAGCATGCCCTTTAGGTTCGAATTGATTGAGGTGCATCTAATGGAATACAATCAAAAAGCGCTGCAACGAGCCGATTTCAAGAAGAGTGCTGATATTTATAACCGCGTCATGACCAAGGACAATATCGCGGTGCTCACGATGCTAGAAAACAAGGAAACCTTGGATCGTATCCTCGTTGCCAATACACATCTTCATTGGGATCCATCGTTTGCAGACGTCAAATTGGTGCAAGTTGGTATGCTATTGGATGGCATCGAGAAATTTGCTACAAAGTACTTGAAACCACCTCCCTCTTCACCTAATGGACCCACCTACGCTTCGACTTCGGACCTACCTACTCTCATCGCTGGCGATTTCAATTCTGAACCTGTGTCAGGTGTCTATGAATTTTTGTCAAAGGGATTGGTTCGTGAAAACCATGACGACTTTGGTGAATATCTATACGGCGATTATACCAAGGAAGGTCTCTCTCACAATTTGAGTCTCAAGAGTGCTTATGCATCAATGGATGAGCTTCCCTTCACCAATTACACGCCTGACTTTAAAGGTGTCTTGGATTACATTTGGTCGACAACCAACACGCTTCAAGTCATGTCACTACTTGGACCTATTGACAAGCAGTATCTTGGCAAAGTGATTGGTTTTCCCAATCCACATTTTCCTTCCGAGTAAGTTGGATCTCATCTTTCTCTCTTTTTTCCCCTCATCCATACTCATATCGATCCTATTTACGAACATAGTCATATTCCCATCATGGTTGAGCTTCAGTGTAAGACTCCCAGGGCAGCGGAAAAGAAAGCAGCGGACAAACAAGACAAGCGATAGGCACGCTGTTTGCATGAATTACCCACTCTTTTTTTATTCTTATTCAACCGCACACTTCCTTATCCTCGTATACTCGCTTTCCACATTTCCTTCTCCCTCTCATCCTCTAGTACATATATGTCTTTTGTTTCTTTTGTAATTGGGGCGTTACTTTATCTTTCCATTTTGGCTGTAAATGAATCATTTTCTTTTTCACTTTGAACATTATCTTTATAATCTGCATGGAACAAACTGTTTATCTACGGACTGTCGGTATGACCAGACGCAATCCAACGATCATGGATATGTACAAGAGCCGGTATAATCATGCTTTCAATCTCAACACCTTCATTGAGTTCTTCAGGCGTCAGCGATAGCTCCTTTTCAGTAGCGTTCATAATCATCGTCACCGTTTGTTTACGCGTCTTGAGCATGTTGCCGATCACAACTTGATGTCCATAACGTTGTAATGCTTGTCTTGCCTTGGGAACCAATAACGACATGTCTGTTTCGAGCTATTGGATGTATACTATCATTAGCAATAGTAGATAGCAATGGATGCGTAACTTGCCTTGAACGAAACGATTAAACCTTGTGATGCCCAGTTGCTCACCAATGGCTTTAAGAACTTGGGTACTTGATCCAACACCAAATTAAGAGCACCATCACGTGATTGAATCTTGTGCTCAGCCTATATAAAAAGATGAATACCATTGCCATGGAGACGCATCATCCTATACATTACCATTTTCTGGGATGGGATGAAAAAGTCACTGACGGCAGCTGCAAGGTAGTACATGGATTTATTGCCAAGGCGAGCGAGGATGTGGCATGCGCTTTGTAATTTGAACAAGTAGTCTGAGAGGGTCACAAAGTCGAGTTGCAATAGCATGTTTTGTTCCTTTGCACGATGGTATTCGGTGAGAATGACATGCATCTCCTTTGCATAGGCTGGATCCACTATAGTAGAGAAAGCAACTATCAAAACACAAGCACATAGAAGAAAAGGGGAGATCATTAGTGATGATGACATACCGCATACTGAGCCATCCTCTTTGGTGACCATGTAGTCAAGAAAAGCCCTGTTGGGATTGTGTGTATAGTGGCGTTGGAAAGGTTCGAGACTGAACTGGCGATGCATGAATACAACAGCGTATCCAGCCTTGATGAAGTACTCAGCGGATGTAGCACCACGGTTGCCGTTGCTAAAGTTATCAATGAAGCGAACGGTCTGGTTCTCAAGAGGTACTGTGGTGCCACCACTCTACAAAGAAGTATGTATTAGCTTGCTTTCCAAGTGATACCCATGCCACATAGGAACCCTATCTACCCAAAACTACCCCACACACTACCTTCAACTTACCGTAATGAGGACTACACGAGTACCTTGCTGACGGTGATAATCAACAAAGGCTGACAATCTTTGTTCAAAGCGGTCGAGATCAGCAGGGGGCTTGTTTGTGTTGAAGTAGACATCGGGGTCAATGATGCCTTGACCGTTATCGAGCAGCTGTTCTCCAGAAGTGGCAGGCATGAGGTAATCAGGAATAACTTCTTGGGTGCTCATGATGACTCAGGTGCTTTTATTCGGAGCCTGGTTCCAACGAACGGACGACAAGTTAGCTGTTGAGTGGATAAGTATGCAAATGATAGAACTCTCACGATATCCAACGGCAGCAAGTATGATGTTGACCAATTGTATTTATCTCTTGTTTACCTGCATGGGCATCTCCTTTTATGCAACATGACATATCATTATTATGCACCAACCACCATCCTTTCTCTTTGTGTATATCCTTATTACATTTTGTATTTTATGAGACATGATAAACGGGGGAAAAGAGGATGAAAAATGTACGTTTGCAATGAATGGAAAAAGGATCATGTTGATTTTTTACACCACTTGGTTGCTATGGCGACGCTTGTAAGGGTTTCGAAGCTCACGGACCAAATCCTCAGGCACTGGAGGTTGCTGTTCTCCAAGACCAGTGAATGTAACCTTGTTAACATCCTCAGGTGATGTAGTGAATTTTTCCTCTAAAGGACACGTATCATGATTAGGTTGAGCGTTGTCATTGTAATTGTTGTTATCGATTCTCGTACCTCCGCTTCTATCATCATATTTAACTGAAGGCTTGGGGATCTCGACATCTGTGCCTCTCACAAATCGTGCCCATCGCTTGGTGATACGACCATCCTCCAATGTCTTTTCCACTTGCCGACGTTCAATCCGAGTAGGGACTCTATTTGCACAAACGTCAAAATTCAAACCGATCATCGCATCATCATCATCATTGTTCACTTACTGTGTATCAGGATGCAGTAACATGACGTTCGAATAATGAATTGGCATCTCCTTTCTCATAATACCTTCAGGAGCACCGGGTTGTTGAGGAACATGTTTCTTGGCCTATACTTCAAGTGTCAATCGAATCCATCAATGTCATCTTCTTCATCTTGTTTATCACTTGCCAGCTTCTTTCCTTCTACCAATACGGTGTTCGTTTGTCGGTTTACCGCCTTGATTTCACCAATGGTGTCTTTGTCTTTGCCGGCAATAATAGCAACCTATACAGTCGCATTAGGTGTCATGTCACAAGCGATGCCGAAAAAAAGTCCAACCTTGTCGCCCTTGACAATGTTCCATTGCTTGATGCGATCCTTTGGGTTGACCCACTTTGGAACAGAAATGTGACGAGAGCTGATACCCTGAGCTTTGAAACGGTGCATCGGAAAGGTGGTTGGTTTCTTTGTAGTCGAAGCTGAGAAGAATACAGACACACCCTGCGAAAGAGAATCCGCACAACATTTTTCCTCTCACTACTCGTGACTGCAATTGATCTGACCACATTATACACATCAACACGGCATATACAGTATCATGGATCTCGAATATTATTATCATTGCATTACATCCCATCTCTCTATTATCTTATATCAAGTATTGTTATTTAACCATAGTACAGTATCCAGTAGTAACCTCAATTCATAATAAAGATTCCTCCTCCATACAAGCTCATGCATCACACACAATGATCTCTCTTCCTCCTCACATGTCCATTGTACCACACCGATCATGCATACAAAGAAGATTTTAGGTCACAAATGCTGGGACAATTTCTTTTAATGTCGAAACAATGACGCTAGATAGTAGCTAGGCGACAACGCAACATTTACTCATCGTCAACAACGACGGTCTCCAAACCTATAATAACATCGAGTTAGTCGTCATGGCAACCAATAGATACGCATATACACTGCATAGCAACATCCAAACGATTGATCCTGATATCTCATCTCCTTCTTTGCCATATCAAGAACGTTGTGATTGATGCAAGCAAGTCCATATTGCATGTAGAGATGGAAAGAAAAACTTACCCTTGGCACCGTTGGGGGTGGGGACAAAGGTGACGTAGGAGTAAAGCTTGTGGACAGCATCCTCATCATCGTTACGCTTGCGAGCAATGCGGACACGAATGCGGTGGGGGACATTGCGAACACCACGAGCCCAGAGAGCCTTGTTAAGACCAGTGTCAATACGGACATCGGGGGTACCCATGGCCTTGACGGCAAACTCCTTGACAGCCTTGATAGCGTGGGGAGTGCGCTTCTTGAAGGAGCGACCATGGACCAACTTGTGCAAGTGGATGGTGTACTCGCGAGTGACGACGTCGGCAAGGGTCGAACGCTTCTGGGTGTTCTTGGGGGCCATTGCTAGATACAAAACAAAGATGGATATTTAGAATGGATGCATGGATTGAATGGATGAATGCATTATTTGATAATGGATGGATGGATGGCTATGATATTTTACCTTATAATACGAGGAGAGGAGGAACGTTGAGTTGCTGCCTTGTCTTTCTTACTTATGTGCGGACTTTAATCTTTTTTCAGCTTCCACCCACTCTCATCAATCCCAAGGCACATCGCTTTTCTCTCTCTCTCTCTCCCTTTCACACACGCGTATATACAATGGCATCGCCTTCTTCAATGGTACCAGCTACTTTACTTCATCTTGGTACTTTGTCTCTTACAACTAATCACTTTACACTAGGATGACTTGTCTTCTTTACACGACGAACCCCATTCCAGCAGTGCTGAAGCACCTGACAACCTCTCGAAAAATGATGCTGATAGTCAAGCAACCAACTTGTCTGAAAAACCTACACAAGCCGATACAAAGGTATTGCATATATGATAATACAATCATAAACAAGGTTTGCTCATGTTCTATGTTTCTAGTCATCAAGGCGTGGATCTCGTTTTGGATGGTTACTATGGATGATCTTGTCACTAGGCGCTATTTGGTTCTCATTGATGGTTGTGGATGAAGCATGCAATCGACATTATTGCAATGACTTGATGGATATTGTTTCGGATCATACGCTTATGCTTCAACTCAAACAGCAAGAGGCGAGCTTGTGGATGAATGAACACGTGAATCCTTGGGTGCAGGATAAATATCAACAATGGAACAGCTGGGTGCAGCACCATCGTGATCAACTAAAGACTGCTGTGATCGAATGGGCCGAGCCAAAAGTTTGTCAGCCACCCGTAACTGAAACTACCACAGCCACTGTCACTCAATCGACCACATTACATCGCACTGCCACGGTGGAAAAGACTCTTTATCAAACATCTACTTTGAGGGAAACGGATACTATCACATCTACAGCCCACCATACGGACACAATCACCAACTTTGCCACCGTGACCGATACGAAGACTGTGACCGATACGACCACATCAATCAATTATGCTACAATCCACCACACAACTACTGTCACTGATACGGTTGCTCTTCCAAGCACAATCACTGTTACTGATACTGATACAACTACCATCACCGCTACCGTTACTGAGACTGAGACCTTGAAAGAAACTTTGACTGAGACCATCACCGATACGGTCACTGAACATGCAATCAAAACCATCACCAAGACAATGACCCCAACTGCAGAGCCAACTGATTAGTTTTTATATACAATGCTTGACGCATTATTGTTTTTTCGAGTACCAAATATAATTTTGTATATACCTTTTCTTCATTGCAATCATACATGTTGTTAACAATCTTGCCCTTTCATAAGAGTGTTGATCTCAACCACATATAACCACCCATATGGCATAATAGTATATTCAAGTAGCCCGTTGTATTAGACCAAATAATAGTAACAAGAGTATAGAAAATGAAAAACAATGCCTAGGTTTATCTAATCCAAAGGCACCCAATCTCTGGGATTCTTGAGGACCTCTATCAGATCAGCTTCTTGAGTATTGACTTCTGGTTCGTGCATGTATTCCCATCGAGAAGTGAGCGGCAAGGACATGAGAATGGCTTCAATCCTTGATCCAGGCGTTTGAAGACCGAATTTGGTACCACGATCCCATACCAAGTTGAATTCGACATAGCGACCACGACGCAATTGTTGCCATCGTTTCATTTCGGGGGTGAACTTCATATCCTTACGCTTCTGGACAATGGGGACATAGGCAGTGGAGAAGCGATTACCCATTTCCTTGACAAATCCAAACAACTCTTCGATAGGCTTGTCATCGAGATCGTCGAAAAAGATGCCACCAATACCACGAGCTTCACCACGATGTTTGATGAAAAAGTACTTGTCACACCATTGCTTGAAGGTGCTATAGTACTTTTTGTCATACTTGTCGCAGCCATCCTTGAGCACTTGATGGAAGTGAATAGCATCCTCTTCGAACAAATAGCTTGGTGTCAAATCAGCACCGCCACCGAACCACCACATTTTTGGAGTGCCATCGGGATTTTCAATCTCAAAGTAGCGGTAGTTCATATGCACAGTTGGACAATTGGGATTGTGTGGATGCATCACAAGTGAAATGCCTGCTGCAAAGAAGGGAACAGGACCATCCGCTGAGATTTCTTTGCCACGATCATGTCGCATTTGCTCAACAGCAGCTTTGGGAAGCTGGCCATACACAACCGAGACACCAACACCAGCCTTTTCAAATACATTGCCGTCCTGCAGCACACATGTAATTCCTTCGCCACCTTCAGCACGTTGCCATGTTGTGCGTGAAAATTGCTTGCCGTCAATCGCTTCGATATCTTGCACAATGCGGTTCTGTAAGCCTTTGATGAAAGCTTCCATACGTAAACGCATCGGATCGCTGTCGGTAATTGGTCCTTCCGATCTCTGTAAAATGAATATCCCGCAACACCTTTGTCAGCACAACAAACGTGATTTCTCAAATAGTCATCTCCCCCCTTCCCTTAACTTACCCTTTGTTTGTCATCAGCAACAGCATCACAATGAGCCTATGAATAAACGCTATAAGCTGTCATATCACAACCTTCCATTTTACATAGCATCAACATACCTCATTGTGTCTCCAGAGACCATAAGTTAATGTGGCAGCAGCAGCGACAGTAACATAGCAAGCAGCTCGTCTATGTCTCCAAGCATTGGATGCGGCGGTAGCTGTAGCAAGGGAACGACGTTGGTTTGAAGCACTATCGACATGTTAATAATGAATAATGAATGATACGCGCGCGTGCTGTTGAATACTTACAGGTGTCTTAAAGCAAGGGAAGGTTGTTGCACTAAAGAAGGCAGGTGTTAGGAAAACATTATCGACTCCTTTTGGTAATCGCGATTACTCACATCGAGACAAGGATCTTGATGCACGACCTACCAACATGGTGTGTAGAATGAGAGAGTGTGGGAAGAGAAGTACTGTCAAGTCTCCAAGTCATCTTGTGCACACCCATAAAAATAAGGCCGGAGTGCCAAACCCGACGATAGCTGGCATATGTGATGCATCATCACGCCATACCACTTTAGAAATTGTGGCGAGGTTTTCCATGGATAATCAATCATTGCTTGTAATACGACATCGTTGGGTAATTTTATCCATAGTTGCCCTATGCTTTATACTCCAAAAGAGGGGTGGATGTCGTTGTCCTGGAGAGTATTGTAACCTAGCACATATAACAACGGCTGTTGTATCACCATCACCACCACCTGCTTGTCAATCTTTGCCACATGAAACAAAAGTTCACTTTCAAACACCATAAACAGCTTCTCCGAAGTACGAACAATCACTGACGAAACGTCGTGTTCTCCAAAGAAAAACCGGATGATAAGTTTCCATGTTGGCTTATGTAACCATGCCAACTACCACCCTTCACCACCAATATGAATCCTCCCAATAGTAAGATACCCCATCATCACATAGTAGGATCCCTGTTTTATCTCGATAATAAACATTTGGGCTGGCATTTCTAGTGCTTTGAGAAGCATGAATTTCCCAGGTGTGGCTTTTATCTCTTTCTACTCTACTCTTCTTCTACATGCAGCCATTCAACAAGTACTATCCTCCTGATTGGACGCCCGATAAGGTATGATGCGATAGCATGTCAAGGTAGATGGCTTGCAAGTGTACTCATGTTGTTCATGAATAGGGTTCTGTCAACAAGCATGTGGGGAAGCACCCTTTGGGCGATCGTGCACGAAAGCTGGATCAAGGCATCTTGGTTGTCAGGTGAGAGAGACTCTTTTGTGAAGGGAGGATTGGATGAATAATCTCGTTTGCCCCTTTCTCTGTTGCCCATACGGGAACACACGTTTGCAAAAGATTTGAACTACCCTTCAACATATGGTGTACTGGATGCGAGAATCACATTGGCAGAGGTATTGATCGTTGGCTGGGTCTATAATTGGATTGTGCATTAACATGGATTCACATCAGGTGTTCGATACAATGCCGAGAAGAAAAAGATTGACAACTACTACAGCACACCCATCCTGCAATTTCGCATGAAATGTCATCTATGCAGCAACTGGATCGAGATCCACACTGATCCAAAGGTATGTTCATATAAGACAGCGGATCATCATTGAAAGTTAACAACCATGGATTAGAATACCGATTACAAAGTTGTTAGTGGTGCTCGCAAAAAGGTGGAGGAATGGGAACCAGAGGATTCGGAAGTAATCAAGTTGAAAGGTAAAGATTACATCCACCGTTTCTTGGGAAATGAGGCTCATCATGTGATATATGGTTGCTATGCAGATGAGGAAACCAAGGAACGACTCGAATCAGATGCAATGTTTCGCCTTGAACATGGTGTCATGGATCAGCAAGTGGAGAAAGAGAGCGTGCCGGTGTTGACCCAGCTACAACAACTTCAAAATTCAAGTTGGAGTGATCCGTATAGCCGTTCGCAGCAACTACGACGCAAGTTTAGAGAGCAAAAGAAGAAGGACAAAGCACTCGAGGAAGAAGCTGATCGGATACGTGATAAGCACTCTTTGCACATTCCATTATTGCCCGAGACAGTGGATGACGTGGTACGAGCCAAAATGATACAATATTCAGGTGAGAAGCATGGTTGAGAATGAAGAAGCAAGCGTATGCAGATCACTTATATAGCCTACTTTAGACCCATCTCTTGTTGAAAAGCGCAAACTGGAAAAGACAGCCTCCACCTTATTCCCAACAAAAAGGAAAAGCAAAAGCGATCCCAATAAGAGCGTGGCACAAGAACTCGGCTTGCGTGCAATGACCCATACCAGGCTCAAGCTCGACCCCTTTTTGCAACAATCGAAATCCACCCTGCCACAACACAAGGAAAAAGAAGACATTGCGATCGTTAAGCCAAGCAAAAAAAGGAGGTTGCCATCACAACATCAACAACGAGGTGGGTACAGAGACAACAACAATGACAGCAGCAGCAGCAGCATCCGTAGTGGTGGTGATGGTGATGGTGGTGGCGATATACCCTGTGCTCAGCAGCCAAATGACAAAGTGCAACAACCATTAGTGTCGTATGGTAGTTCTGATTCTGATGAGCCTGATGAATAAATGGCACACTATATATTGTTATACCGAATGAGATGATGTATTTACAAGATCAGTATGATTATATATATGTGTGTGAAGGATGGCAAGCGGATAAATGGTAAGTGTATGGGAAGATCAAGTCATGTGCAATATGGGATGTCCTTTAAATGGAAGGGTGGATCTCATCCATAATGGGATATGGGCTTTCAGGGTTGATGATTGCATTCTCGACTGTCAACAAGAGCTGTGTGGAGGATGACGATTTGCTAGCCATGCTATAGATCTTGACTTCAACAAAGAGTGGGAATTGTTGGAAAAAGTCTTCCATATCTTCGGTGACCAAGGGTTGACCATCTTCGAGTTGATGATATGTATAGACGTGCCCCGTTCTTACTTTGACTAATAACCGTGACATGCCTGTCATAGCTGTGGGTCGAGATTTAAGTTTGTTGAAGATATCTTCGGCCAAAAGCTCTGGATTATCTTGAAGGATAGGCAAATGATCATACGCAAACGCATCGGACGGATGATGGTAAATCTTATTTTCCAGCCATTCTTCGAATAATCGAGAAACATGCGATGCCACCTTGCTTGTATTACCGAGTGTGGGCAGCTGTTACAAACGAAAAAAGAAAAAGAATTTTCTCTCGGTCAGCTATCAAGGAGTCAATCTATCGTTTTTTTCCCGTTGTCATACCGATATGAAACGATTGCCGCCATCCATAAAGTAGGTATTCTGGTAACGAGATATTTGAGCGTTGTTTTGATCGGTCATTTCTTCTTCAAAGCTGCTGTATTCTTCGTAAATCATCGAGGTTGTGGGTGATGACATGTCGTCAGTTGCCTCGGCAACGGTGCTAAACGTTGCACCTGAAGATGTTTGTGTTTGGTTGTCGTCTTCCTCATATCGCAAAGGAACGGCTGATGGGACACCTGCTGTGTGAGGTTTTTCGTTTGTATCGACTACACAGCGTATGAATGTTAGCATGTTGTCGAATATCTTACGAGATAATGAAAGGCACACATACGTAAATGGCTTGTAGTGGTAAACATGTGGAAGGATAATGGGAATAAGAAAAGGAAAGAAAAAGCACACAATGACCCCACACACAATAGAAATTTATGGATAGCAAGCAACCCCGGTTCCCAATGAGATCCCCCTTTCTGCAATGGGAATTAGTAGGCCGACAAAGAGGTGGTAACCACAACTCGCTTTGACCGGGAGTTGCCGATCAAGTTATTGAAAACAGATCGGCTGAGTAGGGGTTTTCTTTACAATTCCGCGGTTAGAAAGGTTTTGATTGGGGTCGTGTGCACCAGCTTTCTGGACTAAATAGCACGTAAGCTTGACAGGGAGAGTTTTTCTTCCTTCCCGCTTTTGCCCTTTACCTTTCATATTGCAAGAGGGAAAATTTAGCCTTCATAGTACGTTGGATGGCTTTTTATCTTCTACCATCCAGAGTCTCCAAGTAGCTTTACATTATGCAATCATCTCATATTGGAAAAAAAGAAAATGATAATAATAGCGTCTTTGATACCCTTGCCAAATGCATACCCAGCGAAACAAGTACACGCCTTCATCACTTGACATCATCACTCTCTCATTCAACACGTTGTATGTAATACGCATGTCATCTTTTATATGCACATGTAAGCCCAATGCTATGATAAGAAGGATGGTTAGGATGCATTCCGCGGAAATGATCCGGCACATGAATTGGGTGTAAAGATGAGCCTGGATGATTGTGTTCAGTATGACAAATGAAATAAACGAGCTGGTAACCAAAGATGCACAACCACGTGTTGACCTTGATGGTATGTAAGAAAACACTGAGCCCATACTCAGGTTTGCTTCAGGGCACTTTTTGACAGGATCCACCATGTGGGGTGAAAAAACAATGACATAATCCAAAACAGCTTCCTCCCCATAATCGTGTTTGCACCAGCTACCCATTAATGCAACCAACAGGCACGATAGTTGAGGTCCATCGTATGATATTTGTTCAACAGATAAGCCCCGTACCTGTCCTTGCGAAAGATTTCATGACATGGCTTAACGCAATATCCATTATTGTATCGCGCCAAATGACATTGTGTAATAGCAATATACTGATTGTTTCCACATCCATCAATGTCATTTACATACTCAAGTCCCTTGCATACCCTTATTTGCATTCCAAGGAAATCGTTGGATTGTGTAACCTGATGGGATCTAGTACGTCGGGTCATGTTTTGTTTTATTTGCAAAGAGAATCTAATGCTTCTTCTCGAGGACAAACTTGTAGGCGATGGCACCAGCAACAAGCAAAGCAGGGATGACGACACGGAGGAAGCTATTATCGAAAAGTGTGTGTGAGTGTGTGAGAGAACTTGTATGGAGAGAGCTTTTTATCGTGTGTATAACTTACGATCCAGACTTGGGTTGCTCAGGAAGCTCACCGGCGCGGATGACGTTGAATTTGTGGTTATCCTTCTTGGACTATGGGAATCAAAGACGTTTTAATAATGTAAAAGTGAAAGATGACATCCATCATCAAACCACTTACAGCTTCATCCAATTCACCAATGAGGTACTTTTCGAGGATCTCACGAGCTTCATCAGAGTGACCGATATCTTCAAAGGACTCAGTTGCATCCTTGCCTACCAGAAAAGTCCCAAATACCATGAGTCATCTCATATCCTTATCACCTTGTAAGACTTGGATCATTACCTGCTTCATCAAGCAAAACTTCCTCGCCTATTTACATTCAAAAGGAACACGTAGGATGGGAATGTGAGTGCAAGGTACCAATACGTGTGCATTATCGTGTCCCTTTCTTTGCTGTTTTCTTTACTTACCACCGGGATGCTATAATGACATGATAGTTTGTGAGCTTTCATACCTTCTAATAAGATACGACGTTGAAGACAAATGAACAAGCTTTACCTCTTGGACGAATTCAGTGACATTGTAGACCTTGTTGTGAACAACGAGCCAAAGGTCGTTCTTGGTGGAGTGCTTTGCAACTTCTTCAGAAGAGTAAACGGAAGCCATTTTGAGAGTGGGGAGTGAAGTAATGAGGCAAAAGAAGAAAAGAAACTATGCGCTGAGGGAGAGGCTGTTTGGGGTCGTCGAGTATACACAGATTTTCACGCACATGTGTAACCTACTGCAGGTGAAAAAAAGTGGATGGATGGGGATAAAAGCCATTGGATGAAGTTCTTACCCGCTCACCCGGCCCGAGTGCCGACGGGGCAGATGACCGAAAGCAAGCTTGAACCGCGCTGTTAACAACACCTCTTCAATCCATATTCCCTTCAGCCTCGTTGTAACCACATGGTCAACCTACACAGTGGTAAGGTAAATGCATCATGAAGCTACTGGTCAATTGTTATTATCAATCCTAAAGCATCGTCCCAATCAAAGAACGCCTCGTTTCGAACGTACCCCCACAGCATGCCATCTTGTGGCTTCTTGGACATCACGAAATTGATACGCATGATACATCATAATGGAAAGGTTCCCACGTCGCCCATATCTTCCGAGCCACTCACTCGAAACATTGTGCTCACTGAGGACGTATTGTTATCGGCGGAACAAGTGAATGCTTAGGACAAGCCCATCGTACGCTAATGATCCTACTAATAAAGTGACATCTCAATTGATTCCAAGATACATGAACGATGTTCGATTTGGCCAGGTCATATCACAAATTGCACTTGCATATTGAGAGAGAAAATCGTAAACGCATCCACTAGCTGGTAGAGGTAAAAGACATACAAGGAAAGGGGTAGCATAAAAGTAGATAGTGTGGTTCTTCAAATTCTTGTTGCTATGATAAAGTTGAGTTGTAATGTGCTTGCTGTGAGGAAGAGAATAAGAGGGACATTGTAATTAACGTATGACAAAGCTTCTTGGAAGACACCACCGGCTATTTTGGTCGAAGAAGGGAGCAAGATCGGCGGGTATGACCATACTATGAAGAAGGTTTGCATTAATGATTAGCCTTGTGTTGCGCAAATCAACCTTACTTGACCACAGTGATTGCTACATTGACGTGAGGAAAGGATGTGAGCATTGACGGCTAGTGGGTGTGGAGGGAAACCTTACCATTGGCCCCCTGTAAGGTCAATGGGCTTCACAGTATTTGGCGGTGTCATTTTTCCGCAATTGGATAAGGAGCTAGCTTGGGATGCAGTGGTAGCTGCTTATATACCTTTTGAAGATGAAAGCTAAAGGATCCTGTAAGGATAGGATTAGATGGATCAGAACGCTACAAACATAATCAATCATGCAACGATGACTCCTCAATCCTTTTTTGTTACATTGGCGGTATTCCAAGGATTCTGGCGCGATGATCAATATCGAATTGCCACAATGAAGTTCCTTTAAACAATGAATGCCACCCATCTCCTACGTGTCAAATTGCCCTTAACATCGTTTACCACCCCATTGACCAACCTATGCACTGCGTCAATAATGCGTTGACAAGCTAAAAGGGGATGACTTGAAAAGAGTAAACGAGATGCTGCAGTTGTTGTACATAGCGATGCTGCATGCAAGTGCTCCACGATTTGCCATGTGATATGCTATGTATCAATCTTCAGCTCTCTCCTTTCCTTTACGGTAAAGATCTTACTTCAAATAATAAGGGGGGGCATGGTTAGATATCTATTGCCCCACCCCTACCCCATCGAGCTGGTCCCATCTAATCTCTGATCGCTGATGATGATGGATCCTATTCGACAAGAAAGTTTATTGCGCATGGTTTTATCTTCAGCTCTGGTGGCTATTCGAAGCACTTTTTGTTTGTTTATGATGGATGCCCCCCATAAAATGCAAAGCCTCTTTCCCCACATTTGTTTAGAGCTCATGACATAATAAATGTGCTACGCATCGTGGATGTGTAATGTAACATACATTTGGTTCTTGAGAAGGCACCTATGCCCATAGATACAATACATAGCAGGCTGCAGCTGAGACATTGCTCCATCACCTCCACATGCAACACGCATTCCCAACCCTTCGCCATACGCACACACGCACACACGCACAAACGTGAAGTGAAACGATCAACAACTTTGTGGATTGTTATTATATACATTGTAGCTTTCTATTCTGCGCCAATTGGACTACAAGTAAGACCCGTGAAAGTATCCGTGAGCGCACGCTCGTAAGCATACTTGGCTGCATATCCACCGGCTCTTGCTCGCTTGTTGTTGTGTAGATACTCAGTTGCCCTGTTGTATCATATAAGTCACTCAATTCCCAATTCCTTCAATGACAAACTTACGGATCATCATAATCATCACGAATATCAAATCCAGTCGTATACTCGTATTGTAAATCAAATGGATCAAAGTCTGCTGCTTCCTGCATCTTCGTATCAACATCGGCATCCATAGACGCAGTAATCCATGCCGGCATCGCCATACGCGCTGGGGAATTACTTTCCGATTGCTGTCGTAAAGCAGATGACCTCTTCAATGTGATTGATTGACGTGTTGCAAGTACGGATTGTGCGGATTTATTCGTTGTAGCCTAAAAGAAGCCATGTCAATAAATAACCCATCCATATATGCTCTCATGTAGCATGCCACTTACAAGTTCCTTAATAATATCAGCCTTTTCTTGTTCCTTTTGCCGTCGTTCCTCTTCCAGTAGCTGCAGATACTCTTCACGTTTTTGTTCCCGCTGTTGTCTTTCAAATTCGTCCTGGTAGTTCTGAAAGCGCTGTTCATTGGCCTATCATTGATGTATATCAGTATATTATGTTTCCTTTCATGCCATAGCGTACCATTCGAGCTTCATTGGCTGCAATGCTGTCTTTGTTCTCAAGTTCATATGCGCTGATCCTCGCTTCAGTTTCCGCCACATCCACCTCGTTCATCAAATTAAAGGCTATACGGAAAAAGGGGTTGTTAGGAAACCCGCAAATCCTGGTATGTATCCACGCGTATGCTACTTACTGATATCCTCGACTTCCTCCAAGTAATCATTATACAAGCGTAATGAAGGGAAATCTTCGGGCCGTTTGTTGAAGCTATTATATACACATGAATCAGCTTATCCATGACACAATGTAGTACCCACTTACACTTTGCTCACTCGTTTTCGTATCCGTACTTCCTTCTCTACTGCAAGATCCTCAAAGATTTGGGACATGAATTGATTCTTACGCAGGATTTGCTGGCATATTGGACAAGGTGCTGGTCCAGCACTGAAGAGACGATCGATACACGACTCGCACCTAACAGCAACTTGGGTTAAACAACATACTACCTCATTACAAGATCAACCTACATTTTGTGGAAGCATGGCGAGACAAGGAGCTTTAGATTCGGTGTGAGGTACTTGTCACTCTTGCACACTGGACATTGAGCATCTTCCTCCTACATGCAGAACGTTAGCTGTCGCCATTCACACTATATAAACTCCTTATTCATGTACGTGCCTGATACGATACAACCGAAGATCCAGACTTTCCAATTTGTAGAGTTTGGTTTCGCAATGTGGACGTGCGATTCATTGTGCATAAAAAAAGAGAAAGAGAGGGGTATTGATTGACAAGCGACTGCGGCACGTGGAATTGATTTAAATCACCACGCAGAGGTCTACTTGTTGTGGACGACATATGGGGTGTATATCTAGCATACGAACGAGGATGTTTTAACCAATACAATGCGACAAAAGGGATGATAGCATCTCGTATGACGATGTAAATGATTCCCTTTCACTCCTGAAAACAACCAAGTGATCCACATCTTGCACATGTGGGTTGATAGTACGATACCCTTCTGAATACTATGTAAAACTCAATTTTATTGAATGGAAAGTCGAAGAATAGCACATGGTAGTGTGGATGTCCATCAAATAAACATGACAAAGAAACTGCATTGCAAGAATAAGATGGGGGGTAAATTGTGTAGAGGAACGATTGCGCCATTGTATTCTTGATTGCTGCCCTTGTGATCACCCTTTACCCATGATTGGAAAATAGTTGCTGCATGATTTGACTTGAGTATTGCAATTCATCCATGGCTGTATCTTTTGTCAACGCCATCCTATCCATCATCATCCTCAACCGTATCCATGCGATATGACCCATCGTTTCTGCTGGCAACGATGCCCCAGGCAACCAAAGCAACATTCCCGGATATCCTGTCACTGAACTTGATTGCATCCACCCATCCATAACCATTGTAAGTCCAATATTGCTGTTGATCTCTTTCTTGGCTGGTTTCTTTGCAGCTTGACCATGTGAAGATCGCTTGTATTGAGGTGTACTTGATAGCTGATGCGGCATCATCCACAGGGACCCGTTTGTATTAAAGCAAATTGCTACACGTAAATAAAGCTGCTTCTGTACAATGGCTAGTTGCTGTTCACGTAGAAAAGGCTGCAAGGCATGTTGCTGCAAGTAACGTTTGGTTGTTGTAAAAGTGAGCAAGAGAACGTGTGTTGTAGTAAAGTGACAAGGTTGTGAAGGCTGTTTGAGGTAATGGAGTAACGACCTTGCCAATAGCAGCTGCTGGAATGAATGCTGTTACGATTGGTTGTGGTCGACGATTGTACAAGAGAAGGTGTGGTGTCAAGAAACGCGGGTGTTGTAGTGGGATACACACGCTCATGGGCTTGCCATTTAGTCAAAGACAATCAGATCAAGACAATCGTAGGCTTGGCATGATGGGTTGAAGCAGGACAATCGTTTGCAGGTGGTAGTTGTACTTGAATGGGTCAACAGTTGAGAATGGGAGGAAGAGACATGAGGCTGGGAGTGGAAGAGCTGGAAACCAAATGGATCTTTCTCAAATTAAATGATACTTCTTTGTTTGACCGTTGTTCAATCAAATCCACTCGGGTCAAGGACGCTGAAGGATGGAGATGATGGGCTGGAGCTGAATAATCGTTTACATCCATTGTTTTGGGCTACAAAGGCGAATGGGAGGAATGGGCTATCAAGTGGCAGTTTACAAATAACTATTCAAATTGATCATTCTGCAATTGGATGATACTTCTGTGTTTGAGCGTTATTCAGTCAAATCACCTTGGATCAAGAAAGTTGAAGGATGGAAGTGATGGGCTGAAGCAGGACAATCGTTCGTATGTATTGGATTGGGCAACAAAGGTGAATGGGTGGAAGAGGCTATTAGCTGCCAATGATGATCTCTTACTAATAGTATAAAGTATCATTTGCATTGCCCCTTCCAATCATGCAAAACAGCCGGGTTACACAAACACGCCCTCTGCATCTTTGGCTTTATCAGGGCCTAGCTATTTGGCATTGAACAAAGACCACTTGTCATATATAGTCATGCACACAACATAAAGACGCCCATATCTCAAGATTTCACAATCAAACGTGGGGTTTTGAATAGAGCAATGGGCTCGACTTGGCCAACAGCACCTTGTGTGGAAGTTTCACGTTCAATGTCGCAACTAGCCCAAAAAAATATTTTTTGGTCGTCGTCGTCGAAGAGGTCGACCCCCAGATCCAGTTTGGCTGGTGGCGACATTGCGAAATCTGGGATTGGCCACGATGAGCGTAAAACTTTCACACAAGGTGCTGTTGGCCAAGCCGAGCCCATTGCTCTATTCAAAACCCCACGTTTCATTGTAAAGTTTGGAGATACAGGCACCTTTATGTTTGTAAGCGTGATGCTATACGAAGAGTGGTCTTTGTTCATTGTCAAGTAGGTGGACCCTGGAGAGCCAAAGATGCAGAAGGCCCTCTTTGTGTAGCTGAGCTAAAAAGTCCGGACCTCAGGGACGATGCATGACAGGTACGCAAACGTCATTTCAGATCATACATTGCTAGCTAACAGCCACTTTTATCCAATCATCAATGTTGCGAGATCCGCTGCATGGGAACGATGCTCCTGCTCTAGACATTCATTTCCATGATTAAAGTAGGTTGATCCGAGCTGATTTGGTTGAGTTACGCTCACACAAGATTACATCAGTTGAGCTACATCGAGCGTGCTTTATGTCCAGAGTGATGTAATCTCTCTTTGACCGTAGCTCAGTCAAATCAGCTCGGATCAACTTACTTTAATCATGGAAATGAATGTCTAGAGCAGGGGCATCGTTCCCATGCAGTGGATCTCGCAACAATGATGATTGGATAAAAGTGGCCGTTAGCTAGCAATACATGCCTGTTCCTAGATGATCCATAAAGTAATTATACATTGACCCTTTCATTCATGCAAACGTAGCTGTGTTACACAACACGACCCTCTGCATCTTTTGCTCTGCCAGGGTCCACCTACTTGACAATGAACAAAGACCACTCTTCATATAGCATCACGCTTACAAACATAAAGGTGCCTGTATCTCCGAACTTTACAATGAAACGTGGGGTTTTTATTAGAGCAATGGGCTCGGCTTGGCCAACAGCACCTTGTGTGAAAGTTTCACGTTCAATCTCGCAACTAGCCCAAAAAATATTTTTTTGGTCGTCGTCGTCGAAGAGGCCGACCCCCCAGATCCAGTTTGGCTGGTAGCGACATTGCGAAATCTGGGATTGGCCACAATCAACGTGAAACTTTCACACAAGGTGCAGTTGGCCAAGCCGAGCCCATTGCTCTAATAAAAACCCCACGTTTCATTGTAAAGTTTGGAGATACAGGCGCCTCTATGTTTTACATATGCTGTAAGCGTGATGCTATATGAAAAGAGGTTGTTGTTCATTGTCAATCACTTCACCATATTAGAGACGAAAATGCAGATTGGGCCTGTGTGTGTGTAACAAAGCTGAGAGGGCAGGACATCCTATTGGTGAAGAGTGCATGATGCTCCTTCTCTTGCCTACCTATTGTGAGATCCGCCTATGGTGGTAACCCATATGGAATGGTCCGTTCTCATATAAGGTTGTATAAAATAGGGTTAGCTGATAATCGTCATGGGTAGGCATAGCATTATATTCATGAGCTCGTGATGCATTGTACTAAAGCTACTCGTTTTTAAACATAATGGATTCAGCTTACATCGAACCATCAAGCTTCTGTAACAAGCACTATTGTTAGGTACCATCCCTCTGAAGCTATTATCTTAGTAAGATACAAGCGTTTATTAAACATGAGTGTTATTCCTTGAGAATCGTTACTGCCTCTATCGTTGAGGATCTTGATGGATTTCATGTCTTCATTCATAATACAAACTTGTTGATACTACCACCACTAATTGATATGCAACTCTTCAGCCCACGCTTAGTGATGAACTTCAAAGGATGATTTATCCAATACCAGATTCAATAAATACTCTAGGTAACTTAATCTATTTAGGAACTTGGCAGCGAGCTCTAAGTGTTGTATTCAGATTCTGCTTCAATGCGACCTGCCGCTGGAAACCTTGTTGTACAATAGTCTCGCGAATACCATCAATCTTGCTGCTACGATTATCACCTGATTGAGGCTTTGTCCGTCCATCGGTAATAGCCAAAAGGTGCCGTCTTTCCTTGCGTGTTAATCCTTGCTCACGTGCCAATCTCTCAGCATCCTCAATTGCCTTGGTTTTATCCAAAACTTGCTCCGTCTAGTGATTGGTGATCATGGTGTTTAGTGGACAAGTATTATTCCTCATGAACCTCTGAGAACAACTTACATTATTCCTCCGTAATCGTTGCTTGAAGAATTTGAGGTCGTGCCTGTGACCTAAACGATGTCCGCTTTGAAGAACAAGCTCGTTACTCGATGAAACCGTAGTATGGGCCGCCTCTTGTAGAGGTTCGAAATCATAAAAGTGCAAAAGCTCCGCAGGATCCTCACTATCATCGTATGCCATTTTGCAATGGCCCTTGTCCATCTTGGGGTGTATAGAAATATACGAGTATATTAGCATCCGAATGAATTCCCGTAATCCATATGCATTGGTTACTGACCATGTGTGCCCGCACCGCCTGTGGATTCTTGTATTCCTTCCCACGTCCGTTGCAATAGAGACATGTGTAATCGTGCTCAATCTTGTCCGCCAGATAAAGAATCAATCCTCGTTGATCCACAAGATACTCGCAATCAGGTAAAAAGAATCCATGAACTCGACACATGTGCTCGATATTGTCATCCAAATCTTTGCTTGGGAATAAACAAAAGATACATAGTCCTGCTGGATCCTTGCATCCCGTTGCCATGTTGTGCTCATCCTCCAAATCGGATTGATCCGAGATATCCGAGATATCTGAAAACAAGGGGCCCACTTGAACAGGTTTTCTTTGTGGATGCATTCCCATAATCTCTTGCTTGACTTCCATTTCTCGATGCTTCTTCGATTGCATATGGTTGTAATAGCCATTCTCAGACGTATAGGTCTTACTGCATAAATAAAGATAATGACATTAGTTAAATCATCAAAGCTCATAGTGACATTACACAAACGATCCACATACCGGCATGTTGAACACTCGTAGCTTAAACCTTGGCGTTCTTCTTCTTCACGGTGAAGTGCTTGTTGTGCTGTATACAAGTGTTCGTTGTTAATATAGCTTAAAAAAGTGTCGATCTGATAGTGGGTTCAATGGATGATAGACACTCACCAAGTACTTTTTGTGCAAACTGTTCAGCGTCAACAGGAGGCAAGTCTGCAATCTTGCGTTTCAAATTGTACTTGTGCCAACTAATCGTGCTGTTTAGTCGAAAGAGAAGTAGGCAGACGATCGCTGATGCTATTTACTCGGTACGGCAATGGCTTCTTTGACGCTCGCTTGTTGGAAAGACCACACGGCAAGCAATGCAAGTAAAAGCACCGGAACGAGCGAGTCGTAGCTGTGGATGCATATCGAATGCAGTGGATGCTGACATGTTTTCGAGGCTGATTGAGAATCAAGAGACGATGCTTGTAGAGACACCACGCTGAGTCACATCCATCTCCAGGTTTAAGCTGAGTTCCTTGACAACAAGATTGGCTAAATCAGGACCAACAACAATGCGTCAAATGTGTCACCAGGTGCATTGTGCGATGGAGCGCATGGTAAGATTGGCGCCATTACATGTCATCAAGCATTGACAACCTTCTTAACATGTCATTACAAGATTACATCATAGGCCGAAACGATAGAATAATCTTCCGCGTGTCATTAGCAAGCATTACGCCCTGACTTATATCATTATTAAAGTTCTCAAGTCATGATATTTCATGATCTCGATCCCTCAATTGAACAGCATGATGGTTTCAAGGACATTTGAGTATAGATATATGTACACCATTGTTTAATTGTATGATTCAATGAATAAAGCTCTACATATGAGATGCATCGACTTTTACCGCCTTTGTTGAATGAGATCATCAAGCTCATCAATGAGATCGTGTTCCCTTGTGGGATTCAGTAAAGCACAAATTACGCATCATCCGCCCGAGGCATGATACACGGTGTCGGTGGATATGACAACTACCAATGGATTATATAACATTATAGAGAAGATGGCATGAAACAGGCACCAATCCCGGTGCCTTCTGCTTCTACGAGGAACAGCTGCAATGCATCCAACTCACCGAAAAGTTCCGAAGGCAACAAATCCAAGAGGATCCCATATAGGAAAATTACACAAGACAACGACCTCGGATCTTTTTGAACGCTGCAGTTCAAGGAGCCGCCATCAAAGAAGAAGAAGCAACAAAAAAGTAGCCGATACACAAGACAGCGGGAAGTGCAAACAGGTTTCGGGCATTATGCCCAGTATGAGAATCTCAATCGATCATCCCTCTCTCTCTCTTCCTTTATTATCATCACTCTACTTTCTTTACCTTCCTTCCTTTTGGATGACCAAAATTGCGCAAGTATTATGAGCAGCTCGGTTGAACCTATGGATCAGGACGAAACTGTGCAGCAGCTACCTAATGAATCACGTCGTGGATCTCGCAGCGGCAAACCCAAGTTATTTCAATGCACGGGTTATGGTGATTGTCGCATGGTGTTTACTCGAAGCGAGCATCTTGCTCGTCATATGAGGTATATACATAGATATAAAGAGGCAAATGAAATGCTGCATTTTGATCCTTACGATGATGCATAATGTTGCAGAAAGCACACGGGTGAGAAACCATTCAAGTGCATTGTACCTGGTTGCGAGCGCATGTTTAGTCGCTTTGACAACATGATGCAGCATACTCAAACACATAATAAGGGGAAAGCTTCGAGAAGATCCAAGCAGTCGGTTGGCAAAGGCGGCAAAGGACAGCAACGCCGATCAAGTGATCAATCTTCTTACGTTGACAGTAGCATGCCTTCACCTCCACCATCACGACGTAGCTCCATACAAAAGGATTTATACGCTGCAGGCAGAAATAGATTTTCGGACGACGAGGATGACGATGACTTTGAAGATGGAGATAGCGATGCAAGTTATCAGCCACCAAGTAAGCGTCATAATCCAAAAGAGCAGAGAGACATGATGGCGGAATTGCGACGATTGAGCCAAGAACAAGCATATCATCATTACTATCAACATCCACCACCTCCACCATGGTGGTCGAGTAACACAACAGCTCCACCATCACCAACCGCTGTATCGACTTCTTCAGCCGATTCAATCGGCTCATATCATCAAAGACGTCGTTCTTCGAACCGTGTCACTCCTTCAGTTCATTTTCATCCTTATCCATCTAATCGGTATCATCCCAACTATAATTACAACAATCAGCTTCCTCGTCGTCATAGCGAGGACTTTATGACAGGACGTATGATCCTTCCTAGTATAGCCAGCTATTTGGTAAAGAATCCAGATGAGCCACCAGAGAACTACCTATTGCATCATGAAAAATCAGCCTCACCCCCTAGCTCGCCTAAAAAAGTTACACGTCGTTTATCCGTACAAGATTTATGCAATCCTATTGAATCACTTGAACCTAGCAACATGCCATTGCCAAAACCGGAAGAGCAAAGCGTTGATCTAACAGAGGATGAATTTCAAGCATTACAAGGTCTCGGACGCTTCAGACTTGTTGCCTTGAGCGATTCGAAACAATAAAATAGAAACATTTATTATTGTGCATCCACAAGGTGCTACTGCATTCTACATGTTGTCATGATGTGTTTATTGTATGCGATCATTTCATACTACTTTTACACCTCACACGTCTTCAACATCATGCACCATTACTTCATCTTTCTACAAGGAGGGGTGCTCCATACCCCTTGATCAATGTCATCAATCGTGGTGTTTTTTGCAGCACATTACAACATTGACTCGCTGGTAGTATCAAGCATTAGGTTGTGTTGTGCATCTATGTAGGTGGTGTTGGTGGTGCCTAATTCCTAATGGAGGATGGAAAGCATGCAATAAAAGATGGTCGTTGTTGTCGTAGTCATGTAAGAGCGATTTATTTGAGATAAGCATTCGATGGGATATGCAATCCTACATGATATGAACGAGGACCAGCCCTCTTTGTCGTGTTTACGATATTAGGATTCTTGCCATTACCATCCTAGTCAACGAGATCAAAACTACTTGCATGACTACAGTTCTCATGGATACCTTACTTTCATCCCGACTTGGCTTAAATTGCCTCCACCGTTGTAACTCCGGGTTATTGTTTGTCTCACGAAAACACGCTACATTCACCATCGTCTTTGTCCATTTCCACCCCATCATTGACACACTGATGGCGACCAGGATCGTCACTTGCCCTCAGGGTTAATCGGTTCTCACTTTCTGCTATTGCTGTACACCTTTTTTTCTCTCTCTCCCTATCTCTCCCCCCACCTCTGTATCTTTCTTTCCCATTTTGAATAGTGTAGTGAACGTAGCAACCAATAGCTTTATACAAGTTACATTTTGATGCAACAATATCACAAGATGCATGAAGAATATCCGGTGGTGGCCTTTTTGGATATCAAAGCGGCGTATGATTCAGTGGACAGATCCGTGATTTGGGGTGCTCTTGCCAATCATCTCGAACCAGCTTTATTGGATCTTCTTAAAAACATGTTTGACGAGGTGCTGGTCACCGTCATCATGCAGAACTACGAGTCAAGAACTATCAGACCTCGGCGTGGCATGTTGCAAGGATCCATCTTGAATCCCATCTTGTATGCGGTATCCATTGATGACCTTCCTCGTCGTATTCGCAATGGCTTTCAACAAGCACCTACGTTGACCAACACACTAACAGTGTCGACACCATCAACATCCACTGTTAGCGAAGCTGCACTCCAAGATCAAGACCGTGTCTCTCTCCGCAATCGTTCTCGACGCACATACCTTCGGGCAACTATTCATCTCCTATTGTATGCTGATGATGTTGCATTAGTTGGCTCATCCGAAGAAATTCGCTTGTTGCTGGCAATGACCGAATTGCATTCTGATCACTTTGGCTATCGTTGGAGTCCTCCCAAATGTGCCATCCTCAATGCTCGTCCTGGTGTGCGATATAAGCTTTACGGCCAAATATTGCCATCAGTTGACTTCTTCAAGTACCTTGGGATCCCATTCAACAACAAAGGCATCGATGTCGATCGTATGCTTCAAGCAGCTGCAACAAAAGGTGTTAGTGTCATGCTACTCCTGCACTCACTTGGTGCACACACAAGTACGCGTTTGGCCTTGGTGTTGCCCTTCAGTTGTATCGCACATTCATCCGCCCTATCTTTGAATATGGGTTAGCTATCATCCACATCACCGCCACCAATATCAAGCTTCTGGAACGTGCACAAGATCGCTGTATACGACTTGCCACCAATGTCACCGATCCACAAGCCCACACACCAACTGTCACTGCCAAAGCCATGGCCGACTTACCTACAATGAAACTTCGAGCTCGCATTCTTGAGTTCAAGTTTGTACTTCGTGCCCATGAGCTACCGCCTTCCACATTGCTTGCCTCCATTGTCGATACATTGCTTCGGGTTAACCACCCATTCAATTGTTGGGAAAACCTGAAAAGGATAGACCTTTGGCGCGACTAACGCTCTTTGACCATCCAGCTCCAGTACCACTTATACAGCATTCCCTGTTTTATACTTCTACTACTCACTTCGAATGAACATGCCATATTGTTATATCGAATGATTAACTTGTGTTATGAAACACGCTATATCACCTGCATGAATGGGCGTGAAGGAGGAAACATTGGAGATTGATGGGATGCGAAAAAAAAGAAATGGGAGGGAGGAGGAAGAAATCACGTGATTCTCACGTGGAGAAAAAGCAAAAATAATAAAAGGGTCGTTATTTTGAGCGACAACAGCAGGACTCGAACCTGCGCGGGCATAGCCCATGAGATTTCGAGTCTCACGCCTTAACCGCTCGGCCATGTTGTCTTCTACTCGCAGCTTAGACAATAAATGCATGTTGAATACAGGCCTTCCGTTTTTGGAATTTCCAAATACGGCAGGCGGATATTAACCTGGTAAAAGCTGCCTCCGTTGTTAGTGCATGACAACATGGCCGAGCGGTTAAGGCGTGAGACTCGAAATCTCATGGGCTATGCCCGCGCAGGTTCGAGTCCTGCTGTTGTCGCTCAAAATAACGACCCTTTTATTATTTTTGCTTTTTCTCCACGTGAGAATCACGTGATTTCTTCCTCCTCCCTCCCATTTCTTTTTTTTCGCATCCCATCAATCTCCAATGTTTCCTCCTTCACGCCCATTCATGCAGGTGATATAATCATCCTCCAACATTTCATGAAAAAGACATATTGATTGAACCATGTTTGTGATTTACAATGTAAGCGGCCATCTATTCTTCTCAACCAAGCTGACAACCTTGACATGATGTTGAAAACACTTCATCCAATCATACTACGCTTTCGACCTCGTAACCGCACTATTAAAAGAGAAGGAGGATGATACCATTACAAGTTAGTAATATGCTCAAAGAAAGAAATACAACATACTTGCCTTCATCTAATTTGCTTAGGACAGTCTTCGACTTTTTGTATTCTTTTGAATAATATTCCAAGATCTTGGCAAACTACATGGAGCCCGAATAATGTAAGAAGAGGAAGATGCAACAAGTAAACATGCTTACCAGCGCTTCTGTGTTTGGATGTGTACTCGAAAAGGCGCGTTCAAGGACATATAGATCCACTGCTTTATCCTCAGGCATCACCGATACATAGCTCAAACCAAAATCAATCAATACCTGGTACCAATGAATCAGCATGACGTTTCAATCTTGCATGATAGTGTATACGTACCAAGGATTCAGTTGCTTCACGAATCATTAGATTAGAGGTTGTGAGATCACCATGGATGACATCTTGAGCATGCATTTTCCCCAAGGATACGCCGATTTTTTGTGCTAATTGGTCTAACATCCCTCACCATCGTCAATGATCGCATACACGCCATTCAAAACACGGATATCAAGTACCTTGATCAACGTCAGCATAGTCAGATGCCTGGCTGACAAGCAAGCGTTGCTTTACAGTGATACCAAGCACCCGTTCCATATAGATTGTAGAGGCCTGCAGGTCGACAAAGTATATCGCTGGTGTATCCATGCCACTCTTTTTGCATTTGTAAAGGCATCGTGCTTCTTGAACAACGCGTTTTGCTGTCAGCTGCTGATCGAGATCGGGGTGTCGGTATGTCTTTGGGAATCGCTCCTTGGCAATGCAGCCATTGGGTGCCGTGAGGAAGTTTGCCAACAAAAAGACGCGCTAACAACATTTGCATAAGACGACATGCGACGATTCAAAGGTAGGATAGTGGTACTGTACAGCTTCAGCGCCCTGTTTCATCAAGTGTCTTTCTTGCATGGTGATTGCTTGAACGGAAGAGAGAAAAAGACGTCGGTGCGGTAAACCAATTTGTTGTATACCCAACATGATCATATCAGATGAATCTATATAGTCCATTCTTCCATGGAAAGTTTTCTCATACTCTTGTATACTTATAAACAACAATATTTATGCTTCATAATGGAAGGCTGTTATTGTCATCCCAATATTTACCCTTGTGTACCTTGTTATCGATGTAAGGTGCCAATGACTTCAAGCTTTTTTCCCCCTTTAAGAACGAGCACTCACATAACATCTTATTTCGCTCATTTCGAGCACAACATGTGATTTGTGATAGCAGGTTGTTCTCTTTGTTTGATGATGGGGATTACTCACCTGGTCTAATTCCGTTTACAGCAGTGGCCGATTTATGCATGTTGTTGAGGCAGCATTCAATCACACCAAGTCTCTTTCTTGTTGGTGAGCCACAAATTACTAGTGAACGCGTCCTAGCAATCTATGAGGCTGTTACCATTCCCAGCACTCTTTCATCATTATGAGAGCAGAAATCCACAGAAACCACCATGCTGCTGTCATCCACTACTAATATCGAACTTCCACCAACCCCTTTTTTCTATCATATCACTCATTTGAGTGTTGGCACCTTCATGGCCCAAGTGAATGTGAGTACCCCATAGTGGATACATGGTCACTTGTTGTGATAATCTTTATCGTTTCATTGTTATCCTCCTTTCATTGTCGTTGTTGTCATTGTGATGTTGGCCCTTTAATAAGGTAAAAATAGTCATCTTCCTTAAGCATGATACTCATCAAACGCATGTCGCATTCCTTTTGACATAGCTGCACCTGCAAACTTGAGTTAGGATACACAGCCCATTACAACCTACATGGCGGTGATATAACAACAGCTTCCTTTCACAGTCGACTCGTTAAAGAAAACCTTGTTGTGTTGTGTTGCAACCTCCTTTACCGTCAACGCAGACGCATAGTGTCGTATATAGTATTAGAATCAAGACAATGATAACACCAACATAAACACACATTCAATTTCGATTTATTATTAGGCTAAAGCTATCATTGTTCCACCTGTCTATAGGTTGATCCATTAGTTTTTCAGGCACCAGAATCGTTCTTGGTGCAGACACCGTGAAGTGACTAGGGGTGCTAATTGACGTTAATGCCAACGGTAACCGTCACCTTGGGAAAGCGGGCAAATTGTTCTTTCTGGTGTCACATTGATTGTGTAGCTTCCCTGTCAAAAAAGTGTTGACATAATACAGATCTACAATTGCCTAGCAGCAGACGCCTTATTTTTCAATTATATGGACATATACACGCATGAAACTCCAAATTGGCAAACACGGGGTTTGCTTGCTATTTATTAGGCTCATTTTTCAACAAGCAGTAGCATTGCAATACCAACACCATTGTAAATCTCATAGGCATCAACACAATTGTATTCGTAATAGAACAATCTATCTTTGGCAGTACCCATATTTCCATCATTCTTTTGTTTCACTTAGTAAGAGCGCGCCTACACATTTCGGCGTTCATAAAATTCAGCATTATCCTTCGCCCAATGCTGTGCAACACGGGCACATGGTCCGGTATTAGCAACGGATAGACGCACCGATATTAATGAGATAGCAACGGTCACTTTAATTGAATGTAAACACCATCTAATGGATACTACAAGTGCATATATGGATAGCGATTACTCCTTCTTTAAGGTGGACTTGGTGGAGAGAGCAGCGGATACACGGCGATAAGAGTCAATGAGGATCACCAGAGGGATAATAAAGTAGGGGAAATAGAATCCACTGATCGTCAAACGTTCATCGAATGTCAAAGAAGAGCTTCCAAAGAACAATTCAGCAAGGCAAGGGATAACCGTGGTTGCGACATGAGTGCCATAAACTAGATAACCGGGGATTGTCAATTACACTGCTCCATATCAATTTCCATATCGTATTTACCTAACAAAGGAAGGCGAACGAATTGTGCATCTAAATAAAAGATGGTGAGGACCTGTAACTTTGCTTGATTACTTCCATGGTTGCATACCTTTCCATAGACCGTAGAGAGCGATGAAAAAGAAGGGCAATTGCAAGAGGATTTCACAATAAAGGAAGCTGTCAAACCAAGGGAGTAGGACCGGGGATGCAACAAGAGGGTCTTTGTAGGTATCGGCATAGCCAGTAACAACGTCCTTTAAAACTTGAGGAACAAGGTGTTGAGGATAGAAAGGTTGCATGTCGACGAGGACTGTAACAGGAACGTGCATAGCAAAGTAGCCGAAAAAGACCATATCCAAGGGTCTGGAGAGCAACGACTTTGGTGCCTGGTTGACCATTGCTGAATAGTAGTATAAAGAGGAGGAAGAACAAGTTGTCGTTGGGAACACGGCTGAGCTTCTTCTTTATATAATGACCGCCACCATTACTTTTGTCCGTCACGGAAACACCGATGCCAATGTCGAACGTTGGTTGCAAGGACAAACAGGTAATGACTGCAATGCTGTTTAACAGGTCCACTTTTTAAACGTGATGGCTGAAATCGACCCTGCAGATACTGTGCTCAATGCCAAAGGACTCGAACAAGCTGAATTGGTTGGCAAACGTCTCTCGAATGAAGGGTTCGACATCATATACTGCAGCGACTTGGAGCGATGTAAACAGGTATTGTATAAAGGAGGAGGAGGAGGAGGAAAAGGAAAAGAAGAGAAGAGAAGGGGGAAAGAAAGTGATTAAATTCATAAGCTGAAGAGAGTATGGGAATAGACATTGAAACCCATCGGTCGGCACTATCCCACAACGCCTATTGAATATCGTCAAGTATTGAGGGAGAGAGGATTTGGCAGCTTATCCGGGAAGCCTCTTGCGTTCTTGAATAACGAGAGTATGCGACAACGTGTATCAGTGGACAAGCTCGTCGAGCAATCTGGTGGAGAAAGCGAAAACGAATTCGAGACACGTGTTATCCAAGCATATCACGACATTGTAAAAGGAACTGCTCCAGGGCAACGTGTCCTTGTTGTCACTCATGGGGGACCATTGCATATTTTGACCCAATATTGGATCGAGCATGCGGGTTTTAGCGTGCATCCGAGCATTTATGGCACACAAGGCTATCGGCATGGCAATACAGCTGTAACACGATTAAAGATTGAATCAGGGCAACCTCATGGTGGTGTCATTGAGCTTCTCAATTCAACATGTCACCTCGCCGAGCATCAACAATCGGGTAGATCTGTAGCTGTGTAATAAATAAAAGAATGATCCATTGCTATTGTGAAGCAATGATTGTGTTATGTGTGTTGTGCATTCAATTTACTAGCAAAGCGCTAATCTAAAAATATACATGAGCAGCTTCCCAATCTGGATTTAGAGTGGAAGTCCTGCCATGGTGAAACCCAAGAACCCTACAATAAATATGAAATTCCACGACGCATCAGTTTACAGGTTTTCCTCTTTTCCTTTTTGACCTTATACTCGTATGCTTTAATACTCTTGGCCCCTCTTTTACATATATCAATCCACAATGACAGTTGATACTCAAATCGAGAACAATACTATAACCACCACTGCTCCTGCTGATACAAAAGATGCTGCCGTCGCTGACACTACCATTGCTCCCTCGGTTCGTTCACAAAGCACGGCTTCCGATAAATCATGGGACGCACAATCAACAACAACAGAATCAGTAGAAACGGTTGAAACATCATCTGCTCAACCAACATTCGATCCTCAATCAGAACAACAACAACAACAACAACAACAACCAGCACGGCGAAGGGATCGAGGTCTTACCATCACACAAAAGGATGTACCATCCACAGAATCAAACCCCGAAGCACAGCAACAAGAGGATGACAAACTTGATGATCAAGAGAGTATCAATGACACCACCGATTGGGGTAAGTAATAAGCAATGAATACCAAGGAAAGGAAAATACATTGATTGACTCATGATGTTGGTATGGTACAGAATTCTGGTCTCGAGTGGTATCGGACTTTGCAAGCGTGAATAAGACCGAGCGACAAGTGCTATCCCTTCATATTCAACGAGGGATGCCACCCTCTTTACGCGGCATGATTTGGCAGCTGTTTGCAAACTCAAAGAATGTCACTTTGGAAGAAAAATACTTGCAACTTATCAATGAAGACTCAGTATACGAGAAAGCCATTGCTCGTGATCTCCCTCGTACCTTCCCAAATCATTCCTATTTTCAAAGCAAGGCCGGTCAGGAAGCGCTCTTTAATGTCGTAAAAGCCTATTCCTTGTACGACGCGGATGTCGGGTACTGCCAAGGTTTATCTTTTATTGCTGGTCCTTTACTATTAAATGTAAGTAAGCTGGTACTTGAAGAAAAAAGGAGGAATGATGCATGTGATGGGAAGGGGTAAAAGGATAACGGATGTTGAACAATGCGCTCTTTATTATGTAGATGCCAGAAGAGGAGGCGTTTTGTGTCCTTGTACAGCTCATGCAACGATATGATCTCCGCGGTCATTTTGCTCCACAACTTGATTTGCTTCACCAGCGACTATACCAGTTTGACGGCGTGCTCAACGATCATTTACCACACATCCATCGTCATTTTGAAAGCCAAGGCATTCGTTCTTCAATGTACGCTTCTCAATGGTTCATGACTCTCTTCGCCTACAAGTTTCCCCTTGACTTTGTATTCCGTATCTATGATATCCTTTTGGCAGAGGGCATCGAAGCTATCTACAGCTTTGGTTTAGCACTCATCCAAAAAAATCAATCCACCATTCTCAGCCTTGAATTCGACGCTTTGGTCAATTATCTCAAAAACGACATGCTGGATGTGTACAACAATGATGCAGCGGAACTTATTCGTGATGCATACCTCATCAAGATCTCACCAAAGCGATTTAATCGTCTTGCAAAAGAATATCGAGTTGAAGCAGCACGTGCAAATAGCGAAGCTGAAGCCATTGATACATTGAAAAAGCAAAACAAGGGATTATCGGAGACCGTTCGTAACCTCGAGAGCAGCATGACTGAGCTTAACCGAGAACATGCACAAATTGCGAACGAGTTGATAGAATCAAAGATGGATGTTGCTCGTATCAACGATGAAAATGATGCATTAAGGCAACAATCACAAGATCTTAAGCGTGCTTTGGAGACGTTACCAGGCGAGATAGAAGCCCGTGTCAAGGAAGAGATGGAAATCTTGGTGACCAAGAATGCAGCTTTAGTGCAACGCAATTCAGCTTTGGAAGATCAAATGGCTTATATGGAGAATATGGTGGCAGAGATGAAGGCAAAGTATGAAGAAAGCGAAAAAGATCGAGAGATACTACGCCAACGACTATCAGAATTGAAAAAGCTAGTTGAATGAATCAAGATCTAAAAACCCATATACAACATCATCCATCTATGTGCATATAATAATGTCCCCCGCAAATCCCTCATCTACCATAAACGGCTTGTCCGATTCCACCGAGTCAAACAACAAGAAACCTATCGCAAAAAAAGGTCTATAATCGAAAGGAACCTCTTCCATAAGCGGGTTGTCCGATTCCACCGAGTAAAATAGAGGAAACCTATCGCAAAAGTCCTCCACATACAAATAAAAAGGTTCTGGTCCCCTTGCCAAATTTCCTTCTCCCACGTTTCTTTTTCTTCCTTCCACCATGTTGGCCACTAGATTGCATCGTGCTCCACAATCCCTTCTCTCCATTGCAACCCGATCCGTCTCTCAGCGTTTTTATGCTGCTGCTGCCAGTGAGGAGAAGGTTGGTGTTGAACCCCCCACACGTTAACGCGTTCTTTTCAAAGAACAGCCTATTCATTATGGATGCGTCATATAGTTGAAGAAGACTGCATTGTATGATTTCCATGTTGAGCAAGGTGGCAAGATGGTCCCTTTTGCTGGTTACTCGATGCCTGTCCAATACAAGAACATGGGTCAGCTTGCATCTCATTTGCACACTCGTGAGAAGGCCTCCATCTTTGATGTGTCACACATGCTTCAAACTCGGTAAGGAAGAGGAAGAGGATGATTGGAGAAAAGGATAGGATACTGATCCATGAACGTGTGTCACTTAGTGTTGTTGGCAAGGATCGTAAAAAGTTCTTTGAAACCTTGGTTGTAGCTGATTTGCACCAACTTCCTGTTGGCCAAGGCACGCTCTCATTGTTCACCAACGAGCAAGGTGGTATTATCGATGACACCATTATTATGCAACAAGATGATTGCCTCTATGTCGTATCCAACGCCGCATGTGCTGACTCGGATCTTGCTCACATTCGCAAGCACCTTGCTGAGTTCCAAAACAAGGGTGGAGATGTTGATCTCCAAGTCATTGAGGATCATTCGTTGGTTGCCATCCAAGGTCCCAGTGCTGCTGCTGCTTTGCAAGAATTGGTTGGCAAGGATTTGAACGATTTCGGTTTCATGCACGGCAAGTTTATGGATCTTGCTGGTATCCCTTGCCATGTGGCTCGCTCTGGTTATACTGGTGAAGATGGTTTTGAGCTTTCTGTTCCTACTCCAGAAGTTGTCGACATCACCAAGAAACTCCTCGCATACCCTGGTGTTGAAATGGCTGGTCTTGGTGCTCGTGACAGCTTGCGTTTGGAAGCCGGCTTGTGCTTGTACGGCAATGATATCGATGCCACCACTACTCCTATTGAAGGTGGTTTGACATGGACTATTCGTAAGTGTTAACTTTTTGGGCTATTTAAGAAACCGATTCTTATTGTTTATGTATGACGATAATAGCCAAATCCCGCCGTGAAACTGGTGGTTTCTTGGGTGCTGATAAAATCTTGGCTCAAATCAAGGACAAGAGCCTCATCAAGCGTCGTCGTGTTGGTTTGATTGTACAAGGTGCACCTGCTCGTGAAGGTGCCGAGATCTTGGATAAGGAAGGCAATGTCATTGGCAACATCACCTCTGGATGCCCCTCTCCCTGCCTTAAGAAGAACATCGCTATCGGCTACGTTAAGAGTGGTTTCCAAAAGAAGGGCACTGAGCTCAGCGTCAAGGTTCGCAACAGAGTTCAAGATGCTGTTATCACCAAGATGCCTTTTGTTGAAGCCAAGTACCACAAGTAGATATCATTTCCCCATTAATCACCTTTTTTCTCCCATCCCACACCCGCTCGCTATACAACATGTCATCCTAAATCCCTTTAAAATCGTGCATCTTGAATATATCATCCAAAACCATTATTACGTGGTAATTGTAAATCTAAAGGGATATTTGTATCTATGGAAATGATGATGGTAAAGTCTACGTATCCATGGCAGCCAAAGAGGAGCTACCATTTTCAGTTTGACAACAACATGGTATTAAAGATATACCTGCCTCTGACTCTGCCATTGCTGAGTATAAGTGCACCATTTTACTGGGGCATATACCTAACGAAGCTATGCATTGCACTTGCCCCACGATTGGTTGCTACTGGCACAGGCTAGCAACTCACCATATCCTTAGCAACCTACTATTTTAAGGCCCCAGCGTAAAGTGATTGTGTTTTTGCTACCCCACATTCTCGCGTATATAGTTGTCGAATATGATCGTCATCCACGCTTCCCCCATGTTCCAATCCCCAACATCAGTCAACTAATACAATCTATACAAAACATTTACGGATTTATATATGTATATGCGAGGGGAAATGAAACAATGATGATGACTGATTAAAAGCGTTCTTTCATGCGTGCGGATACGGTTCGAAGAGAGGCGTAAACCTTGCCTGGTGGACTACCGAGAATAAGGCTACAAATGGCGTCACGAGCCACCTTGATGTTTTGGAAGGAGCCAAGAATATGGATTTTACTATGAAAGCAGACATATCAATATCTAGCCATGGTTGGATCCTTTCCCCCCACCAATACCAATACATACGTGTCAGCGAGCACAATACGAGTCTTGCTAGCATTTTCGATAGTGAATCTAGTCTTGCCGTCACGACCAGCGATACGACCAATTGCTCTTGCCAAATGATCACCATGAAGTGTCTTGACATCCTTGATCTCAAATGAATCCAAATATATATCATCCAAACGTAACAATGCCATAGCATCTTGTACTTCAAAGCCCAATGCGAATGCTCGAACGTAATCAGCACCCTTTTGTAAAGCACTTGGATCTTCAGTAGACTTGCATGTCTATTCCCCATTCATCCATGTCAGTGATTCCATTGCTGCTGCTATTGTTGTATGTGTATGTGTAAGCCTTACCCTTATTTCAACGGTTCGGCTCTTAATATTCATGCGCACTTGAAGCTTCATATGTTCGACGAGAGGTGTATAGATCTCCATCCAATGGCGTTTCAAAGGAGTCATACGATGTGGTGGAATGGGTATTCTGCGAATGCCTTTAGCAACCGTCTATGTGTAAAGTAAGTCAATACCATGCCATATCTTCTTCCCAATGTCGTTGTATATTTCTTACGTTAGCTTCTCCACCACTAACAGCAGCAAACTTAGGCTTGCTGATTGCTGAAGAGGAGGAGGATTCGTCCATGTCAACGTCTTCTTGCATGCTTTGTGTGGATAAAGTTGAGGAGTCAATGACAACGTCGTCCTTGTCTTGAACCAATTCTTTTCTTGTCTTTTTGGAAACTAGAGACGGTGCCTTGAAAGCGTCGATGGCTGACATTTTGGTGTTGTGGTCGGTCAAAAGGGAATGGAGATCAAGCACAAAGATAAAAGAAAAAAAAAGTTTTCGAGGCCGCTGGCGGCGGCGGCAAATCAACTCTTTCAGGCTGCTGCTCTTGTATTGGTACACACCACACCTCAGCGACCACCCATTTGCATGAGACATAAACCATGGATACCGTATTCTATCAGAGATTGTGTACATGTCTGATTCATATGGTATAATAAAAGTCCATTTATAAGAAATCATGTACATAAGCTGGGGGATCACCTCGCACTTGATCATAGACAATGACATGCTTTCTTATCTCCTTTCACTCATTTCCTTTTTGGCTATCTCTCTCATTGTCGACTACTTGCTCAATATGGGCACGCTATAATCATCAAAATCATTCACACTGGAGATCCCTGTATGTGACCTTGATCTCAGACCAGGGCATTGATACACGCTGTTGCCATGATACCACGCACCTTGGATACCACCTTTTGTAGTACGTGCAAATGCTCTTTTCCAGATTATGAATAGATACGTCCAATATTCAAGTTTAATTATCCAACAATATCCCATTGTAATGACAGCGCGAGAATAATGGTGTATCTAGTAGTGGATTTAGAGGGGGGTTGTAATATGAATCGATTGGCTTGTGGATTCCCAGCCCGCTGTTCTTTGTCGTGCTTCCTTGATCTTTTCCATTCCCCAATGTCCAACGACGACCGACCACGCATCACTAGAGAGCTTGTCTACCGAAACGTCTCCAGGTCACCCAACAAGGCCATGGACCATTTGGTGGAGGATGGCAAGTACTTGACACGTACCATGTACGTCGAGCGTGTCATTGACCTTTTGCAACAGACAAGTCCAAACGAATAGCTGAGGCGATCGAGAAGCTACGCAAAGAGATAAAGGCAGGCGATCTCGAACGTGACAAATTGAAAGCTTCCTTCAAGCTGGAACGACAAGATCTCAGTCTACAACTGGAAGCGCTTATTAAACAGAATACGGTAAAGCATACACACACACGCACACGCTACGTACCTTGATAGTATCTAATACTGAATGCTTACAGGAAGCCAAGGAACGTGCAGTATACCATATGAATCAATACAATGATGCAGCATCAAAGCTACAACTTATCAAGGAGGAGCACGCGTCTATAGCAGTAAATATCCCGTCGAATGGGGGCATATGCATTGATGATTGACATTTGATCTTTATAGGACAAGTTGCGACGCACCATTCAAGATTTACGGGATGAAAATGGCCAATTGAATGACCAGCTCATCAACACCCAACGACAATATGAAGCGACTCGAGATCGATTGACACAAGTGGAGGATCAAATGCAATATGAAATGCAGAGGCTGCAAACTGAACTTGATTGCTTGAAGCAGATCGTAAGTGATGATTGTTCACCAGGGAGACAATGAGCTGATGAATAGAAATAGAATGAGCATCATGAACAATCAAACAAGGAATACAAACAACACCTTGAAGCGCTCTTTGCTGAAGATCAACCAATGGATGACAAAGAATTCGATGCACAATTTATGGCTGAGTTGGATGATCAATGCAAACGTGAGTGTATGAATGAAAGCATAGACTTCTTCCCAGTATGCTAAATGAATCTTGTTTATAGAACAAGCCAAGGTCATTGAGCAGCTTGAAAAGAAGAACATCGACATGTCAAATGCACTTGATCAATACAAACAAAGATACCCTGATTTGGCAAAGCTCGACGAGGAACAACATCGAATCGACCGTGAATTGAAAGAGGCTGAGCGGATACGACAACAAAATGTGGAGCTCAAAGTAGAGAATGATCAACTGAAAGCACAGGCTGCAGCATGGTAAGTTGTGTTACACTTCTTGTTGTTGATCAAGGTATACTGAATAAGCCTTTTTTAGGACAAAATACTTAGAATCTGAGAGCATCGATAAATACAGCAGCCCCCAGGAAATTGTGTTCAAGCTATCCACTGGCAGAGCTGCTATGCGGGAAGCCGAGATACGGGCTGAGAAACTCGAGCGGGAACTCGAGGAAAGGAATGCACGGGAAGAGGAGCAAACAAAGATGGTAAGTAAGAGTGTATGAGGCGACGTAGTTTTGTAGTTGTTTAACCCACATTGATTTTAGTTGGAGGATCTCAAAATCAAGCTTGCCGAATCCGAACAAGCAAGGAAACGAGATATGCTGGAGAATGAGTCATTATCCAAGGATAAGAAAATGTTGGAGATACATCGTGATCTTTTGGAGCATCAGCTGACGGTAAATTCGAAGGCATAGGATGGAAGTTTGGAATGATACTCATGGATGATTATAGGTTATATCCAAAGTTGAGGAAGCCAATGCATCTACCTCTGATAGTAACGATTTCCCATTGACTCAGCGATTGGCCGAGCTTGAAACACTACTCAAAGAACACCAACAAGAATTATCATCGACTCGAGCGCAGCTTGCCGAAGCCAAAGCATCCATCTTTAACGGTCGCATTTTGGAACTCAAGTCTAATCCAGCTTCTATGGAGCAACATGTACGCCAAGAGCAGCTTGAAAATCTACGACTTGAGAATCGTCAACTCTTGAAGGAGCTCTTTGAGAAAGACAATGGCCAACAACAACAACAGCCATTAAGCGGTGACAACGAGGAGGCAGCCGAGCAACGTATTACGGTCCCAAAGAGCACCATTGAGAATTTGCAGACTGAGGCAAAGGCATTATCAGCAAAGATAGCAAGCAAAGAAAAGCGTATTCTTCGTTTACAACAGGTAAATGAGTAGTGAGGATGAGGATAAATGATGGTGGATGAATTAATGTTTGAAACATGATAGGTGTTTGCGACCAAGTTTGAAGAGATTGATCATGTGATTCAAAGTTTGCTTGGATACAGCATGGATTTCCGATCAGATGGCACGGTTCGAGTGTGTTCAACGTCTGTGCATGAATCAGAGCTCGTATTTCTATTCAAGTCCGGAGCAAATGACGAGGTTAACTTTCGGATTGTTGGCAGCATGAAAGATGAGTACATGCAACGACTACAGGGGACGTACGACACTTTTGTACATGAGCAACACAACATACCAGCATTCTTGAGCTCTGTGACATTAGAATTGATGAACAGGTAAGTGAAAAGAAGGAGGTTTTATCGGCCCGTTTTTTTCTGATATACCCCGGATAGTGTCGGAGAAGACCAAGGATATGGGTACGAATCACAAGAAGAGAGCAATGAAGACGACTACTATTACGAAGAGAATCATGACATGGAGGCGCCGGGCAATACTGAAGACGATGCGATTATGATAGATGATTGAAATCCATGTAGCAGATAAAGACCATAAATGTACATGACACGCGTCCATCTAGCTATTCCCAATCATTTTGCTGTGTGCTGGGCTTTTTCAAATTCTGCTATCCGCCCCAACATGATTGGGCCTCTCTTCTTTTGCCTTCTTCAGTTTTCCCTTTCCACTTCCTCTACTTGAAAGCAGTTTCTTACAATGACTACAGCTACAAACGATTGGAACATTGACGACACAGCTCATGACCTGCTCAATGAAGCCATTGCGAGCAATTATCGATCACAGCGGCTCGACGAACCATTGAGTCTCAGCAACGAAGAATCGACTCCTAAGACAACGACGAAGCGCAAGTCTTCAAGAACGACCAATGAAAGTAAGTTTTATTCTATGAAGGATAGGGCTTCATGCTAATGTTGAATGATAGGTTTATCATCAGCTTCGTCTGGAGAGAAAAGAGGGCTTGATAAAACAGGTGAGTTCAAGTTGGATTAATAATAAAATGCGAGTACCAATGAATGACAAATCAAAAGATGATGCTGAGAGCCGCAGCAAGTCAGCACCTAAACGAGCAGGACGTAAACCTTTGGAGAAGACACAACCATCGGTATGCAATAAATAGGAAAAGGAGGCGCAGTGGATACTCATGTAACCTAATACGTCTCTATAAAAAAGGATGCTCCACTTGATCCCAAACAAAAACGCAAAGAGCAGAATCGAGCAGCACAACGAGCCTTCCGAGAGCGTAAAGAGAGGCATGTACAAGAGCTACAAGATCGTATTCGCGAGCTCGAAGAAGAGAATGCAGCACATGGCACCCTTGTTCAAGAGAATGAGAAGCTCAAGGAGCAAATCAAAAAGTTGAAAGAGGAGAACTACGCACTCAAAGGAACACCATTCACATTCGAATATCCGCCAAAGACAATCTCACATGAAGAAGAATACCGCAGCAGTGGGAATAGTAGCAGCAACAGCAGCTGTGGCAGCTTAAGTGTGGGAGGAGAGAAGATGACCGGAAGCAGTAACAGCAGCATCAACAGTGGGGAGTCACCTGCCCTTGCATCTGATACGAGCCCTGAAGTCGAAGAACAAACCCCACAAGATTTGGGTGCCAGCGTCCAATCTTTCAACATTGAAGACATCTTTTTCCCTTCCAGTAACCATGACATGAACTTTTTCAACCCTACGTCTTCAGCTGACATGACAACCAATGCATCAATCAATGTACTTGATAACAGCAATCTCACCGATCATGCCGCCGCCGCTACTGTTACTCCCGCCACAACAACCACCACCACCGCCACAGCAACAGCAACAACAACAACCAACCTTCCTGATACAACCAAAAATGATCTCGTATTCACCGATTATCGTATACCGCCATCTTCAGACAACTTTCTTTTCCAAAACGATTTACCGCCTTTATTCGGTGAAGAATTTGATCTCTTTGGTCTCACAGCTCCTGCACCTTACACCAATAATGAGATGGATCCAAGCTTATTCGCTAACCAGCAATCCATATTACAACAAACTTCCATTCTTCAACAACAGCAGCAGCAACAATCACAGCAACCACAACACCACCAGCAGCAGGCAACAACACACCAACCATGCGATCTGGGACCGCTTGTGCAAACTTTACAACAAGACAAATATGGACAACCCAAGGCCACTGAGATTGATCAACGGCTTAAGGATTATTGCCCTGATTTCGATTTGGAGAACTTGTGTGTTCAGCTCAAAGAAAAGGCAAAGTGTACAGAGACGGTGCTCACGCCCAAAGAAATGAGCAACATCATCACCTATGTGGAACACAAGCATCACGAGAAGCAATCCCTATAGTGCATTCGATTTCTCTCTTTTTGTTCTTTTGTAGTATTTTCTTTTTCATGTTATAAAGTCCAATCATCGTATCATGTAAATGTTTGTTGTGTGATATAGGTTTGCAATTTCCGTTGAACAAGCAACAGAAAAGACAAAGCATAAAATATATATATTTGATGGGTTCTTTGTCAAAGGAGAATGAATGTGGTTGGTGATAAAAGGAATGGAACAAAATGAAAGGATGGGAGAGCAAAGGTGCGCCAATGACAAAGAACAAGAAAAAGAAATAACATTGTGCTTGGGTGTATTGTCGTATGTGGGTTGTGGTTTGTGCAATAAAAGTGTTGGTTCGTTCGTCTGGTCGTTCGTCATCATATAGATAGGGAAGAGACTGCATGTAGATATATATATAAAAGTGGTCGTTTGGTTGATTGATGTTGATTGATATATGTAGTTATTTCGTTGTTGAACATTGCTGAAAGGAAGGACGTGATTGTAATCATTGTTGGTAATGTTGTGGTACGCAAGGCATCTTAATAGATGGCACCCTAATCAATGTCTTTAGTTAAATTTGTGTCACATGACCATGATATCTGATTGCAACGCTTACCTTGACAATGATAGGTGGTTCCTGAGTGTTGGGGCGAGAGATCTCTGCAAGCTCACGGCCGGCCTAAACAAGATAAGATTAGCTCATTGAAAATGACCACAAGGTAATAAACAACTTACACTCCAAGTAGCGCCGTCCATTAGTCTAGTCAATGACAACTTGTTACGGTTCAATCGCAAGGCGTCACGCACGCGTTCCGCCACAATGTCCAAGTATGCAGTGGTCAAGGCACGCCATTCGACCACAACTGGATCATCCATTTCAAACAAAGGTGCAACTTCAATCTTGGGTTGACCTGGAAGAAGCGAGTTTTTGTGATAGCTTTCAATGCCACGATCATGCTCCTTAGGCTTGAGTGAAATAAAACCAGTATCCATCAAAAGACCACCTACACATACATACACACACACATAAATCAGCCTTTGATTCCCATCATTTGAAATGATATCTAAAAACCTTACCATTACGGAAGTTTGCCAATGGCGTCAACAGCTCTGTACCTTCGATGGTAGCACCCAAAAGGCGTTCCATAGGCTCAATGAGTGAATAGACAAGCCATTGCGACATCAAGTGGAACGGCACATAGTGATCGGTTGAATCATTGCTATTGTATTGGATGGCACCACATGGGAAAACATCACCATAGCCTGGGATCCCGCCCTTGCCACTGGGACGCTCAGCCACAAACAGCTCACCCATGCATTGCACAACAGGCCATAGGGTTTCCAAGAGAATCAAAGCACCTTTCTTCGTCTTGATGGTAGATGAATGCTCAAGAAGGTAGTCTAAAAACTTTTTTTAGAGCGCCGTTTCCCATTGGTAGTGCTAACCTAACCCAATACACACGCCTCCACTTTTTTTTCCCCATGATCCTTTTACGTGTACGTACCCATAAGGTTCCCTGGTCGTGGAACAGGACCAGTCTTTTGGAAATAATCAGCATGCTCCTGTAGTACCTTGCCAAGGTTTCGCAAGATATCTAAACGATCTTCAAGACCAATCAGGACGTTCCGCTCGTGGTCGACTTGGAATCCTTGTTCGAGAGTATCCAACGAGAGATTGATCAATGCCTCAGCTACATCATCATCAATAAGGATATCCATTTTCCAATCACTAAACACACAACTTACAGTCAACTCGATGAGGCTGATTCACGTCACTCGAAAATGCACCGGCTGTGAAAAGTTCCAGCACTGCAACAGCAACACCTTCGGCACGTTTGTAAGTTCTTCCTGTGGCATTCTCGCGATAAGACCACACATGATCCGCATCGGTATCCATCAACACTGCAACCACAAACAAGTCCAGAACCCGCCTGGTCTTTTCAGTTGCATCAAACCCAAGGCTCGACCAAGAGTTAAGAAGGTGTTGAATACGAGGACGGCCGCTGACATCAAAATGACGCCAAATACCGTGAACAGGCACAGCTGATGGCTCGTCGTAATCGCGCTTGATTAGTGAAACGACAAATTGAACAACATCCTGTAGCTTTGACGGATCGACATCAAAATGTTGGAGGCGGTTGCGAATGCCGGCTTCTTGTACTCTGAAACATCGCTCACGCACTGCACGCAGGCTGAGCAAATAGTCGTCTGGCGTAGGCACCATCGTACAATTAATATATTACGGCAACAAGGCGAGGTTGACGAAGATTGGTAAAACGAGAGAGTGGAAATAGTACAAAGCCGAAAGGGAATTGGCGAGTATGAATATGAGTGTAAATAGTAAAAAGAGAAAAAAGAGAACCACGCAACCCAAGCAAAATGAAAGGGGAAGGAGGAAAAAAGGGTAAGGGTGATGAAAAAAGAGGTGTTTTGGATAAAAGAGAAAGAAAGAGAGAAAAAAAAGAGAATGCGAACAGTGCGCAAAGATATAATCAAGTTGCTTGCTTGCTCAAGGTAACCTTTCAGTTTAATGGATGTGTCCCCATTTTTGGTACGATCGACAAAAGCAACAGGTCCACAAAAGGAGAAGATCGACAATCAAGTGCCTGTCCGACTTGCAATCTCACTCATATGGCTCCGATTCATTATAATATTAACATACGTTCATGTCTTTGAAAGACACATTCAATAAGATTCCATTGTCCTTTTATTAAAGAATACAAATCAATCGATGAGATGATGATAATGAGCTTGTTTATCTTGAATTAACATTGACGCACAATGGGTACACGACGTGATCATCTTCTCAGAGTACCAATTGTATCATATAAATACAATAAATCTCGCCACTTTTTTCTGTCAAGGGCGGGTTTCTTGTTTTACGTGGTCCAAGCTGCATAGTACATAAGAGTTTGACTTTGCAGTCTGGTTTTTTTAGTGTCGGGGCCATGGCTGGGATGAATTATCTAGAAACACAACAAACGGATTCCTTATTCCTTGCAACACAACATCAGCTTGCATATGTCAAAGGCACGATGTCTTCTCCCTCACCTTGCTGTGTTGTGTGCCAAATCAAATGTGTCACACCAACACCGATAATCATTGCAACTTACTCGTAAGGGATGATCGGCCGCTCATCATGTGTAGACTCGTGGGTCATCGCCCCTTCTTTTTTCCATTAGAACCATGCCCATGGTCCCGCGTGCGTGCTCTTCAGCAATAATGCAATGTGTTGCTTGACAACTATTATTTGCTCCGGTTCAATATAGCCGATGCTCTAGGTATACACTCTTGGATCACGTTGCACGTGTCATATAGCTGGATAAATTAGAATAGTCTCTTGGTTGCATTATTATTATAGATGTGCCATCGTACTTCTTTGAAAAAGACATGGCTCATTGTATGTGGTGGATGTGGATGATGTGGATGGATGCATTATCATGATGATTGTCCGATGTAACGGAGAAAGGAACATCCACCTCAAATAAAGTGTGTCTCCACATTTCCCACACTTGCTGCTATCTCTCTTTCTCTTTTTACCCCAATGTCCACTATCCCCAAGATTGCAAAGGTTGCTCCTCAGTCATCCGCCCTCTTCATTTGCGACATTCAAGAGCGTTTCAAGGGTGTCATTTGGCAGTACCCCTCTGTCATTACCGTTGCAAACAAAATGGTAACCAAGGCACCAACGAATACACTTGTTTATGTATGTATACCAATGGATTTATTGTATAGATCAAGGCAAGCAAGATCTTGGATATCCCTGTTGTTGTCACGGAGCAATACCCAAAAGGTGAGTGAGCGTACAGCACTCTACGTTGTCATGGAGACGAAAAGGTACTAAGCAACAACGAACGCGTGCGTTATGTAATACAGCCTTTGGTCCCACGGTTCAAGAACTTGATGTCTCGGATGCTGTTGTGAATCGGGATAAGACCAAGTTTAGCATGTATATCCCTGAAGTGGCCAATGCCTTGAAGGAACGCAACACCAAATCAGTTATTCTTGTTGGCATTGAAGTGAGTTAGATGGAGGGGGGTATATGTATGCGTTTCTATGGTCCGACATATGCCTTACTAATGCCGATTATAGAGCCATGTTTGCGTACTTCAAACTGCCCTGGATCTCTTGGAAAACAACTATGACGTGCATGTACTCGCAGATGGCGTTTCTTCTCAAAATCATTCTGAAATCAACGTTGCCATTGCTGTAAGTTGGATAAAGAAGGCTTTATTCATCGTGATGATGATGCTTATTGTGGATGTTTATAAATAGCGTATGCGTTCTGCTGGTGCAACTGTTACTACATCCGAGTCTATGCTATTCCAGCTTTGTCAAGATGCCAAACACGAGAAATTCAAGGCCATTAGTGGTCTTGTCAAGGAATACATGGAAGCAACCAAAGTTAACCAAATCCTTCAAAAGGTTTCTAGTGGCATGGCCAACCTTTAAGCAACCCATCTCCAACAACAATAAAACATCAATCTTTTTCCATGAAAATCAAATGCACTGCTTTTAATCATGATTCAAAGCTCTTTGCCCAAAAGTTTGTCTCTTTTTGTATGGAGGAACGCGGTTGACTACGCGATTTGGTGATCCATCGCCATGATGCCTTGAATCCAGGATAAAGTAACCCAATGTTCAACTTCCACCACGTGCGATTGTATTCCATTTGTCGTTCGTATGCCTTGTTCAAAAAGTCCTTGTAAAACACTGACATGGCTTCTGCTGTCACTTGTTCTCCGTTTTGTCGTACTACAAATTCGATCCGTCAATATCTACCATACCATTCCCCCATCCCCTATAGCTTGATAAAAGATAATCCTTACATTTCTCTTCATACTCTGCTTTTGCTTCAGTAAACATGGTATTGTTCTTCCTCCAAAAGCTTTGATTGTATTCGTCGACTCGTTGCTGTTGTAACCGCCATTCTTTCTCCTATCCATATCGTCAATATGACCATACATGACAACATGGATCCTTGAATGCTATATACCTCTTGTGTTTCGTCTGGTGGAACGTAGTATCGTACAGGTCGTAAGTTGGTGACTGGATCAGGCGTCCCAATCATGTCAGCGGCAACCGGTTGAAGAAGTTGCTGGGATTTCGCATGTGTGCTGTTGTGTCGTGTCAATGGTTGGCGAAGGTGAATTAAACGTTGACAACGGAGCATGTTGTTATAGAGGTATATATGTGTATGGCGTTGTGGTGTGGTGTATGGTGGTGTTGGTGGTGGCAAACGTTGTGGTCAGTGGCGAGAAGAAAACAAATTCCGTCGTCACCCCCCACCTTGGTTAGAGCACTCTCAGGAATTCCACTTGAATCACACGACTGCCCTCTCAACCCCACTTGCCTATCTAGAATTTATTAACATCCCATCAATCTACATATCCAATCCAATTTGTCATGTACAATGCAACCTTTATTCCAATTTTACTCTTCCATACTATCCTTGTTTCCCTACAATAAAAACATTAGAACACGATTCTGCAAAGTAGTCATTGATGATTCACTACTTACATAGTTAAGATAGTCTGGGGTCTCGCATGCTTCATATTCGTCAATAAGGTCCTGGACAACGTGTCGAGAATCATCAAACTCTTCTAAACCTTCGGCAAACATGGGGTGCTTTCGATATTGTTCCAAGAATGCATTTCTTTTCCGGAATCGATCGTATTGGTCACACGTTCGTTTGAAGAGCTATGACATTAGTTAGCAGCTACTCTACACAAATCCCTAAGTACGTCACTTACCGATGCTATGCTGGTATGATTGGCAAGCATTAGGCCGCTGACACGATGTGGAGTTTGAACGTAAGGTGATTTCTTTGACAGTGCTACTTGAATACTTGCAGGGCCCCATGGAATGAATTGTGCTAATCGCCTCTCTCGAATACGCAACAATGATTTGTGCACCTAATCACGTTGCATCAATTTTCTTATCCTTTGATCCTTTGATATACCTATGACTTACATCTGTTGGGTCCACTTCTCCTTGTATAATATCGAGCACCGAAATATAGCAACTGCGTCGTGAAGGCATTGTTGACACCATTCGATTTTTAGGTTGTAGTAATCGTCGCATGACATCCAATACTGTTGTTTTCCTGATAATTTTGGCCTACATGACAATGTCAACGATACACATCTCTTATCTCAACTCCATCCATAATGATAGCCCACCTTTTCTACTTGTTCGCTTGAGAAGGGAGTATATGCAGTGGTCAAGAAATGGCATCGTGGTGTTGGTATAAGCGAGGAGACAATGCCGACAAGGTCATTATTCATGTATCCTGGATAGCGAAGTGTTGTAGTGCTTGCTGACATGACAGTAGACACCTATACACCATTCATGAATTGCTGCCTCTCGTATTAAAGATGAATGCTTACCAGCTGATTTGTCTGCTCAAAGTTGGGAGTAGCTGTATGCAATCGATCCGTGGCAATGCGTGCTAACGCTGCGTTATCCAGAACCACCTGTAACATCCATGGTTATTTCCTATCCACCCAAAATCATCCAAAACATACCACACTATCAGCGTTGCAGGTCAATCGTTTTAAGGTCAACATGCTGTTATATGGCTGCACCACGATATCCGACACTTCTTCAGAGTTGGGGAACACCGAGTAGGTTTGGATCAACTTTTTGGGATAGCGATCATTGAGTCGTTCGAGAAGAAAAGAGCCCAATCCACTTCCTGTGCCTCCAGCGATCGAATGAAGAAGCATAAAACCCTATTACATTGGATCATCAGCTATGCATCCTCTTTCCCCATCTTTATCACATGCGCTTACCTCTAATGAATCACTCCCATCCGCTTCACGATCCACCATATCGATGATGTCTTCATAGACCTTTTCTCCTTGAGAGTAACCATAGGCCCAAATGTTGCCTGCACCACCGCCTTCGTTGGATACCAAAATGTTCTCAGGGTTGTATAGATTGGCAAATGGAGAATCACGGATGTTGTTGATAACCTGTCAAAGTACGTTGAATATGCATGTGCGTAACGCACGTCCCACCCATTCCTTACTCGTGGCTCAAGGTCTAGCAGGATAGCACGAGGGATATAGTGCTCGTCGTCAGCCTACACTCGTCGTCAGTATCAAAACACTCAATGTATACGCATTCCTTACCTGATAAAAGAAGACGTCTTTCCGATCACCACCTTCGGTAGCAAAGTCCTCCAATGTGCCATCGCTGCTAATGCCATGCTCAGTACAGATCTGCTTCCAGAATTCACTACCAACTACAAGGAGCCCTTTAATCCACAAGCACCAGCACATTGTATAGCTAGTATTCCTTACTCTGATTTCCACATTGACCGGCTTGTAAAGTGATAATTTCGCGAGGCATGTTGAATAAAAGGGAAAGGGGGGTACAAGATAGAAACGGAAATTCCAAGCGCGTCTGTATCCAATACTACGCGCTAATCATGCTATTCACGTCGGCGTATCATACCAACGCCACAACATCACTCTATACATTTACAAGGACAAAGGTAATCTGTATTGATTTCTAAGAGATCAGGATGATATGGAGCAAAAGCTAGATGCGAGTGGGATGCAAAGGTGTTCTTTTAAAAAGTGTAACGTCTATAAAGTGATAACTAAGAGGATTCCTTTTCACGAAGGTTGTGCTGATAGTCATGGAGTCGCAATAAATTTCGTTCTAGCATAGCAACGGTAACCTTGCCAACCGATGGCACAAAAATGGATGCACGTGATTTGACATCATCCTCAAAGTTGGCGCATGATGAAAAGTTAATAGCAACCACGCCATCCTTCAACAAAGAAGTAGGCAACTTGTACTTGGGAGTGGGCACACCAGTAATAACAACATCAGACTTTGGAACAACATCTTCCAATTTCTCATCAATGTCTTCAACCTTGTGAGCCTTCAGCTTGATACCAGAGCCACGAGTAAACAATTGGATGCCATTCACGTCCACAGAGTACACCTTGGCACCATCATTGGAAAGCATGGCAGCAAGAGGACGACCCACAATCTCACTACGATTGATGACTGTAATGGTACGACCATACAAACGATTGCCGTAGGGTAAAACAGAGTTGTATACGCCAATGTATTCGAGGATCTACAAGTACACATTGATGCTGTCAGATTATTATTGTATTACAAATGCCGCTGTTGCAACGTTACCTTGACAACAGCAAGGGGAGTGCATGGGATGATACACTTCATGGTTTCCTCCTCATCCATATAACGGACATTGTGGTATACGTTGTGCACAAACTTGTGGCAAAGACCTTCTACATCCTTGAGCTCGCTAACACAGTTTTGAAGATACGCATCCTAAACACACGCTCTATCAGCTATTCACGCAACATGATGATAAACGCCCATGCAATAGTATACCTGCTTTCCACCAAAAACGGGATAATAGACCATGATACCGTTAACGTCCTTGTCTTCGTTGGCTTCGGTGATCTTTTCTTCCAAGTCCTGCTTGTCGACTTTACGCAGCTCAAACGCGACACCAGTTTCGGCACATGTCTTGGCGGTCCATTCAGCGTACTTTTTAGCTGCAGGATCTTCGTTGGCAAGGAAGCCAACGAGTTTGGGGCAAATCTGACGCTCTTGGATATCCTTGTGGATTTGATCTCTGAAAGAACAAAGAACGTATGGTTTGGTTTGACACATCCTTCTTCGACCCACACACAAACACTAATAGGCTGGAATAGGTGATTCGGATGCTTTACCTGAACGAGGCAGATACACGGGAAGCAAGCACTGTTTTGCAAGAAGTAGACATGATACGTTTACTGCTTTGGAAGAGGTGAAAGAAAATCTTTTTTTCGGCAACCACAATGCTTGTGGATGCCTAATCTAGAGAGATCCCCAGTCACGGCATCTACCTGCATGACGAGCCAATGGTCATATTCCGACGTCCGGGGTATATTAAGTCAACCCCTTCGCCGCCTAACATTTCAACAAAGGCCATCATCTTGGCCAAGGTAAAGTAGGTATCAATGATGAATCAATGCATTCACGTGTTACACTGCAATGATCCATGAATAAGCTTTCAATAGGATTCGAATGACAAATACTTGGGTGGTGTAACGACATCATTAGTCAACCACGAAGTACGACAACGAATTGGAAAAGAGGAGTAAAAATCATGGCATCAAGGAGGATGATTATCACTTTATCTTATAAAGACCGCTAAAATAGATACGAGATAGGCATTGAATACAATGAACACAATGGGGCAGGTTGTGGATACACCCTTTGCCGGGATGAAATGAGTGGATCAGTGTCGAGTCGCTGACATCGGATTCGTACATATGCCGCAACCATGGTGTCTCGCCAAATCAGATTATCATGTGCCATTTGCTGATCTGCCCTTTGCACGCTTTATTAAAGACATCCTATTTTTAAGACCGCAAGTGTTTCTTATCGCTTCATGAGTCGACATTGGGATTCATCAATACGTATAGTTTAAAGGTAGACTTGGCATTGGAATTTTAGGGTCTTACATCGTTGTGGATATGTCCATCTACAAAGATCACAATGATGCAATGTGTACATTGTATGTGTACATGATGGCAATATTTTAGGCGAGCGGCACGGCAAATGTCGGATCTCCACCCGCGTACTTGGATTAGGGTGATGCATATGACACTGATTAACTCCGCATTTCCAAAAATGTCTTTTACGGCTAACACCATAGCCGGTCCATGCGACAACGGTCTTCCGGATACCCGATTAGGGTGACAGGCCCACCATTATAAAAAGGCTTGTTCCAAGAAGTTGTTTGCCGCATTCTATTTTCAATTACCACAGCATACAATCTTCTTTATCACATTACCATGGGCTTTACTCTACGCTTCCCAAAGTTTCTTACCAAGAACGTCAAGGATGGTGAATCAACACCACCTGAATCCAGTGAGCCATCTCCTTGCAACTCGCGTCCCACGTCTCGTACACCATCTATTCGTGAAGGTGCCTCCACTCCCGTGACACCTGAACAAAAGTATCTCTACGACCCCATGCGTCATAACAAGCGTGCCGATTACATTGGTTCCTTTGTCGATCCTATGGGCACAGGTTCAAAAGGCGGTTATTCTCAAGGCATCGATGTTACCAACACTGGTGCTTAAACATCCATCATTCATATATATCACCCCTTTCGTCTTGCATATCCCTCCCCTCCTCTCTACAATCCTAGTACCCAATACTATTAATATTATCAACAATGCATCTGCAATCATGTTATATCTTTTTCAATCCTACTACATTACATAAACGTTCTAGCATACTCTTTTTCAAACTACCTCTATGATGAATGTGTTGGTTTTAGTTTACTTGATTTGATTCAAAAACTTTTTTTGCTATGCAGCATCTCACACAAATGTTAAGGCGTGATCTGTTTCAAATTTGCACATCAGCTGTCGGGACATTTCCGAAGGGCCGACAATTATCATATGCATCATGAATGATGATGTTAATAATGGCATGATGGCTACGACTATGCTCTGATGTGCTCATGAAATGATCACACAACATTTGTTACCTAATAATCAGATCATGTTGGAAAGAGCAGTAGCACATGTCGTCATGATTGACAAACGTGCACAAGTGCAAAAAAGGGGGGAGGGAGGTAAAAATGATGTATTGCTGAGATAAGGTGATGATCCGAGAGTCGCGACAATGAGATGGCTGTACCTTGTTGCGTGAGCGTGCGCTCGGATTAACGTCTAGGCGAAAAAACTCCGAAATTTGTCATGTCGTCAGCTCCGGTTGGCATATGCCTTCCCGGTTTTGGAAACCGCCGACAAATCGGATAACCGTTTACGAGATCAAAACATATATAATACCACCATTGTTAATCGACTTCTTGTCCTTCACAACACATCACATCACAAATACTTCTTTTACATATCCAAATCATATCACAATGGCTTTCACATTCCACGTTCCCAAGTTTATCCAATCTGCCAAGTCTTCCAGGAAATCCTCAAAGTCTTCTTCAAGAGCTTCCTCTGTGAACGAACAAGCCCCATCCACTGTTCCTGCATACCACCAAAAGTATCTTTACGATCCTATGCGTTACAATCAACGTCCTGATTACGTTGGCTCCTTTGTTGATCCCATGGGTGGTCGTGCTTACTATGGCCAAAGCTACGATGTTACCAATACTGGTGCTTAAACAACACTTTTTCGCTGCATCAAGACCATACTAGCATTATCATCATTCTTACTCATTACTTATTATTGATATCCCATTTGCATACATTATCATCATTCATCATGTCATCATTCTATCATACGTCGTAAATAAATCTCATATCATGATTGCATAACTTTTTATACTCAACTCTTTATTGTCGCACGTAATGTCATTCTTTAAAAAGGAAGCAATGTAAAATTAGGTCGAGAAGGATGCATTGGGTAATAGGATGAAAGGCATTTTGTCTTGGCAAGGCATGTGTGTGTGTATATGTGCGTATGTGAGTGAGTGTGTGTGTGTGTGCCCTTTGCATGATCAACTCCGCAGACTCTGTGTGTCTCTCATGTAGAGCACGTTGGATATGAAGGAATAACCTTTTTTCTTTTTCCTTTGTTTGCTGCCGCTCTCCGCCACTCACTCAACCCCCATTGTCGATGCACGAGAAAGACAAGTCGAAGGATAAGGATTACTTGCTGGGTCTCCATTGGGCTGCCACTACTGGCAACGTCGGTAATGACTCGTTCCTGGGTTACATTTGTTTCATTTGTTGCAGATGGTTTAACCTCCTTCTATGCAACTCTCTTCCCTTCATCAGGTCTAGTCAAGTTTGCCTTGGACCATGGTGCACCTATTGACGCTGTTGTGAATGGATTCATGCCTTTGCAGCTGGCCTGTATCAGTGACAATAATATCGCAGTTGTCCAATACCTTATCGATCGAGGAGCAGAAGTAAATGCCCAGCGGTAAGTGTGTGTGTGTGTGTGTGTGTGCGTGTGTGTGTTTAAAGGGAGGGGGAGAAAGCATGCGGAGTCAGGGGTTGTTTAGATAGGTAATATGATGCTTATGAATATGCTTTTATAGTTGGTCCAAGAAGCATAGTGCAGATAAATCTCAAGCTGTGGCGGGAGCTATTGGATCGACAGCTTTGCATGTGGCGTGTGCCAATGGATGTGCCAAGATAGTCGATCTTCTTTTACGTAACGGTGCCATGGTGAATGTTAAAGACAAGTATGGATCAAGCCCATTGGATATTGCAGCAGCCAAACACCACGTGGAAATTGTACGGCTTTTGGAAACATTTGGTGCATTACAACAACAAAAACGGAGGCAACATCACCATGAACACGAGGGAAGAAGATCAATGGACGTAGCAACCATGTCACAAAGCGAAAAGGCTGAACGTTTTAGACGCCCTTCACTACCATCTGTCTTCGAGGGTAAAGCTCCACTACACGTTCCTCCAATCTCAACCTTGCCTTCCTCTCGCCGCACCACCACCGATGATGATGTCAATAAGCGTCCAGATTGGTATGGTTATGGTGTAGTCAATCAATATGACGATGACAATTACCTGTTGTCTCTCGAACGTCGAGCGTTTGGTTTGGCAGCAGCAGCAACAACAACGACAACAACAACAACAAGCAGCAATAGCAGCAGCAGTGAAGAGGGCAATACAACATCATCCACCACTCTCAATGGAAATGGCCCTACTCGACGAGCTTCATCCACATCGTTGAAACGCTGTAGTTCGGACGGTGGACATTTACGTACCACAGCTTTGATGAATGCAATGGCAGCGAACAATCCTAGCAATGGCATTGATGGTGAACCAACACCACGTCCTTCAGTAGCATTGGATGATGGCCCTGAGGCTGAAGCATTACGAGGTTTCCAGGAACGAGAAATGAAAAAGGCTTGGTGGAGTGCATTTGGTGGTCGTAAATCGATGGATGTTGCAACTTACCATTACGGCCGTGGCTCATTGGATGTGTCTCGCAAATCCCTTGATCTCAGACCTAGTCTTGACAGCTTATCGCAACTTGCGAAGAAGAGCGTTGAAGGTTTATCACGCAAGAGTGTCGATGAACGACCTAACATTCCCACGGATCACCAATACAGCGTTCCTGCCAGGCCTAGCTTTCTGTCCCGAATCGTTGGTGCATGGTCCAAAAAATGATTCCCTACATACAAACAACCCCATTTGACATATATTATACATATGCAACAACTCAACCACTGTTCTTTCACAATCTTGTCGACATATCCCAATGAAGTTCACCCATACCTCTCCCTTCTTCTTTTGTAAATAGTTTGATCGGCAGAAGAGAATACCGATTGTTTTATCCCCCATCTCAATACAACTCATTTCAAAAATCAATACTGCATGCACCATACAATCATGTGTAACAATTGAAAAGTGCTCATTGCCGTCAATATCAATCATCATGTGGCATTAACAAACAATGGATTATGTAATGCCCGCTCTATTCTTGATCATTTTACTTTCCTGCCAAGCTGACAACTACTCCAAGTTTACAAGATCTAAACACCATGTGCTCTGCTTGATAGCATGTGGAACGTCATCTACTGGTGTACATTAAGTACTTTCCCTGCTATTGACTTACAACGTTGATAGCTGAGATAGTAGTATTAGCTGCACTTATTGTAGCATGAACCCAAGCTACCACAAAGAAAGAGCAATGACACGAAAAGGATAATCACACAGGTTCATCTTCATTGTTTATTGAATTAGGCATTCCTAAACATCTCAAAAGTATGCTCAACCACCAAAGGCTACTTGTTGTATCCATGGCAACCAAAGACAATCAACACCACCCTATACTTGATATTTGTCATCTTCCATCTACTATGCTCAAGTACTGCTCAACGAAGCTGCCTACTTGTACTAACTCACTGCTGGACTAGCCCTGCCTCCATTGCTTGAATCTCCAAGGAAAAGAAAGGTAGATTGGACCCCTGCCGACTCGTTTCCATAGAGTCCATTTGGCTGAATGCACCATTCCTTTACACCCATTGCCGACATGACCGAACAGGGATATCGCTACATAGTTGTTGCACCTCTCTAGGTTCAAAACAAGAGAAAAAACAGTGAAATAGAGGCTGGAGATGCTGGAAAAGGCGTGCTATTATAGGATGGATGAGACCCACAAGTTGATGTTTAAGGATGGCAAAAACCAATTTAAAAGGCGATCGATTCTGGGGGTAATTGACACGTCCGTCAGGACCTCTGTCACTTCTTAAAATTGGAACGATACAGAGAAGATTAGCATGGCCCCTGCACAAGGATGACACTAACTCTCTGAGATGGATAGCTCTACGGAGCAAATTTTTTTTTCACTTGTTGCCTTCACTTGTATCCTCAGCTTATTGAATACATTATGTTTTTGCTTTGGACATTACATGAATGAATAGCATATCGCTTTTACGCTCAAACACTCTTTTATTATCCTTGTTCATTGATCATTGGCATAAGAGTACTCCATTGACGAGATACACTTTGTGAGTGCTTGACTGCGAGAGGCATTGTAATTGTAGTGTTCTAAGTTAAGGACCTTTTGGACACTTGAAAGGCATGCGAGGTGAATTTGGAGTACATGGTCATGAGCGAACGGGCGACATCGAAAGCAGCAACTCGGCCCAAAGCATAATGAAAACATCTCCTCTCAACATCATCAATGTCCCCTCTTGATTTCCGGTTATTGGATAGCAGATACCCATCATCATAATGTCCCATCCTCATCCAATAAAACAGTAGAGGTATACGCCCTTCCGGATCGGCGTCAGAGGCACATCACGCATCACCAATAAACCACATCTTGACGGAATAGCACTCGCACCACCATTGTTGACTTGTTGAAAAAACGTCCAAGGCATTCGCATAGGCACTTGAGAAATGATATACACATGGCGGCACCCATGACAAACGTTGCTGGGATGATCCACAACGAAATGAGGCGACTTGTAGATAGCTGATTTCCAGAGCATTAAAACGATACTCGACAACCGCAGCCATAAGATGATGATGGAATATGCTCATGTCTCAAAGATTGCAGATTGATGATAGTCGTTTTTTTCAAAGCAATAGCACTCGGCGACAATAACAAGGAGACCAAAAAGCCTGGAGATGATGAAGCCTATACTTGGTCGTACGCCATACGAACAAAGGATGCATATTTAGATTGAGATGGCACCGATTTCCACTGTGACGACATGGTCGTCTCCCCAAGACAGTACAGCACAATGGCATCCTAGACGTGTTGTTGATATATAACATAGCCGAGCGAGAGCCTGCCACTCTGTTCCTTCCGTAAGTTCACTTGAAGGCGACATATCCTGAAATGAGCAGTTTACCTTGATGTGCTTCTCAATAGCATCCTTTCCTCAAACAACCGCCTTCTCGTTCATCCCATCCATATTGTGCTGCTGCTGTTTCATTGTAAGGCTCGTTAATTATCAGGTCTTGCTTTGTAGATCCAATGTCACTATGCGTACCAATGAACAACAACGACCAGCCTCCAGCGTTATTTTTGAATCCAATGAACTTGTTACTACCACAGGTATCATCATCATCCAACATGTTCGAGCTGCCATAAACGCAATGTGAGATAACAAGAACAGCCTTGCCTTTCCTGCCAACATACCCAAACGGTATTCCTGGCGCGAGTCATGTAACGAATAACACGATACCCCTTTGGATCTTGTACAAACTAGAAAACAGCAACCTACACGCGAACTTTAGTACCCCAATGTCCAACTTGGATAATAAAGCAATGCAGCGATTGAACGTACTTGTCCTGTTGCCATGGAAGGTTGAGTCATGGGTTGATTGCGCACGTCCTTGTTGTTGAATGTCTGCAACTGGAAAGTATCGCCATTGACCACCGGTACACCCAATTGACGCTGTACAATGGAAAGCATTCCAGCTGTTAATGTGTTGTAGTTTGTAAATGGTGACAAGCTTACCTTGCTTTGTGAAGCGGGAGTGGAGAAGAAGGGGCTCTTTGTCTTCTTAATTTGTGAACGCGTTTCCATCCCAACCCACTCCGCCTGTTACAGTTACGGCTGTGATTGTGTACCTCAACAATAGCTTATACACGTTGATAGATATGGATAACCACTATTCGAGATATCAACTAAACATAGTTCGCGTAATCAAGCTATCCATGTTTTTACTCTGGGCGGGATTGGCACATCAATGCATCTCGACACCTCTTGTACAACCACCATCCTGTGATCCCCCCTACCCACCGTACAAGGTGGTATCCTTTTATAGATTCACCATCATTCTCATGGTCATAATGGGTTACCTTCTTCATCGTTGGATGCTCGTGCATAAACAGCCAACAATGCCCAAAAACAATCAACGTCATCCCATTTATGCAGCAACCTGTCAAGGGTATGTGTGTAACCACTGCTACGTGTCATTTTACTCAGTTCATCATCACCTTGCTTATAGTGCTCTCGACACCATCCATTAGCTGTAAGCGTGATGTTATATGAAAAGAGGTCGTTGTTCATTGTCAAGTAGTATGACTATAAGAGCATCTCCAATGGTGGAGCTAAGTGTCAAATTGACTCCGATTTTACACGGTTTAATCTCCCAATGGTGGAGCCAAAAGGAGAGTCAATTTAGCACCCGGAGTCAAAATTGCAGCCCGACCGTGTATAATACACGGCGCCGTCTAAGCCGTGTAAATTATCTTTGACAGCACAAATCGCTTTTATCACATCTTTTATGCTATCTTCTTTAACCATATTAACGCTTCCGTACCATTACGTTGTCTTCAATAACTATATCAAAGCTCGTTATCTTCGTCAGCCATATCAAAGCATTCCTAGGGTTACGTCATCTTCTTTAACCATAAAAAAATGCCGAATTGGACAAGTCCATCGTACGATGAATACATTCTATGCATTCAAGTTCATCATCATAATCATCATCAAAGAGCTACCCAAGTATACGACGAGTAGACATAATAAAAGAGAGTGATAAAGGGCGAAAAGAGCTAACATGGTGTACAAAAAACTATGTTTAGGTCCAACCATTGTGGAATCAGGCAAAGCTATGGTGATCCTATTAAAACTCTGAGGGTAGTTACACAAAACATAGCTCCCAACCATTGGAGAAGCTCTAATAGAGCAAAAGATGCCGAGGGGCGTGTTTGTGTAACTTGAGTCATTCAGCACAGTCGATGCATGATTCTTGTACACTATTTAGGAATGGTTCAAAATGCCAGCTAATAACCTAGTCCTCCCATTCTCCATTGTTGCCCAATCCAATGCATACGAACGATTGTCCTGCTCCAGCCCAGCATGCCCATCATTCAACTTTCTTGATCCGATGATATTTGACTGAAAAACGCTCAAACACAGAAACATCATCCAATATCAGAAGAATCAAATTGGTAAGTTATTTGTAAACTGCCGGCTAATAGCCCATTCCTCCCAATCACCTTTGTTACCCAATCCAATGCATGTGGACAATTGTCCTGTTCCAGCCCATCATCTCCATCCTTCAACTTCCTTGATCTGAGGGGCTTTGATTGAACAACGCTCAAACAAAGAAGTATCATTCAACTTGAAAAAAGATCTACTTAATTTCCAGGTCTTCCACTCCCAGCCTCATGTCTCTTCCTCCCATTCTCAACTGTTACCCCATTCAAGTACAACTACCATCATGCGAACTATTGTTCTGCTTCAACCTACCCATGTCGCTCCAACAACTGCCTTGATCCGAAAGACATTGAATGAATGGCAACTCCATGGCGTGTACACAGCCTTCTTGTCACTCTTCTACAACACACGCTCTGACGCGCTTCCCTGCCACAATCCAATGTAACAGCATTCGATGCACCAGTTGCTATTAACAAGCTCTTTACTCCATCGTATCCCACAGCGTTCTTCACTTGCAGCAACGCGTCTTGCAGCCTTTTCACGTGAACAGCAGATAGCCATCATATAGAAACAGCTTTATTTACATGTAGCAACTTGCTTCAATACATACGAATTACAATGGATATGGATCTGAATGATGAAATGCTTTGGTACATGTGATGGAAGGAAGTGGATTCATTGACAGGTTTGGTTCGCTTGGCCCATTTACAACGTGATGTCTAGTTTGAATGACGCACTATCAGCCATCAACTACGCCACAATACAAGCAGTCTTCAACTGGTTGAGCTGCGATGGAAAGTGACTCAAGAAGAGAGGGACCAAGGATCTATGGGAAAGGGAGCACATCAGCAGCGATATTAGTTTGCAATGGTCATGGATGGAAGGATGCGATCAAGTGCAGTGATGAGAAGTCCTGGAATGTTGCTTTGGTTACTTGGCGCGTCATCAGCAGGAACGATGGATCGTGTCACGTGAATACGGCTGAGGATGATGATGGATTAGATGGAATTGAGAAAAGGGCTTATATCTTTGACGAAAGGAGGTGTTTCACAGCAATGGATGATATTGGGATACTGGAGCCAAAGCGTACAGCACCTACTTTGCGACCATGGATGAAAGGTGATCATGGCGACAGCAATCAAGAAAAGGATGACGCAATTATCCCTGGTGACTATATACTGTGCTTCGCCCATAGCCTATTCAATTTGGATATATTTTCCCTTATGTACCTTGTATCTACTTGATAAACATCCACAATACCGTTTCTACGTGTTCTTCGACTTTTTATTAAATGAAAATTGGATCCAACATGATACTTTGAGTATCGTACGATCAGCTTAGATGTGCAAGGGGTGGATCACTTGGTTGTTTTCTGCATTGAAAGGGGAACTGCAAACGTGAAAGGTGGAAAGCGAGATATCATATATATTTGGTAGGGGGTTGCACAGTAGGTTACACAAGTTGGTTCAGGAGTGGAGCTGCATAACTAATCGGTCGATGTGATGCGCACAGACCTAATAGCTTAATTACGAGGGCTGTTCTCAATTGAAGTCTTGAGCAGTGCTCATTCTTATGGAGCTAAGAGTATAGGATATTGTTGAGGGTACGTATAAACAGTAATAGCTGTAGCAAGCGGGGTGGCATGGAGTGCAAGAATTGGAGAGAACAGGAGGAACAAAGAGGCCACTCTTCTTCACTTCCACTTCACAAAAAAGGTAAGCGTGTCTCCATTTACAAACTACAACGCGTTAATTGCTGGCATTTCTTACAATGTACAGCGTCCATTGGGTTGAACATGTGGTCAATGGCAACACTTTCCAGTTCCAGACATTCAACAGCAAGTACGCGCGCGATCTGCCCATGACTCATGCTTCCATTGCAATACAACATGTACGTTCCATCGCTGCATTACTTTACCATTCAAGCTGGACATTGAGATACTAAAGTTCACGTGTAGTTTACTATTCTCGCGTTTATACGAGATCCAAAGGGGGCGTCGTGTGTCGTGTGTATGCTTTCCATGGTTGTCGTCAGGGAGGGTCGCAACCTATTGTTACTATGGGTATGTCGACATGAAAAGCGAATGTTATTGTTACCTTACACTTCACTTACTGTAGCTTGGACACGTTGGATTATGGTACCTCTGGCAGCAACAGGATACGGATCTCAAAGCAAGAATGCTGTATGGTTGGCTCAATGGTATGCGTGGTATTGGATCTACAAAGCAAAACATGTTAATTAACGAGCCTTGCAATGAAACAGCAGCAGCACCTACTGGATGGCATGGATATACAGTTTCTATTTGAGGCAAAGAAGCTATTGAGAAATACCACAAGGTAAGAGGTTCATTGTGGGATTGGTGTGATTCAAGTGGACTTACCAAACGCCATACAGTGGCAGAGCCTCTTTCGGCGATACTATTATTATCAAGGCTGCACGTCAAGGATGTCATTGTATAGTACTGTGCTCTCCTGGGGAATTTTGGCCCGGAAACAGTGTGACTCAAGATGCGATGGCAAGGCCAATTTGAAAAGGCATCCGCTGTGCACACGGCCTCCATCCAAGTACGGCTATTGATTTCCTTGCCTACAGAGAGAAGGTGGATATCTCTTATGATGCCAATTTCAGGATCCAATGAGAGTATGGTACATATGGTGACATACCTTGACGCTGCAGGTTGATTATTGTATTGCCTTCGGATGGTGTATTTGGTTGCAATTCCTTGTGATCACCATGGTTCACGGCGTCGTGTGCCTTCCTTACCGAGTCGTCCACAATGAGAGTTCTCAAGACGTCTTTACATTGCTTCTTTTGCGTATGGTGACAACAAAAGCGTGTGGGTTGGTTTTACTCGTTATCTCACATTGCGTTTATGGTAGGTTGAACATGTTGGATGATGGTACCTCTGGCAGCAACAGGATACGGATCTCAAAGCAAGAATGCTGTATGGTTGGCTCAATGGTATGCATGGTATTGGATCTACAAAGCGAAACCTGTGAATTAACGAGACTTACAGTGAAACAGCAGCAAGACAATATGGATGACATGGAGATACGGCTTTATTTGAGGCAATGATGCTATTGAGGAATGCCACAAGGTAAAGTGTCCATTATGGAATTTGTCCCTTCAAGTGTGCTTACGAAAGAAATATTAGGTCAGGCTCTGGTTGGGCGATTATTTTGATCAATCAGCATGTCGAGGATGTCATTGTATAGTACTGTGCTCTCCTGGGGAATTTTGGCCCGGAAACAGTGTGACTCAAGATGCGATGGCATGGCCAATTTGAAAAGGCATCCGCTGTGCACACGGCCTCCATCCAAGTACGGCTATTGATTTCCTTGCCTACAGAGAGAAGGTGGATATCTCTTATGATGCCAATTTCAGGATCCAATGAGAGTATAGTACATATGGTGGCATACCTTGGCGCTGCAGGTTGGTTATTGTATTGCCTTCGGATGGTGTATTTGGTTGCAATTCCTTGTGGTCACCATGGTTCACGGCGTCGTGTGCCTTCCTTACCGAGTTGTCCACAATGAGAGTTCTCAAGACGTCTTTGCATTGCCTCTTTTGGGTATGCTGACAACAAAAGCGTGTGGGTTGGTTTTACATGTTATCTTACATTACATTTACTGTAGCTTGAATACGTTGAATGATGGTACCTCTGGCAGCAATAGGATACGGATCTCAAAGCAAGAATGCTGTATGGTTGGCTCAATGGTATGCATGGTATTGGATCTACAAAGCGAACCCTGTTAATTAACGAGACTTACAGTGAAACAGCAGCAAGGCAATATGGATGACATGGAGATACGGTTTTATTTGAGGCATTGATGCTATTGAGAAATACCACAAGGTAAGAGTGTTCATTATGACGGGATTGGCTGGATTCAAGTGGACTTACCAACGCCATACAGTGGCAGACCCTCTTTCGGCGATACTATCATTATCACGACTGCACGTCAAGGACACCATTGTACTGTACTTTCCTGTGGAGCTCTACATGTTGTGCCCGGGGACAGTGCGACTCATGTTGCGGCCTCAGGGATTTAAAAATGCATCCTCTGTTCGCACGGCTCCATCGTTTTACGGCTATTGATCTCCTTGCCTTTAGAGAGAATATGGGTATCTCTATTGATGCACTTCATCGCGTCGATCCACAGGAGAGTACTGGTACTATGACGTTTCTTTGGCTGTGCGCTTTTATTATTACTTTACATCCTGATGGCCTATTTGGTTCCCAAGTCTGCGGGTGATGATTGCGTGATTCAGGTACGTATGACTCTCATGCTTTTGGGAGACCTTTGCTGAAACGCCTACCATTATTTAGAGGGACTATTGCAGAGCTGCTTGTCTTTTGGTGCTTAGGAGTTTACAAGATCACAGCTATGATTGCTAAGTATTGTTGGATGAGTTTGGACAATTGTTTATGATGCATCTTTTATAGGTGGATCATGTCAGCCATGGGGAAATGTTTATGTCTTTGGTGGTGTCAACCTTTATTGCGTCTCGGGTGGTTGGTTACCAAGCAACGGGCGATTTCTCTGGAGAATGTCAGCCAATGAACGTCTTTTATGAGTGTATTGTATCAGCAACAAACAACAGCATCCATATCGTTGGTGTCATATCAAGCTTTCTGGTTCTTCTCGTTATCGGCAATTCGGTGTGCATCCTGAAATGAAGGTCTCTTATCGATTGATCACATCAGCAACAAGGAACAACTTGTATATGTTTGGTATCAGCAAGCTTTCTATCTCTTGGTGGTTCTGGTTATTGGCGATTCCTTTGGTGGATCTCTACAACTATACGTGTCTTATGGATGGGTCATGTCATGAACAAGCAATGAGAGCCCGTGTTGACATCTTTTGTGTTACCAAGGTCATTCATGCATCTCGTCAAGGACTCCATCGTCAAGCTGCATTCCATACCCAATGAAAAAGGATTGGTATCTCATTCATATCGGCTATATCACTGAGTGTACACCCTTCCGCAGCTAGGATGCTGGTTTGGGCTTTTCGATTGATGATTTTTCGATTTGCATGTGGTCTTGGGCAGCACATTGGTTCGTTCTCGCTCCTTGCAAGGGCTCTTCGGCATCATGTAAGTATGCTATCTTTGGTGATACAAGTATTACTCAACCTTCTCACTGTATATTCTTATCAAGTATCGTTCCTTCGCTTACAAGCCGAGTGCCAACGTTGCGGGTCTTATCAATAAGAGAATGATTGCAAGAATCGGCTAGGTTTGGATATCAGCAGGATTTCGTGCATATGGCTATCATTGGTAAATAGTGATCCATTCGTTTCTACAACGCCTGCCAACCTCTTCGTTACTATAGTATGTGGGATATTCAGCACGCTGCATGTCTTCTAGTGCATTGGGATTTCTATGGATGCAGCTGTCATTGGATGTCGACATGTTTTCGTGCGTATGTCTATCATTGGTAAATAGTGATCTGTTCTCTTCTACAACGCCTGCCAACCTCCGCTTTTATTATAGTATGCGGGATATTCAGCGAGCTACTTCTCTTCTCATGCTTTGGACTTTTCATGGATTGCAGCTATCATTGTTAAGTATCGTTGTATTGGTTTGAAGATGGTGTACCATGTATCTTTTATAGATGAATCATACCAGCAGCATCAAGCAGCGAGATCTATAGCATCTTTCAGTATCAGCAGACTTCATCACATCATCTAATGGTTCTCGTCACCAAGTGTTGGACGTTCCCTTTTATGGGTATCTGCAACGACAAACAACAGCTTCCATGTCTTTCGGTGTCAGCAAGCCTTATCTCACCTAATTGTGGTTCTGGTTGTCGATAATTCTTTTGATGGATATCCTACTACGCATGACTGCTGTTATCGGTGGATCATATCAGCAACAAGCAAGAAGCAGGAATGAGCAACAATAGGGTCCATATCTTTGGTGTTAACAACGTTTACTTGATCCTCTGGTGGCTCTCCTTTTGGGCAATTGCTTTCAAGAATACTCTACAGCGCATGTCTCTATGGGTGTATCACATCAGCAACTAGCAACAATGTTACGTGGCCTTTTGGTGCTGTCAAGGTTTATCCATCTCTCAAGGCATTCATCATCAAGTATCGCTTGGAAAAACGGCTATCAGAATTAGTCACTGTGTCGACATCTCTGCAGCAAGGAAATGTGTTTTGGTTACTGGGTGGCATCAAACATCGTGGGTTCTCATATGGCACCGGCTAAGTATTGTTACCATTACTTCAGAGATAAATTAGTGATATGCATTTTTATAGGTCCATCATTCCATCAAGCTATATTTTTGCATGCTCTTTGGCGCCATCAGAATCCATTTGGTCTCCTTGCAGTTGTCAGTGGCGGATCCTATTGCATTGAAAGTCGAAGATCAACATTTGAATTTGGGTGGGTTTCTCAGAAGCAAGCAAGCAATCTCTATCTTATACATAGTTGTGGTTGTCAAGGATACCGTTTTCATGGTTTTGGGAATCAGCTACCTGAAAGTCGTCTCTGCATCGGTGGATCTTCATAGCAATGGTTTTATCGGTGCCATGGCGGATCTCATTCCTCAAGTACTTGTACCAGTGGTCAATGGCGATACTTTCCAGTTGCAGACATTCAACAACAAGGACGTGCGCAATCAACCCATGACTCAACCTTCCATGGCAACAGGACAAGTACGTTCAATCGCTGCATTGCTTTATTATCCAAGTTGGACATTGGGGTACTAAAGTTCGCGTGTAGGTTGCTGTTTTCTAGTTTGTACAAGATCCAAAGGGGTATCGTGTTATTCGTTACATGACTCGCGCCAGGAATACCGTTTGGGTATGTTGGCAGGAAAGGCAAGGCTGTTCTTGTTATCTCACATTGCGTTTATGGCAGCTCGAACATGTTGGATGATGATGATACCTGTGGTAGTAACAAGTTCATTGGATTCAAAAATAACGCTGGAGGCTGGTCGTTGTTGTTCATTGGTACGCATAGTGACATTGGATCTACAAAGCAAGACCTGATAATTAACGAGCCTTACAATGAAACAGCAGCAGCACAATATGGATGGGATGAACGAGAAGGCGGTTGTTTGAGGAAAGGATGCTATTGAGAAGCACATCAAGGTAAACTGCTCATTTCAGGATATGTCGCCTTCAAGTGAACTTACGGAAGGAACAGAGTGGCAGGCTCTCGCTCGGCTATGTTATATATCAACAACACGTCTAGGATGCCATTGTGCTGTACTGTCTTGGGGAGACGACCATGTCGTCACAGTGGAAATCGGTGCCATCTCAATCTAAATATGCATCCTTTGTTCGTATGGCGTACGACCAAGTATAGGCTTCATCATCTCCAGGCTTTTTGGTCTCCTTGTTATTGTCGCCGAGTGCTATTGCTTTGAAAAAAACGACTATCATCAATCTGCAATCTTTGAGACATGAGCATATTCCATCATCATCTTATGGCTGCGGTTGTCGAGTATCGTTTTAATGCTCTGGAAATCAGCTATCTACAAGTCGCCTCATTTCGTTGTGGATCATCCCAGCAACGTTTGTCATGGGTGCCGCCATGTGTATATCATTTCTCAAGTGCCTATGCGAATGCCTTGGACGTTTTTTCAACAAGTCAACAATGGTGGTGCGAGTGCTATTCCGTCAAGATGTGGTTTATTGGTGATGCGTGATGTGCCTCTGACGCCGATCCGGAAGGGCGTATACCTCTACTGTTTTATTGGATGAGGATGGGACATTATGATGATGGGTATCTGCTATCCAATAACCGGAAATCAAGAGGGGACATTGATGATGTTGAGAGGAGATGTTTTCATTATGCTTTGGGCCGAGTTGCTGCTTTCGATGTCGCCCGTTCGCTCATGACCATGTACTCCAAATTCACCTCGCATGCCTTTCAAGTGTCCAAAAGGTCCTTAACTTAGAACACTACAATTACAATGCCTCTCGCAGTCAAGCACTCACAAAGTGTATCTCGTCAATGGAGTACTCTTATGCCAATGATCAATGAACAAGGATAATAAAAGAGTGTTTGAGCGTAAAAGCGATATGCTATTCATTCATGTAATGTCCAAAGCAAAAACATAATGTATTCAATAAGCTGAGGATACAAGTGAAGGCAACAAGTGAAAAAAAAATTTGCTCCGTAGAGCTATCCATCTCAGAGAGTTAGTGTCATCCTTGTGCAGGGGCCATGCTAATCTTCTCTGTATCGTTCCAATTTTAAGAAGTGACAGAGGTCCTGACGGACGTGTCAATTACCCCCAGAATCGATCGCCTTTTAAATTGGTTTTTGCCATCCTTAAACATCAACTTGTGGGTCTCATCCATCCTATAATAGCACCCCTTTTCCAGCATCTCCAGCCTCTATTTCACTGTTTTTTCTCTTGTTTTCAACGTAGAGAGGTGCAACAACTATGTAGCAAGATCTCTGTTCGGTCATGTTGGCAATGGGTGTAAAGGAATGGTGCATTCAGCCAAATGGACTCTATGGAAACGAGTCGGCAGGGGTCCAATCTACCTTTCTTTTCCTTGGAGATTCAAGCAATGGAGGCAGGGCTAGTCCAGCAGTGAGTTAGTACAAGTAGGCAGCTTCGTTGAGCAGTACTTGAGCATAGTAGATGGAAGATGACAAATATCAAGTATAGGGTGGTGTTGATTGTCTTTGGTTGCCATGGATACAACAAGTAGCCTTTGGTGGTTGAGCATACTTTTGAGATGTTTAGGAATGCCTAATTCAATAAACAATGAAGATGAACCTGTGTGATTGTCCTTTTCGTATCATTGCTCTTTCTTTGTGGTAGCTGGATCACACTGCTGTAGTTCATTATTGGTGATAGCCTTGCATACTGGTCTACACAATAAAACTTCTCCATTCACAGCCATCGCTCATTGTTGAGCGAACCATGAATGAATGACCAAAGGTGCCACTGAACAGCTGGTGCCACGTGGCATACTTCTCATATCACAACATCCACGTGGTGACATTCACCACCATCGGATGGCTGCAAAAAGTACCAACCCCGGTAATGGCCTATCTTTTCATAGTCGTTGTTGCATGAGCCATTGTCAAAGTCATAGCTGACATTGGGCCTGCTACACGGCATTGGATTGCAGAAGAGTAAACTAGGTACATAACATTAGAGACCACTATGCATAATAAAATAGCAGCAATTGAGACCGAGTCAATAGGTATAGATGGGTGAGCATGATAAACAGCGACATTCAAAAATATAGTAACGCTCCAATAAAGGAGGGTGTTGCACCCTGCATGATAATAAACAAGCCAATTAAGCCTGAAATATCCCATCCGAAAACCTATCGATAGGAACAACCTTACAACGTCCATTTCATCAATGGTGCTCCTCCTCGACGTATCAATCCATGAAATGATGATATCAACGAACAGCACAACATTGCACTTTTTGCTGCAGGTACATGCTGCATCAGCAAAGTATCGAGCCATCCACCCACATTGGCTGTATGATAGATTGAAACGCTGAATGGAATCATGGGATGCCCCAACGTGTGAGAGTTATAGATTCAAACGGAAAAGTTTTAGTATAGCCTAAGGTCCAACGCTTGAACAAATACTGAAAACGAAAACTGGGTCATTGACTCTTATAGACAATCGGGTGCGATTGATTAAACTTAAAAGGAAGGAAATAAAGATGGGGCAATGATCTTATAGGTGGAGATCGTGGGAGAGCGGTGGTATATTTGTTTGGCAATGATGGGTGTGGAGAATGTTATGGTTTTTGGAGTGTCGCAAGGAGCAATGGACCTGTTATATGCCACAAGTGTGCAGCAAGGCAAACGGATTAACTTGCCAACTTTAAAAGTATCTTCTATCTTGCTTTGTGATTCATCTTGATCTATACCTTTAAGGATACATCCGCATAAGAGGTGGCGTTTTACAATCTTTATTCAGGTCAGCGGCCCGTGAAAAGTGGGGTTTATCTCGGGATCAAGAACTGTTTCCGGAACACTTTCTCTTTCTCTTTTCTCTTTCACTCGCATTCCATTGCTCCACGATCGACATGGCGTCCACTGAGATCGTTCAACAACCTGCCTTGGCACCTCTCCAAGAAGTTTCTGAATCTGCGTATGTCATGGGATAGGTGTTCCTGAAAGATTTTTATTGACGTATGACAACAGCGGCTTGTCCCAGGCTCTCAAAGATTGTGCTGCCGGTACTTTTGGCGGTATTATGCAAGTGCTTGTAGGCCAGGTAAATATCATCACAACCACATCTTCGACATGTATCATATAGTTAACCCCATACCAATCATCCATAGCCCTTCGATACCGTCAAAGTGGTGAGTTTGATACGGATAATTGCGGATCTGGAAAAGAAAAAACTGACGGCTCGGTGGAATTGTGTAGCGTCTTCAAACACAATCAATGGCCAACCCTGTATACAGCGGCACAATGGATTGTGTACGAAAGACTTATCAACGTGAAGGTTTTGGAGGCTTTTACAAGGTAATGTTGATGATAGGAGCCAAGAGGCTTATCCGGAACTAATGACCATCAAACTTTTTTAGGGTACAGCCACTCCCCTTGTCGGCATTGGTGCTTGTGTTTCAATCCAGTTCGTCGTCGTTGAATCCATGAAGCGTCATTTTTCAGAAAAGAATCGTGGTGATCCTTTGACCAACGCACAAATGTACATGGCTGGTGCTGCTAGTGGTGTTGCCAACTCGGTTGTATCAGGTCCTGTTGAGCATATTCGTACTCGTCTTCAAGTGCAAACTGCTGGCAATGGTTTCAGTGGACCTATTGATGCTATTCGACAAATTTATCGCTCGCATGGCTTGGCTGGTATCTACAAAGGACAAGGTATTACTATGGCTCGTGAATTCCAAGGATATGGTGCCTACTTTTTCGCTTACGAGTGGCTCGTGCGCAACTCTATGGAGCGTAACAACTTGAAGTCACGTGCAGACCTTCCTACTTGGGAAGTCATGCTTTATGGTGCTGGTGCAGGTTATGCCATGTGGGGAACCATTTACCCTATGGATGCTGTCAAATCCAAGCTTCAAACCGATGGCTTCTCTGGATCTGCTAAGAAGTATTCATCCGCTCTCGACTGCGTACGTAAGACTTTGGCTACTGAAGGTGCTGCTGGTTTCTTCCGTGGTATTGGTCCCTGTTTGCTTAGAGCTGCACCTTCCAATGCAGCCACTTTTATGGGGTAAGTTATAGTCATGTCGTGAATGTATAGCAATGTACTCATTCTATTCTTTGTAGCTTCGAGTTTGCCATGCGTCTTCTCTCCTAAAATGCAGATCATTAGCATATCCGCCATGTCTCTCCATTTCCCTCTCATTTCATCCCTTGTTTGCTCTTCTTCCTTTATTTTCGTATATAGTTTTACCAATATCCACACAAATGATCACACAAAACGTTCCATTTGGTCTTATTATAATATCATTTTGGTTTATGTTAGAAGATTCTTTTGATCTTGTATTGCCGCTATTTGCTATTCAACGGCTTTTGCATTACCAACAGCTGTTGGTTCATGTGGATGATATGGTACGAGGTCATTGCAATGTTAGGCTATCAGCAGCATTTGCATAAGGCACATTGAGTACACGTGAAAGAGTGCTTTCAATTATCTCTTCAAGTTGAAAATGGATGGCAGGATGCAAGTAAAGCATGATCCAGGAGCATGTATACATGCTTATTAGCGACCAAGAGTGAAACGACATGTGTTCAGGGACGTACATGACTATCATGTGCATAGACCTTATAGGGCTGCAGCTATGAACGTGCCGAGAAAAGCCGTGACTTACCGTGTCGTGCCTTTGGCACAAAGGAGGAAGATGCTGCACACCGTTGCTCTCTTTGTCTTGATTGCATACCATTTCTAATAGCGATCACGCGTCCAATTCAACACGCCATCCCTGTGTTTTGAGGGGTTGTATTTATTGTCAGCTCGCATCCGATGCTGCAAACGTGACCATAGGGATATCGAATGACATGACTTGTTGGTCAAATCGGCTCTAATGACACCAGCATTATTTGCATTGTTGGAACAATCGTACTATGAAAGGAAAAAAGCCATTGTATGTCAATGACGATATTTTACCCCCATCATTGAAGAGCATACTTTATTGATTACCTGTCCATGGCATCCGTTCATCCATTGTCTAGCTACGAACATTGATTTCGGCACTTTTGGATTACATGCAATGATAATGGCGGAGAAGCTTTACACAGACACTTACGAGATGCCCGTATAAACACTACTGCATATGCATGTATTTAGGTCACCGCACCCAACGATCATATCCAACCAACAAGTGCAGGAAACAAAAAGAAGAGAAGCATTATGCTCGCCGCTGCATGTAGCTGTCACCCCATAGGAGATGATCCCATTGTTCTTTTCGTCCCTGCTTCTTGACGATCTTCAAGGAACAAGATGAGGATTGCATGTGGTGCAGTAATTCGATGAATCAATCAGCGGAGGGAATGGTAACCACAAGCTGCTGCTTCTTGTGCCATGTATTGCCTGTTGTTGTTGTTGTTATTGTTTACTACTGGTACAAGAGCATGGGTCGTTGTTGCGGCGACATACACGCGTGGGAATCGATCCATGGGCCAAGTTCTTGTATCATGCTGCATATCGTCATGATATGGCCCAAAGCATATCAAAAGTGACGATGCTTATATTTGCAGCACACATTGAAAGCTATAAAATGAGAGCAACCAATCTTTGTGGTGACCCAATCATACCCTTTTTCTTTTCAAGCTATCATGGACGTCAACGATTTTGTCATCGACCAAGACGTGCGCCTTACATGGATTGCATTTTTCACTCTTTGGGTGCTCTGGGGACTTGTGTATTTCGTACGCCATGTGTTTGGTGAAGACACAGAGAAGCCTGCACCTGCACAAGATTCTGAGCAAGCGGGCGAGAGTAAACCCACCAAGAAAAAGTGGAGGCCTGAAGGAGGTTTTGGGGTAAATACAATGGGACAAACATTTAGTGCACTCAATTCATTCATCATTGTCATCAAATCTAAAGTCGCGTCTTGCCAATGCCCATCGTGTCCTTTTTGAAAACACGCTGCTCTTGCTGGGAGTCCTGGTGCTCAATACTTTTGGTGGAGCATCAACTCGCGCTGTTATGATCTTGACATGGATGTATGTTCTCCTTGACTCGATATTGTATATAAGAAGAAAACTTACAGATGCCCTCTTTACCTAGCTTCTTTGCTCTTACTGTGATCGTGGCATTCACAGAAATTGGATATGGCCACCGCTTTATCCGTTTCCTTTATAGTGCCGCTTTCTTTGGTATCACCCTTGCCATTGGGGCCTTAGCCTTCCAACAAGGATGGCGACGTCGCCATTAAACGATATCATCTCAACCGTTATTCTTCTTCATTAGCAATTTTAATGACTCTATCGCTGTACACTGTTGAATCCACTTGTTTGTACGTCTATACAAGGACAATAAAGTAATCGTCTAATATACAAAATTTCCCTTTTGGATGCATCGTCATGATATGATACATGTAAATGCAGCAGCAATTGGGTCGTTTGATAATCCAAAGAAACCACGTGAATCACCAATCGACACCCAATATTACTTTTGCATGCATTGATTGTAGTGGTGTCATGAAAGCAAAGGTTCTAACAAGCACATTTGTTACAACAATTGCTATTACAAGAGAGAAACTGTATCAACGCAACTTCAAGGAACGAAATCGTATCGTCCAACGGGCCACATTGACCATGTCACATGTTGAATTCCTGCTAAAAGCTGTGGAAGAGTGAGAGGCGAATCCATGGAAATCAACTAGCGTATTAACATCGATACGATGGTTCATTGCTTTTATTCGTTATGATACATTCAACACAATGACAAGTGCTCCACTAGCATTGTGTGGGTGGTTATGGGACTTTTGAGCATTATTATGTGTTGGCATCCATTAATCAGCGATCATCAAAACCAAGATCCAGTCATCGGCGGGGTACACTGGTTGCCTAGCAACTGGTAGGTGGTCATTAGATTTATACAACTTGTGTCATAGTTATCAGCGACGACGTCTTGATCGAGGAGCGGCAAATTGAAGAAAAGATCTTGAGCGGAGGATGGGGATGGTGGTAGTGGGGATGATAATGATTCACTTGAGTTGTTGACAAAGTAGTCCATGGTATTATCCAGTGTCATAGGCAATGCATAAAACGTTTGATTCTCCAGGCAATGCGTAACAAGAGGATCGTGAAAATTTGCATGTAGGTCATCTTGTTTTACACCAAAATGAGGGCTCGCTGAAGCAGCTGTAGTTGGTGATTCCAAGGAGTAATCCGAAAATGGCGAAAGACCAGCAATCGCGATTTTGTGTCCTTCCTCTTCTAGTATTCGTGGGTTGTCATAGAGTTGTTCCATAATACGATTATTCTCTTCTACACGCGATGTAAATCGATCACGAGACCGGCGCATGTATTTGCGTGTTTTCTTCCCTTGACGTTTTTGTGGTTGATACTTGTAGTTAGGGTATCTAATTTGATATTATACATTAGGATCCAAATCGTTGATTGATAGTTGAACCACCCACGGGTTCTATTGTTACCTTTTTGCATGTTCATTTTTGGCTAGACGCGCTCGCTCCCGGTATGGTTCTTTCTCTTCATTTGGCATGGATTTCCACCACTTGGCAATGATTTTAGAAATGTCGCGATGATTTGCTCCAGGACATCGGGAGATGATTTCTTGTTGTTTTTCAAGTCGAAATGCCAAGAAGCAATTCATGGGGCGCGGGATTTTTGAAGAAGATGTAGATGCGTGGACCATTATGACGAGGAAAGCGTGAAGGTAGTAAAAAGCTAGTAGAGAGAAAGAAGAGCAATCTGATGGAGATCCGAAACGATAAAAAGGTGCTTTTAACCACCACAGCATCAGGATCACCCTAAAGATGATGTACAAAAAGTGAAGCACCTGCATATGCAGTGATCACCTACCCAGAGGGGGGACGTATGTGTAACGTACGGCGTTTGACCATACACGGATAATTGCCATTCCCACAACTTTCATGTCTTGCATGTTACTGACAGACGCCTGTGCTCATCAATGTGTGACAAAAGTGCCCCTGGGATGTTATTGGATGACATGATACCGGTGCGCGCTTATTCTCCTGTTCATGACATTCCCTTTTGACAATGAGTGTGCCATTAATGCAATATGATCATCTCTACCTATGCCAATGTGATCTCCTTTTGATGCATCAAGAATGCCACAAGCCATGTGGTGAGGTAGACAACAGCGTACATGATAGATTAGACAGAAAGTGAGATGCTCTTGAGAAATCGGATTCATGTCAAAAGATACTTGGATCGTGTCTGTCGATTTCGACGTTACATGTATCACATGTCCTTTTTTGCTTCGCCCACTATTACACTGCAACCCCCAACTTCATTTTTCGGGAAACATAGAATTTGTGCTTCCAAGTGTATTCCGAAGACAACGATCCAAGTTGAAAGTTATCAGTGGACTAAGGCCGATAGGCATAACATTGGACCTCGTTAATGTAATAGCCACCATGTTTGATAGCCAGCAACAATCTTTCTATGCTTATAGGGTTGTCCCTTTTTGTCATATATTTACTCCTTCCGACAACCATTATCATGCTTGTCTCACAGAAGCTTGTGCGTTGTAAGCTTGAAATTATCACTCACACGCACACGCTATGTTGCGTTTCGAAAAGAAAAGAGTACACAAAAGATTGTATCCTATATCATTGCAGCTTTATTGAATACAATGGATCTCATACACTTATCACGGACCAAAGAGTGTTGGTTGTAGGAGCAATACCAGCACATTTCCTGTGTCAGGATCACAAAAGAATGTTCGTTGTATCACATGCAGTACACCCATGCTGTTCGAACAACCTTTGATCGGCCAACCAATCAAATGCATGATTAGACGAATGGAGGCTGTGCCTGTTATTAGAAGCGCTCAAGGGGAAAGTGCCAACCTATCATGGAACTAGTCTATGGGGCATGTTGTTGTTGTAAATCGTAGGAGTGTTTATTGAATCACGGGGTTATGGTTACGATTGATCAGTTGACTTGATATGGTATTCATCGGTGGTTGCGTACAAATGTCCTTCATCCGCTAGGTGTTCTACAAGCGCTTTGACCTTTTCTACATCTACTTGAAGCTCCTTTGCAATTTGATCCACATGGATACCGTTGTCGTCAGCGTCACCGTTGCCAGGATAATGTTTCACCACATCGATGAGCCGCTCATTTAAGCTTTTCTGGGCTCCGTTACCAGAATCGATTTCCATGCGATCACCCTGAGATGAACAAATGATTGCTATGAATATCACGGTCCATTGTAAAAGGTTCCAATACTTACTCCAGATGGCTTGGTGAATCTAACATGGGCTAAGATGGCCTCTAAAAAGTGGAATGTGATCTCGTTGAAGTCGGTGATAGGTCTGATTGCGAAAGCGATACAATTGATCCTGTTGTTGAATTGGTTGACTCGGCCATTGATGCGCACATATGATCCCTTGCTGTATAATCGTTCATTGTCATATCAGATATGGGTAAACGTCGCTGATCGGCTATCTCGTTTTTACCTGATGTCATTTGGTAATTCACCACCATCACCATTGGAACCTTCGTGCCAGTGTCGTACTTCCATCATAGCCGTGCCATCCTCAATCGTATACTGCAGATTGGTGGTTGATGGCGATATATCTCTGACAACACCGACAACGGTAACCTTTGATGATACGAATCAGTATAACATGGTGTGCAACAATAATGAGATGTATGCCGTACCGAATTTATATCCATGTCATCGAGTCTAAACACATTGTCGCTCACGATTTGAATGTCCTGGAATTGCTTGACTGTAAGAGGTCGGATTGTATGTTCATTGAAGGATCTCTATCGCACCAAGAGAGTAACTCAAAGTCAATGTTGTGCTGCACATGGGTTGAGATCGTTGTACCTTGCTTCCACTGAAAGAAGAACCCTCATTGTCGTTATTAAAGAATCCTGTTATCGCTAGAATGAGTATATTCGATCGTGTATGTATACTGGCAGGATGCAGTACTCACCACCTTCCATTGTTCCAAAGCCAAAAATACAATAAGAAAAGACACAAGCGTGAGCATTTGAGCGCAGCACAGACGCGTTATTGATTAGACGCGTTTTTCACTTTCCGAACGCGATGCCCAGCCAATTTGGTTTACGGGGACAGCTGACATCTTTCGTGCTTGTAGCATACCGCACGCAATAGCAATATCCATCCTACCCGCATTAGCTAAGATCAAGTCCTTTAACTGATCAATAACATCATCTTTATTACAATGACTGATATGTGTGATATCCCTGATGCTGTGTTCTTGTGATTCTTTTGTTGTGTAGATACCCATGAATGATTCCTAGTTGGCTTGCTCACTTCAATAGTATCATAATGTAATCACCAATAGGCTTCAGGTTGAGCATGGTGACTTTGGGGTCTGCTTCGGCAGCCATTGCCTTCATCAAACGCTTGAGCTTATTTTAATCAGAAGAAGATCATTAATCAGAACACGCCCATCTGGTTCAAAGTCCAGCATAATAAAATCTTACCACGAATCTTGCTTTTTGCATCACAGCACCAATACCAAGCTTCGTAAATGTGTCACCTATCCACCTGCTACGAAAGAATGCTCTATGCGTTATGAGAGTAGTAAGTGATTAATCAAGGTTTGTAATTCATTGCTCACAAATAACAACAACAACGAGGACAATGAGAATAGCAAGACAATGAAAATTGTGAATGACAGCTAGTATCAGTGGATGTACTAAATCAAAGCCAAAAGGGCTATAAAACGACTCCATCTACCGTGGCTGGCAATAGGCTTCTTTGGTCTTTTATGATTTAAGCAATCAAAGAGGTGTAATCAAGGGAAGAGACGTGTGGGGTATGATGCGCAAGAACATCTTTTTTATGCCCATGGAGGGTGTGCATTTAAGCTCACCATAGGGGAAAAACGGATACATTATGGAATCACTTATCAGAGATAGATGGTCATATTAGGACAGGTGTCAACATCATCCCTGAAAACCTCATCGGGCCATAATGGATTTTGTTGTACTCAGATGTACAGTACATGACAAGTATATACGGCGAGGATCCAATACCATCAGCTGATCGGCATCATTTCTTTATCACATTTGATAAGGTTGATCTGCATCAGTAACGGTATTGATAATGCATGGATTACACAAACAAAAGCATTGCTTGGAGATGATGCTGCCTCGGATAGGTGTTGCATAGGTGCGCCTCCCTAGAATAATTGCTGGCGGTGGTGCCAACAATAAAGAAGAGTATAGTATTATTGTAGCTATAGCGGTATCCATAGAAACAAAGCCGGTGTGTAAGATACTTATCAATCCTTATAAATATGGCTTGTGTCAGAATAGATTTATTATCATAGTAATGGCTTTTGTCTTCTTAATGTTGGGTGGGAATTGAGGGAGTGGGATTGCATGGCATCTTTATATATTTGATGGTCCGCACCCAATGGATCCAAAAGCGGAAGAAGGGTTGCTGCCTTTCATTTAGTTATCTTCCTCTTGTTCAGCTTGGCTCAGTATCTATCGGCCGCTGCAGTTTTCCAAAGGTACTTCCTCTCCAACAATACCAAAGACATCTCTCCGTATTCTCATCGCTCACCCTTGTAAACAGATAATCGGGTCGCATTTATTCTTCTTTTGAAGTGTGGGGCTAATTCCAAGCACGAGTTAAAGAAAAAGGTACTCTCACACGCGCGTGGGTGTATACAAAGACACAATGAGGCTCATTTCTCGATTGCAGGAAGCCGTTTCTCTACGCTTCAATTATACACTATGGCGACCTCTCCAAACAACTCTTCACAGAATCTATCATCACCAACATCCACGAGGACATCCACCCAGACCATTTCTCATGCCACGTCCAGCGCAGTCTTTGTCGTCAATGCTTTGGAAAAGATCGCCAACACCAAGGAGGGAAGGAAGAACAAGTCTCTCAAGGAAGTGGTCCAAAGCACACAAAGTGAGTGTTGATGGATAGTATCATAGGTAATGGGGAGTGTTTTTAACTCTTGTGTTCCTAGCCATGTTGAAGACTGGCGGCGACCCTCCCGAAGGTCAGACTCGGTAAGCAAATTGGAGGATAATGGATGGAAAAAAGGATTGAAAACTGATATGAGGATATGTAGGTCCACCGCTATCTTATCAGCATTGCAGACGGCTATTGATACTCGATCAGCCAATTTGATGACGATTGCTCTCGATTGTCTTGGCAAATTCATCACATACAACTACCTGGCGGATATTGAAGATGAAGCTACGCAATCGCAAGTGATGGAGCGTGTGGTGGATAGTATATGCGATTGTTTCATTGGCGAAGATACGGATGAAAAAGTACAATTACAAATCATCAAGGTATGAGAGGATAGGAATTGGACAATGATAAAGATGCTGATGTAATGCTGTGATAGACATTGCTCGATGCCGTTTATGCTACAAACAATCCCGTACATCAGTCATCGCTACTCAAAGCCGTTCGAACAACGTACAACATCTTCTTGTTATCACGCAACAGCGCCAACCAGAACATTGCACAAGTGACTTTGACTCAAATGGTCGACCACATCTTTCGTCGTATCAAGGTCAACCCGACTGCTCCAAGTGTGACATCCATCAATGAAATGTCACCAACAGAGGAGAAACATCAACCATCCAAGACTCAGGAAGAATCAGCTAATGAGCACGAGCCACATGACACGTCATTTCAGGAGCAGATCATTGTTGAAGCCAATATTGCACGAAGTGAGATGGATCGCAAGTTGCCAGCAGGGAAAGCAAGTGATAATTCAGAGTTCTTGAACGACACAGCCAACGTATTTCAAGATGAAGAAGTCAGCACCCATGGCAATAGCACCTCCAACCTTCCTTCTGAAGCCGCCAAGCATGATGATGTCTCTACTACTCAATCTGAGCCTGATCACACTTCCCAAGCTGAGGAAACATTGGCTGAGGAAAAGAAGCTTGATACAACCGAAAAAGAATCTGATGATGGGTATGTGTTTTCTCTTGGAACGCGTATGACAAATGTTGCTGACATAATGTATTCTAGTGATGTTAGCCGTGGATCCTTCGAGAATGACACCATATCAACCATGGAGACCGAAAGCGACTTGTATATCAAGGATGCCATTCTTGTTTTTCGAGCGCTGTGCAAATTGTCAAAGAAACCCATCTCATCCGAATGGTATGATACGAATGTCAAGATTTGTGCGAGGATTTTATTAACATAGATTGGATATAGGGGAAATGATATGCGATCCTATTCAATGCGCTCTAAGCTATTGTCGCTGCATCTCATCTTGACTATCCTCACATCACACATGAACGTTTTCACATCACCATCTGTGACATTTACAACTACGCTTCAGGATGGAAGCACCGCTGCTCACCGAGTGAACCCATTCATTCAAGAAATCAAGCAATACCTTTGCCCAAGTCTTGGTCGAAATGCATTCTCAGTGGTCCCACAGGTGTTTGATATTACATTGGAGATATTATCCAAGGTGGTGCAGGGATTGAGAGTCTACCTCAAGGTAAGAAGCATAGGTTGGGTTATACGTTAAGGGAGTCCACTCATCATGATTATAGAAAGAGATCGAGGTGTTCTTCCGAGAGATATTTTTGCGTATCTTGGAAATGCGAACGGCATCATATCAACAAAAGCATTCGTTACTCAAGGTCTTATTGCGGATATGTAACGATCCTCAGACGTTGGTGGATATCTACTTGAACTACGATTGTGATGGTGCATCCTTGGATAATATATACGAGAGGTAGGAGATGAGGATTTGACAAAAATGTAAGGATGGCATATCATTAACAAAGACTATAGGATGGTGAACGTGCTTTCAAAGATCACAACGCAACACAACGCCCCCAACAACGCAAAGGATCATGATACACACGCTTCCTCCACTATATCGTCACCGGCACAAGGCAAAAAATCAAAGAATGTGATGATCCCACCACCCCTTACGACCGATACAGTGCAACATAATGAGAAGCAAGTCAGCGCCAACAGCCATTTATCTGAATCAGCGATTCGTTTTCGTTCTTTGGAATGTTTGGTGGCCGTGCTGCAATCACTTGTTAGCTGGTACGCAAATGGATCCGTTAGTGTGACGGCAGGCTCTCGTTCTGAGGATGACCAAAGTTCGGGAACAACACCACGTGAGAGTGAAGATACCAATGGTGGTAATCGCATCACCAATCACAGCAATGCTTCGGGTGCTCGACTATCACCAGGAATCAGCGGCAATAACAATAGCAGCAGTAACATATCGACACCACCATTGGATGATCCAGAGCAATTTGAAAACCTCAAGCATCGGAAGCAAATCTTGCAAGAAGGCATAAGACAATTCAATTGGAAGCCAAAGAAGGGTATTCAGCTACTTGCAAGCAACGGCTTTGTGGATATCAATGATCATCAAAATGTGGCACGATTCTTGTTGAATACTGAAGGCCTAAGCAAAATGCAGATTGGAGAATTTCTTGGTGAAGGGTAAATATGGCATCCATTTTACTCTCACAGGGTTTGCGAATTGACATTTATGTATTAGTGATCCTGAGAATATTGCTATCATGCATGCCTTTGTCGACGAGCTGGAATTTACAAGCATGAACTTTGTGGATGCATTGCGTCACTTGTTACAAACGTTCCGCCTCCCCGGTGAAGGACAAAAGATCGATCGATTCATGCTCAAGTTTGCAGAACGCTATGTTCATTTCAATCCAACTGTATTCGCCAATGCAGGTGAGATGATGAAGAATGGATGAAATAGATGTAAGGGAGGGAGCTAATATCAAGTTTAATAGAAACGGCATACGTGCTCGCCTATTCGGTCATCATGTTGAATACCGATCAGCATAATCCACACAACAAGCGACCAATGACATTGAATGATTTCATCAAGAATAATCGTGGCATTGATGATGGCTCTGATATCCCGGATGATTTGCTTGAAGCCATTTATGACGAGATCCGCAATAACGAGATCAAGCTTAAGGATGAAGTGGAAGCTGCGAATGATGCTGCACTTTTTGCTGTATCACCAGGTGGAGCACTCAACATTATGGGTATTCAAAATGCGTTGGTCAGCGCTGGTATTGCACGTGATGTTCGACGAGAAGCATATCAAGCTGCTACTGAAGAAATGGGTTCCAAGACCGAAGCCATGTTCCGCAGCATGCTAGCAAGCCGACGTCGTGCTGGCGAGAATGACACCATCACATTTTACAGCGCATCTCATATTGAACACGTACGACCCATGTTCGAAGTTGCATGGATGGCATTCTTGGCAGGTGTTTCGGGTCCTTTGCAAGAATCGGATGATCTTGAGACGGTTCAATTGTGTCTTGGCGGCTTCAAGAATGCTATTCGTATCATTTGTCTTTTCCACACCGTTCAGTCTGAGGATGTTGATTTGCAACGCGATGCCTTTGTTACGACTCTCACCAAGTTTACATTCTTGACCAATTTGAATGAGATGAAAACCAAAAATGTTGAAGCCATTCGTACATTGTTGGAGATCGCAGCCGTGGATGGCAATTATCTCAAGGGCAGCTGGAAGGAAATCTTGTCAACCGTGAGCCAACTTGAACGCTTCCAATTAATCACGAGCGGCGTCGATCAAGGTGCTCTACCTGATTTCACAACCAAACGACAACCCCAATCCGCCAATAAGAGCTCCGTCGACTTGTCTCGAAGATCATCCTCCTTTGCTCGTAGAGCCCAACGCACCAATACACAGCTTTCCCTTACAGAAGAGGTTGCATCGGCTGGTAGTTCACAAGCACTCGTGTTGGCAGCTGATAAGCTTTTTACTGCCACTGTCAATTTGAATGGCGTAAGTAAACAAAGCGGTGGTTGGAACTTGCATGAATGTTGACGTATCCATTTATAGAATGCCATTGTTGACTTTGTGCGGGCTTTGTGTGAAATCTCTTGGGAAGAAATTGTCTCGTCAGCACACTTGGAACATCCTCGAATGTATAGCTTACAAAAGCTTGTCGAGATTTCGTACTACAACATGAATCGTATTCGTATGGAATGGTCCAACATCTGGGCAGTGCTTGGTGAATACTTTAATAAGGTAAGAAGGTTGCTATAAGGATGAACAACAGGGAATTTAATCGGTATTGTATCAGGTCGCTTGTCAATCAAACTTCAATGTTGCGTTCTTTGCACTGGATTCATTACGCCAATTGTCGATGCAGTTTTTGGAGAAGGAAGAATTGCCACATTTCAAGTTCCAGAAAGATTTCTTGATGCCGTTCCGTGAAGTACTTGCCAACAATCCAGATGTTGCGATCAAGGATATGGTATGTGTAGGCATGCATAAGTAGGTATGGTTTTCTCACACAAGGGTCTTCTACATAGGTGCTTCGATGCTTGTCTCAAATGATCCTTGCAAAAGCACAAAACATTCGATCAGGTTGGAAGACAATGCTTTCTGTATTTGCTACTGGTGCACGTGAAACATCAGGTTAGTATTCATTATAGGCTGCTGGTGCATCAATGCTCATTGTAGTTATCATACATAGAATCAATTGTCCAAATGACGTTTGATATTGTCCGAAGCGTCACAACCGAACGATTCCACGATATTGTTGCAAATGGCACCTTCCCCGATTATATCTCATGTCTCGTTGAATTCGCCAAGAACAAGAAATTCCAGAAAATTAGGTAGGTAGCATGATGGTTTATTCATGTTAGGCGATGCTAATGCCATGTTATCTAGTTTACCCGCCTTGGATATGATCAAGGATACGATACCACGGATGCTCGAGATTGCTGATAAGAACAAGACGATCGAGATCACCGATGCTCATGTATCAGGACCACAAACGGTGCAATCAGGCGATGATTTCCTCGTCAAATTCTGGTTTGCAGTTCTTTTTGGCTTCCGTGAAGTGACCATGAAGAGCGATGATGTCGAAGTGCGGAAAAGGTAAAATGATAATGGAAGACAATGAACAGCAGCTAACGTTGTTTGAAAGATCATTGCATTACTTGTTCGACACGCTCAAGCACCATGGATCCAAGTACCCTGCGGAGTTTTGGACAACCATCACACGCCAAATTGTCTTCCCTCTCTTTGATGACCTCAAGCCCAACTCTGATCATCATCGTCATATGACACCGGAGGATCTCAGCGTTTGGGTCTCGACAACAATGATTGAAGCTCTTCGAAACGTGGTCGATTTGTACACTTACTACTTTGACAACATGAAGGGCATGATGCGTCATGTTCTCGGTCTCTTTAGCGTGTGTATTACACAAGGTAAAGAAAGGAGAAAAGGGGGATTGATGGATATAGCTGACTCTTGTTTTCATTAGAAAACGACACGCTTGCTCGTATTGGTTGTGAATGCCTGGAGCAGTACATTGAAGCCAACGTGGACAAATTTGATGGAGAGTGCTGGAATTTGATTAGCGAGACATTCGTATCCTTGTTTGAGAAAACAACTGCATATGGCTTATTTGAAGACACACAAGATCTTGTGGAAAAGGTGAAAGCAAGCAATGACGGTGCCGGCGCCGGATTCGATATGCAAAGCCCTGATAGTGCTGTGGCAGAAGTCAGCGAAGAGAGACAACGTGGTTTCCAACAAGTGATTGTCAAGTGTGTTTTGCAATTGATGCTTATTCAAACCGTCAATGAGCTCTTGAGCAAGGACTCGGTGTATTGTGCATATCCTGCGGGTCATTTAATGCAATTGATGGAGTGTTTGGGCAAGTCCTTCCATTTCGCCAAGGAATTCAATGCGGATAGCGACCTGCGTATGGCTTTATGGCGATTTGGTAAGCTTTTTAAAGGACATTCTTTTTTTGGGGTCATCGGTGTGTAACTTATGGATCAATGCTACCAGGTTTCATGAAGCAATTGCCCAATTTACTCAAGCAAGAAACATCCAGCGGTGGCTGTTATGTATCGGTGCTCATGCGTATGTACGCAAATCTCGAAAACATCAATGATCGTGATGAGTGTCGCGAGCAGGTGGAGCGGATATTGATCCCGTAAGTGAATGTTTCCAAGCAATCGTACTATTTCTTACCATGAGGCGTTGTAGATTGTGTAACGAAATATTCACGTTGTATACTGAGTTGGACCACGAGACGAAGCCGAAGAACATTGCTGCATGGACGCCTGTTGTTATTTCAATCCTGAATGGATTGGCTCAGCTTCAAGATGAAGATGTACGTTATTTTTGGTTTACAGTGTCTCTATTTGGTAATGCTCATTTTCGATTTATGTATAGTTCTTAAAACACCTGCCACAATTTTATCTCGCCTCGGTTGAGCTCCTTGGGCAAGAACACATGCTTCCGGAAATCAGAATGGCGCTGCGTACATTGCTTATCCGAGTTGGTAAAGCATACAAGATTACCCAGCAATAGAGAAAGAACACACAGCCTATACACGTATCCACCACAAATCCATTCAATACGCCTCTTAACTTCCCGTATGTATATTCTCTTTTAATGACGATGAAAAATAAAGTTTAGACGAACAAAATTAGAGGGTTTGGTGAAGCACAGATTTCTCGTCTATTAATAAAAGGTGTGAGGATGCTACCTATTTTGCTTTTCTTCCTCGTAATGTTTCGTGCAGGGCTGCTTTTTGTTCTTTGTCTGGCCAGCATTTTACCAATCGTGCTGGGAGTTTCGTCTCATCAGCAGACGTCCATAAGCGCATCATTGCAAAGACCGCGTCACCTTAGCTTGGATCTCTACGCTAGAGGATATCACCAAGATGATGTCTTGGAGCATTTTAGCACAAGTAATGGAGGCAAGTAGATGCTATGTTTGGTGCGACCTAGTAGCGGGCGATCACATAATGGCAGCTTACATATTTTACGTGCCATGCATTGTAGCCGTGAGTCCTTGCTGGAATATGAAAAAGGCGCGTATTGGCTCCTTCAACGTTAACGATCCTATGGTCAAGGTCACATTCTTCAAGGTAAGAGTCATGTCAACGGCTAAAAGAAAAGCATTTCTAATTACATTCACATAAAGTCATATGATTGTACCAGCACTCCTGCAGCCGTATTCCGTGGTGGTTCGAGGGACAACGTGTTGAGAATGCGAGCAAGATCAGTGTCTGTGCAAAAGATACATTCAATTGACACGCTTTAAGAGACAAGTCTAGTATGATTCTTTTCGTATGCTTTTATTCATTATGCTCTTTAACGTATTGTTGATATCAACAATAAAAGAACCAAGGCTTATCACACGATATTATTGTTGATGTTGCGTGGACGTGATCGTTACACACGCGAGAGTTGACAGGTTGCACAAATGGATGATGATTGCCACTGGAAGGAAGCGTTGGTTCTTTGTATGTGAACATCCAATGATGAAGATCTCTCAATAAATGTGTGTGGCAATAATGTTATATACGCGCATATCACAATCTGATGATCACGCTTAATCCATCCATGTCAGGTGTAGGAGTCATGATGCTGTTTATATCAGAAAACGCTATATATTTCTTAAATATCGATGGTAGTAACGTAACCTAGCAACCAACCAAATAAACACATCTCTAATCAATGCTCATTGATCATGCGCGCACCACTTTTGCTATCCCATGTCACCTGCATTCATCCATCATTGACCATGCACGCACCAATTTTACTCCATCATCTCACACACTATTTATCAATTCATCCAATCTGCTTGCATCATCACCTATCAATTAACAATGCTTTAATCGATCGTGTGTTGTTTTCTATGATGAGCTTTCAACCATTATATGCATAGTAGGAAACCGATTGCACATGAAAAGGGATATAATGTAAGGTGCGAACAAGATGATGGAGTAAAATTGGTGCGTGCATGGTCAATGATGGATGAATGCAGGTGACATGGGATAGCAAAAGTGGCGCGAGGTCGAATTTTGGTGCGCGCGTAGTAATTCTCTTCATTCCTACACAACAACACCGTTCCACTCTACTTCCAATGAAGCTCGTTGTACTCGCCCTTGCTATCGCCGCAGCAAAGGCTATATAACAGCAGCAATACAGTATCACATATTCATGAATAATATAGGAGCATTGGATAATAGAAAATGAGACCGTTTATGCAAGAAGTTAAAAGGGAACGCTTATAGATGGTATCCAGGAGGGTGGGCATCGTTCTGGTGCACCAACTGGGTTTGAAACTAGGGTGACGTTTTAAACGGGCGCAGCTGTATTAAGCAAGTTGGGAAAGGTTGCCATGGAAACCACTCTTCTTTTTCGGCTTGACTGGCTTGGATTGCATTTACAAGGAGCGACCGATCTCTTCGTTTGTTAATGGTTGCCTGAGGGTTAAAATCATTCTGCAAAGGGATCCCCCTTCAGTTACGGTTCGGCTGGCTGTTGTGGTTTGGTACTGAATGCTGTATGTCTATGGTCTCATGCCTAGGTTGGCGGATTGCGTGTTTACAAGGAGCGACCGGTCCCTTCGTTTGTTAATGGTTGCCTGCGGGTTAAATCGTTCTGCAAAGAGATCCCCCTTCAGTTACGGTTCGGCTGGCTGTTGTGGGTTGGTACTGAATGCACAAAACGTCAACAACACCTTTTGGGATCAGATAGTCTTCCACCTTCTCGTGGTTGATCCTGTGGATCAAGGAATTTGTTTCTTGTGAACTAAGAGAAGACGCTTAGAAATAATCGTTAGCACATATATGAAATAAATTGCATGGTTTCACTCGGGTGTCTACAATACCAAATGCAAGCAATGAACAAGAAGCACCTTGTAATCATTCAGTGGGTACAGGGTGAGGGGCAAGATAATTTGTGGGCATAAGTCATTCTCACTTTTGCTCTTCATCCTTCCGTTCATGCAGTCGACACCATCCATTAGGAGAAAACAACTCCATCACGCTTAAAGCATAGGTAAAATATTAAAGTGCCTGTATCTCAAACCCTTACAATGAAGCGTGGGGTCTTTATGAGAACACACATGCTCGACTGGGTCGATGCACCTTGTGTGCAAGGCTGATGCTTGGGGAGCTGGTAGAAGGCAATGTCTGTTGTTGATCATCATTATCATGTAAGGTGTAAAATGACACACACCTTTTTGCTATACGTGAGGATCATTTCTTTTATTTACGTGTACCTATTGTCTATCGTGAGGGTAATGATGACGATGGGTGGATGGTGTGTTTGGGTGGATGGTGTATGTGGGGTCATTGGGTGGCCTCAGTGTAATAGCAGTAGGGGGGTTTAAACTTGAGGGACGGTAGCTCCACGACTTGAGACAACGCTACTCTTCTTTTTCTCCCTCCTTTCCTTATTCCATTCATGATGTCTCGATCAAGGTAATGTATTATAAAAGAGTGCTCTTGTTGGCTGTGAGGTGTTAATGTAGTTCTGAACATGCATTGTCAGGGAGATGAGTGTGTCCAAGTGCTGAGGAATGAGCGTGGTTGGTGGTTGGTGGTTGCCATGGCGATATTGTTGCTTCCTTTTGCTCGTTGCTATTCCCGCTCTACGCTTGGTGTCAACAGGTACATTCAGAGTCCAATATTGCAGCCGAAATGGTTCCATTGACGCGTCAGCTTGTATAGAGGACAAGTTTGGTTTCAAGACGTTGGCTGGTTTGGCGTTTTGTTTCGGCTGAACTATACTACACCATGGTTTTCGGTTTCCAATAACCAACAACAACGGGTCTTTGTGTATATGGAAAAGGCAAGTGCAATGAAACAAACAATGAAAAAGGCGTTTATTGTAGTGAGTGCTAATAATGAATTGAATAGGTTTCATTGGTCAGGCAATGCAACTTGGGGCATCATCATCATCATCTCTTTGGGTTCAAGCCAGCCTGTATCAAGTGGCCGCTGCGTCGCTCTGCACTAGCCAAGTGTGTTGGAAAAGCTTCTTGGAACGCGTCCAGGGCTCTATAGGCCTGCGTTTGAGTTGATGGGTCGATGACGATGGATTTTTGGAAGAGCATGGTCACCATGTTGAGGTAAAAGAGGATTTGCAACAGCTTGTGAATGTGTTTAACCAACACGCTCTTCTCGTGATAGGCTCGTTCTTTCCCTTGAGGATTTCTTTTCATGAGGTGGGAAATGATTGGAAGGATTGGATTGGGGATCATTCTTTCTTTGGAGAGGATGAATGAGGACAGCTATGAGCCTGGACTCTACGTAAGTGATGTCCTTCCTTGCCATGGATCGAACTGGCCTTGCGTGATTCGTGCAGTGCTTTCTCAAGAACAAGGGATCGTCCGACGTTGCTCCTACGGTGGTGATTTGGTTTGTGAATTCCTTCTGATTTGCTTTCTTCCTTGGAGAGGATCGCCTAACGGTATACCAAATCGTCATCATTCCCGGCATCATATGGTCTAACTTGCTTGCTTTCTTATTTATAGAGACGACGATTACGATGATCACCTCATCCACAACAATGGCAATGATAACGACAACGAGATTCAAAAGGAAGCCTGCAAGATGTCATTCTTTTCAACTTGTGTATTTTGGGATGTTGGTGTGACGGATGAAACGACTGGTGACGAGTACGAGTACGAATGATGACGGAGGACGACTACGACGATGGTGGTGGTGGCAATGTACAGTAGCAAGATAGCTAGATGAAATAAAGCATTGTTTATTTATTACACACTTGTTGGAGGTTGCTAGCTTGTGGATTACATACTATTGCTTCGAAGATGGAATAATAAAGGTGGTCCGGTTATCGGTCATGCAAGAAGTACATGGTTTTTGCGATACAATAAGGAGGAGTGGGAAGTGGGATGAGCTTGAGAAGAGAAAAAGTGAAGAGATCCCTCCATTGAGTTTCAGGATGAGTGACTCCTCATTCAATATTATGTATATGTATACGTATCTTTTTACATATACAAATTGGTTTATGCACCTCGACTTTCTTCTACATGCAATTGTGATGCATATCTTGACACACCTTCATTATTGGATGCTGTTTACTTACGTACCTTCACAAAAGGCAATCATCATCATCATCCATTTGTGTAGCAACCTGTCAAGGACGTGTCTGTGTAACCACCACGTGCCGTTTCACTCAGCACTTCATCTTTCCGTTAATGCAGCAGACACCATCCACTAGGAAAAAGCAACTCCATCACGCTTACAGCATGGGTAAAATATAAAGGTACCTGTATCTCCAAACTTTACAATGAAACGTGGGGTTTTGAATAGAGCAATGGGCTCGGCTTGGCCAACAGCACCTTGTGTGAAAGTTTCACGTTCAATGTCGCAACCAGCCCAAAAATATTTTTTTTGGTCGTCGTCGTCGAAGACGTCGACCCCTGGATCCAGTTTGGCTGGTGGCGACATTGCGAAATCTGGGATTGGCAAGCTAGATCGTGAAACTGGCACACTAGGTGCAGTTGGCCAAGCCGAGCCCATTGCTCTATCAAAGACCCCACGTTTCATTGTAAAGTTCGGAGATACAGGCACCTTTATGTTTGTAAGCGTGATGCTATATGAGAAGTGGTCTTTGTTCATTGTCAAGTAAGTGGACCCTGGCAGAGCAAAAGATGCAGAGGATCGTGTTGTGTAACACAGCTACGTTTGCATGACTGCAAGGATGGAAGGATGATATTGCATACTATTGACAATAGCCCATACATTGGCAGCTAATAGCCACTTTTGTGCATTCCGAACTTTTGTGCATTCCATCATAATGGAACGATGCTCCTCCTCCAGACATTCATTTCCTTGATCCAATTATCTTGATCCGAGCTGATTTGGCTGAGCTACGGTCAAAGAGAGATTACATCAATCCATACATCAGCATACGTTCGAATGTCTCAGCTGATTAATCCTTGTTCGACCGTAACTCAACCAAATCAGCTCGGATCAAGCTACTTGAATCATGGAAATGAATGTCTGGAGCAGGAGCATCATTCCCATCACGTGGATTTCGCAACAATGCTGATTGGATAAAAGTGGCTATTAGCTGCCAATGTATGATATGAAAATGAGGGTTGCGTACCTGTCATGCATTGTCCCTGAAGTCCTGACTTTTTAGCTGAGTTACCCAAAGAGGTCCTTCTGCATCTTTGGCTCTCCATGGTCTAGCTACTTGGCAATGAACAAAGACCACTTCTCATATAGCATCACGCTTACAAACATAAAGGTGCCTGTATCTCCAAACTTTACAATGAAACGTGGGGTTTTTATTAGAGCAATGTGCTCGGCTTGGCCAACAGCACCTTGTGTGAAAGTTTCACGATCAAGCTTGCCAATCCCAGATTTCGCAATGTCGCCACCAGCCAAACAGGATCTGGGGGTCGACCTCTTCGACGACGTCGACCAAAAAATATTTTTTGGGCTGTTTGCGACATTGAACGCGAAACTTTCACACAAGGTGCTGTTGGCCAAGCCGAGCCCATTGCTCTATTCAAAACCCCACGTTTCATTGCAAAGTTTGGAGATACAGGCACCTTTATGTTTGTAAGCGTGATGCTATATGAAGAGTGGTCTTTGCTCATTGTCAAGTAAGTGGACCCTGGCAGTGCAAAAGATGCAGAGGGCGTGATTGTGTAACTTGAGTCATTCAGCACAGGCGATGCATGATTCTTGTACACTATTTAGGAATAGTTCAAAATGCCAGCTAATAACCTTAGTCCTCCCATTCTCCATTGTTGCCCAATCCAATGCATACGAACGCTTGTCCTGCTCCAGCTCATCATTTCCATCATTAAACTTTCTTGATCCGAGGGGATTTGACTGAGCAACGCTCAAACACAGAAGTATCACCCAATTTCACAAAAATCATTTTGCAAAGTTATTTGTAAACTACCAGCTAGCAGCCCATTCCTCCCAATCAGCTTTGTTGCCCAATCCAATTCATATGAACGATTGTCCTGCTCCAGCCCATCATTCCCATCATTGAACTTTCTTGATTCGAGGTGACATGGTAGCATGGCAATGGGTGTTGTTGGATCATCATTATCATGTAAAGTGTAAAATGACACACATCCTTTTGCTATACGTGAGGATAATCATTTCATTTATTTAAGCGTATCTATTGTCTATCGTAAGGATGATGATGATGATGATGGGGATGGGTGGTGTACATACACATAGCGCATAGCGCATATAGGGTAATTGAGTGGCCTCAGTGTAATAGCAGTGAGGGGATTTAAACTTGGGGGACAGCAGCTCCACGACTTGAGACAACGCTTCTCTTCTTTTTCTCCCACCTTTCCTTGTCCCATTCACGACATCCCGCTCAAGGTAACGTACTATAAAAGAGTGCACATGTAGGTTGTGAGGTATTAATATGGTGCTGAACATGCATTGTCAGGGAATGAGTGTGTCCAAGTGCTGAGGAATGAGCGTGGTTGCCATGGCGATATCGTTGCTGCCTCTGGTTCGTTGCTATTCCCGCTCTACGCTTGGTGTCAACAGGTACATTCAAAGTCCAATTTTGCAGCCGAATTGGTTCCATTGACGTGTTAGCTTGTATAGATGGCAGGTTTTGTTTCAAGACGTTGGCTCGTTTGGCGTTCTGTTTCGGCCCAACAACACTACATCATGGTTTTCGCCTTCCGGTAACTCAACAACAAAGAACTTTTTGCATATGGATAAGGTATGTGCAGTGAACGAAAACAATGAAATTGGCATTTATTGTGTATGTGTGCTAATAATGAATGATGCAATTATGGAGTAGTTTACGGTCAGGCAATGCAACTTTGACCATCATCATCTCCTTGAATTCGACTCCCAACCTGCACCTTGTTTTGGCCATTTGACAGCAGTGCTCTTCGTGATAGGCTGGTGTTTACCCTTCGAGAAGGAAATATGGGGGGTCATTCTTTCTTTTGAGAGGCTGAATCAAAACAAGTACAAAAAGGGGTGTCCTTCCTTGTCATGGATCGAACTGCTTGCCACTTTGTTTATCTCATACCTGGAGCACAAGTTTTGGTGTTACCACATCTCGATCCAGGTTTCGTATCTTATGGTCCTGCCGATCCACGTATTCTGAGATTGATGCTTTTGACATGGATACGCACATTCATCTTGATCGATTGTTGCTATGAAGAACTTGTGGATCCACAAACTCCAGCTCAACGTGATTTATGCATGCACAATCGATCACACCAAAGCTCTCTGTAAAGGGGCCCCATCAATCTATCGGCTCATCACCATTGCTGACACCTCTCAAGTCGCTGGTAAGTCATTCCTTTACTTATGATAGCAGTCTAGTTGTTGACGCATACATGTTTATTTGTTTTAGCTGGTCAGGGACTACGAAGGGAAGCTCCTCCCTTCCAGCAGCAATCCTATGAAGATCCATGCAAGTTACACATACTCACAACACTTCGCGTATTTCATGGTGTTCCAGGCGACAGCCAAATACCTCGGGATTTGTTGGAGGATAGTCACTTTCTTTTCATCACTTTTTGTAACTGTTGCGGCAACGTCACTCTGCGATACGGTGTCGTATTATAATAAATGCCATCGGGCCATACACAAAAAAAAAGTTTCCTTCTCTGCGTACTTTTCTGCAATTACTTAATGAAACCTTTTCGAAGACATGACGATGTACCAGTGCATCCTGCCGAACAACTTTGTTCTATTAAAGACTCCACGCTTGATTATAATATTATGAGAAGATATGACCGTCTGATCCATTTCGTTCTCACAAAGCCTCTACGCTTCATTATGAAGATATTGAGAAACAGGTATCTTTATGTTTTATCTATGCACGCGGACCTGTAAGCGTGAAGGAGCTGTTTGCTAGTAATGGATGGTGTCGAACAGCGCTAGTTGAAAGGTGTGGAAGAAGAACTCAACGAAATGCGTGCATGGAATGTGAGTACCGCAGCTCACCATCAAGGATACGTTTAAAAGGATCATCGCAACAAGACCCATATGCTCATCCATATACATCATGTTAATCATACCTCTTCTCAAATACACACACCACACCATCTTATGATCAATAAATCGATTATAGGTATTTCTACAATGGTCTTTATGCATTGAAGCGGCTAATTTAAATTACATGTTCTTGCATACTTTTTACAACTTTATCCACTTGTGCATCTTCAGTATTGGGTGACAATGGATTATCAGGATCCATCCTGGCCTTGATTACTTGGAGAGCTTCTTGAACAGTTTTCCCGGAATCTATTATACAGTGGTACGAGAACTCTGTTAGAAAAGCCCACCACATGATCCGCGTAACACTCACTGTCAATCGAGCTGAGGAAGCGTACAAGCTCTTTGCATAACTCGTAATCTTCTACGTCCATTGCCTTTTGTAGTAATCGTATCGTATCCTGTTGATAGTATTTAGAATGAGCTCATCAAGTTCATTGTTATCCATAAATACGTATACATACCTTCCCGCCAACAGCCAGTGGTTGCATGGTTTGTAGAATAATCAAATAGGACGTGGCAGTACGTAAGCGGTCGTCCGATAAGCACAGCTACAGAATCTTTGATTAATATTGGGATGGCTTTGTGGTCTCCTACCATATGATAGTACCTCGAATAAATCCTTGGGCTCCCCTACTACCGAGAACAGGTGCTCCCACAAGGCAACTTCGGTTTTACGAGCACAGCTGACAATGACATCCAGTGCATGAGGAAATTGATCCAAGAATTTGATCACCAGCGGTAAAATCGGATCTGTTAAACATTGCTCAATTCACTTGTCACATATACATTGTGTCATCCATACCTCGTTGATTTCGGTTTTCCGTCTCCTCTTCAAGCACAGTGTGCAACAAAATCTCAAGTGAGTGACCAAAATAAATGAGCCGTTCATAGGCACGCCCAAAAACGACCGCATCCTCCTCCCAGCTTTGTCGTAGTAGATGTTGCAATATGTGATGGATAAACAAATGGGTCTGAAACACAAAAGAAATGATGAGCAAATAGACCCATTATAGCTAGCATATCATACTTACTTTGCTGCTCATCTTGTAAATCATAAATCCAAGTGATTCCTTGAATACCATTCCTTGCTCAACACCAACAATGACGCCCTTCTCTAATAACACCGCTAGTATCCAATGGCGTTAATTATCATGGACTTTCACGTGAGATGGCAACATGACACCTACAATGAGGATAAAAGTCGAGCGGTATATAGATCGTGCCTTCATCGAGTTGTCGAATACTTGGAATGCGCCATCTTGAGAATCCATCCATTTCCACCACTGACATTGAAGGTGATACAGGTTCAGGACCAATGTGGTAGCCCAGCGAATACGGCCGGCCAAGATTGGCTCTTGCTGCAAGAATCCCTGGTGTTGTGGGAGTAGATGGCTCGCTCTCAAAAGGATCATTGGAAAATGTGCTGAATCCATAATCGTCTCCTCGCAGCAGATTAGCAAAGACCTAAAGTACACATGTGTCATGTTATCCTTTGCAATGACCCTTTTTTTTATCGCGCACTCCTTACCTTTACACCCTTTCCATCGACTACCCATATTGATGTACAAAGGTTGGCAACGCTTCTTCGACCAATCCAATAATACTCGGTTTTGTCTGATAGGATATGAAGGTCGTATTGTGCTTGGGTATTTGCTTGGCCCGTCAAATCGGAATCATCGTCATCATCCTGATAAGCGTTTTGTTAGCAACATGCACTATGAAATGATTACCATAATACATCTTACAGGTATACGTGGGCTGAGCATAATCAACTTGCCATCCACCAGCACCATGATGTGAGCAGATATGACGTCGCCCAATGTCGCCATTTGATCTATGACACCGCGTTAGGCTCGACCATATGATTCGATGGTGTAACGTGAATTTGTGTACCTCCATTGTAGCTGGTAAATAAACTTATGCCTCGCACCCGTGATGCACGTGCCACAATGTTGACAAATGCTACTCGTCGAATACGTTCCAAACGTGCTATACTTGTTGTTCCGTTTCCATTCGATACTCCAGAGTTCATATTCTCGGATCGGATTTGAATGGAGTAGATGTTGAGTACGTTGTCGGCTGTATACACCAAAAGGAATGTGCCACATATACTGATATAAAGCGGCATACTTTGTAATGGCTCATTGTGGAGGATGTAAGCGTTGTCGAGGTTGCTATCCCGAGAATATAGTCGCAACTAGGGGGAATTGATCAATCCATTGGCCAAATTTATCGAATACGACTTGTTCTATACCTCGTATATTTTCCCGGATGTTGGAGAATTGAGAACTTCGCATGCAGCAATGAGGATATTCTTGTACCATGCCATTCCTCCTCGCACAAGGAAACTCTGCTCTTGTTGCTGATTGCCGAACATCTTCCATCGATTCGAGAACGTGTTGTAGTGTGCAAAGCCTCGCCTACCAGCAATCGCAATAAATCGACCATCTTGACTGATAGAAGCGTACTATTGACAGGAGACAATGAGCAACAACAATGAAATTGGATTTTAAAAACATACACGAATTGGCCAGTGATCGGTGATATACATTGGCGGATACTATAAAATGCGTTGTTAGTCCTCCACTTATAGCCCATCTTCATCCCAACCATACCAGCACTTGTGTCCATAAGGCGGCGTCCGGATCAATCGTTGTTGTATTGTTCTCTTGATAGTCACCACCGTAATTGTAAAGGAGAATACGATCATCCATTTGCAAGAGACCACGACGTGCGTTTTCCTTTATGTAATCGTATCAGATGATTGATGTATGCGAGCATAGTGCCCATTCCATGACTTACTGCATTGTGGAAATTCGTAATGGCTGATTTTGCAAAAGGTAACGTGAACAACGCGCCATTTTGTTTCGTTTGGCTGACAACATTTGGTTGATGTTTGCTCAGGATAAATAGTTGATGATTGCCAGGTCCCCAGAACTAACATACAATGGTGAAAAGGGAATTCACATGATATATAGCATCGTTCCTTGCTTTACCAATCCCTGTACACCTGCAACGTAAGCGTCTTGGCTCAGTTCGGATCTATGCATGTGTATTAGTGAATGGAGTTCAAGTGATGAATAGAAAGCACACCTACCCAAAATCATCATCATCAGCCTTGGAATAGAAAATGTCATCTGTAGCGCTGATAGAGCATAAGAGATTGCCGTATACGCTCCATACCGCTAGTCCTTGCTTCTCAAAGCCAACAGCAATAGCATAGCCATCTGATGTCCAAGCCAGCGTCTTGATGGATGTATTGGATGACGATCCACGCGCATCAGCAGGTGCATTCATGTCACGCGTGAACACATGTGAAAGAGTCGGAGTCGATGTATAATTGTGAGCCGAGTACACATACACCTTTCCACTGCATAAAGTTTTATCTTAGCCTTGCATCTTCCTGGTGAAAATTATGAGCCTTACCTTCTTGTACCCACTGCAATTAGAGAGAATTTGCCATTGACAGCCACACAGGTCGCTTGCATGTCAGCTTCTAGAGGATCCGAATCCATCCCATGAAAACAAACACCGTGCCATGCGATTGATTCTCGGTAGGAAGGCATTGTTGGTGAAGTAGCATTCCCATTCAAAGACGCAGCTGTTGGTGAGGATGGCTACATGAATGTGTGCATGTGTAAGGATAACAGGAGCTGATGGCTTGAAAAGATCCAACTTACTGTGTTGCTGCTGTTACTGCTTCGTCGACGTTGCTTAGTCACATTGGTATTTTGCACAAAGTAGGCTCGGCCAGCATCTGTGATCCAAAGCGAAATGTTCATCGTCTTGTCGTATAGCGCCGAAACAATCTTTTCTACAATACAAATTTAGTATGAGCATGTAACGATTGGGATGCATAAACGGAATGAACCTGATGATTGAACAAAGAAGCCAAGCTTGTTTTGCACCGATGTTTGAGTCGAGTTTACTTCATGTGGATTCCAAGAGATACATTGAATGGCTGCTGGTCGTTGAGTTGCGATAATAAGAGTGTCGTCGGATGATGTGCCACTAAAAGGTATTAGGATAATGTATGTATAGATAGCATCTTCTCATCTTACCATGCTACACCAGCATCCACTCGAATCGCCAATCGAAACTTGAGAAGCATTGTACGTGGACCACTGCCTTCTCCGGGACCAGTTACCATGGCATGATGCGAATGCGGAAAGTTAAATTCAAATGATCGCTGATCAAAGTTGAGGATAGCATAAAGCAAAAGATAGTTCTTTGTCGTCTATTAAAGAGGTGCTTCATTGTTAGACAACCTTTTTCACTCTTCATTATCCCTTGATGCCTTACCATAATGACCACAGAGGTGGCGTCTGGTTTCCATAATATGCTTTTGTTCTCTCCAAATTCGTTAATGTGCTTTTCTGATCGATCGATGAATGATAATATCGTTGTGGGCTAAGAGCGATATCGTTGAGTATCCAAGTGTATCCGTTTATGCTGTAGTATTACCTTGACCGACCACAAGTATATTGTCGAGGTAGTGCAAGTAACGAATACCGACGCGTGGGGTGATGCAGCTACTTGGACGAGGTCGTATGTTTGTGGGAATGCGTTTGTTGATGAAGCATCGTCGACGGTAGCATTGGAAGCATGTTCACGCAAATTGGCAGTTGAGAGCTTGCTTGCTATACCATTGAGCCAATACATTGCATAGAGGAATAGTGTGAAGAGGAGTTGCTAAAGGAGCAATTGGCTGGTGAACCTGGACCCTTTGCTGAATTCGAATTAAACCTATGAATTGATTTCACTTGTTGCCATCCAACCCATCCATCCCCATGGAGATGATTCGCACCTGTCAACCCTTTGGCATTGTTTTAATATGGCCTATAGAATCAACATCGACTGCAATATGCACATCATATGTATTTGAACATACCTTCTTCTTAGCTGTTTTCTTCCGATGCATAAATGACGCCCTTTTATGATGATGATGATCATGGTGATTGTTGTTGTTGTGTACGCACCTTGTGCAGCTGATCACGAGAACGTTTATTTAGACTGGTCCTGAACCACTCGTTTCATATTTTTCTTCTCTTTCTTCCTTTTTCACTTTCTTTCCATATTCAGCGCTTATCTCATGGATTCGTTTCTTCATCCTTTGATGGATCTATATGAATCAGCCAGTCTCTGGAGCTTGATAGTACTAGAGTTATCGGTGTTTGCTCTTTGTCTCCATTACGTGTTACCACAAAAGCATCGCCAAGCCAGAACCGTAAAATTGTCAGCACCTCCACAGCTGGTATGGAATACCATTCTTGATATCCAGCGCTATCCTTCTTGGCGATCACATGTGGTGGGTGTCCAGTCTCTGGATGGCCTTCATTTTTTGGAATACGTCGCAAGGACTCGACAACAACTTGTTCAAAAGCATATTGGTGTCGTTGATAATCTCTCCACCACCACCACAGCCACAGGCACCACCACCACAGGCCAATTCAAAACACGCGTACGAGCTATTGAAATGACCAAAATCAATGACAACACCCTTATCCGAGTGGATCGAGCCACACGTCACAACAAGTATTTATCATCCATTACATCCGCTTCTAGCGTCAAGTTGGGACCACGGTCATCATTTGAGCGCGAATGGGAGATTTACATTCGTCTAAGTAGCACAGGACAACATACGCTATTGACTTTGACAGAGACTGTAAGAAGTGAAGGATACCTTGCACGATGGCTTGGTCCCATTCTTGGCGTTCATCGCGTATCACAGCGCTTTTTGACGGATTTGATGCATGAAGTCGATCGCTTACAAAAACAACGCGTATTACAACAACAGCAAAATCTTTGCGAATCACCGATAGCACTCGACAAGAATGATTGGAAATGCGGGGTAGCTGCATGATGAGTATATATCAAATCTAACCCCCATATCCTCTACACAAACACACACACCCCTCATCTTTCTCTCTCTCTCTCACTTTTTATGTATTCCTCTCTCTTTCCCTCCCCCCTCCATTAACAATTCCCCCCTTTCTTTCATCCACAATCATCTTTGATAAATAATAAGCCAGCATGTATTGTCATCATCATTGTACTACATATCGTATTCCAAATGCTCGTTGACATGGTGATTAATAGCTGGATCATCGCCTTCAATCATCTTGTGACAAATTGGGCATTCCTCTTTGCGTACCTTGCCACTCTTTTTTAGATAAGCGCTTGCATCCACAGTCGGCCGTTGAGGCATACTTTGCTGTTGGTGGAATTGCTGAGCACCGGGGTTATTATTATTACCAGTAGAAGAGACACCGAAATTTTGGGGAATAAAGACATTGGATGGATCGTATGCTTGTGGTTGCTGTTGCTGCTGGTATTGTGGGAAACTCGTTACTCCATTATTGAAAGAGCCACCATAGCCAAATGATTGAGTGGGATTATAAAATGAGGATGTTTGCTGTGGTTGTTGGAAAGAGGGTTGCTGTTGTTGTTGTTGCATGAAAGGAAATGTCGTTGTAGTCGTACTAGTAGGTTGCTGTTGAGGCGCTTGAGAATAGCCGAATTGTTGATTGTTCATAGGTTGATAAAAGGATTGTTGTGGATGCTGTTGTTGTTGAGGAGAATAGTATGGTTGTTGTTGTTGTTGTAATGGCTGGTGTTGCTGGGTAGAACCGGGAAGACTCGTGTCTACAAGTAAGTTGCTATTGCCAAAGTTTGAAGTGGATGGCATTGGATTGCTCTGTGGAAACTGGCCTTGCCCAGAAGGCATTCCTGTATACATGTTGGCATTTTGAGAACGAAATGGGTTGTTGTCCATTAGGAAGAATCAAGAAAAAGAAGCAAGGAAGCCCCGGAAAAGCCTTGGCGCAACGAGTTCACAATGACCATTCCTAGCGGTAGCAGAAATCCCACGGCATCCTGTCCAACTGCATGGCAATTATCCCATTTGCCATGGTTGCACCACCACCCCCATCTTTGTATCAGTCAACTTTCATTTCATAAGAATACCCAAATGCTTCATTATGAACACACCCATGGGAGTGAAATTACATGCTTTTATATCACGTGATGATGCTACAAGTAATAGTGGTTGTGTAGTTGCATTATCGCCCCTCCTCCTCCTATTCCTATTCCTTTTTTCTCAGGCCTATATAAATAATAATAACATTGCTTGTGGTGAATGCACCAGCAAATGGCATGTTAAAATTCAAAGCATAGGTGAAGTAATAGCATAGATCCATGCTTGTAACAAATACTTGGAATGTTTATTGTCGGCTTACTATAGATCGGATCGCTGCAAAGTCGGCCCGGTAAAATGAATTATAACTTCAGGTGCGGATTTACGGGTGGGGTTCCTCTCTACTACTTTATCCATGTTGCGATCGTGCGTTCGTGCCTACTCGACTACTGTTGGTTCACCATTCCGGCTTGCTGTTGTAGGCAGTGGTCCTGCTGGCTTCTATACCTCGCATCGACTCTTGAAGGAGCATCCCAACACACAAATCGACATGTACGATAGTCTCCCTGTACCTCATGGCTTGGTGCGTTTCGGTGTTGCTCCCGATCACCCCGAGGTGAAGAATGTCATGAGCACTTTTGATCGTGTTGCCGAAGACGACAGGTTCCGTTTCCTTGGCAACGTCACCGTGGGCGATTCGTCAACTGGTGTTTCAGTGGAAGAGCTTAAACAGCATTATGATGCCATCCTGTTCTCGTATGGTGCTAGCGAAGATAGACAACTTGGTATCCCAAATGAGGATGTCTATGGTGTGGATTCTGCTCGTGCATTTGTTGCCTGGTACAATGGACTTCCCAACTTTGATTCAATCAAGTTCCCCTTGGATTCGACTGACACGGCAGTGGTGATTGGACAAGGCAATGTGGCGTTGGATGTTGCTCGCGTCTTATTAAGTCCAATCGATGAATTACGCAAAACGGATATTACTGAATACGCCCTGGAAGCTTTATCCAAGAGCAGGATTCGCCATGTGCATGTTGTTGGTCGTCGTGGTCCATTGCAGGTAAATACAATATTTATACATATGATATGACTTTACAGGCGACTCATCAAGCATCTATTAGGCATCATTCACATCAAAGGAATTGCGAGAACAAATGAATTTGCCCGGTGTGGCCTTCCATGCAGATCATGAATGGATCAAGAATGAAGTTGCCGAAGCACAACCTTTCATCAGCAAGAATCGTCCTTTGAAGCGACTTATGAGTATTTTGGAGAAAGGATCAGCTACTAAGGCAGGGGATCGATCATGGAGCTTGAAGTTTTTACGCAGCCCAGTCGAGATTTTACCAAAGGATAACCAAGTGGATGGTATTCGTTACGAGATCAATCGCCTTGGGGGTCCCTTTGATCAACGTAAAGCAATCGGCACCGGTGCCTTTGAAGATCAGCCATGTGGATTGGTGTTGCGGAGTATTGGATACAGGAGCATTTCGATGCCTGGTGTACCCTTCAATGATCGTCAAGGAAGAGTGCCCAATTATCTCGGCAAGGTGCTGACAAATGATAATCAAGAGGTTTGTAAGGAACAAAAGTGCATATGACAAAGATGATTAATATTGGGTTTGGATGAAAGGTGCCTGGCATGTACACTGCTGGTTGGCTAAAGCGTGGTCCTACTGGTGTGATTGTGTCTACTATGAACGATGCATATGAAACAGCTGATACTATTGCCTACGATTTGAAACAAGGGAAGCCTATGCTTGCAAACTCACACAGTGATGGAGCGGATGGATTGACGGAATTATTCAAGGATCGCAACATACGACCTGTGAGCTATGAAGAATGGAAGATCATTGAACAAGCTGAATTTGATGCTGGTCACAAGCTCGGCAAACCTAGAGAGAAATACGCAAAGGTTGAAGATATGATGGCCCTTTTGAATTAGATGATTATAGAGTTTAGCAACAAATGATAGATTTGTATCTTTTATTCATGTATAATGAAATATCATCAACATAGACAATACAATGGTGTCTTGCCAAAATGAATAATGTCAGTGAATTGTAGAGATCGAGCTACATCCACCTGTCGCGATGTACGTTATGAATTGCTTTCGGTGACAAAAGTGAGTGCCATAGCTGCATTGTGGATTACGGGCATTGGAATGAAAAGCCCAACTTTTAAAGCGACCACCAACAACTACCATTGATCTCCCTTATCCCTTTCGCATTGACCTTGTTGAATACGCTTATAATGGCGTAAAAGAAGGCTGCAGCATGCGATTATCTCCTCGCCCTCGTTTACTCGATCATGCATTGTTACACCAGCTTCATGCATAGGCTGGCATTTGCCAAAGGATTGTTTTAAAGATGGTCTGCAACCTCATAAAAGGCACGTCTTTATTTGTACACAATTCTCTCTTACATTGACCACATTTACTGTCGCCTTCATTCACCTTTAGCTTACTTATTACCCTGTATCTGGTACTCACTACCTTTCTACCCAGCCCCATATACATAGCATTCAATACGAGGATGTTGACCATTGGCATCCATGATCTCCAATAGTATGCAATCCAAATGATACTCAATGACCTTATTCCCCTTCACTATTTACGATGCATACGATATCCGCAACGACCTTTTATTGCTTGACCAGCTTTTTGGCGGCATCAACGATACATTGTCTTAATGGTTCTGATAGCTGAAATATGCCATTGGATGTAACCAAGCGATGTGTCGGCATTTCTTGATAGGTTTCTGGTTGAATCACGCCGTTGTTGACTAGAACGGTGCCAATGATGTCTTCTGGATATGGAATTCTTCCCCAGGGAGGAGGATTGCGTTCATCTGCAATATGCAACCAACTATGATTATGGCTTAAAATGAGCACGAGCTATCCATCATATCAATAAAGTAGAAGCTTACCCTTCCTTTTGCCATTCAGCAAGACTTTTGAGAGTTGAATCATTCACCTTGTGGATATTATGCTTCAAGACGCTGGTCATAAAGTCGATGTATCCGGGATTTTCAACGAATGTCTTCATGTCGATCGTTTCAGGGGACCAACCAATGATCAAATTGGAATAATCTGTGATTGTGCTGTTGCTTGGAAGATCTTTGCTTGATAAGAACGAAACAGCAAACGGCCGTGTCGCGTCTTTGGGTAAAGGGTGGAAGTGCAAGTAGGGTTGTGCTGCAATAGTCACCATTAGCTCCATTGCTTATCGTGCATGGTGGAATGTCTTACTGGTAGAAGGCTTGCTGGCACTCAAGCGACATGCCGTGGTCGAGAAAAGACGCCCCGTACGAAGGAACACATTGCGTTGCAGTAGCATGTTGGGTCAAGAACAAAGAACAGATAAAGTGAGATTGGTTGCAGTCACGAGTACTTTGCTCGGGATATTTCGCTGGTGGCAGTAGTCGTACACTTTCCCTTCAGTTCATGTCCCACAATGTCGGTATGAATCCAACAGAGCAACCGAGTCCCTCACCATTGCACAGTCAAGTGGACGATCACGACAAAAATAACACGACACCCATTCCACGCGATGAGCATGCCAAGGTAGGCGCACAATGTCAATAAGGTTTGAGAATCGTGTATCAATAGAGCGTCAATAGGTTGTTGAAGCGAAGGCAGCAGTCGTTCTCTTGAAGCACTCGAGGATATTCACCAACAATGAATACGTGCAATGGAGGCTCAAGATTCTATTCCAACCACTTCATGATAAGACCTACGAGGTATATACGTCAATGATTGATTTGACATGATAGATCACTCACGTGTAATCAATGTTTAGTCAATGCAATTTCTTTATCTATCAAAGAACCGCAAACCTATTTGGAAACCCGATGCACATCTTGGTATGAATGCATACTCAACTCTCATTGTATACTATGATTATTCAACGACTGTTACTGCTACAACGTAGACACCGCCAATACTTCGCCACCATCCCATCACCATCATCATCATCAGCACCATCATCACCATCATGCCGAGCAATCACAAAACGCATCATCATCATCATCATCAACGTCATCATCCAATGAAGTTTATGTACTATCTCCACGCACCAATCTTATGACATTGACATACGAATATCGCTTGGTGTACATTGTCGATCTCAGCTCTAGCCTGGCAACCGTTGGTAGTACAACCCCGACAATCCTGTTGTCAGGTGCATTTGAAAGGTCAGATCAAGATTTAGTTTGTGTGATGTCTATGTGTTGTGTAACCTAAACAACCTTATAGTCTACGCAATTCCTTGGAAGGTGTTATTCAGCCTTTTGCTTTGCAAGTATCAGCGTCCGAGAAAGTCATAGTAAGTGATCTCTTTATGCTTGGGTGATTGTAATACAAAATTAATTGATTGTATCTATGCAGCTGCGACCCATTCTCCGACTCACAGTGATGGCCGATTGTTCTCAATTTGCATCCAACATCAATGTTATACCCATGCTTGCTGAACATCCCACCATGCGTGTCTTTATGCAAAACGTCTTAATCAGCCACAACAATATCGATGATGTGATCTCAGAGCTTTATTCTCAATTTGTCGCCTTTCAACGAGACACCATGCGCTTTCGAAGCTTACTCAAGCGTAAGCGATCTAATTTCGGCTATGATCTTGACGTGAGCACGAGTCAAGATGTCACCATCTTGGATACGACTTCATTATCTGGATTACAATCACCACGTCCCGATACACCAGAAAGCAATCCACCATCAACACCACGTGATTTCCATCGACCTACAGAGATGCCTCGTCGAGAAGAAGGATATCATTCATCAAAACGAGAAGTGTGGGGACTGGGTAAATCAGGTGCCAACGTCTCTCGTATTCTTCATGCGGGTCATTTTGCATTGAAGTTGTTACCACCCGAAGGAAACCCACAGCTCATCCTTATCACCGATGGTGCAATGAAATCGAACGTTCATGACAACACCTTTGTACGACAATTTGCGGATGAAAATGTCACATGCCACGTTATTCAAGTGGGATCAGCACAAAGCTTTGTCCCTGGTCGCAACTTCGGTTTTGTGCCTGACAATGAGATTCTTCTCTTCCTTACAAGAGCCACAAATGGATCATTCATCTACTCTCATCAATGCACCCCTGCGACAAAATATCCTATCTACCAAGATGATCAAGAACTTGCTTCCTTATTTGATGATCACACAGAGAGCACAGACCAACACAGCGTGATACAAAGAGTACCAGCATCCGATACGACCATTCCACCACCTAATGAATATCACTCTCGGCTATTGTTCCATGAATCATGCCTTGCACCTCGAAGTAACGACACCCGCCTCCAGTCACATGACACAGCAGATACAACGAGAGATAATGAAGCTCCTTACAACTTTCCATGGGATCCTTACGCTAAACCTCCTCAAGAGGCATTGCGATTGCTTCGATACAGAGAATATCCATTGCCAACTGAATTCTCTCATATCATTGCATCTCGAGCACGTGAAGGATTTTCTTTGCATTCAGTATCATTCGATGACAATAGCGGCATGAAACGCTCTGATGTTGTGATGCAATCCTTTGACGCACCCGATATCAGCTCCATCAAAAAAGAACGCGTTCAAATCGTCATGACACTTCAATGGCAACCCAACATTGTGGTAGAATACAGGATTCGAGCAACATGGTTACCAGCTATCATTGGTCCAATGAAGGCCGAGCAACGCTTTGTTCCAAGCACCATCTTTTGTCGAGCCAAAGCACCCCGTGCTGAGATCTTTGTACGAACAGAAGCCGAGTTTGCTCACATGCTACAGAATTGGGACGTATTCAGAAGAAGAGCACAAATGATGGGTGTCGTCACAGGAGCAGCCTATGTGGGTGACGCGTATACAGCACCATCCTACGCCAAAGCTGAACGACTCAAGAATTATCTCAATGACATCTTTGAAGGCGACGAGACACTCAAGTCGGCTATTAGTTTCAACACCAAATATCTTTCAGCTATCAATGGTTCATCACAATCAATCGATCCAATACAGCAACGACACGCCTTTGTTGAGAATTTCCACGACTTTTGGGAACGGCTTAATGAAACGGAAGGGCGATCAAGAACACGCAGCTGGTACGATCACGATAATATCGACTTGCTTATTGGAGATGTATCACCTTACATGGCACCCAAATTGGCATCCATGTACAATCAAGACTTTGTGTATCACGTCGAAGCAGAGATATCGGATGAGTTGGAACGTGTACGGCATGTATTGCGGACAACATCTGATTTTGAAGGCACTGATGGCACATTTGTACGAGTCTTGAATCGTTTCAACTATGACAATGATCGACAGCAACCACAAGAAGATGGCTTTTCATTGAGCCTTGTATATCCCCCTTCCTTCTATGAGATTCGTATACGACGTGAATATGGTCGGCTTGTATCGCTGCGCTTTCTCTTTTTCAACATGGATGTGCAAGCAAGGAGGAAAAGCGTGAATCATATGTTGCACTTGCTACAAAGATCAGAGGAAGAAGCTGGAACATCAGTCAACACCATATGCCAACGACCGTTTTCTCGATTACTTATGAGAGATGAGCAACATTTTGAGACCATGCCAGTGGAGAAGGGGATGTCACTTGGCAATTCAAGGGCGTGGTACCTGCCTGTTGCTCTTTGGTTGACCAGCGAATATATTGTACGGGATTACTTACGGCATATGACTTGGTCCTGGCAGACTGATAGTCATCAAAACCAATATCACAAAGAGCACAAGATGATGCCAATTCATGATCTTGCATTCCAATTTCTTTGTCAAGCGCGGCTGGATCAGGTAATGTTGTAATTCAGTCATCTATCCTATTCACTCATACACTACGTGTCATCGTGTAGGGCTATCAATTGGTGACCCCGAGACCTGACAGCATTCATTTTTATCAAGAGATCAAGTTGCCTGGAAGTGATCAGAATGAACCCCCTTGTGCGATTCAATACTTTATTTGGAAGGATTCAGATACTGGCAAAATCACAACCGAATTATGGATGGAGCCAAGTGTGACTCGAGAGCAATATGAGCTTGTCAAGATATGGACGGTGGAACCGGATCGTAAGACCATATCACAATTGGTGACGTTTGACCAGATCCATGCACTTGGCAGGTCCAAGTCTAAGGAGGATTTCAGATCACAAGACGTTATCATGGCGCAAGACGCTACCATTATGATGATGCTGCCACAACTATTTGATGTCGTTTCAGTATTGGAGACGAATGCGTTTGTTGTTGCATCCTATCCCAGTCCTCGTTTCCAGGTGAATGCCACCAGCACATGCGATTCAAGTGACGGCGACAGTGGCTATGACCAACTTTCTGATGCATTTGAAAACGTATCAATGGCGCATACAATTTGCTTACGACCGGACAATACGTTGAATGCTGCAAAGGAAAAGTTGGCCGATCTCGACATGTGCGCTCAAAGCTATGCTTTATTGAATTACTTTGTCGAGGGTGGATTGAAAAAGGTGTCTGATGGCGAGATTGCTATGGAGAGTCACAAAAGGAGATCCGACTTTTGGCGAGAGCTGTCAAAAGCCATGTCAAGAAGCATGGGCCATAATCATGCATCGGGAATTCGGCTGACATCCGATTTATGTGACACGAGATGCTTTGTCAAAATCTTTGATCCACGCTCCTTTGTTATCATCCTTTTCCCAACCATGGATTCCATCATCAAAAGTCTTTCTGACAACAGCAACCAAGAGGATGAAAATGCTACGGCCACCAGCTATCATCATGTTGATATTGTTGTATTTGAGTGTGTTCGACAAAAGCCAATCAAGCCTAGCAGCAAAAGCACTCAGGCCGTCGCCTTGCAAAACATCTCGAGTTTTCAAGAGGATGACGAGGATAGTGGTGTCACCATAAACAAGATTGACTGGCTAGTGCATGAAGAAGATGGATTGGGTATCACAATGCGACCACAACTCTATGAAGGTCATTTCAAACGACGAGCTACGACAGCACCACAGCTTTCAGAACGCGCTCTTAGAATCACCCAAGATATCAAACGCATCTACTGCAGAAGCTTCTTTCGATCATTCTTCACTTGTCTCTTGCGTGGTTTTACTGTCAACAAGGATGACTTGGGGATGGTGCTTGACCTTTGCGACGAATCTACCATGGAAATCGATATCACAGATTTTATCAACGTGATGACTCTGCAACGACGAGAAAACGAATTGAGGTAGGTATGATTTTGTTTCAAGTTGTACTATATACTCATAATGTTATCAATAGCGGCGATCATGAGGATGAGATCCAGAGGCAATTCAAAGCCGTGTTGCAGCAATACTTTGCACCGATACATACCACAGATGGCAAGACGTTGAATCTATTCTATTATCGACCTTCATTTCCCAAGCCAGTTGACACTGAGATGGGCAAGGATGAAAAGATTGCTTTGCTTGTGGACCTCGTAGCTTACTCGCAGATACCTCTTTTGGTACGACTTGAATGCGTATACACAAGAGCACGAGGGAAGAAGACCGATGTCGCAACCATCCCTATTACGTCGCTTCCAATGAGCTTCACTGGGAAGAGTCAGCAAGGAAAGCAGTTCAACTTTGAGCCTGCCACCCAAGAAGAAGCTAGCTGGTCACCTTTGGTTTCTGGTGACGTGACAGTGTCACTTCATATTGTGTGCCTGAATATGCCAAGGTCCTTGGATGAGGATTATGCCACTACAGATGCAACGCTTCCACTTCAACGAGAGTAAGCTTACCATTGATGCATATCAAATTGCATATGCTAAGTCTATTTTTTGTAGATCTCTCATTCATTCAATGCGTTCGAGGCCCACACATTTTTCATCGCTCACACGAGATCAGCAGGAAGGATTGGCGGAGACTGAGGCTCGAATACGATGGTTATTAACCGAAGAGACGCTGCATGGCCTATTGA